CCTAACCCTAACCCTAACCCTAACCCTAACCCTAACCCTAACCCTAACCCTAACCCTAACCCTAACCCTAACCCTAACCCTAACCCTAACCCTAACCCTAACCCTAACCCTAACCCTAACCCTAACCCTTAGAACTTAAAAGCTAATAGCATCTTATAGAAATCTAGTTATCTGTGCTATAGTAAAACTCCTAAATTAAGGTAGAAAATTACAAGAGCACATTTCTAATGCGCACTTTACTAATATTATAGTAAACAAATAGTCTGCAGACACACAAACTAACCCTAAACTAAACTACTGTTAGAAAGGACAATAATAAATAAGGGGGGGGCAACTATCTAACATCTTTTAAAGTATTTAGAAAGTTGCCCCTTCCTTCCTTAACACTAAGTAAGAGAGTAATACTTATATCTAAAATAAGGTTGCACTTAATAGCAGAACAGTGCCTTGCCTTATTCTCCTTTAAATTATTTAACTATTTATTAATAAAGGGTTTAGCATAAGGCAAAAGTAGAATAGGTTATTGCTTAAAGTCTAACGTAGCATTAAGTTTACTTGTTTGCTTTTTTTCTTGCACAGACAGTACCTTTAGAGGTATAAGTTAGCGCGCTTGCTTTTGCCAACTACAATAGTTTCTTTAATTTTAGAGATTTTATACTTATTAAGCCTCTATCTGCTCCTCTGTATTAGCATACTTAAGCTAACCTATACTAGATAAATTAAAGTGTATTGTAGAATTACAAGGAGAAATAAGATGTAAAAGAAAAAGTTAGTTGTTAGTTTTATATGTTACTGCTATCTTATTACTACTTATTACTACTTTACCGCGCTAGTTACTACTTTATTACTACCTGTTACTACTTTGCCGCGCTAGTTACTACTTAGCTACGCTAGTTACTACTATTTTATTACTACTGTTACTACTTGTTACTACTTTGCCACGCTAGTTACTACTTTGTTACTACTTATTACTACTATCCTGTTACTACCTGTTACTACTTTGCTGCGCTAGTTACTACTTTGTTACTACTTGTTACTACTATCCTGTTACTACTGTTACTACCTGTTACTACTTTGCCGCGCTAGTTACTACTTAGCTACGCTAGTTACTACTATCTTGTTACTACTGTTACCACTTGTTACTACTTCGCTACGCTAGTTACTACTTTGTTACTACCTGTTACTACTTTGCTGCGCTAGTTACTACTTAGCTACGCTAGTTACTACTATTCTATTACTACTGTTACTACCTGTTACTACTTTACCGCGCTAGTTACTACTTTGTTACTACTTGTTACTACTATTTTGTTACTACTGTTACTACCTGTTACTACTTCGCCGCGCTAGTTACTACTTTATTACTACTTGTTACTACTATCCTGTTACTACTATTACTACCTGTTACTACTTTACCGCGCTAGTTACTACTTAGCTACGCTAGTTACTACTATTTTATTACTACTGTTACTACTTGTTACTACTATCTAGTTACTACCTAAAAGAGCCAGTTACTAGTTATTACTACTTATTACTAGCATCCTACGCTAAATGTGCAGCACTACCTTTACGCAGTATAAGAGGAGAGGCAACTTTCTAAATGCTGCAAAACATGTTAGAAAGTTGCCTCTAACCCCTCCTTAGTTACTACTTTGTTACTACCTGTTACTGCTATCCTGTTACTACTTGTCACTACTTTTTACAAAAACAGTTTTTTTTTTTAATTTTCCTAAAATCCTGTGTTTCTTTAAGATCTGTTGTTGTTTTTGCAACTATTTTTTTTTATCTTTACACTATCATAGCGCACGCATTTTAAAAATACACATAATAAAAATATATGCAAAAGATACGCATTGCTTTAGAGAAAGTACTATAAAGTTTTTAAAGTTTATTAACAATTATAGCATAAGTAGTAGTAGTGTAAAGGCAAAAGTTAGCTGTTTTAATTTTCGCTAAGTCTTACGCTTTTCTACCTAGACCTAGAACTTCTTACCTACTACTATTACTACTATTTTATTACTATTATTACTACTTATTACTACTATTTTATTACTATTATTACTACTTATTACTACTTTGCTACGCTAGTTACTACTATTTTATTACTACTGTTACTACTTATTACTACTATCTAGGTACTACTTAGAAGAGCTAGTTACTAGTTATTACTACTTATTACTAGTATTTTACGCTAAATATATAATACTACTTTTATATAATATAAAAAAAAAAAAACTTTTTAAATGCTATAAAATATATTAGAAAGTTACTTTTAACCTTTTTTTAGTTACTACTTTATTACTACTTATTACTACTATCTTATTACTATATTTTATAAAAATAGTTTTTTTTTTAAATTTTTTTAAAATCTTATATTTTTTTAAAATTTATTATTATTTTTATAACTATTTTTTTTTATTTTTTTACTATAATAGCGCACGCATTTTAAAGATATATATAATAAAAATATATATAAAAAATATATATTGCTTTAAAGAAAGTACTATAAAGTTTTTAAAGTTTATTAATAATTATAGTATAAGTAGTAGTAGTGTAAAGGTAAAAATTAGCTGTTTTAATTTTTGCTAAGTTCTACGCTTTTCTACTTAGACCTAGAACTTTCTACCTACTACTAAAATAAAATATAAGTAAATAGTTATTTATAAAAAGTAAATATATATAAAATTTTAAAAAGTATTAATAAAGTAGCTAAATAGTATTCACTTAAAGTATAGTTTTATAATAAATATAAAATTAAACTATATTGCTAGGCTTATAATCATTATTAAAGTTTTAAATTTTAATTTTAAAAATTAAAAAATAGAGTATTATGTTTTATATTAAATGTTAAAAATATTATTTATATATAGAGCGCTTAAAAAATGCATTTTTAAAAACTTATTTTTAAAATTCTTAATTATATAATATTTATATAATTTCTATTTAGTATTTTATATTAGTTTAGCTTATAAATAGACCTTTAACTGCAACAGTATAAATACTTATATTTTATTCTAGTAAAAAAGAGGAAGAGATAATAAGAAGAGAATAAGAAGAAGAAAGAGATACATATGCTTCAGGTTTAATACATAAACCGCTCTAGCTCTGCGTCTGTCCATTGAGCGACCTTTTCTGCCAATGCCATATCCTTTGCTTTTGACGATTCTTTACCTGTCACGCCGACAGGCTCGTAGTATGTACCACTCTTCACCTCAGGTGACACTGAGGCCCAAAGCTGATTCCACACGCCCTTCTCCAATGTCGTTCTGAGCGGCTTGGCCACCTTGAAGGCTATGCGAAAAGGTAGCGAGGCGCCGCCAGCCCCAGCTTGCAAGCCCGTGCTCACAACTCCGGGGTGCAGCGATGCCCACTTGATATCCCAGTGCATCTGAGCCATGTATCGCGTCCAGAGAATGCTTGAAGTTTTGCTTTGACCATAGCGTTCCATGCCTCCCATGTCCTCCGCGGTTGTCTTGAGGGAATCAAAAACAACACCCGCCTTGGGAGCCATTGTGTGAGCCCCAGAAGATACAACCACAACACGGACGTCGGCGGAAGGGTCGTTCGCCGCTGTCCCTTTCAGTATTGGGAGGAGTAGCTTCGCGAGTAGCGCATGCCCGAGATGGTTCGTGCCGAACTGGACCTCGTAGCCGTCTTTTGTGAGGGCAGGCGGGCACGCCATGATCCCAGCATTCAGCATCAGGATGTCAAGGCGTCGCGCCTCTGATAGGAACTGCCGAGCTGCTCGTTGGACGGACTCCAGGGAGTTGAGGTCCAGCTGAAGGGGCTTGATGACAGGGACCATGGAGCCGCCAACTTGAGCGTGGATGTCACGGATTGCTTCATTTGCTTTGTCAAGGTTGCGGGATGCCATCCATATCTCAGCTGGACCGTGGCGTGCGTATTCAAGGATTGTTTGCTTCCCTAAGCCATTGTTGCCTCCAGTGACGAGGATGACTTTTCCCTGGAGCGAAGGGATGTCGGTAGCTGGAGAGAATGATCTGGAACACATGATAATTTGGTTTGAGACGTGGGAGTCGTAGCTTGCTTGGGGATATTGCAATGATAAGATCTTGGTATAATGTAATTGATAGAGCAAAGAGGTGGGAACGGTATGTTCGATTGGCGCGCAGTGATCTATTTGAATGCTTCTGAGAGCTGCGTACGCAACGTAGATATCTCCGCACGAACCTCTTCGCCCTTGATACACGCAAGCTTTGTTGCTATAATCAGCAACTTCAGATGACTTACCCTCGCACTACTATGCATTCTACCAATGAAACATATTGTCTATACGAAAGCGCCAGGAGATTATGGCCCTAAAATGGTCAAGCGGATACTCGCGACCGCGCTTGTTCGTAGCTCGCCTACGTAGAAGGCTGACTCGCATGCCCCACTCACCAAAGAGGTCCTGTATACGAGGTGAAAAGTCAATCCGCCCCCACAGGGCTGGGCTAGCGTGCGGGCCTGTGCCATCTAAGCCTTTGTAGTCGTATAGCTTGTCGTGCTAAGAAAAGGGTTCGGGTTATTTGCTGCATAGAAATGCGATAGTGGAACAACTGCTGAATTCCGCGACAAAACCCGTTCACTGGCAGCGCATTGGACGATGTAAATTTTGGGAGCAATAGAATACATTGGCAACAATGCGGCGCGACCCTAGATGGCCTTGGGCAAACACGTGCAACAGCTACACCACAGCTACGCAGGTGCAGAAATTATGCGTCTTCCTGCCTCCCCTCGATTAGTCCTAGTCCTATCAGTTCATTCATCTTGAATCCCATCTCAAGTCCTACCCTTCCTGAGATTTTCCCCGCCTCGTCCCTTAACGCTCTTTCACTCGTTCCCTCTAGGAATTGCACATCATAGCCCGCGCAAATAGTCGCCAGTACAGCGCACAGCTCGATCCCTGCAAATCGCAGAGGACGAATCTGGAACAACTCCGACTACTAAAAGTCATAATAATTCATTGCATTTCAATGCAGCACAAATACTAAGTATTAATAAATTACATAGTAAATCTACCTTAGAGCTCTAGGCAAGACACATGTTTTGTAGTTTTTAAAACTAATGAGTTATTATTTTTAATAGCTAAATGCAGATTAGGTCCTAATAAGGCCTTGAAAGTTTGCAGAGTAAGTTGATGGTCTTTTGCTGGTGGGGAGATATCTAAATGGCATGTCAACACGAATCATCGAACACACATGCAAGAGAACAGGATCAACATATTCAAAACTGGGCGTGGTGTTATGGATATCGTATTGTTGCGTTTGAAGTCAACACTAATGGCCTCTGGATATGACAGCCTGTGCCTAGGAGGCTTCGTGAGTACATTGTGCCAAGTCTCAGGTCTGTTGAAAAACGCCTTGCTCGGAAAATGAAGCGCAAATCGATTTGGATTGGAAGCCACATCTGGCGCGACGCCACCTTTATAATCCCGGTGTCTTAACATTGATTTCGCTTGCGAAACGGTTTCGGTCCATACAATGTTGTGAGTATTCTCGTTCACGAACGAGGAGGCTATCTTGCGATACGTAAATTGTTCGTCCCCCCCAGATGCAGTAATGGTAGGCCCATAGATATCGAGCATAACAAACATGTCAGTAGGTTCTACAAAGTCGCTATGGTGGGTCTGCAGCTGCAGAATGACATCGGGATCGCGTGTCCATAACACATTGCCAGAGGGCGAGACCATGATGAAATTGTCGACACCGATCTTTTGAAAGAGCTCATATCCAAAGATCCGGGGGCGATAGAAAAGCGAAAGCAATTAAAAGTAATAATAATTCATTGCATTTCCATGCGGCACAAACACTGGGTATTGAAAAATCACACAGTAAATCTGCCTTCGAGCTCCAGGCGGGGCACAACTCCAACTACACCAACCTAGTCATGATTGATAATACACGTATACATATAAGAAGATGACGAGCGTATCATGATTGCCAACCTAAACACTACAAATCCGTACATCTCCACTGGATCGTTGGGACGTCCCATACGTCACTACGTCAAATGCGCAGTCAATATAAGAAGATGGTGTACCATCGCGCAAGGCCCCACCCGCAATTTCTTACTCTGCGCCCCCTTCAAGGGAATTCTCACCAGTAGTCTGCGACAGCGGTGTTTGTTTGGAAAGCTAGGCGGGGTCCCCAAGCTGTATACATCGCTGCAGGTCGGCACTCGCAACTAGTAATTCCGTCTAGTGGGGTAGTTGCCCTTCGTGTTCCTTGCTTACTTGCAGAACGTTTTTGTATAACGCTTGCATGTCGACTGCCGGGAGGCCCGTGGTTTGATCGACAATTTCCCAGTCGGAGCAATTTGCCACTGGGCAACACATAGCTAGATAGATATCCTGGCAGTACGCTTTGAGCGCGGAGACCTCGAACACACGCTCGATCTGTGGAAGACTTGGAGAAACTCTTAAACCAATCAAGAATACATACGTCTCATTTATGCTTGAGGGGTGACAGGGTTATCCGTATCTTCTCGCGAGTGATGGTGGGTGTGAAGCGGGCCAACTGGTCGTCGGCATCTAGCTCGCGGAACTTTGGGTCAGTCGGCGCTTCAGCCTGATCGTGATGGTTGATCACAGCGACCGGGAATTTGATCATTTCGGTCGTGCCGAACATGGCTTTCTGCAGCCTGGTGCGCAGTTCCTTCGATGACTTAACCGCCCATTCTGTGCGGTATGCAACGTCATTGGCGTTGGGATTTGCGATCTCCTTTACGAGTTCTGCGGGCATCTCAAGATTCGTGAAGAACATCAGTTTTAATCGCTGATTCAATAGGTCCTTGTGGGCGCCGTGGAACTTCGTTTGGAGGTGTTCGGCCGTCTCGTTCATCTCTGTTTTCGGTGTCAGAAGCTGGCTCAAAAAATTGACTTTAATTCAAGGTAACCTACGGAATTGATGACCTTCTTGTACCGACCTTCCACACAGTCCTGAGGACTGACCTGTGATCAACTGTCTTGTGTGCGGGAGTGAGGTGACGGGATCTAGTCGCGTATCGTCGGAGGACGCTTGCCCTTGCTTTTCCAGCGCGTCATGGTTACTGCTCGGCGCTGGTGCCAGAGGGCGAGAGGATGATGAAAGCATCGACACCGATCATTTGAAAGGGCTCATAGCCAAAGGCCCACGTGCGAGAGAAAAGCGAGAGCGATAACTATGAGCTTGTGAGGGATTCTGGTAGCTTCTAAAGGATCGGTAGCAAAGTTTCTTGTAGGAAAATCCACGGAATGGACTGGAAGAAAACACTGCGATGAATGTATTAACACTAGTTACCATTTTTCTATTGTATATTTATCTGCGACAAAGTTTAGCCAACACTAAGAGCACCCGGAAAGGGTAACAAATGGCAGAAGGTCTTTACAGATGGTCTTCACAAACTTCTAGGACAGTCTTTCCAACAATTACTGCGAATTTTAACGTTTCTTTGTGAATTATTATGTTCAGTCTCGTGACAAGCAGGGAACATGTGTCCTGCCTAGAGCTTAAAGGCAGATTTATTTAATACTTTTTTAATGCTAAGTGTTTGTGCTGCATAGAAATGAGATAATTAAATTATATACTAAACGAACTTTCAAGGAGTTCCAAAAATATACAGAGAAAATGATGACAGAGGAAAAGCGGAAATTTGCACGCCGCACCCGTCAATCCACCCGAATTGGCAACATTCTCCAAAGTTGTGTCGAAGCATCCCAATCGGCCGACCCCTCAACACGAGTCTCTGATGCTGCAGTGTTTGTTAGTCCATCCATTTTGATTCTTGCGGGGCACGAGACTAGCGCGTCAAATCAATGACCTTTGCGCTCTCATTGCCTGGCCGCCGCCCTGAATTTCAAGCAGCGTTGCATGCGCACATCAACGCAATTCTTGGACCCCGCCACCATGACCCAGCGTCATGGACGTACCCACAAGATCTTGTTCGTCTCATGCATGGACATTTGGGCGCTCTCATGAACGAAACGCTACAACTATACCCCATCTTCCCATATGTTCCCAAGACGAACCCCAACGTCTAATCCCTGACTATAGACGGAACCAGGCATGTACTTGCCACCAACACGCTAGCCATGATCAACACCGGTGCCGTTCACCAGCATCCAAAGTATTGGCCACAGCCCTCTTCCTCTTCTCCAACCTTATCCACAGAAACGTGTCCGTATTCTGTCTGATCATTCCAACCAGAGCTACGCCGTAGAAGGATCTTAATGCTCCCATAAACCAAAACGCAAAATTCCAAATATAACACCCCAAGGTAAGCAGCTTGTCCGGGATTGCGATTGTGTGGGATATTTGTGATTCGTCCAGTGTGTGATGGAGCACAAACCTGCTAGTTATTCTACGTCGCGATCCTTCATTTGTCTGTCTGCCAGCCAGATATAGACTGCGGTTGAAAGGCCCAGCACTAGTGAGGAGTTTTTGTCTTGCATGCGGTCATCGCATCTTGATGCGGCACGATCAGCTCACAGCTCAATTTCCAATTGACTTTGACGTACGTGCGCACCCTATGCACCACCAATTCGCCGGGATCTACATTCATTTTAGGTAAAATCACTACTGCAATGCTACGGGTAACGATAATGATGCCAGACTGTCATGGGGCGATATGTGCGACGAGGTTTGACTAAACACTAAGAAACCCCGGAAAGGAGATTCAATGGCAACGGATCTTCACAAACTTCCCAGACAGTTTCCTCAGCAGAATTCCGGAGTTCTAACATTTCTTTGTAGATTATTATCTCGAACAACAGAACATGCGGAGTCGCAGATGACTGAAGAGTCTCTAGGTAGTATCATTAGTCATCCAAACGCTCGTCGCTATCAAGGCTACTAGCATCCCAGAAATCAGCCGGAAATTCAGCAGAAGCAGCGTCACTGTTGCCCCGTTCAGAGTAGGGTGGAACGAGGATCAGCATGGCAGCGTATGAGTAGTGTGTTTCTACTTCCGGTTGATTTCCGTGCTGAGGAAGGTATTAGTGACGTGTTACATCGATGGCGTGTACAGTCATCGACTCGGCCCACTTACAGTCGCGTATGCCAGCTGAAGTTCCCCTAGATCCCCTCTCTTTCCGTTTAGCCATGTTATATTGGCATCTTTGGGGATCTTGTGACCCCAGCCCGGCCACTGATAATCAATGGACATCACATAGCCGCCAGTCACTGTTTCCCCCAGAGAACTGAACTCCGGTTCGAATATATCGGTCTGTTTCCCACTCCAGTGCTCTGCACGCATGATGGGTACGAGTTTGCAAGTAAGATCAAGCGCTCTAACAGCTGTCCACAATGCCATGTCCGCACCCTTGAGGGAATCAGGTAAAAAGTTGAGCTGATTATCGGTATGAGCGTAGCGATGGGTGAGGTACACCGCAAGAACTCGACCTGGGCTACTCAGCAACGAACTTGAATCTACTGGAGGTGAGAACACTTACCTTTGTTGAGAAAGCTAGGCACCTCCAAGGCATCTCGAAGGGCCCCATAAACAGGCAGTTGGGTGGGGTCAAGTGCCGGAGATGATTCGGCAATGTGACCTACGCCACGCCTGAGAAACAAGTTATAAGTCAGTGTCACCCGATGGCCGGCAGTTACTTGATGGACCTCGTGAGGACAATCGCTATAGAATGCTGCCCATTTGATGCAAGCTGGCTGTTTTTTGTCTTGGGAGGACCAGTCGAAGATGACACTCTGGCTATCAGCGCTGGAATTTCCTACAGTAAGCTGGCCTCCTGTGTGTTTCGATGGGAGTGATACAACTAGACTTCCAATTTGGTATTCGTTTCGGGGCGTGTCTACGTGTGGCCTGAACTTGCCATTGGGTGCACTGTAGATGTTGAGTTTGTACAGTTCAGCCTTGACACTCATTTTTTAGCGTACGCTCGATTCGGGAGCAGTATTTCCAGTAGAAGCTCTCACCTTGATGCTATTCAGGTTGCGGTACTTGTACTCCGGTACGAGCAGTTGTGTCAAAACGTCGATGATCCCGGCCTCATAAGGACAAAAGTTTGTTGCAAATTCGGAGCGGTCTAATTTACCTGCCTTGCGGTACTTCTCATCGAGAACAGCTTCACCACCTCTTCCAAAGGATGCAGGTTGGCAAGCGTCGAGGAGGTACTTGAAGTCCTTTGATGGACCATCTTGACCAAAATTGACGCAGTATCCTTGGCCTGAAATCCCGAAACGGACTTGAACGTCGTCGATAGCATTCAGAGTTCGTTCATCGTATTCTTCACTGTATTCTTCAACACCCTCTTCAGCACTCTCCTCAGGACCTTCTCCATCCTTTATCCCAGCGCTATCTTCCACATTCTCGTGAACGCTTTCCCCCGCGCACTCTTGCGCTGTTGCCCCGAATTTTCCCGGGGTCGCGTGGAAAGGAAGACTGCCTCCGCAGGCAAAAGTCGCAGAACGAGCATGCTCTTCAAAGGATATGTTGAGTCCCTTGAGAATTTTCCTTTCGGCCATTTGAGCAAGCTTAGTCACGTTCTCAGATGCTGAGACAGACATTGTGGTGGCGATTGCTAATTCGAATTTGTGAATGGTTATGCGCGCATCAAAATGAAAACGAAGGGAGGCCTTTTTGTAAAAAATACTGGGTGATTACTTGGCGGCCGGCCTGTCTACCTAATAAGCGAGGTCTTCTGCAGGCTGCCATGTCCTACGTCGTAACTGTACAGTATCTGTGTCTGGTAGCCTTAAATGCGGATAGATAGTTCGTCCTCGAAAGTACATGAGTGATTCCCAACCGTAGATCGCGATCCTAAGCGGCACATACTGGCTGTCCGCCGAAACCCGTGAAAATCCCCCCTCTGATTGGTCCAATAATTCGACTTCTCAGCCAATCACATTCAACGGATCTGCCTCCAATTACTTACACGTGCCAATTAGAACTCAGCAAGGGCAACCTGTTACATGGACACGCGATGGCTTTCAACGCGATATTAGATTGCGTTTCCGTAACGTACATTTGAACATGTTTGAGTTCTGCTACCAACGTATTTGGTACAGGGACAAAAATCAAAAACAATAAACACGTAATTTCGTGGGATTCCCTCTCAGATTTGGGAGGAGACACCGACTCGTCTCAGGAGCAGATGCGCGACAAACTCTGCACCCACATATCGAGTTCAGATGCTGTTCGGAATCGCAGCACCCTAAGGTGAGAACATGGAGGTTCTTTCAGCGCTTCGGGGAAGTCCCGCCTTTGCTTCGAATGTGTCCCAATCATGTACAAGAACAGGTTCTCATCCTTATCCAAAGTGAAGTGTTTCGAAAGCGCCTCTCGGTTTCCATTCCACAGCCGTCTTTGGAATATGATGCGGCCCAGAGTGCGACAAAGCAACCTCCACAATGTGAAAAGCAGGCCATAATCGAGCCAGATCAGGGTGTCGGCACGGCCCCAGGCGATGTCGCGGACGACTTTGTAGTTTCCATCGGCGACCCAGCGGCCATCGACAGGCAGAGCGTCGCCGACGCGTTGTCGCATCGTGGATGCATCGAGGGGTGTCCAGTTTGGCTGCCAATGAATGGCATCAATCTCGACGTGTTCGAGTGAAAGAATTCGCGCAAGCAATCTGCCGAGTGTTGTCTTTCCAGCACCAGGTTTGCCCACAATAACAATTCTCCGATAGTCCATCCTGATCGGCCTGTTGACTCTAGGCAGTCGAGAGCAGTCAGCCGCCAATATGTTTTGGTGTTGCGCGTATGTAGGCAGCGATCCGTGTCTTGGCACGCGTCGAGCTAAGCGAGCGTCTGCTTACCTAGTACGCACGTGTATTGTACCTCGGAGACCAAGTGCTCTCTGCAAAATGGGAATTACAACACAGTCACACTACTGTGAAAGCAACTGGGTTCTTTTTATTCAAGAAAAGTGGTTATGAAATCCTGTCCATCATAGAATGTCAAGTCGAGAGTCGAGCATCTGAAAGCATGTTTGTGCACGTGACTTCAATCATCTCGTCGACTGCAATTTGCGTCCAGACGTGTCAAGTGGTGTCTCTAATCACAGTTGCACCAGGGGATCACATGAGTGAATATGATCAATGCATGCCAGCTCCAATAGTAGAACTAGAATTGTAAGATTCCCTAGGCCACAATATAGCTACATTCATTCAATCCTGAAGATAAGTGTTGAAAGACACGCGCAAGCTGCAAGTACTTCTTGAGAGACGAGTAGAGAACACGAAGCGAAATCAAAATTATGTGAACAAATCCTCGAACAGATGGTGCAGACCCCCACTTGGATGTATCAGAACATCGCGATCATCAGACTCGGCATAAAACTTAGCCAGTGAACTGTCGGGCCACCTTTGGCTTCTTCGGGTCGGCCTCCTTCTTCTCAATACCTGGCGGTACCTTATCAAGCGTAGTGATCTAACCAGCGTTAGTCCAATTGACATCCAAGGCATAGGACAAGAAAGTTTACCTCGCAGTTGCTTTTCCCTTCCATGTAGCCCACTGAGTCGAAATGGCCCCTCTGCGTGTAGCTGAACGACGACCCATCGCGGAGGAATGATTTTACGGTAGACGTGTATCCACTTGAATATGTTCCCTTGTACGCAATAGCTTGACACACGGCCGCAAACCCTGGTTTCAACTCTCCGGATTCATTCCACTCCATCTTGAAGATGCTAGTCTGTTCTGTACCTTTGGTCTCCATGTGCGCAAGTTGATACCCCGCTGAAACGGATGCCGAGACCTCAGCTTCAGCCAGTAAGGGTACACCGGCTTTACCGGAGACAGTCAGCTCTGTTCCTGCACTGATTGTGTGGGTGGTGGACTGCTGAGCCGACATCTTCTTGTCACGCTGACCAGTGTTGATGAAGCTATATGTCTTGTTGTCTCCGAATTTGTTCGTGTTCTCGATGACGATACGACTCATGAATATATCCTCGATGCCTTCTTGCTTTGCGTTCATTTCTTCAATCGTTTGGTCGAACTTCATCTCACTAATTTCCGCAGCTTCGACGTCTGTCTTGAGAAACAGGAGCATCATAGAACTGAGATAATCGGCATCGCCTTTGCCCCACACGCCGAGAAAAATGCCAGAGAATAGTTCGGCATCTATCTGGTCACCCCATGTCTTTTTGGATCCCAGTGTGACTGGCTCTTTTCCCTTGATCTTCCACTCCATTTTTCCTGGGGAATCCCGTTTCTTGTTGGGCTGGATCTTGATACTCTCTGCCAGATAAATCAACTTAGTTGAGTGACATCATTATGTTCGGATCCACTTACCAATCTTGTCTCCAGAATCCCATAGTACCTGTTCGTGGCTCCAGTCGTCTGGCTTAGGGTTTCCATACTGTTTGCTCCAGGTCCCGTCTGTGTAGCGTAGGCGGAAAGCTTGCACATTGTCCTTGCTAGCCCATACCTCGATACCATTGACTACCAGACCTTGTTTCCATCGAGTTTCGCAGTAAAGTTCCTTGTTCGAGTCCCCGTATTGCTGCCCAACGAACGTTCCCTCCCCGAAGACGACTGATGAAACGTAAGCGACTTTGATGGGTAAGGAATGTGAGTGGAGGGCATACGGTTGTTGATTAGACCCTGCTTGCAGTCATCGTCTTGCGCGTGACCTACAAGGGCCAAAGCAGCGACGACCAGAGTCTCGAGTAGAAATGCGATGCGCATGATCGTAGATTGTATAGGCTGAATGATCGAGATAATCTGGATCGCAAACAAAGATTGTGCTTAATTTTGGAAGAATAAATACCGAAGATAGCGTAAAAAGAGTGGAATGATGCTTCTGTAATGAGTGTAGAGAAGGATGGGGATGAGATGCACATGAGAAAGGCCATCCTCCTTATATATATATGTCAAGAGAGTGACAAGCCTCAAATCTCGGAGATTGTACAGGCGAGAGGAGAGGATTGTGTACCGCTTGGACTGTTATTATGCGGGGGCCACGCAAGCTTGGCAGTTTAATGGGTGGTAAAAACTTGAACAGGAGATTGGCTGGGCCTGAGAGGTTACGAAGGCTACACATGGCCAAAGTGGTAGAGTCTCACGATCCATAATGGATCTCAAGCTGATCTTCATGGTGGCTCATCTGTCTCATCTCCAAAGCATGCGTACGTGCTCATTCGCTAGAAAGAGTGAATCAAGAAAAACCTTACGCTTCGGAAATTATCTTTTCTCCAATTGAGTGCATTGTGAAAATGCCTGTAGATCGCGTGGACATTTTATACCTACATCCGTGGTGAGTGCCAATGGCCCCCATACAACAATCGACTCCCTGGGGCGGTTTTTCGTGCAGTATGTCTGGATTGGCTCTAGTCGCAACCTAGCCGCTCGGGCTTACACTGATGTAGACATACTGAGCGACAAGCTGCAGCCTATGAATAAATCAAATTTGCTTGCATCATAGCCCCGGAAATTTTGGGTCTTTTACTTTTCCAGCCTTGGAAACTACTATATCTACTGTGGAGAAAGTCCAAAATGGCATCACAGCCATGGTACAACAATTCGTCCACCACAACGAAACAGGACAGACAACGGCGTAAAGGATCAAAAATTCATCTTGATTAAATTACACGTGTGAATGCTAGATTAGGTCGAAGTACGGCGAGCCGAAGTAAGCGTAGTAGTCACAGCGTGAGGATTAGAGAGAAAAGAGTAGAGGGCCTCAACAAAAACCTTTGCGCTTCTTTCACGTTTTTCTATCCGAGGGAATTCAGGCTTGATACGCCATTTCAAATGATAGTCATTATTACTGAGGGTGCGATGAAAACAACTTTGCTAACTTCACAAGGTGTGGTCGCCTGATCAGATTCGTCATGCGTCTGAGTGACGCAATTAGATCTACGCAAGCTGACCACGTACAACACCTGGCACAAATTTCGCCGTATGAGAATCAGAAAAGAACCCACTGGGGTTCTCAACAATCTGTTCTACATGGAAGCCAGCGCCTGTGTCTTCCCCATTTTGCACAATACCAGTTTCAAATGGGCCTGTCAGACAGCCATACGAAACGCGGCGATTGTCCGGTCCTTGGGGGTTGGGGAACGCTAGACGCGGAGGCCCGTTGGCCCCTTCGACGGCCTCGTGTATGTGCGTCGCGGTGTTGGCTTGCGACGAGTATTCTCCAGTTACTCCAGACAAAGTGATATTCTAGCAACTCTATTAGTCAAAGGTCGGAAGTTGATACTGTTGAGCGGACTCACGTAGCATATGACGTTCTCAGCGACATTGATCCCAAATTTGAACAAGCCCTTTGCACCATGCTCTCCCGGCGCCGGCGTTGCTGCAGATCCGTTTCCCGATACAACCTGATCTGGGTACGCCTTGACCGTGTACGTCTTGTCAAAGTAGAACATGCTGTTGTACTTTTGCTCACTGTGGCCTCCATACTTCTTGATATCTTTGTACTTGCTATCTTCACTGCCCCCCCATCCTTTACCCCAGATTGGAGTTGCGAGGACGGAGGAGGAAAGTGCGATAACTACAAGCGCTGAAACCGAGAAGTGCATGTTGATGTGCAAGTTGAAGATGATTTCGAGAGTAGTAGATTATCAATAGACGATCAAGCGTCAATAGAAGTGAGTGAATTGTATGATAGGGTTGAAGGGATGAAGTGATGAATTTGCTGGCTGCAAGTCATCGATCCGCCCTACTTTATACTCCAACATAACATCTCGTGAACGTGCACCAAATCCCTGATTTCCCTTTCGCTTTCCTTTGTTCCGTTCATGGCCGACTATAGCAGTGACGAAATCCCACATGACGCCTGCAAAATGCATCGGTAATCTTCCAAGCCGACGAGCCTTGGTAACTACAGAAATCAATGTTCACTCCGCATCTTTAAAGCAATAATATTAATGAAAGTAGTAGGATAGTGTGCGGAATTGCACTAGAGAATATTGCCCAGGTGCTTGGTATGGAAACGTAAACATCCGAAGAATAGGGCACTAGGACATTAACCATTTCCAGTCAGTGGTTTTGGACGATCCCTTTATAGTGGTAGATCTGGATCGGATTGCGCGTCTTGGCGTGAAGCCACTTACGATCTTTGAGTGGCTGTGAACTCGGCTAACTGATTGGCTCAATTCGCACCATCGACGACAAAGATGGATAGCTTGAGCAATTCATCGCGATAAACACGGATGTTGCCGACGAGTCGTACATCTGCATCAAAAGTCAGATTTAGGGAAATTTACTGTTATAATCCTGGAATTGGGGGTAAAGGATTTCATTCAATGCAGAATTCTGACACGCATGCCATTCTTTTATGCATGGAATAAATCAGGACTTAATTATCGCGATGGTCTACAATGGAGAAAAAAATCGGAATGAATCCCAAATAGAGGCTTGGTAAGTTTTTAGCCAGGATTGAGAACGTATTGAGCCGATTACCCTTATGTGCTGCTTAACAAATTATAGGATTAAGTACACACTTATACTCTAATAAAAACCGACACTTTACCTCCTAGTAGCTACTCCATCTCCAATCGTTCATGGAGTGCGAGATCGTGATGCTCCAATGGCATTCTTTCCCTTTATTGTGCTTTATCCATCGTATTCGGTAAATTTCTGCCAGAATTGCCTGCTCCTCCACTCTGCATATTATATTACACCTGCCGTGTCGTCCACGACTTTCGGGTTTGACTAATTCAGCTAGCAGCCCCCTCAATGACTGCGCCATCGTCTTTCTTCTGGATTTCATGACTCGGAAGCTTCTTGAAGGGTATAAAGGCTGCGATGGCGACGGATAGGACAGAAGCAGCCAGAAGTAGAGCGAAAACGCCTCTTATGCCCGTCATATATGACTCAATCACGAATGGCAGCTCTTCAGCACTCACTACTCGCCGTATCTCGGTAGCTCCGGCGGCAAGAACTATCCCGGGGTTCATATTAGGAGCGATGATAGCGAGGCGCTTGAGTAGCAAATTTTGGAGGATTGAGTTCGCTGCTGTCGTGAAATAGCCGCCGCTGATGGTTTGGCAGACTGGACCGGAATTATTAGCAATATGACCGGTAAGGTGTTACGAATTATCGACAGGAATTCCTCACCAAATGCACCCCCGGTCATGACCCCGACGTGTTCAGGTTTGGCAAAACCTTGAAGAGCGGTGATAGGTACCTGATTCCCCAGTCCGAGGCCAAGACCGAGAGGAATTTGGGCACCCAAGAACCAAGCCTTTGAGGTATCGACATCCATGACGTAGATCAGTGCCGTACCGAGGACCAACAATAGGGACCCTGCTAACTCTACGGGAGCGACATGACCTGTGGCACCAATTGTAACGCCGGTCAACATAGCCCCCACAGCGTAGAAGACGACGTATGGAAGTTGGTAGACGCCGCTCATAATTGCCGTAGTACCTTTGATAGACTGGAAGTAGATGGGAATAAAAGTGAGGGCAATGAAACTAGCGCTGTTGAAGCTGCAGTAGACAATGGGTCAGTCAACTGCCATAGAGTGAATCAATGAAAACTTACACGAAGATGAACACCGTCTGGCTCCAGATTGTACGTGGCTTGAAAAACTCCAAGGGTATCATGGCATAGTGACCCTGGAAGTATTGACATGCGAAGAACACTATGGTCAAAACACCGAATGTGACCATTAGCGCTACGACAGAACCGTCACCTGTGATTCGTAAGCATGTGTGGAGTCAGAGCGGAGGGGATCACAAGGGGGGCTTGATCATGCAGAGACTATCGCTCCCGTATTCGAGAATGCATAAACTTACTTGACATCCATTAGCAGCGAACTAGACGAGTATGATGAGGTGGAAATTCGGAGGACTCACCTCCATGGTTTGGATATCCCACCCCATTGTGATGCCAAACAGTAACAGATGAGGGACGACAGTAACAAAACAAAACCCGGGAAATCGAGATGGCGAAGTATCTGCCGCCATGTGGCCGGAACGGGTTTCACTGTTTTGGGCATGCGCAGGAACAAGACCTGCATCACGAGAGCCAGGCCACCAATTGGAAGATTGATCCAGAAACACCACCTCCAGTTCACCTCCGTGGTGAAGACACCGCCGAGAAGAGGGCCTAGGACTGTGGCCATCATCAAGCAGCCCATCCACACTCCGATTAATGTCGGACGACGCCTAGGGTGAGAAATAAAGTTGATGATGATCACCGAACCGGAGAGCGTCCCTATGACCATCTTAGGTTAGCGATTCTACTATCCAAGCATTGCGACAATGAATGCTGGGAGATTTGTACCTGAACAACCTGCTCCTTGGATGGCTCGTCCCCAGATGAAGGCGATGCTGTTTGGGCTGGCTGCGGCTACGATGCTGCCAATGATGTATACCAGGAGCGAGGACATGTAAACGATAGGAGTCGGCAAATATGTGAACAACTTGCCCCACATTGCAGAAGTAGCACCCACGAGGGTAAAGCAGATGCTGGTGTACCATCCAATATCGTCCAATTTGTGGAAGTCGTCCGTGATGGCTGGGATCGCCGTGGCCACGATACCCTGACGATCCTTCAGTCAGCGGATAAAAGTTGCAAGAGATGAAGCCAAGACCTACCAGATCCAAAGCAGCAATGAGGGTCGTCAGGTTAAGAGTGAATATGATCACAGCAAGGCGAAAGCCCGTGACGTATTCAGGCTCTGGTAGACGCCCCTTGGTAGGTGCCATCTCCTTTTCTGAGGTTGCATTGCCCCCGATTTCATTTTGCGTCATATCTTGATGGTTTTCGTGGGTTGACTCCTCGGTATATGCCATGGTCGCGGAGAATGAGAGATATTATTCTTTGAACGCTCCGAGGGCTGGTTGTGTTGATTTGTTGAGATGCAGGCCAGCGGTTCTCACGTGTTCGGACTGAACGTGGGTTTATATATCCCCGTTGAAGTTGTTTTACCTTCAAAGTATTGACAATACCATGTCTAAGGGGGGTGATGGACAGCCCATTCTGGATAGTGCAGATGAGACCGGCGGAGAAAGGGCGCTCCTACCATACGTGTCCATGACTGATCTAGATCTTTGGCCGGGTTGTCGGAGAGAGAGATAACACAGGCAGCTGGAATCCGGCGGACAAAGAAATCCTCGGTCGAATTCCCGTACAAGAAGTGAGGTAGCTGAGCCCGCAGACTCGCCTGTTCCGGCCGTCGGTGGAGTTTCTTCGGCTTAACTTGGCGGATCATATGATTGGCTGTGCAGCGCCCGCGCTTCGACCGGACCGGCGGAGGGACCGCAACCAACCCATGGCCCTCAACACACCGACTGACGTATCGCAACAAACCACGCTGTACTCAGTGCAACGAGTCAATACCATGAATTCGACGTCCTCCTTCGATGCTGAGAGCACTGGATTACACAGCGATGGACCAGAAGTCCGACCAACAAAACGGCGGAAGACGCGCAAAGGCACCCACAGCTGCTGGGCTTGCAAGAAACGAAAGGAGAAATGCATCTTTCAGTTCCCAACTTCCACGGCTTGCCAAGGGTGTGTTAGACGCGGTACACGATGTATCAGTCAAGAACTCCCAGACGATGACGATCACGACGGCTCAGAAACGCCAGCTGGTGCGCGGAATATGCGCGAACGCTTGGGGAGGGTGGAAGCGGCTCTACAACAGTTGATCAAATCAACTGATCATCCCCGAGCTGTTGATCATGACCGTCTGTCACTAGTGAGCAATACAAGCCAACGCGCTTCAATGGAACGTTATCACGGCACAAGCGCCAACATTGATCGGCAGAGCCATGGACTGCCTGAGCTAGGAGGTATCCCAACCCCCGCGTCGATTGAATCAGAACGAGCACCTTCCCGACTGGCTGTATCAAATGTTGCGAGTGAGATGCGTATGTCCATGCCTGACTCGACTGGCGGTCATACTCAATACTTGACGCACACATCCTCCCACTCTTCCAGACATGCCCGACTATCTCAGACCCTCTACAAGGAGCTTCCCTCTCATAAGGACTGCGAATTGATTTGTAAAGCCAGTCATTCCAGTTATTATATGTTGGACGAAATTCTATCCTTTCAGTCAAGATCACACAATCACCATCAGAACCACCAACCCTCCCCGGAGAGCATCCTACAAAGACCGCAACAGCACCATCACCCTGTACTTATCGCAAGGTACATGCTACAGCTTGCCAACATCCTTCAACAATTTTGCCCGGATATAGATGGGGAGATCCAAGAGCTCTCTGAGCCTCCGCAGGAGATGCGCGACAGGCTAGCAGACTTAGCAATCAGTCATGTGGCCGTCCAAGATCAACTCTTGGGGAGCATTGAAGGGGTACAGTGTGTCGTCCTCGAAAGCATGTACCATGCTAATTGTGGGAATCTTCGGTTAAGCTGGGCCGCGTGCAGGAGATCCATATATCTTGCTCAGATGATGGGCTTCCACGTAGCTGACAGTCGCTCGCAATACCAGGTTCTTGAACGCCGGTCAGAATCAATTAACCCCTTCTACATGTGGTGGCGAATCACAAATTACGACCGAACTCTCTCACTGCTCTTAGGCCTCCCATCAGGATCAAGCACTGGTAACCCAGTCGCCGACGCTGCATTTGTTGGTGATACACCCATGGAACGACTAGAACGCACCCACTGTGTTATTGCAGGCCGGCTGGTCGAATGCAAAGAATCGGTCACAAAATCCCACGATCTGAACCTCGTTCAAGACCTGGATAGGAGAATGAGAGTGGCAGCTCGAACTGTCCCCAACAAGTGGTGGCTTGTACCAACCCTTCCGAATTCTCCAACATCGGACCGCAGGCTACTGTTTGGGGATCTCAAGCAACTTTTGATCCAGATGTCGCACTACCACATTCTCAATCACATTCATCTCCCGTTCATGCTACGGTCTTCCTCCGAAGAGAGCTATGGATCATCTAGAATGGCCTGCGTGAATGCTTCGCGTGAGATATTATCCCGCTTTGTCGTTTTGCGTAGGTTCAAACGTATCGCCTTACGCTGCCGGACCCAGGATTTCATCGCTCTCATGGCTGCGGTCACACTACTTTTGGCACACCTTGACAATCATCGCAGATGTTCGGAGCCTGTTGGCAGCAGCGGCACCCTAAACGTGCTAGCACACCAATACTCTACCGACCGCGCTATGACGGAACAAGTGCAAGAGTGTATGGAGGAGATCAATAGCCATAACTCGGATGCATTTTGCGAAGAAAGTGCCAGGTTACTCCGTCGTCTGCTCGCTATCGATACAGAAACGGCGGAACTATACGCCGAGGGAAACGACGATCTGTTGATGCATGATACTCTCAGTATGGACCACAATGAGAGAAGGCCCAGTGATAGTACCATCTCAATCAACATCGCTTATTTTGGCGTCATCAAGATCGCCCGCGACGGCAGTATCACGAAGGAAGTACCAAAGCCTCTAACCGATCCTCAACCAAATCCAATACAGCCTGTAAGATCTGCTACGACTGAAATTTCATCCGCTGATACCCCGTTTTCTAATCCCAACGCCCACACTTCAATGCGCACTTCTTCACCGAAGAGCGCGTTTGCCACATACTCAGTGAGCGGTTACAGCGCCGAAGAGAGCGCTACATCGATAGGACCACAAGACGAGTCTGCGTTGTTTGGCACCCAAGGAGGTACTGCGAATGGAATACACTCTGAACAGCCGCAACCTTTGCCGTTCGAAAAGGCCAACTTCGACCCTTCTATGCCTGGGCTTACAGCTGCGGCTGATGACTGGATATTTCAAGGGGTGGATATGGCTTTCTTCGACAGTTTGATGAGTGGTTCTAATAGAGAGAGTGGGCTGCCAGAAGGGATACCGTCGCAATAGTATCGGTATCGGATTTCGAGGCGGTATCTATGCCGTCGGAAAGTCTATTCCCTACTGCGTTTCCCTTCTGTGTCACGAGAAGAGCTGTCTTATCCTCGCTCGTTGTGCCCCCTAGACTGACAGCTATCCTCGATCTATTTGACTAAACTTTGGACCCACTTGTGTGTGGGGCAAGACCTAAGACCACCATGCGGAAAAAAAAGCCCCCTCATCAACGGAGACGTTACCTGGGTTCAACACATAGGGATGAATCAAGGTATGTCAGGCTTCAATGACCTGGAATCTAGTAGGAGATTGTGCCCATTTCTTTCACATACGACCATAGGACTATGAGAACAGAGCTTCCCGTTCGCTCAGCTGTACTTAAGCATAGTACCGGCAGATTAGTAGTCAGGTGGGTGACCACTGGCGAATACCTGCTGTTGTATGTAATCTTCTCTTTTGTCTTCTATTTTTGCTTTTGCTCCTATCTGGATGCTTAGTTTGTTGGAGGGTTTGTACTCTTTTACCCCAGTGTTTAAGATGGAATCACGGAGTTAGCGTTATGGGACATGTATCCCGTCCCATTGGTGAGATATAAAGGGCATATTCATGCTGGTGATAGAGTACAGAATATTGTCTGGTGCGGACATAATGTGGCGGCTAGGACATGAATACACAGCACACATAGGAAGCCGAGGTAGGTACATGCTCAGGTGTAATCCCGACCAGGATCACGTGGGCTGCCCTTCCGCGCTAATGGGAGTATACCGGAAGCAATCGTCTTCTTACCATTTATTTATGCAGTCCATCTATTTATTTCAATGTGGGAATTTATACTATAGGAAGTCATGATAACAATGGGTGGAGAAGACGTGGGTTAAAACGAGGGGAAGGGCTGGGGGTCTTTCCACACGCGCTCACAGAGGACTTTTGCAAATATCCGATCAAGATTACAACTACAGCATATGATAGTAAAACCACGCCGAGTAGTGATAGTGCGCAGAATAGGCAACTAGTGCGACAATAGATGGGATTGATCCAAGATTAATTCGGCGCCAGCAGTACAGCGCACGCGAGATTGATGCTAAGACGCCAGAATAGAAACCACGGTCTCTCTTTTAGGTCTCCATCCTGCTTGAGGAGTGCTAGCGAGTTTTTTCTCGTATTGCGGTTGTGACTAATCTATGATTGGCAGGAAAAAGTGTGGCGTAGTGACGAAAAAACGGCGCTCTTGCTGCTTGCAGGAAATGTCTGACTAGTGACAACCGAGTAGCCATGTCGCCAATATATCTAATATATCTCCATGTTCGAGGCAAGTTGTAAATTGGAACTAGTAATATCTGCCGGCGTTCGTCCCCGGCACGTGGTTGTAGAGACAAGGGTTGTTTTCAATCCTTGTCAATTCGCGAAGAATTACTCCGTAGATCCGCCACTCATTGCAATTCAATAGAAGATCTCGACACAAGGCATCCTAGTCATACCAATAGCTGTGACCGTAGCTACTCCAAACAATTCTTCCAGGTCGCAATGTGTAGAAATAAGTCTTGGCTGTCTATATTGCGTGACAATAATAGTCGAAAATAAAGAATTGGCGACTGGGAAACTCGCAGCGCACCCAACTACCGCGACGCCCAGCCAAGACTCTGAATATGTATAAATCTTGCGTTGCGAAGTATTAACACTGTCATTTCACAAGACAATCCTCGGCTCATCATGTTTGGCCCCTTATTCAAAGGAAAGTTGGTGACGACTGCCATGATGCTGATGCTCCTGGGCTTCCTAGCCCAGGTTGCAACAGCGGCGAAATCAGCTGGCTGTGGAAAAGGAGCCGGCATCACTAGCGGTACCAAATCTATCACAGTCAACGGGAAAAACAGACAATACATCGTGCGTGTTCCGAATAACTACGACCAGAACAGGGCCTACAAGCTCATCTTTGGTCTACACTGGCTCTCCGGCACTATGACCGATGTTGCGACGGGCCAAACAGTGCAGCGTGATGTGTGGGTAAGTAGCGGACGCTGGAACCTACGCTCGAGCCTTGTCTTCACTTTCATGGAATCTTTGCTGACAGATGCTGGCTTGTTGATAGGATTACTACGGTCTTCGAAGGCTCGCCAACGAAAGTGCCATCTTTGTCGCTCCACAAGGCTTGAACAATGGATGGGGTAACGCTGGCGGTGAAGATATCACCTTCATCGATTCATTGGTCACATCAATGCAGAATGGACTCTGCGTCGACACAGCTCAGATTTTCAGCACAGGGTTCAGCTACGGTGGCGCCATGGTAAGATCATCTTCTCAATCCGTATATGACACGCGTAGTGCTCACAGATCCCCCAGTCGTATTCTCTCGCATGTTCACGTCCAAACGTTTTCCGCGCTGTTGCGGTTCTATCTGGCGGTCTATTATCAGGATGCAGTGGAGGTACTAGTCCTATCGCATATCTCGGCATTCACGGTCTTCGCGATAATGTGCTCAGCATTTCTGGCGGCCGTTCTCTACGCGACAAGTTTGTGCAGAACAATGGATGCACGTCGCAGTCGCCTCGCGAACCTTCTCAAGGATCTTACTCTCACGTGGGTACGTCGTACAGTGGCTGCCGGTCTGGGTACCCAGTGCGATGGGTAGCTTTTGATGAAGGGCACATTGCCGCGCCGCGTGATGGCGGCCCTGGAGATAGCGGTACCGCTGCCTTCAGTCCTGGCGAAACCTGGAACTTCTTCAATCAGTTTGCCGGATCGGATCCTGGAACCGGCACCCCGGGAACCCCAACTACAACTAGTAACCCTCCACCAACGAATCAGCCTACTAATCCGCCTGGGAACTGCGCTGCTCTGTATGGACAGTGTGGAGGGGAAGGATGGGATGGGCCCAAGTGCTGTTCTCAAGGATCCTGTAAGTTTAGCAACAACTGGTACTCGCAATGTTTGTAGGTAGTCTAGCAGTCAGATCGATGACTCGGTGAGCTCTTGTTTCACTTAACTAGCACCAATGGAGCTTGACGAACTGTTTGGTTTAGCTATTCAATCCATATACATCAAGAAAACCATGCGATTAGATTTGCTCAATATAATGATAGTATGAGGCCATAGTGATCGCTGAGACCTGGAATGTCAGCACTGGAATTTGCACAGGACTTGCAGATCATAAGCAACATCACCGTCGTTCGCAAGCCGCAGAAGCTGCAGCGTCACTAACTTCAGGCAAATCACAGGATCACCCAATAATGTTGGACAAAATAATGGGCCATGCACTGAATTCTGTCATTTCGCTGGTACATATTCACACGAGCTTGGATTCGATGCATTGAGTGATTCTACAACTAGTCGAGACAAGCAAGGCGGCCTCAATCACAACCAACTTAATATTGCCAACCATCACACTCATCCAGCTACTTACGTCAGCTTCACTGTCACTACACTCTTTCCTGGGATAGAGCAAGTAACAGCTCCTCCAGACAATGTCGCCCCCGTGGTCGCAAAAGTATTGCTCTGATTTGTGACCCATGCAGCAGCCGACTTGGGCGAGAAACCGTTGAAGGAAATCTTCGAAGATTGTGCAGATGTGCCAGTGTTTGTGAAGATGACAACAATGGAGCCATCTACGTTCTTGAAGGCGCCAATAATAGTGGACGAAACGGACCCTGATGTTCCGATCCGTACGGCACCAGGACGGATATGGCGCGACCACATCGCAAAAGCCCAAAAGATGCCGGAAGGCTTTGCGGTCGTTCCGTCAAACGTATCGACAAGATGGGAGCCAGACTGCGTCTGCCTGTTCTCAAACCCCTCCCAGTAAAGATAGGCAGATAGCTGGGAGTTGATTATGGCGTTTGCTAGCTTGGTGGCCCAAGTCATTCCGTCGCCAATCCCGCCGTTGCTGTACCAGGTAGTCACAAACGCCGAAGCATCACCGGTGCCTGCTTCTGTGTTCCACTTCGGCAACGTAGTTTGAGTCAGTGGGCTTGAGGGATCGGCACTGTATGAATGGGAAGTAATGACGCTGAGATATTTTGTCGAGCCACCATTGACTAGATTAGGCACGTACGTAGCCGTGGTTTGCCAGCCCACAGCATCGCAACAGGTGAGTTTGGTTGCCAGGCCAGCGGCCTGGACAGTGTTGTATAGAATCGGGATGAACGAGATAGCTTCCTGAGCGTTGCTGCTGATCTGCATCTGGGAATAGCTGGGTCTATAGTCGGGCTCGTTCAAGAATCCTAGATGGGTGACGGTGATTCCAATGGAAGCATAGTATTTGACGTATTGGACGAGGAAATTGGCATAAGCTTGCTGCCAATTGCCCGAAGAACAACTGTGACCGGTGCTTCCACAAAGATAACTACAAACTTAGTCGCACTCTCGATAGATTTGAAGACTCTGCTTGGTACATACCCCGCTGTGGATTCGGAGCCACTGGTCTTCATGAATCCTGGTGCACTCCAAGCATCTGCAAAGATGGTCTTCACCCCGTATTTGACTGCTTGCTGCGTAAACCAAACTTGACCCCTATCGTCATTGTCCCAAGTGTATTGCGGATTTGCAGATGGCGATCCCGGGTTATTAGGCAAGATACTGTCCCCTGACCCTCCTGAGCCAATTCTATTGCGGATGATTGAGAACCCAGCACCAGTTGTTGTGCTGAAGAGATAATCAAGAGCCTGTGTCTGCATCGCGGATGGCGCATTCTGGAATTCCTTCGCACGACCAAACGCCTGTGAGAACCCGAAACCATCGATTGTTTGGTAGGTTGTAGCGGTGTTGACAGTGATTGCTGTTTGAGCCGCTACGGAGACAACAAGCGCCCCGAAGCTGAGAATGTTGTGAAGAATTGCCATGATGAACTGCCAATTTCAAGCTGAGCTGCTGGAAAAAGATGAGCTTGGCATGAACAGCCGTCCATTAAATAAGAATCCACGGAGTCTTCAGCCGACATTGAATCTTTGGGCGGAAAGCGCAAGCGTGCATAAGCACCAACAAGCAATGTGGAATATATGAAGTACCAGGTTTTCAATTCGCAGGGGATCCGTTATGGAGCATTGCCCCAAGCGAGAAGTGATTGATTGGGGGAAATGTCTTAGCGCAGCCAAGTAGTGCAGGCAAATTAATATCACAAGCAACGGACTGTAGCTTAAACATGTGCATCTTGCGCGCTCACTGCTGGAACAAACACAACAGGCAGTTATAGCGAGCCGATGCGTATAGTTGATAGGTGGGACTTGTAACAGCATTCGACTACTTTCATGGGCAAGTGATTTATCGCATGATATAATATTCATAGTTAGAAATGGACTGTAAATTAACACACCCGGGAGTATATGGCAAAGCAACTAAAATCAAAGTTTATCTGACAGACAATCTGGGCAATGCTGCCTGGAACAAGAACTTGCGAGTAAGTATCACATATTGACAGTGAAAATGAAAGGACCGCGTGAATATCTGTAGAAAAGTAAGGCATGTATGTTGAAAATGTTGCTTAGTATGACTATTTTGTTGACTTGTTTAGGCGTATGTACGTGTGAAAGGTTCCAGTGCCAGAGGTAAAGTGACTGGTTATGATGTACACCGACTGAGAATTATGAGATTGCTGACTTTGTCAGTGCCAATTGTGCTGCCAATATAAAACCTCCGTTAATATAAGGTCATCGTCATCCTTGACTCACATGCTATCTAGTTCAGGTCACCCCGAGTTGCCAGTACATTGTCCACCGCTTGCATATACCCGTTCACAACAAACATGCACAGAGTTGCCTAGGTGCAACCTCGGACGGTGTTTGTTATTTCGCATGCTTAAAATAGTGATGCTGGTCTTCGTGTACTCATCAAGACACCTAAAGGAACAAACATATGTCTATGAGCGGAGATCGTGGCTTCTGAAATCACACAGATGTTCACTTGGAATTGATTCACGCGCGATTAAGTAAAGCCGATAGGGCTGCAGGGGCTAGACTGAGTGTTCCAGATACAGCTAACTACAACAGCGACCCCAGCCGTCTCCCAGACATCTATCCAACAGGACCCGAACAGAAATAAACAGCAATAACGTCAGTGTGGATCTGTTGGATGGCATGAGTGCGTATCGACAAGTCCATCATCCCTCCTTCTCGCACGATGCACCGGATCATTCCCGCTCACAGTGTACCCTCGGCGATGTACCAGGGAAATTTATGATGTTTGTGGACTGCGATGGCGTGTTATTATGGCTTGAGTCCGGTTATATCCGGTTGTACGAACTTTTGTACAATAATATACCAGCCAACATGCAAGGCTGCAAATTACTATTGTCAACAAAGAATAACACCTGCTACAGTATACCATTCATTGATGTTTCTGTTTCTTTTTGTTCCAAATGGGCTGATTTTGCAACAGCAAACTACCCACCTTGGTTACCATTAATGGATGCTCTCCGTGCTAGAGTTCGTTTGCTCATATGAACGCCGGAATGCGCGGGGGCCAAAGATTGCCTCGAAATTACATGATCAGATGCCACTTTGTCTATATCGCCAAAAATTGGAGTCCGCTTCAAAGGATTAGGGTGAGGCGGTCTACAGGGTCTATGACGAGGCATCAACGGAATTAAGCGGATATTACGGTATTAGGCTCTTCACTACTACCTTATATCAGGAATGTCAGTCCAAGAAAAATTCTTTATACAAGCAAGCAAGGACTCACATGCCAGAAGCGAGAGCATACATCCTACTAGCACCAGTCTCAACATCTAACGACAATCAGTCAAAATGGCTCCTTCACGTCCCGTCGTACTCATTACTGGTGGAAGCAACGGCATTGGGCTAGTAACTTGCGATCATCTAGCATCCAAAGGGACCTTCCAAATCCTCCTCGGCACGCGCTCCCCTGAAAAAGGCGAGAAAGCTGTTTCGGAGATCAAATCCAAGTACCCAGGCAGCACAATATCCTCTCTCCAAATCGACATCACCTCCGACGATTCAATCGCCGCTGCGTTCAAGCACGTCGAATCTACATACGGCAAACTCGACGCCCTGGTCAACAACGCCGGAATCTGCCCCACTGAATTCTCTCGATCCATACTCCGAGAAACATTGGAAACAAACGTGACTTCGCACGCGGCCGTGACCGAAACTTTCGCCCCTCTACTCTCAAAGTCCTCATCTCCACGCGTACTATACGTGTCCAGCGAACTGGGCTCCATCACGCTCCGCAGCGATCCGAAGAGTCGCGCTCGCGATGAAGAGTACAAAGCGTACCGTATTAGTAAAGCCGCGTTGAACATGTTGGTTGCGTGCGACGCATGGGAGCATTCTGATTACAAAGTATTTGGATATTGCCCTGGGTACGTCATCACGGATCTAGCGGGGATGAGGGAGGAGAAGATCAAGCAGGGCTTCGCGCAGCAGCCGGATGGGAGTGCGAGAGGGATTGCTGCGATTGTCGAGGGGAAGCGGGATGCGGAGGCCGGGAAATTCCTGCATGGTGAGGAAGAAGGGGAGGTGCATCCTTGGTGATCCCGCATAGGAGGACTCAGCAGTAGGCGATAGAAACTGCGAATTACAAGGGCATGCTTTCTTTTTCCAGACAGGGGCGAGTTTCAGTGTGGAGAGTCGATATTTCATACATGCGCCAAAGTCTCAAATCTTCTTTACTCTCTGTCATGTTCCACGGATTCAGTTGGGAGAGTTCTGAGCAGTCGAAAGAAACTGCTCATCTGGAGTCCGACGACGAGATTGGAATGAAAGCCAGAACAGTCTGGATTACTATAGTTCTGACGCAGCAAAGATCGAATATATGAGCTGTTAGAGGTTAGCTTGGACTTCGCAAACACTCCGTACTTAGGTTGAACTTGCATCGCAAGAATATGATTCCTAGCTCCACGTCGCGGAGAAGAACTGTTCCAGTTGTTTATGCAATGCGACTGAGAAAAGTAAAGATCGTCTCGACCAATCCGTCAGCCTCGTATTCGGGGATGTGTGGCCTATCATGCTGCAGGGACGTTAGCGATGTGGGGCGATGAAGCTGAGCTTCAGCCTAAGGACACTCCTCCCCAACTACGCGTTCATGGCCACACCGATAAACACTCGACGAATCCTACCACTTCCTCTGAGATATCGAGAACATTGCTATGAGTTCCGCGAGTGAAGTCGGATACCTCGCCCACAAAGGCTTGGAGTTGGTGGACATGCTGGAGTGGTATTATCGGCAACATGCGAACGTAGAGAAATACGCAGTGGCGGTTCTATCCAGCATATCGACGACAAGAGCGCTACTTGAAAGTCTTGACGCTCTAGAAAAGAAGAGAGCGCTGGATGAAACGACTAAGTCGCAGAAATACCTGGGAATACTGACTCACGTCCGCAACCTACGAATGATAGCGACGGTTTTGGATCAATATGAAGCCTGGAACTATAGGCATCACTCGATACAGAGACTGACAAAAAACCTGGAAGATATCTCGTTGGTATTTGACAAGTACGTGCTCAGAGTCGAGAAATGATAGCAGTCTTCGAGTAATGCTTATAGGCTACAGGAGGGGTGTTCCGGAGGATGGAAAACTAGCAGTGCCAGAGGATACTGTTTCAATGCCGTCTCGTCTCAACTTGATGATCATATTTTTCGAATATCTAGGCATAACCCCCCTAGACTTCTCATTGTTTTCACTGCGGGGGATTTGGGAAGAAGAAATTCCGCCAGGTCATAAGCGGGTTCGCTGGGAAAATGTAGGTATACCAGTGGCAAAAAAGTTCATATCTCGTAGAGGGAGCAGTCCTCGCGCTCACATATTTTAGATTCGCGGGAAGCGATTGTACGACGACTACGTAGAGCATGTAGCAGGCGCAGCGCATGATCTGCAAGCGTATCTCGATGGCGCAATACGTCGAGGCCAAAGCGAGACCGAACACACCACTAACAATGCGCTACCTGCGCCCACAACACCGTTTCCCAGAAGTGAAGCCGTTTCGGGTTTTGATAGTCAGTCGGCAGATGTTACTGACCATAGATTTTCGGAAGACGTCGAGAGCGGGAAGAGCGCAAGCATTGAACACGAGTCGAAGCTCACCAGAGCAATGCCACGAACCTTGCATCTTTTCGTGTGCACCAGCAAAAGCTCTCACACAACGGAACTCCACCAAGAACACGTATCAGAGATTTCCGATGACAGAGAATTATTTCAAGAGCTGCGTCGAAGCTACCACAAACATCGAGGAAGATTTCGGTCTTATTGGTCGCTTACCACCGTGCACAGCATCCACTTTATGAAGGTATGTATCACTCTGGTTCGGTTCAATACTATTTGACAAGATTGAGCTTTGTTGAGATTCTTGGGATTGCAGTTTGCGTACGGGGGCCCACGTTACGTCGACGTACGATGCCACGATGATCTCTGCGAACCGTACCAACTATGCGCTTGCATACCCCCGAAAGATATGGTCTACCCACACGGACCTGACTACGACTGCCATCCCATCCCTCCTAGGCTGTCTCCACCAGTCGGCAAGCGGTTGATGATGGATCTATTCACACACCCCGAAAGTATCGAGCCCAACAAGAGACTAGTGATTGAGCAGCTTCCTAAAAGCCGGCTTGGTGGATTGAATGCAGAATATTCTCATGAATTTACTCACGCCTGGGGAATATATTTCAAAGAAGGTTGGCACTGGGTTAAGATATGGGTTTTTCTCGGGGTTGGGTTTTTTCCTCCGAGTCTATTGTTTGGGGTAATATGGAGTGTGGTGCGGGATGATGTCCAGGGTGGATTTGGGGTAGCGGCGTGGTGGTTAGCGGGAGCGACGATCGTTGTTGGCATTCTAGGAACTCGGTCAATGACATCGTGACAGCGTCAAGTCTGTTTTGAGAGCAGGCTACTGGAAACGGACGGAAGATACGGTACATGTAGCTTGGCATTCCTGCCCACGTGCGGGAATAGTATGAAGGTTATAAGTGATCTGCAAAGCTATGTATGTAACTCGCCGTATCTGCCCAATGGGAAATTCCAGTAAGATGGGAGATTGATTGATGATGCGCGAACTAAAAGCCCACTTTTTACGGGTAGCGTCGCGTTTTAGGGAAATTATAAGGTAGCTCACCCGTAGGTCGAACCTCGGCTGTTGCGAGTCATTGGGAATCAGACGGGAAGATGAGGCTGAAGTCAAGGTACTGAAGTCAATCTTAATCGGTCCATCGGAGATATGAAAAATATCATGATTGCTTCTTCAATCGTTCATCCAGAGATCTCATGCGTCCAACAGCAATGAGTCTAGATCACTTGGGGGTTGTGATGTAGCACCTCATCGTTTGGAGCGACAAATTATTTTTCGAACTAGTCTAGGTAAATATTCATGGACCATTCTACACATAGGGAAACAAAAAAATATTGCGGCGCAAAGTGGCAATTCAAAGCGGTATACTCTACATGATACAAGAGATAAATTACAGGGCATAGTTATATGGAAAAGGTTCCAAGATCGGGGTGTGTCTCGGAATCACTTAATCGAATTCGCGTACCATGATCATCCGCTTACGATCGGACTATTTTTGCTGCTTTTTCAGCCACAATTATGTTTTGCCAAGATATCCTGGGGTCGATATGGGGCCAGTAGCTCTAGTTAGGACATTCGTGAAACCATCGCAAGCCATGTGTCAGGGCTCCCTTCTCGAAAGGGGAATAGTAAATGATATGCCTAATAGAAAAACAAAATCTTGAACTAACCGGGTCTAGTATGGGGTTGATGAAAAACAACGAGGAAAAGGTATTTATTCGTCCTACTTCCCTATGTAAGAGAAGTTGCTTCTACTCGAGAACCACAGTCGTTGCTATTCTACAAGTCTCTCATTTACAAACATTCACAATGCAGTTCACTCTCTTGCTCCCACTTCTTGCCACTGCGGCTTACAGTGCCCCCGTGGAAAATCTGCAGGAGCGTGCCGCATGCTCGTCCTACACCATCATCAACACACGCGGCACCGGTGAGATCCAAGGAGAGTCATCCGGATTCAGGACCATCAACGCGAACGTCCAGAAGCAGGTTTCAGGCGGGAAAATTGTGAGTATACTTCTTCACGCACCTTACGAGACATTTCGCTGATTATACAGGTCAACACCGTCTACCTCGCAGGTGCCGACCAAAACTCTGCCGCAGCGACCAGCTTCATCATCAACCAAGTTTCCAGCACCCTCCAAACCAACCCTTCCGAATGCTTCATCCTTGAGGGCTACAGTCAGGGTGCCGCAGGAACCGTCAACGCGCTGCCAAAATTGACAGGCGCAAGCTTTGATGCTGTCAAGGGTGTTTTCTTAATCGGCGACCCGATGCACAAACGTGGGTTGGCTTGCAATGTGGACAACAATGGCGGCTCTACGACGAAGAATGTTCAGGGCTTGAGTGCTTTGCTCGGCTCTGGTATCCCTGACAACTGGGTCAGCAAGACCTTGGATGTGTGCATCTTCGTAAGTCCTGCCCGTGATAACTTGAAGGTGACCGTCTACTAACTGCGATCTTAGGGTGATGGAGTTTGCGATACTACGCACGGATTCGGCATCAATGCTGCCCATCTACGCTATCCCATGGACACAGCTACGCAGAGATTGGGTACGGATTTCATCACGAAGCAATTGGCCGCTTAGAGGTTTCTATCGCATATGTTCTTCAAAGGATAGGATAGTACTCGATATATGTCGATTAGGATCGACTTTTAGATCCGATACACCCATGTTTTTCTGCAAGTCACATAACTATTGTCTCAACTGGAGCGATCCGCTGGTTCAATTTCGTGGTTCGTGATTTGTCTCAATTGCGCATTGCCTGAGCCTATATGACTGTTGCCCGTCGAGCCATAAGTACCCGGTACTCCGCGGATGCAAGCAGATGGAAGCGCTAGTTAGCACCAGTTTCGTCCCACCAACCGTCTTCCGATTCGTCATGTCACAGAAACATGATTTTCGCTCGTCCATGAGTATCAACCTACAAATTCAAGCGTGACTCTATGGTGGACGTACATGAGTACCTGGTACTCGGCCGAAGACGCTGCACACGTGGAGATGGATCGTGGAGAGCATGTGGGATTTAACCTTCTTCGGACTAGCGTTATCGTAAATCAGTGACCTACCGATGACGATCTACACCCAAACTGCCGTTCTGAGGCGAATATCTATTTTTCTATGATGTAACTGAAGCAATGCAGTTACAAAGATACCTCTTGGAGCTCAAGGTCTGAGGTTTGTCAGCTGTGTTTCGCGACACTGGTATTGATCGGACAATGTGTGGGATCACATGCGCCATCGCGCTGAAGGGGTATTGCAAACCGTCTGAAAGAGATAGAGAACGGTTGACACAGGCAATTGATCAAAGTCTCGACTACATCAAACATCGGGGACCTGATTCGAAGGGGTTTTGGATTTCCGAGCACTGCCGCGTTGGTGAGCATGGGCGACCCAGTCCATTCAATTTCCATCTACAGTCACACCCGGGCACATACTGCGAGACTATTGCGTTCATCTAGAACCATCTCCCTTCGAATGAGCCCAACTGACATTTGCCGAAGCTTTAGGGCATAATCGTCTCGCGATAGTAGACCTCAGTCCGGACGCCGAACAACCCTTCCACGATAGTGAGAACCAGATCCATGCCGTAGTAAATGGTGAACTCTACGGCTTTGAAGCCATCCGCGAGGACCTCATTTCCAAAGGTCACAGATTCCAAAGCCACTGTGACTCGGAGATTGCGATTGCGTTGTACAAAGAATATGGTATCAGCTTTCTGTCGCACCTGCGGGGTGAGTTTGTCTTGTGTCTGTATGATTCGAGGGCACAGCTTGTAATCGCTGCGAATGATCGATATGCAATCAAACCTCTGTTCTATACGATTGTCGATGGTCGGTTGCTAGTATGTTGTTCTCCCGTATCTTTCGCCTGCCCGTTGATTAACATGAGTGAAGCTCGCTTCGGAAGCCAAAGCATTCCTCCCGTTCGGTTGGCAGCCCGAGTGGGATGTCCAAAGCATCAAAGAAGTTGGTTGGTTGTGCGACCAGCGCACTATGTTTCAAGGTGTACAGAAACTACTCCCAGGCCACTACATGACTTGTACATCCTTCAATACGATATCCCAGCATCGGTATTGGGATATCGATTACCGAGACAAAGTGAGCAAATATCCTACCTGAAAAGTCCTATAATGCAACCTATTGACTCCAGTGCAGCAAGCGGTGGATGTCAGAACTGAGCAAGAGATGGTAGTAGAAGTACGTAAGCGACTCCTCGATGCTGTGCGAGACCGTCTCCGCGCCGACGTGCCTATCGGGATCTTCCTCAGCGGAGGGATCGACTCTTCTGCAATAGCTGGAATAATAAAACATCTGAAAGACACAGAGGGAGCTCATCTTGGTACCGCTCCGAAAACCGATTTGATAAATTGTTTCAGCATCAAATTTCTCGACAACGACTTTGATGAAGAGCGTGAGTTATTCCATACTTGTTATATGATAACCCAAAACTGACCACCATTCTTGCTCAAACAGCGGTGGCACGCCGTACTTCCGAATGGCTTGGTGTGAAGAAACACACTGTAGAAATGACTGAAGAAATGTTCGCCGCCCACTTTGAAGACTGCATGTACCACAACGAGGTAGCAACACGCGATCTCAACACCGTCGGAAAATACTGCCTCTCCGCTCTTACCCAGTCCAAAAATATCAAAGTCGTCCTGACAGGCGAAGGCTCTGATGAGCATTTTGCAGGTTACAAGGAGCTTCTTACCGACTTCATCCGCGAACCCGACCCTTCCTGGTCACGCACCACCCTAGACGAACAAACCCGTCTGCGCATCTTCAACTCCCTGGAGGGATCAGAAGACTCTGGTCCCCTGGAACCACCTAGCGCATCATTTGCACGTAAACAAGTCAACAATATTTCTTTCCTAGGCTACACGCAAACCTCCGCGCTGCCCGATAACTTATTTGCATCATGGACAGCCTCCGAATTCGGCTCAGCAGACCCCCGCAGCACAGCCGTCACCCACACAATCTCCGGCCTTACACGCGAGCATATCGCGCACAAGTGGCACCCCCTCCACTCGGCCCTCTACATATGGAGTAAATCCGCGCTTCCAAATGGTCTTCTAACCGTGTTAGGCGATCGCGTCGAGATGGCGCACAGCGTCGAAGGCCGCCAACCCTTCCTCGACCACCGATTAACCGAATACGTGATGGGTCTTCCACCTTCCCTAAAGTTCAAATACGATGCTGCGACGCGCACCTTTTCCGAGAAGTGGATCCTGAAAGAGGCGGTGAAACCTTTTGTCACGGAAGAATTGTATACGAGGAAGAAGCATCCGTTTGCTGCGCCCGTGAGGTATAAAGTTGACGGTCCCATCCGGAAGTTGTTTGATCGATTGATAACAAGGGAGAATGTGGAAGGCTTGGGGTTTTTAGCGTGGGAGGAATGTAAGGATCTGGTGAAGAAAGGGATCGAACAGGGAGATAGAACGGCTTATGGACAGATGGTCTTGGTTGGACAATTTGTCACGTTGGGAAAGAGGTTTGGAGTTAAACAGGCTGTGCCGGAATTTTTCTGACAGCATTTCGCTTATGTGATTGATCACATATCTTAATGCCCCATCGTTGAATTCAACGTTTCAATATTCATCATCGACTTCCATCTGCTGTTTCGACTCCTCATCCTGCACCCCCGGCCGGGGCTTTCTTTCCAATAGTACCCCCTTTCCTAAGCCCGAAAAAGCACAGAGGAATAACGACAACACAACCCGCAAACACCGTCCAATACGCTGCTCGAAACCCAACCATCAACCACACTTCGTGAGGCGTCGCGCCCGAACTCTCTGATACGGACCGCGCTATGACCGCGATGACCGCTAAGCCTACTGAGTTTCCGAACTGTCCGATCTCGCTAAAGACGCCGCCGGCGAGCGATTGTAGGTGATCTGGAAACGCGTCGGAAATGACGAGATTGGAGACAGTGAAGAGGGCTGTTTGTAAGAATTTGCATTAGTAGATATTCTTCATGAGCGAAGACTAAGGGGGGTATCTTGAATTTGTGATGCATGCATGACACGTGATTCATTGGTTGTCGGAAAGCAATAGAGGGCCGAACTCGTGCATTCTGTAGTTGAGAAAGGAGAGCAGGCAACTCACTATCTGGACTTATTGGAGAGAGAACCAATGCCCAAAAGGGCGCGAACCAGTAGTTGGTACCGATTGGCATCGTAGCGAGTAGTGCAGGAGAGCCGACCGTCACAAACGCGGATACCACGGCGAGTTTCTGAATGTGCACCCGCGAGACGAGATATCCTGTAAGTACATTGATGAAGATCCCTGCGCAGATGTGCGGGATGAAGCGAAGCGAGCTCTGGAGTGCAGACGTTTTCTCGATCTGTTGGAAACTTTATCTTGGGTTAGCGACGTGTGTTGAATGACGATAAGCGAGGGAAGGGCGTACTAAAGTGTGGTGAGGTATTGAATGCAGTTCATAGATGCCCAGCTGAGAAAGACACATGCGCATATGGAACTAAACATTGCATTGCGCCAGAGTCGGTTGGGGATGAGTGCTGGCTTGTTCCGTTTTGTTTGGTAGTTCATCCATACGGGGAACAACAAAATCAAAGCAACAGACAATATCAACAGCACGATGGCCTGGGGATCCTGAATGCGCAAATCCGAGGAAATGGCAGCGAGGACGTAGAGAAGCAAGCCAAGACCAGCACTGATTATGAATGCACCGGCCCAGTCGATATCCCGGGTGAGCCGACGCATTCGTGAATCAGAGTGATATGCGTGCTCGATCTTTGGAAGTACCCATACCGCTGAAGTCGAGATGAGGAAGTTGATGATGGCAGTGATATAGTACGCCCATCTCCACCCCACCGTATCGGTGAAGATACCGCCGAGCACAAGACCTAATGCGAAACCCAGCGGAGAGCCAATACCAACCATCGCAAACGCTACATTACGCCAGTGTCCTTTGGGGAACGTATTGGTGATGAGACTAACGGTAGTCGGGAGACTGATCGCAATGGAAGCGCCCTGGAACGTGCGAAAGAGGATGATTTGAATGCCAGTTTGCGAGAACCCGACTGCCAGAGTAAAGACGACATAGAGGTAGGTACCAGTCACCCACATGAACTTTGTACCGATTATGTCTGCCACGGCTCCGAAAATGAGGAGGAGACATCCTGCGGCGAGGTTGTAAACGGCGACAGGCCAGAGGATTAGAGCTTCGGTGAGGTTGACATCGGCAGCTACGCGTGGAAGAGATCCTACGAGAATACCCGTGCCAAAAGTATTGATAACGTATAAACTGGATAGTGTAGCTATGATACCTACTCTTCGCGATACAGAGATGTTTGCAAAAGCGACGGCTAGGTTCTGGCCGTCGGCATCTAGCTGCCCCGCTTCCGGATCAACTGTTGGCTGAGAAATAGTTGAGTCCTGCTTCTCGTTGGAACATGCTGTTGTGTCTTCCACATCCGGTTGTTTCTTGGTGAAGAGGGGTTCGGGGGTACCAGGAGTAGTGGTCGTGATCGCAGAGCTCACGGCGGCTGCCATAACTACCCTTGATCAAATGAATGTGTGTTGTCAGAACACACTATCCATGTGGCGATTGTGATAAGACCCTAGTGATCAGCAGGATTGAGCATTCCAGCTGTCGCGGGTGGCACACCGGTGAGGTGAGTAAAGAAGAGAGTTCCGCGATCACATTGCCATATGTGTGTGCGAGCAACTCATACGATTCGATACTTCCTACATACGGCGCAGCCCTCAACCGCGTTTCTTCCATCCCCTCGACCAATGAATGGGCTGCACGGGGCGGAGCTCATCTAACTACCTGCTATATGTATGTGAATCGGTGGCACATTCCTTTGCTGGTTTAGAGGGTACCGTCTAACGGGTACGCTGTCATTGTGTGAATTGGGGGGTCTTCTGCAGATATTGGGACAACAAGCGGTCTGGCTGGTAGCACGGGGCGCGGTTAGATTATTTACCCCGGCTAATTGGGGGCGGTTCGGTACTTCGGTGGGATTCGGGATGTTCTACATATGGGCGCTGATCGCCCGTGCCGCAATACCTCCACTGGCGCCGACCTGGCTATGCCGAACGCCACTTCTTGAGCAGCAAATTCTACTGGAATGATTAATCACCCATTTCTTGGTTTATTTCATGATTTTCGAAACAGTTTTTACAGGAGTCAAAGGCACGATCACGAGTTATCAGGAAAAGGAGTATTCCAAAGCTGAACTAATCACAATTCACTCATTGGGCGGGCCCCTGTCGCCTCTAATGCGGGCCATCAAATGCACTTTCGCGCTTACATCTCCCCAGCTATACTCTAGAATTGTTGCTATTGCTGTAGTTACCGCTCCCCCACACTATCCTGCATTTCACTTGCATTCGTCAAGTTGCTCTCTAAGTGTCGACCTGCCAGATATTGCCAACCAATTCATCATTGTCGCTTCGCTTCTTCGTATCAACTTGCCAAATGTTGCCAACAAGCTCATCGTTGTCACTCCTCTTCTTGGTGTCGACTTGCCAGATGTTTCCGACCAATTCGTCGTTGTCGCTTCTCTTGGTGTCAACTTGCCAGATGTTGCCAACCAATTCGTCATTGTCGCTCCTCTTCTTAGTGTCGACTTGCCAAATGTTGCCAACAAGCTCGTCATTGTCGCTGCGTTTCTTTGTGTCGACTTGCCAGATGTTGCCGACAAGCTCGTCATTGTCGCTCCTCTTGGTATCGACCTGCCAGATGTTTCCGACAAGCTCATCGTTGTCACTTCTCTTAGTGTCCACCTGCCAAATATTGCCGACGAGCTCGTCGTTGTCACTCTCTGTTTTCATTTCATCAGTACCGGATCAGGCACCGGCAGCAATAGTATATTTGCCTTGGAAGCGTACTTACTCTTGACGACAGGAGCGGCCAGAGCGGTACCCGCTGCCACGGTGATGAGAACCACAGAAAGCTTCATAGTGTATAGATCGAAAATGTGGGGAAGGTGACTTGATAATAGTGAATGCCGGGGAAGTACTTATATGAGAAACAGAGAGAGGTTTCTGGTGGAATTTCTCAAAGTGGAGATGGTCTTGATATAAGCTCGATATGTGGTAGCGAGTGTAACCGATCTTACCTACCTTCTGTAGACCAGGCTTTTCTATTCAATCATTGCTAGTCCTTGGTGTACCGACCCCCCAAGCTCAGTCGACAGTCCCTGTAATCTGCATGCGTCTTTTTTTCCAGCTTGGCATGAGGGGCTGTAAGACATGCAGTGATGGGGCGTGGTACATGGAGGAACTTACGAGCCAACTCAACCGCCGGTATTACTATCTTCATGGAGAAAGAGTTGGGGCGGCGCGTAAGTGTCTACTTCTGTAACCCTACTGAGATTGATCACATGGTATCTAGACCCAGGGAATTCTCTTTGCACCTGCATATGCACATTCGTATGCACATAAAGAGAATGGTGGATCGGGAACTCCGGGTGACAAAGTCACCAAGATGACGTTTTTTGAGGAAAAAGAAGACATTATAGGCGAAGGAGCGACGGGAGCAGCCTCGGCGATGGTCATCTTGGCAACGGTTTTTGCCGATCCAGTAGGATGAGGGGTTACACTGAGACTGGAATTGGCATAGCTCTTCTGCATGTAATCGTGTATGCAGAATTCGGGGAACGAATATATATGAAGTGTGCCTACAAAGTGCAGATTAGGTATATGCATCTTTGTTGACTTGTGGCGCCCGGAACGACCCTTTACCACAAATGCCGCTCGTAAGCTCTAGACTTGCTGCATAATGATCACTATCACGACGTAGTATGAGGAAATGTTTGGAACTCTGACGCACATGAGTGTTGTTGTCCCGCGCCAACATGAAACTAATCATCGGCACTTCGAGTATTCCACTTGTGATGAGGCATACAGGTTGTACTACGCCTCAAAAACGTTGGCATTAAATTGATGGATGAGCCCAGAGTGGAGTGAAGAAAGATACCCAATTCACATCAGGCTGAGCAAGTGGCAACCCTGCGCTAATCCTCTACCCTGAACATGCATCGGGGACCTACAAAAAGTCTTAGCCCGTGGATCCCTGCTAACCTGCGATGTACGGCATCACGTATCTCGCACGACTACAGAGTTACACTCAAAATAGTAGGTGCCTCCCAACTCAGTGCGCCTATGATAGAGAATCATCACAGGTTATTAAATCACTTGGCATTTCGTCAGCGCTACTCGCGTCTACGGCGCTGGTGCAGCTCACCCGCATTATCTCACGCATTAACCCACACCAAATCATGCACGAACAAGAGAGCAGTCCATCATTAACCGTCACAGCTGTACAGACAAGCGGAGCATGCATCCCCGCCCCCTTCCCAGGATAAGAAAGTACATCGAGTGACCTCCAAGACCTTCCTTGCGACCGTGCCGCATATCCCAAAAACCCCCCACTTGCCATAAGTTCTTTTGACTAGCTCGCTCCCTGTGCCTTGTTTCTCGAAGACCCGAATTTGTGTTCATTTCATACAGACTCGCAATCATGAATCTTGATTTCTCTCGCAACGATGTCGCGTACGAGAAGGCGCCTTTCCTAGACTCCGATGAGGAGGAGAAGGGCTCTGAGACTTCGTCGTCGGTAGGACACGTTCGTGGGTCACCGCCAAAGGTCTTGCCGAGCGTCATCAATATTGTGCTTGTACTCTTGCTCGTTCTCACGAATGCAGCATGGTGGGCGGCCGGTGCCAAACATAAAGTCTCCACGAAGGAGGCAATGTCTGTTGCAAGACCGCAGCTTGTATGGTGTAAGTCAATGAATGCCGGGCTTTGTCGAGGTCTAGCAGAGAAAAGATATTTGAGAAGCTTGATATGCTGACTCCAGGTTTTAGCTCCGGCCACAGAGACTATCGAGTACGAAAGAGTCGTTCTAAACCGGTCCATCGAGACTGACAACGTTTTCGCTGGCGAACGCACCCCAGCTATGGAAGAGGCATGGGCGGATCTCATCAAGCGTATGTCACATCAAACTTCTCGATCATTTGAACTTCATCCAAAACTAACCTCGATGTAATAGCCATGGCGTTGAAGCTTTCCAAGGAAGAAGTCGAGCGCGTAGGCTTGACTTCTCTCACTGGAAAAGACACCATCTCCTTCAAAGACGGATCAGGATATCTGGCGGAAATGGGTGTCTACCATGAGCTGCACTGCGTCAAACATCTTCGCGAACATTTGTACCGCGACTTCAAGCACATGCCCGAACATGAATACAAGCGAGAGCGTATTCACGTTGGTACGTCGAATCCCCTCACATCGCCACTCCCCGTTAAAAATTGATTGAAGGCTAACAATCGTCTAGATCACTGCCTAGAATACTTCCGTGAGCAAGCCATGTGCCGCGGTGACTCCACCATTGCGTTCTTTGTGTGGAACTCAGGGATTCCGAAGAGCACCAAGGATACGACCAATGAGTGTGTTAAGTGGGGACCACTGAACGCATGGGCAGAAAGCCGCATGGTGACTTTGGATAAGGAGTACACTGCATTGAACAAGGACTAAGAAGCCCCTCCGGCATGGTCTACGCAGTGAATACTAGGATCCATCTGGGATAGAAGAGGCCATCTGTGCGGCACAGAGTTTAGGAATAGTCTTTACATAGACGGGATGAGGACTAAGTCAATACGGGACAAGGGCATGTAGTCTATCATTTCCATATTGGGTGGCGTCAGATGACAGTAGCGAATGTGTTTGGGGTCGAATTCATCTGAATTTTTGCGTATTATTAAACTATTAATAGCATCCTTGTCTGAAAACCTAGGATGAGACTGGCCATCGTCAGGATAGTGACGGACTGCGCTGTATAGGAAAATTGAACTCATGGGTGCCTTTTGGACTCATGGGCGCCTTTTGGTTTCTCTGTGAAGAGAGTGAACATAATGTTACATAAAGATACTCTGCCGGCCATATGTTTGTCAGTTCTTGTATTTTCTGGTGCTGTTACCCTCAACCGCATGAAGGATGAGCTTCTTGTAGCCTTCGACTGCACTCTCGAGTTCACCTAACGTGATGGATTCATCCGCAGTGTGTGCCTTGAGAATATCGCCAGGACCATACAGATACTTAGTATGGTTGCCAATCAGTCTCGGAATGTCAGTGCCGTATGCCATGACATCTGTCTCAAAGCCTGTGTGGGTGGTAAGCGAATCTGAACCAGGATCTCTGAAGTGTCTGAGACTTACCATCGACGTCGCAATCAATTTCAACAGCTCCGAAACCAAATGGGCATTCGAAGGTGAAAGCATCAGGATCCACCTCAGCCATGACAGCTTCCAGGCGTTCCTTGACGATAAGGTGACCGGACGCTTCAGGACCCACAGCGACGCGAACAGCAAGTGATGCATTTGCGTTAGCGGGAATAATATTGGGGGCAAGTCCGCCAGCCATCACACCAACGTTGACAGTGGTGTTGCCATAACGTTCGTCGTTTCCGAGATCAGCGTCAATAGCTTTGACTAGAGCGCGCATCAAAATCTCATTGGCAGACTTTCCACTGCTTGGGTAGCCGGAGTGCCCTGCAAGTCCCTGTGCGAAAACAGTGCATGCTAAGCCTCCTTTGTGGCCACAGGCAAGAGTGCTATTGGTGGGTTCGCCAAAGATGGCCACATCAGGACGAGAGTTTTGCGCTGCGACGGTATTGGAATAATGGATCATACCATCGCCGCTCACTTCCTCGCCGACAACGAAAACAAGCATGACATCGTCGCCAGTGACGGTACCAGCTTCGAGAAGGTCGAAGAGCGCCATCGACTGCGCAGCTATGGAACCCTTGGCATCTGAAGTACCACGGCCAGAGATCACTGTTTCGGCAGTGGGAGGGTCAGGTCCGGATCGCGAGTAGCCAAAGAACGGTGGGACTACATCGTAGTGCGTAGTAAGGATGATGCGAGAGCTATTGGTAGTGCGTGGCGGCCAAGCAAGGACGTTGAACCTCGTCGTAGAGTTGGGCAGGAATTGTCGCTCCGTACTGAAACCCTTTTCAGTGAAATAATCGATCAGATAATCCCCGGCTTCAGTTTCCTGTCCGGATATGGAGGAGATTTCGACAATGGACTGATGGAATGACAGCAGCTCGTCGCGGTACGTAGGCGCATCCTGAGCAGTCACGCCCACACTGCCACAAAGGGCGAATAGTAGCGATGATAGAAGGTGTGTCTGCCTCATGATGCCGGGATGAGCGATAGGTATTGGCACGGAGAAACAGGGGTGGCAGGTAAGATCCGATTTGAAGCAGGCTTCAAAGTTTTGTCCAGACAACCTTCTTAATATCACAATGTGATTGATAACGATGTCTTACAGTTTCCACGTGGTGAGATGCGACCTTGAACGAATTATGAGCGGAAGGTGGCAAGTAAATTCGTCGGGTAATCTCGAATGTTAAGTACCCGACGCAGCCAAGACACCATCCTGGTATGGATTTTCGTATGACCCTTCCATTCATCTCCGCCGCCCATTGAAGTCAGCTACAAGTCGAAAACGAACAAGCGAGGTGTTGGATCTCTCGTGTTTGTATTGGCCCCGCGTTGGTGGAGTAATTGACAAGACCCCCAGTTTACACTAAATGGCGAACTACAAAGGCTCGGCGCCTCCCGGGAAGCATGATGCAAGACGGGGACGTGCTGTAGCGGGTACTTACATCCGCAGATCTTCGACCCTTTTGCGTCAGCAAAAACCCCGAAAGTATGCGATAAGAGCCATGTGCGGCTGTAAGTAGCAAATACATAGGCGATCAACTGACGATAAGTACACTACCGGAAAGCCAAGGCTCTCGTGCGTGATTTGTTCTCCTTCGGGATCGGAGCGTGACCTTCCTGGCTACTCTTCGTTTACGAACTCATCAGAGGCAACACCCTGAGTATCTTTGACTCTCTTTGGCCATGTACGATGACACCACCATCTTTCTCTGCAGCCAAGGACAATGGCCATGTTTTTTCCTTAATGTATATGCAACTCGGCTGCAGGCCACCAGCACACCCATAAGCAATCGAACATAGAGAAACATTTCGGCCCCCGACCACTCCAATACAGCAGGAGCATAGTGTTACGGATTATGCACCTCTCCATCAATTACATTCGCGTTCGATATTAGAACACAGTCATCCAACATATGCTAGGTAGATTTTAGACCTGCTTTTCTATTAATTCCACTGCTGGACGCCGTAGATCGACTACATCACGAACACTTGCCCCGCTTTCAGCCGCCTCGTCATGTCTTCTGTGTATTACGAGACGGGTCGACACCTGATAGCCGCCAGTATTGCGCTGGCGGCTGTGGACGTCATAGCAGTGGCTGCGAAATTCTGGGTGCGACGCAAGTACAAGCAAGGACTGAAGGCGGACGACTGGCTCTTGGTGCCTGCTACGGTACGCAGTTTACAATTTTGTCTCATTACATGCGCCATGGCGGCACAGATTCGATTTCCTTTCATCAAGGAATTGCAATTGAATCAAAGCTAATCAAACACAGCTCCTTTCCATCGTATTCGCCATCATACTTTCTTATGGTGCTTTCAATGATGCTATTGGAGGCTCCATAAAACTTCCTGTGGGGGATCCAGGACGTCGCGCAGAGGAAACATACAAATTGACTCTGGGAAGAAAGGTAGGTCTACTCGTCTAGAAATCTGCCCTGCTCTAGATCACTGACGGTTGCCTCTACGCAGATCCAATGGCCTTTTCTAGTCCTGCATCCGATTGCTATGGGCTTGGTTCGATGCAGCTTTCTCCTCTTCTACCTCCGCATCTTCTCTGTCAACAGGGCTAGAATCTTTGTTCTGATATCCATTGGGGTCGTAGTAGCGTGGAGTATTTCCTTCTTCTTTGCAGAACTGTTCCAATGCGGCGCGAACTTCACTTCCAACTGGTCCATGACATTGTTTTTGGTACATTGCCCGGATACGCTGTGGATCCTCTTCTTCTCTTTCCTTACTGCGGCCATACTCGATGTGTACATTCTCATTTTGCCGATGCCCTTTGTAAGTGGTCGTTCCCATAATTCTCATTATCGAACTGCGAGAGCTGACCGAAATGTGCGCTGCCACAGATTCTTCGATTGAAGCTACCTCTAACGAAGAAGCTTGGTGTAATGTCGATTTTGGTAGTAGGCGCTGCGTAAGTTTAGACCCTATACATGGTGCACTGCATCTTTGCTGGACACTAACGCAAGACCTGCTATAGCACGGTTGTGGCCTCGGTGATCCGTCTCTCAATCTTAGCTCCTAGCATTTTCTCAGTCACCACGGGTGGCGCACCCGTTTCATACGAACAGAGATCTGGTATGTACTATTCATGCCATGCGAAATGTCACACATACTAATTCGAACTTTTTCACAGCGAGATTGTCCTCCACGATCTACTGGGGTCAAGTCGAACTCGGAGTAGCCATCTTCGTAGCCTGCCTCCCAACCATCCAGAAAGTTCTACGTCCACAAGAAGGCACAGGCTTCCTCTCACGCCTCGGAATGACTGGCAATTCTTCGCGCGCGTCAACGAAGAATTCGAAACACAGCTTCAACACATCAGCTTCCTCGCGGGCCATGGGCAAGCCCCAAATCCTGGTCGATCAGTCCGTCGATGTTGCGTACGAGGATGCGGATAACAGGCCAATTTTGGGCAGGGGAATGAAGCGCACGAAGAATGGTGAGGAGAATATGAGCGATATCGAGATGCATGCGGGTTTGGGTAGAGACCACGCTCAGGCAAGGACAAATTATTGAGTCTTGCATTCGCATGCTGGGTGGAGGAGAGTCCCATGCGAGTTCTAGCCATGAATTTTGCTACCTCGTTTGGATAGATATCATAGTGGCGAGCAGAGTGACCTCACGATTGTTCTTCGCGTAGACATATCCAGTGATGTATTCCTGTACATGTATATAGTGTATGTTGTACGATTTTATGGTAGTAAACGAACAGTTGAAGCGCATATCTGTGAATCTCGTTTCCTTGAGCACGTAAATTGCGATATTCATACAGACAGCGGTTTATAATTATGTTGTGCCGTCTCTGATGCGCTGAGCATTTCACCCAAATCAAGAAAGTCACCCAACAAAAACCTCCATGTCCGCATGCGATCGTACCTGAACAGCGATAACGATACGGATGCCGTGGAACCATACTATTGAGAGCCTCACAGATTGAACAGCATCCCAATCACGCTCCAGATCTTGCAGGTTTCCCGAGCGGTATTCAAGCACGTCACTCGCATGTTCTCACGTGACATAAGCTATGCCCCTTGTAGGTTGGAAGGATCGCAACCCTAGTACATCAGGGCCGTGTCACATTTGCCATTTAAATGCATTGCGCATGCAAAATTGAGGCTTCCGGACTCCTCGGTTTCATGTGATGATTATTATCTTCTTGCTGTACGTCCGTAGGCGTTGATGATAATCTATCTAATACTGCGAGATGACACTATATTGATCGAATCGGGCATTGCAACATACACAACACTAGAAACAATGTTTTGAGTGAGGGTTATGTACGTCACCAACCCATTGTGCGCATCGGGTTTCGGGCGAGTGACACTCCGGGATATGCTTGAGTTATCTGATCAGTAGACGTGACGAACCACTTACTATAGCAGGAATACAGAGAACATGGTTCTAGTGCAGTCTTTCTTCTTGTCTACATTTTGAATCTTACATCCTCCCTGGTATCCCGTACAATGCATGAAATTCTTCCGTCCACTTACCATTGCTCGCTTAAAATCCCCAATCAGGTTCGATCGTGGTATTCTCACAAAGAAACAAAGGGTAATGTATACGAAGAGTCCAGACCCTCGCGTTTCTCGCCTTTCCAAGTTACCTCCCGCAGCCAAGTCCCGTCCGGACCAACAGCAGGAACGTGGCAACGCGGAGCCGTAGTGTCCGTTGCAGGCGTAAGCGCATTGGCACGTACCCCAGCCAACTTACTCAAATGTTACTCTAGTATCCGGGGTTCGGTTCAATATACATTGTTTCGTGGGTGGGCCTTCGGCACTTGGCCACAAACCGCAAATTCACAGTACGTCCTAGCGGGATAAGATCAGAATTGACTAACCGCGGCTGCATGTTCCTGACCAATACATGAGGTGTAGATACTCGAGATGATCCGGTAGCTACTGCTCTTCTTAGGGTCTAGGCTGGGATTTAGCTCTACATTAACTGTACGTCAGCCATTTTTGATCTATAATAAGTGGAGTTCTGTCCATTGTAAGAGTGACCAGACGCACTTCTCGGACGAACAAAGAGATTCCAAGCTCTAGTCCGACGCCATATATAGAATATCAGTCGCGCAATTCTGCTGTTTGTATCGCAATGCGATGAATCACAACTGTGACACGTTACCTTGCACGCTACATGTCTGAGCTGTTAGAAGTGCTGACTGCGATATAGCAGGCAGTTCATCTCTCTTGATTTTGTGTTGGAGTTTAGGTGTTCCTACACACAGCGATAGACAAAACAAGCGATTACAACGAAGTCCATCTCTCTTTTCATGTTACTTCACTACTGAATACTGCTGGTCCTGCAGCTCATCTATGAAGACGCCTTTGATGAATTGCAAGTCTTATATATATCGATGTAAAAAAATCTGAACCTCACCAAAACATTGAAAGGTATAGGACCAAGCAACACGAGGATATTGCGATTAATGAAATTCAGTTAAAAAACTCAGAAGGTATACGGGCGAGGCAAGTAGGTTGGAAAGGCAGTGCATAGTAACAAGTACTCAGAGCTCGGGATGGTACCCGGAAGTGAATGGTTAGTATAGCTACTTTGAGAATCGATATACTCTTTGCCACCCCAATGCCTTCCTGACGGCTTTCCCGTTGTGACAAATCGCAGTTAGGCATTGATAGCGGAAAAAATACCACGGATAAGGCACATATGACGTTATGAATGGTTCATCGTTTGTAGACTATGATACTTGGCGAATATAAGATTCTGTGAATGGCAAAGCTAGATCAGCCCATCCAGTCAGGTATTGAGGTGAACTGGTAGTGTCGATTCATCACATTTTGACTGCGACTCAGCCTTGCTGGGTCACATGCAGGAGCAATGAAACTAATCTACCATCATTGTGAACGGTGAAAAATATGATCAGATCCATATTCGTACTGTTCGGAGTATATTTCAACTCGTTTCCGAAAAAGTGATATATTCTACTGTCTACCAATTGGTAGCAGTAATTTGCTTAAAATGTTTCTCATTGCTCTTCCAGAGAAGAGACTACGACATTCTGTAGACTCTCAACTTGCATCTAACCATTCTATGTTCCTATGCAACTGTTTTGAGGACCTGATTACACAATGTTGTGACAAGTGCTCAAGTCACAAGCCTACTGCGATAAGGAGCGAATTCTTTGTCCTATTGTCTAAAAGCACGACGACAATGGATTGTCATTAACAATGTTGGACAAAGGGTTGCTATTTCCAGCTCGTCGAAAATAGACTCTGGTATGGGAGTTCATGAATATATAAGTTATGGATCGACCTGAATGGTGCATCCTCAATTCGATCATACCGTCTTTTCCAAACACTTTGCATTGTATTTCATCATATCTCATAATCTCTTTTCTAATTCCAGTCTTCTAGCAATTTCTCTTATTATTATTCTTCTTCCAATATCCATTGCTACTCTTCCTATTTCATTTGCATCTTAGCATCTGCATACTTTTCGTACCTTTTTATTTTCCATTTAACAGCACTTATTGCCTACCGAAGCAGGACTTCATAATGGTAGTGACACGTAGTCAAAGAAGGCAGCGATTAGCTGCAGCTGCGCCGCAGATACCAGCTAATCTCCTTCAAGCCACTAACGCCACACATACACGCCAATTTCTCCAGCATTTAAATGCATCTATCACAAACTACAGTGCAACTGGCCCAGGATTTAATATCGAGAACGAAGATACAATTCATCACAATTATGTGGTCGCATACGAGTACGAAATAGGCGCTGATAATGCAGCCCATCACACTCAACTTCAAACGGCTTATAATCAGGCGGGCGTACAATTCATAAGCGCAGATGTCCACCACGTAGGCAACCTGATGATGTTTGCACAACGGCAAATAGTAGGTTCTAACACCCGAACTGCTCAACTGCCAACACACTGCAAAGTATTTTCAGCCATCATCAGTTTTTACCCGCCTAATCCTGCTGCCGCTGGCGGGCCTGTTGGCCACGTGTACGGCATAGCCCTCGCAAAGGACCGCACATCTAGTGAGCGCATTCTTCTGGTCTACTGCACAAACGCCGGCCAAAATGTAACAAGCATTGAAGATATCCGCACGACTCGGTCTGGTCGGTATAACCCCGTTCGCACACACATCATAGAGCAGATGGCTCAGCAGTTCAACGTCACTCACGTGTATTTGAGTGAAGAAAGGTGGGGTAACATAACACAACTTCCTGGTATGTGTGTTGGGAATACATACGAATTCATGCGTAGAATAACAGCTAATGGACAGCACGGGTGGGACCGGGATGCGCCGTGGATAGCAGAGATGGGATTGAGAGAGTTGGAGTGGGATTTGACTCTCCCAGCTTTGATTGGAGGTGTATCTGTCAGGGTACCTCTAGATCAGTGGAGGAATGAGGTATAAACTCTTGGTGGGTCGCATAATTTATCTTTACCAGACAAATTATTACTGTCCACTGATGCTTGATGCAATGTTCCGGATTTTCCATCACAATCTGAAATGAATTGACATGTGAAACGGAACTTACTGTCCACTTCTCCTACGTACCACTGAATGCAATGTGCAACATCCAGATGAGATGAATTATATCCGTTCTAGAAATTGATAACATGTAAGTTTGAAATTTCTATTCTTTGAAGATAGCCACACCACTGGGTTTTCTATACTTCTATTTTGCTCGTCCGATGGGCCGATAGTCATGATTGCGATACCTTCGTATAACCAAAACTATGATATTTTCGCGGACCTATGAATTGTGGGCGCGTCAGCTCAAACATAATGACGAGTGTAATAGATTCATTTAGCTACTAGTGATCGTACTATGTGTAGACAGCACTTGAGCGGTACCTAGAAGATATATATATGTAGTATACGAAGTGAAGCCAGAGCTAGTCCAACTTGGGTTAGAGCAATGCCAAGACTGTCCGATGAAATATCGGTGAATCTCAATGTCTTTAAGCGACAACGCAACATCAAGTAACCCAGCTTTTGCCTTCCGGTCATATCCATCTCGAAGTGTATTCTCGCTATTTCATGCCATAGCATCCCTTTCAAGGCCGTTCAAACGTCCAGTTGCAGTACGTGCATCGATGCCCCGGACCTCTCCCGTGCCCCGCACAGCTGTACTTCTGCTCGACTCGACTCGACTCGACTCGAATCTCGAAAACTATATACATATATTTTGGTTGCCCCTAGTCCAGTATAATAGCGCACAATGCCATCGCTTGAAAACCTACCGGTTGAACTTAAGAATGTCATTGTGGAGCAACTTCCCCAGAATGACCTATTCAACCTCGCCCTAGCAAGCAAGACCTTGAACATTGTCACCTTACCTGTTCTGTACCGCCACATAGCCTTTGTATGGTCCATCCGCCATTGGAAGCCTGAGCGCATGGGAATCCTTTCTCGAACACTTATCAAGCGTCCTGAACTGGTCGGCTTCACTGAGTCGTTGAAGATATCAATGCGAAAGCTTACGGAAGCGGAGCTCAAGCTCCCTTACGAGCAGCAACGGATGGAGTTCGAGGAACATCATGATTTCAATCGCGAGTAAAAAAAAGATGTTTCCCGCGCTTTCGCCGATTCTGGTTTGCGTACGCGACAACTATCTGACTTGGACAAGGCCATCGTTCTTTTGATCTGGAATCTAAAAGACACGCTACGGTCATTGTCGCTCGATATCAATTTGTTTGATTATAATCATCTTGATCCGATCGGTCTGATACTTTCCCAAGCCCTCTACCGCAGTGACTCACACAGTTCTGCAGCCTCTTCGGCGTTTGCCCGTTTGGAACATGTCGAGTTCTATAGTGGGGAACTCACTTCAATATTCGATCCTTTGTCAAGTTGGCAAAACAAAAGGCATCAGATATTGCCACGCATCGCCTTCCTCAAGGTGTTCGAGTTGCCGTCTGTGAAATCGCTGGGTTTTCACTTCTTCTCGGAACTTCCTGGGCCGCCTGGTAAAGTAGACGTTCAATGGCGTGGAGATGACCTCAGCAAGATATGCCCCCGTGATGAAGACACCCTAGGCTCCGAGAAAAAATGCTCTTGTAAGGAGTACTTCCGTCATCATCTGATGCGCTTTCACCAACCATACGTCTGCGATCTCACCACCTTGCACCTGAAGAAATGTATTGCCCGCCCTCGCACTCTAGGCCGGCTCATCGAGCACCTTCCGCGTCTTACCACGCTGGAGTACGATTATATCTGTACCTTTTCGGAAGCTCCGCTAGATTGCGATCGTTTGCGCAGCGCTCTCCTTCCACTCCGCCACACACTCAAACACCTGGCTGTTAGATTTCGCCTGTATGATTTCTACGGATATGAACCTGGGGATCCTTTATGTAAGGGCAGCTTGGGCCCTTTACGCGCATTTGACGCCCTAATCTCTCTCGATACGCCCCTCGCCATTCTCTACGGTCACGCAGAGAAAGTTAATGATCCACCCCTCACGGAGATGCTGCCCCCGTGTCTTCAAAAACTCACTATTCTAGACGAAATATGGGGGGACAATGAGTTCATATGGGATGAATTGCAATTTTATCGAGTACTACGGGCATTTTTTACGGGGGAGAAAGTAATGGAATGTTACAGCCCTGATGGGGAAAGGTTTTCTCCGCCAAGTTATCTTCTGGAGGAAGGCGGGGAGCCAGGTTGGAAGGAAGCTACCCCACAGCTCAGCGAGTTTGTGTTGGACAAAGATTGGGCAGCCTACAGTGAATCTGTTTTCTTGAGTGCTGTCGAACAGGAGGCTGGTAGACCATTGAAGCTGGATGTGGAGAGACAAGGTATTCGATATAGCTGCTTGTATCACCATCGTGATCCTTGAATTACTATGGTGTTGTGCCCAAGCTCATCGAGCAATGGCGTACCGCAAAAACGCTTCATAGATTCACCATTCTTTTGTGGCCCCGTGCTGTTCGAGTTGTTTATTTGCTTCCCCATCAAGTCTAGTATGTAATTCTATGCGGCACCAATGCTTGGTATTGCTTTCTCCACGCATAGATACAGAAGTATTCATGACTGCTCAAACGATGCAACGCAAGAACCCAAAGAAAAAAAAGCAGATGCCCAAACAACAGTATATCAACCTCTCCACACATCCGAGTACCATGGCGTTACATCCGCACCCCATCTACCCGAGCAACTCAAATCCTCCATACCGCCACCACCCAATCCCACAACACCAATCACGCAACCCCGAAATCGCACGCCCAAATATTCATATAAACAGCACACCCAACATGCGAGTACTTCTCGCTAGAGCAAATCTCCGCATGTCCCGTCTGGCCAGCATAATTCCACCCTTTCCCCCAAACACTACACACCTCGGACCCCAACCCAGGAACATTCGGCACCTCGCAGAGCCAGCCCCCAACAAACGCATTCTCGAATTGCTCTGGGGAGCTCTGAGCAAGGACCTGCGCCCGCGTCCCGGGATTAAGTTGGTGTATCATTTGCCCGTTGCCGTCGTTGACTGTTTTCTGCGCGTTGGATTGCAGCTGGGTGCTTAGGGTGAGACTGCTTTTGCCGAGTCTGTTGCGCCATTTGTTGATGATGGGGAGGTAGTCTGTTGCGAGGGCTGCGAGAGGGTCGTCGGGGAGGGGGCGGAGGTCGAGGGGTGGGGAGGTGAGGGAGAGGGTGATTGGGGCGATGAGGGTTTGTTGGGTAGATGGGAGGGCGGCTGCTTGCGCGGAGACGGAGAGGAGAGTGGGGATGAGGATAGATATGACGTGCATCTTGGATTGAATATATTGTATGGTGTTCTGGTAAGTTTGAAGAGACGTTTGGATGAGTTGAAGTAGCTGTTTGCTGCGTCTGGACTCATCTTTATGTGTGATATTCTTGTTGTTGATATACCTTGCAATAAAGTCATGGTCCTTGAGCTCTTGACTACATGTGGTGATATCCCTCGAGCGAGGAGGTAAGATGATTGTCAATGCTCTAGTGATTCATTAAGCCACGCTGAGCATGAAGTTAGGCATATCGGCTTACACCGATACCTTGTCATCGCCTCTCGTGGGTTGTTGAAGAGCGTAGATGATAGTGGGGGCCAGAAATCACAGTCAGATTTACAGTCGATATGGACAAACGTCACGAAGGCTGAGCATCTAGTCTTCCTCGAATCAGCCGAGAAAATATAATGGTTCAATGGCGAGAGGTAAATAGACCATTAATACCGAGTCTAGATCTCGGGTCACTGAAATTTCAAAGATGTTTTGGTTTACGGGATGCATATGATAAGTTCCTACTCTGACCCGTCTTACATACCATGTAGGCCTTTTGTGCTCTGATAGGTCTACATGGTGTTACAGAAGGCGTTTTTCAGCTTCGATGCTCGATAGGTGATGAATCAAATGTCGCACAGGTGACCATTAAAGCCCCCCGCCCCCAATATCAGGTCGCTGGTCAATCGAAGGGAATGATTGTAAATCAAACCATGATGGAGGACCGCAAGCTGAAAGCTTGCTGAGGATAATGAGTAGATCACAGGATTACAGGCGTTCGCGATGTTCCCGCATTGTTGAGGCATCCAATCTGGTCGTAGTTGTGTTAGTCACATGCGCAACAGTAGGCATCGCACGTTTCTTACTCAGACAACATATGTATGTATTGAAGCCTTCGGGGAGTTTAATGTACCGCTTGAATACGAAAGTACACGGGGAAACGTGTAAGGCGGATTGCCGATTATGGAAAACGCTCATCTAGAAGGTGATTTCAGGCAATTCACTTGTGTTCTTTTGTATGTGCTGTGCCAGATTTCATTGATCGCCATGACCTCAAAATCACAGCAAATGGCTGACTCGTTCACCCCTTGTTCCTGTGTGGATATCTCGCTACTTGCGTTCACCAATTCAAACGTTGAAAGAATGAGAATTTAGATTGAATAAATTAAATAGCAGTGTGGTGTGGGTATCATGCTAAATGGTAAGAAGTGGAATAAAACTCAAAGCATTTGCTGCGCCGCCCAAAATGAAAAGGTCGTGTCGACCGCCTACTCTTCCAGAAGAACCTTCATAGCCCAATCAATCGCCTCTTTCGCTTCAGGGACCCCATATCCAGCCGTAAGCACAAAACAATGCATTTGCTTCTCCCAGTGCAACCACTCCCCCCTCACCCCGACTTCCTTACACTTCTCCCTCAACAACACACCATCCGGGCTCAGAATATCATGACCACCGGTAATCCCATGTACCGCTATCCCACTCTTCGCCAATAAAGATATGTCAGCGTTAAGAGGCGAGAGACGAGGGTCCGAGGCATCCCATTCACCTGCCCATGCTTTCGCGGTTGAGTTGACGAAGTCGGGTGTTAAGATAGGGTCGAGGGGTGCGAGCTTTTTGATGGAGGGATTGGCGCGTGTTAGATCGGTTGAAGGGCATGTCGCTAGAAGGGCGATGGGATGGGATGGCTTGCTCGTCAAGTCTACCTCCTGTTTGTCTTCCCCGGTATTCGCTTTTTCGGGATCGTCGGAGGAGAGAGGATGGGAGAGCGAGTCTTCTCGCAGTGCCTCTAGTGTGAGGCACAAGATGATATTTGCGCCAGACGAATCCCCGGCTAAGATGACTTTCTCACCCATGTCATCGGCGGCACGTAATATGGCGCGGTAAAAGCGGAGGAGCCAAGGGAAAGCCGTGGGTGCGGCATTCTTGGGTGCCAGAGGGTATGAAACGAGGGAAACGGTCATGGCAGGCAGATCTCTCGCCATGCGCACGCAGAGTTGCCAGTGTTGGGACGAAGGTGGGCTCTGCCAGCCACCGCCACAGAAATAGTAGAGGTGCGATTTGCGGGAGTGTGTCTGGGTCGGGGTGGGAGTTTTGGGGACGAGGTCGTAGACATTGATGTCGCAGACTGTTCGGTGGGTGATATTGCATTTGCGCTTTGTGTACAAGTTAGGTTTGAGAGTTATGGAGCCTTTGGGTTGGTGGGACTTGGGGCGGCCTAAGTGTGAGCGGAAGGGTCGTATCACGGAGTGGATTATGTATGTATAGAGGGAGCGTTCGCGACGAGTGGTGAGGTTTAACGAGGATGGTTCGGAGGTGGGTTTGGAGGCAGGCGTCTCCATTGTTGGAAGCTGTTCAATGTGTGAAGATTATACTGGCCGTGTGGGAATTTTGCAGATTTTGCAGTGATTGACTTGGAGAAAAACTAAAAAGACTTGCGAACAGATTAGAAAGAAGGAAAGGAAAAAATGGAGCGCGCATTCACGTAGATTGTGTTGGAACATGTCGTACACCTGAGACATGGGGTATGGGGAGTATGCATTCCTACTCGTAGCGTCATCCATCGAGTGGTGCCCATATTGATGACGTCGGTGGCTGGCAGTAGATGATGTGTGTCTGAGGTCGAGAAAAAGGGAAAAGGGCGTGCAATTGCATACAGAGTTGGGGTGGTAAAAACGAGTACTTACATTGCAGTAGTATGGATCGTGAATCGAAGTTTTTTTGGTGAAGAAATGTGATTTGACAAGGGACCTGGCTGCTAAGGGTTCAGTTCGTAGCAAGTCGGATAGCGGACCCTGGGCCTTGGCACGTGACGTCATTAAACACCACCGTTCAGGTGGGCAGGCAGGTTTCTAAAAACACCTCGATGTTCCTCCAACTTCACTGCGCCACGATGCAGACTGTATCGAACCTTTTATCGCTTCACCTCGCTGCGTTTTGTTATGAGACAGATTTACATGGATGTCTTCTGGAGTGCGAAACTATGATCACGTGGAGAAAGGACGTCACATGATGCATGCGTGTCCCGCAGTTGACGCGAAGACGCGTCGGTGCAATGTCCAACACCCGTCAATATCAATCCCACAGTGCAGCAATTGACGCCACGATCTCGCAATCACCAAGAATCATCACATGGAGCACCGCCATCGAGAGTCTCGTCGTATGTTCTGGACCTCCTGGCAAAACGTCTGGCTCCGGGATCGCGGCATCACCTCTGGGCGGAAAATCAGGATATGCCACAGCAACCTCCCTGACAAGCACTTGGCGGCCAGCACTAGCTAGCATCGCATTGGCGGAGTGGACCTTCAAAGTGCCTTCCGCTCCGCCAGCAGCTCATCATGCAGCCTTGGCTCAGTCTTCTCAGCCACATCTCCAACCGTCTAGAGAGCCATCACCCTACCTCCGCTCGCTGTGATAGGTCGATTCTGCCCCTATCCCTTGGCGCACGTACTTCTGAAATGATTAATAGTCACTCATCGAACCATTACATGCCAGAAGAACTAGTTGGTATAAGTAGTATGGGGGGACGCTTGCTCGCGCCCTGCTCGCGTTCAGCACGGCTCGAAGCTCCTGCGCAATGGCACAGCAACAATACTTGACCGACGAGGAGATCAAGCATTTTGTCGACGACCTAGATCACGACAAGAACGGTACCATCGACTACTGGGAATTGGAGAAAAAGCTCGACCAAATTCACCAGGAGCTTGCCCCGAAAGCAGAGCCACACCACCTCCACCACGAATCGCGAGATGACGACGCCCGGCACAAATTCTTGCGAAGCCTTACCTCCAGTGAAGACAATCGAGACAAGATCCCGCGTGCCGAATTCGAGGGATACGTTCGACAATGGAAAATCCCGTCTCTGGAGCAGGATCGCAAAGAGGCAAAAGAGGAGGACGAATACTTCAAAAACATATCCATGTGGCGGCGTCTCCGAGCGTACTGGGCTGTCAAAGGGCCATCCATAATGTTCATGACACTGGTGATAGGTGTCATGTTGGCTTTTGGGGTCTGGCAGCTTGTCAAATACCTCACACGCGAAGAGTACCGGCCTGCATTTGGCTGGGGAGCCGTCTTTGCCAAAACTATGGCTGGATTTATCTATCCCACCTTCTTCTTTATCATTCTCTCCATGTCTCGTTGGTTTTCGACTTTCTTGCGCAGGTTCTACTTTATCTCTAGGTTCATCAATTGGGATTTGTCGCAGTCATTTCATATCAAGATGTCCACAGCAGGCCTATGCTTTGCGACATTGCACGCCATTGGCCATCTCTCCGGGTCATTCGTTTTCGGGAGCATGTCCAGTCGCCAGCAAAACGTTGCCGTCGTCCTCGGCGAGGATGCCATCCCGCGCCGATACATCGACTACGTGCAGACCCTGCCGGGATGGACGGGCTTGACTGCCCTGGGATGCTTCTACCTGCTCGCTTCTCTTAGCATGCCGCAAATCCGGAAGTGGAGTTACGAAGTGTTTCAGCTTGGCCACTTGCTCATGTTCCCCATCATCGCACTCATGATGGCTCATGGCACCAAAGGTCTTCTACAATGGCCCATGTTCGGCTATTGGCTAGCCTTTCCCACGCTTCTTGTTGCCGCCGAGAGAATTACCCGCTTCTCCCTCGGCTTCTTCCCCCTTCTCGCAGATCTTGCAATTCTCGACGAAGAGACAGTCGCTATCACGTGCAACATCCCGAAATTCCGATTTTGGCCGTACAAGGCTGGCCAATACGTCTTTGTCCAGGTCCCACAGATATCTTTCTTCCAGTGGCACCCGTTCACTGTGTCCACGTGTACCGGCAACACGATGCAGGTCCACATCAAAGCTGACGGCGACTGGACAAAAGCGTTGCAAAAGTTGGCGAGTGTAGGATCACGCACAACCATCAAGGTCGGCATCGACGGACCCCACGGCGCACCCGCGCAACGCTTCTACGACTTCGAATACAGCATGGTCTTCGGCGCTGGCATCGGCGTAACACCCTTCTCAGGCGTCCTGACCGACCTTCAAACTCACGAACTCGAGCGCTGTTCAACGCGCGAGAACGAACCCTCTCCTTCATCTTCCTCCTCCAGCCCAAACACAGACAGCGACAACGACAACCCCGCCCCCACCAAACCCAACTCCGAATCTCCCTACAAAGACCACCGCCGCATCGATTTCCATTGGATGGTCCGCGACCGAAACAACCTCCTCTGGTTCTCCGACCTCCTTAACGAAGTCACGCGCGCCCAGTCGCGCGATAGCACGCACCTCGATATCCGCATCCAGACATACGTCACCCAGAAACGCAAGCAAATTTCCCAGCACGTATTCCGCTGGCTTCTAGAATCCCACCGCACTTCTTCCCACCCGAAATCCCCACTCACTGGACTGCTAAACCCTACGCATTTCGGACGGCCCGAGCTTGGGGTCATCATGGAGGAACATTATCAGGATATGTGCAAAGAGCTTGTGCAAAGGATGGAGAGCAGCGGGGAGAAGTGGGATGGTATGGGCGACAGAGATGAGGTAAAGGTTGGCGTGTTCTTTTGCGGACCTCCCGTTATTGGGCAGCAGCTTGCGGATCGGTGTGCAAGTCTGACTGCGCGGGGGAGAGCAGAGGGTAAGAAAGTGGAGTATCATTTCATGATGGAGGTATTTGGGTAATTCGTTTCAACTTTTTGTAATTGGTAACAAACGCATGGGATATGTACGGCCGTACGCTGTCTATGTGCTCTTCCATGTTTCTATATTACGTCTTGTCGTCCGGGGAAAGATATTGGGTCACTTCTCCTTGTCTCGCTGCTGGCTATGAAAGATGACAAATCATTTCGATTGTACACCTGATGCCCCCTGATACTTGACCATTCTGCTCCCCAACGACGAACCGATCTTGGTCCTACATTGCCGCTAGCCTCAACATGAAACGATTAATCATAGGATGACTTTTACGGTACTCGTATAATTTCGGTCATTTCGATCGACGAGACCTCGCTGTACTGTTGCGGAAAACACGAAATACAAAAATATATATGCATTGTGGGCATCTCAAAAAAAGTAGTAACAAGAAGCGAATCTCCCCCGTAATGATCAACCTCAAACACATGAACCCAATCGTCAAGCCCAAATCTCCCGATCGAAGTGAATAAACGACCATCTCATTACAGCAGAATAAGAAAGTCAATCCATTCCCCCATTATCTCCACATCTCCTTCACCACAAACCCACCCCAATCCCGATACCAACAATCTACAAGTTGATGTTCGCATTGTAGTTGCTGACGGTGTACTTTGCAGGACCACCAGTAAACGGCTCAGTTCCCTGCTGGAACACAATCAAATGCTGGTCGTTGATGGGGTAACCCTGGTTCTGCGCCAACCAGGTGAAGAACTGCTTGACATCGGCATTGAAGCTGAACTTCCAGGAGCCGTCCGAGGGGAGGAAAGAGAAGACTTTCATGGAGCCGTTGGGGCCGACGTAGAGATCCCAGTTGTAGCCTGCGATGTTGACGGTGGTGACTTTGTTGCCGATGGGGTAGACGCCGCCGATGCGAGCGAGCCTGCGTAATCACGTTCTGTTAGCAACGAACTCCTTTTCTATTTTTTGGGGGAGTAGGGATGGGGATGGGAGAGACGTACCAGATCATCAATTCGTAGTCACCGGAAGAGGTGGCGTGGTTGGGGTCGGCCGCGGTGAAAACATCGTAAGCGACGTTCGCCCTCAGATCCCTAGGCTGGTAGTCCCAGGTAATGCTCGTAGTCATGCTTCTGATGTTGCTAATCTTCAATCCTTTAGAAAACTGCTTGCCGGCATTCGCGTAGCTCTTGACGTTGTCCTGTCCGCCCTGCCATGTCCAGGATGTTGACCACGATACACCGGATTGAGAGGTCGATTGCACGGTGGTGCATTGGGAGCCAGAGGATGCGGAACCCTTACCCCAGTTGTTGTTGTTGAACTCGTAGCCGTTGGCGGCGTAGTATGCGTATTGGTCGCAGAGAGTTGCGGCTTGACGGCGGAGGAGAGGTGTTGTGGGGGATGTTGGGAGGGGAGAGGCGGTTGAGAGGGCGGCGAGGAGGGTGGTCAGGGTTGTGAGTTTGGAGAGCATGATGGGCGGTTGCGTTGATTATGCGGCTGAGTAGCAAACTGTAGTGGGTGGTGGGTGTCGATCTTTTCTCATGGTACTTGCGGTTTATATATGTTTTTCTTTTGGGCTGTTCCTTTCCGATCGGTTATCTCCTCTCCGCTATTTTCGTTTTGCCCCGTATTTGTTTGGATTCGGTAATTATGTATTTTCTCCGACGATGCTGGTGTACTCCTATTTCATTATTCCTATTTCGATCGACTACACTGTAGTAGTCGTGTGGGGAACCATATTAGCCTAATGATTTCGCGCCGTCGCTAACCCGGTCGGTGCAACATATACAAGGAAAAACCTGGTATCTGGGCAAACGTCACTCTAAATGTTCCGGTAGCGATGCCCGACAGGCCCGGCACTTGGGCTTAATCACAGGGAGTCGTGATATTTAGATAATATGTTAGCGCAATCTAGTATGTTGCAGGTTTAGTGATGTGCGGGGAGTACCCCTGCCGTGCATTCTCTATAGGTGGGAAAATAGGTGAATAGGTACTTTTGTTTGATGGGTACGAATGAGGCTGTAATAACCAAGCCGGTTTCTGAGTATTGTATTTGATTGGATTCAATGAGTTGCTTTTAGCTGTTGTGCCTGGTTGTAGATGAAAGCCGCTGTGTTTTATGGGTAGCGAACTGCCGATGTCAGTCAACAGTTCTAGAAGTTCAATTCGAAATGGAAGTGAGCTACGAAGATCCCGAATTCCATCTCCGATCCATTCTCTGTTGTCGGAGTCTTCTCCAGTTAGTCGCGTGATTATGCACATCATGAAATATTTGATTGATTGATTCATCCACCCGAGGGCCAGGACGAGGGCGCCGTTCTGGAACATCTTCGGGAACAATGCAATCATAGGCTTCTCTTTGATTAAGCGCCTGGAAAAGAAGCTTATTTGTTCGCCGGCGAATTGCTTCATTCATATTCAACGGTCTAACCAGGAATACGTCTTCTACTTGGTTACGCTAGCCTCTTTGGATTCATAGTATTCCAGTGGACGTTTGTACTCGTGAGCTTTGTACGGTAGGAGAGTGATAACCAGACCAGACCGGCAGATCGCATCGTGCGAAACGGAGGTGAACCTCTTAATGCACATCAGGACGAGCGGGGCGACTTGTACATGCGCACATGGTCGAGGTGGCAAATTGGATGGTCACAAGTGCTCATGGTCAACACCCCTTTCGCATCTATGTTGAAGACAAATTAGCTACATTTATTTTCATTGAGTTCATCAAGGTCCAGCAATATGGTCACGTGCAACTGGAGACCACTTGCGCATGCAGGGTCCTACCTACCCCGGGAAAATATCCATTCTAATGGCGACGACAGCTACTGAAATTGCGACAAGAACGATATTCAACATCTCGCGTGCGGGCAGTGTCTACGCCACAGAGTTGTATGTCCTGGGTATGGGAACCCGCTGGATCAGGGCCTTTAGGATGAGAGTGAGATGGATGGGGGGAATTCTTTTTTACAAAAATGATACGTAAGAAACAGACCCGAGATTGGGAATGTAAATAGGATGCTATTGAGGATAGCTCGCGGTGATGTGTTCAAAGATGGACGGAGAATGAGTGAGGCGATTGTGCGGGAGACGGAGATGTATGTCGGCTTGCAACTTTTCTGTTTATCCTGTATGTATGTTTCAGACATTTGATGTTATCCAACACTACATGTTCTGCCAGTTTGGCTGGCTTTCTGACATATACATGACCTATGTGAGCTTGCAGAAGATCTAGCACGAACGGCATACACACTTTCGACAGGAATCAAAGACCACGAATTTTGTCTGGGCATAATTGTATCTCATACACAGGGAATATAACAGCTTCGGGATCTAGTCAAACGAAAAATGGGTATCGCTGAAGAATATTGCGAGGTCGTTCGTTCGTCCATCCCCAGCTCGCGCTCACGATTACTAGCGTTTCCAAATTAGGACTAGCTCACGTATGATCATAGGCTCGTCGCCCATATCGAATGCCCGAGACACCGAATCGCGATGATCAAGTACAATTCATACCAAGAACAGTCATAAGAACTCATAAAGGTGGCCTAATTGTTTCTAGCTGATCGGATTCACGAATGGATTACGGGTTCCTTCGCGGAGAATCGGAAACCCTAGTTCTCAGCCTCGGAAACAATCGGAGGGTCGGAGGGTCGTGATAGTACAGCCCTGCAGTTTACGTCAGCTATATAAATGCTCGACAGGACATCGAAATACTGAAATCATACCAAACTATCAAACATAGGCTCTGGGATACTTCACTACATGACGATGGCTGAGAATTTTCAAGTTATCATTGTTGGCGCTGGGCCCGTGGGCCTCTTCCTCGCATGTGAGCTCGCATTAGCTGGAGTATCCGTCCTCGTCTTGGAGAGGGATGAAGACCCTAATTCGATTTGGAAAGAACAGCCTCTTGGGAGGAGAGGGCTGCAGCCTTCTGCGGTACGTCTTCTGTTACTTATTTTATTCTATAAAACCTTGCTGGAAGATGCAGTACATGTAATCTTCTGCAACTCCGCGATGGACTGGCATGTATTTGAATGAACCTCACTGACATTTTCGCACCATAGATCGAATCATTCTACCGAAGGGGACTGTTGGAAAAGATTACGCCTGCATTCGAAGATGTTGGCTTGGAGCACATGAAATCGTTCAAGGAAACCTTTGCCGGCCACTTCGCAGGAATCATGTTGTACCGCGACAAGATCAACCCGAAACAACATCCCTACCACCTAGACGGACCAGCTTATGTACCGCTGGTCTTGACGCTCCAGATCCTCGACACAGCCCTAACCGCGCACGCTGAATCTCTAGGTGTCAAGATCATCCGCAACGCCGAAATCACCGCCCTCGACAACGGCGAGGATTCCGTCAAAGTCACCACCGCCTCTGGGAAATGGTTCTCAAGCTCCTACCTTGTCGGCTGCGACGGCGGCAAATCCTTCATCCGCAAAGCAGCATCCATCCCCTTCCCAGGCACCGGCCCTGAATTCACTGGCTACACGGGCATCGCCACCCTCGATCGCCCGGAACTCATCAAACCTGGTTTGAACCACACCCCCAACGGCCTAACAGTATACCCATCCCCAAACAACTACTCCTTTATCGAATTCGACCTCTCCTTCGACCGCAGCCAACCCGTGACCCGCGAGCACTTTGAGACGGCACTCCAACGCACCACGCAAACGGACGTCAAAGTCATCGAACTCAAAGTCGCAGGAACATATACCGCGCGTTGTAAGCAAGCGGCCAACTACCGCAAAAACCGCGTCCTACTCGCGGGAGACGCAGCGCACATCCACTCTCCGCTCGGCGGCCAAGGTCTCAACGCCGGCATCGGCGATGCGATGAATCTAGGCTGGAAGCTCGCTGCTGTGGCTCACGGACGCGCGAAGGAAGGATTGCTGGATTCGTATCACGCCGAGCGGTATCCGGTCGGGAAGGATGTGTTGGACTGGACGCGTGCGCAGGTTGCGACGTTGAGGCCCGATGGGTGTGCGAAGGCTGTGCAGAGGGTTATGAAGGGGCTTGCGGATACGGTGGATGGGACTACGTGGCTTGTGGGGAAGATCTGGGGGATCGAGACAAAGTACGCTGGGTTTGGTGTGGAGGAGGATGAGGCGGTGGAGGTGCATGATCTCGTCGGCAGAAGTGCGCCTGATTTTATGTTCGAGGGTGGGAAACGGCTCGGGGAGAAACTGGTCGGTGTGGGGTCGAAGTTTGTTGTTTTGGATTTGAAGGGCGATAAGGAAATTTCGGGGGTCGTGGAGGCGTTGGAGGCGGGCGATCTTGTTGGGTATGTTGGTGGGAGGGTGGAGGAGAGCTTCGGTGCGCGATGTATGATTCTTCGTCCTGATGGGTTTGTCGCGTGGGTTGCTACTCTGAAGGAGCAAATTACTTTGGGGGATGTCAGGCGCGCATTGGAAAGGTGGATCACTCTCTGACGTGGAGGTGTTCTGTGTTCATGTATCATGAATTGGTCTGTCTGCTTATCATGAAGGACAAAATCGCGATGTGCAAACGTAGATAAGTGTATTTTTAATCGCATTGATCTTTATTGCCGCGGTCATAAATGCATGGCAAGGTTCTGGATATGCGAAGACAAGGGAGGTCGTCGAGGCGTTGGCGATAGAGAATGTGGCTGAGTGATTTGTTTTGGTTTGCTTGCGGCGTTAGCAAATACAATCAACAGTCTCTGCCCCGCATCCACTCGAGGTAATAGTGTGCTTGTGATGAATGCTACATAGTGAAAGAATCCAGTAAGCACGACAGCCTCTCTAGCTACATAGTTACCTGCTCTCCTTTGCCGACTCCGGCTGTCGAACACTCTCCGCATAACCATCTTCATCCACAGATATTCCATTCAGCAGAGAACACGATATGGCCGATACCCCTCGCCCAGGTGAACAGCCCGCTGTCCCAGGCGGCGCGACCCGGAAGCGCAAGCTCGATGAGGCCGTCAATCGCGAAAACAACCCCCAAGTTGGAGCCGCCCGTGAAAGTATCACGTTTGCTGGGGACACGGAGCTTTGGGCCGCCTACCAAAATCGCGTTCATCGGGATCCAGATGTACCGGTAGACGATGGTACAATCTTCAGCGAGGAAGTGTCCCAGAAGTTCATCTGCGCAATCATCTACGTCGTGGAGCACCAACTCGAAGCAGATGTTCTTGATCATCTTCTTTGTCACATATCCCGGTAAGTATACCCTTACACTCGAAGTGGCACTAGCCAGAACTCTACTAACACCATTGCGATTCCAGTCTTGACAATGCACACTTTAACCGCGAAATGTCAAAGGCCAGGGCGAAACAGACTCGTTGGCAGACGGCTATTGTCACGGACGTCATATTCGTGCAAGCCATAGTTTTGAAGGGCGAAGTCAAAGCTGCAGGCAGGGATATCTACGACATGTCTGAGCAACAACTCCGACGGATCATTCTGGCGAAATGGACAGAGAGCATGTGCATTTCCATGTATCACCGGATTGCAGACATTGTGGATTTCGCCGCCGTCTTCCGTCCGCCTGCTGAGCACGCAGCTCGAGTCCGCGACTTCCGTCGATATCTTAGGCAAGTCTTCTACCTCATCATGCGCGACACTATCCAGAGCCGCCTCCCTCGAGAAGACAACCCCGGTCAGCGGAAGAAGGATTATCAGTTCTTTGGAGAATGGCGTGCTATGAAAGCCGACCCAACAATCCCCTGCGTTCCTCGCTTCGAGGAAATTCCGGTATTCCCTCCGTCGAGCATTCAGCCGCGAAAGAAGGCCAGGAAGACTCGCTCGACTGAGTAAGGCCAGCGAAGCTTTCCCAGATCGAGCGACGAGAGTGGCAGATTGGGCTATGGAATTCAGAGAGGGATTTACCGCTAGTTCACGCCGGCTCCATGCCACATGGACGTGAGCGGACATGGTTGTGGTGATGTTAGATCTGGTCTGCTTGCTTTTTGCCTTGCTCGGTCTCTGGTGGATTATGGGTGTTGAGCTGGATTTTTTTCCATGGCACGTGGGTGGTTTGTGTCACGTCGTAGGCCTTAACCTGATTCTCGTCCGAGGGCCACGACAAAAAGCTTGGATATCAGTCTTATGTAGCTGAAAATTTCTACAGGGTGTAATGGGCTAGCTTGAATACTTGCGTCATCAGAATTGCTGATCCTATGCGCGCGTGCTGAAGTGTAAATAACCTCATGTTTCACAAAACCTTTTGTATATCACAAGACAAAGACCGTGGGTGTATGTCATTCACTTTTCATTATCCAATGGTACGACCTGGCTCGTAGATCATAAGAATCATGGATTTAACATTATCCCCGAATCTATATCCCCCGTCGGAGTCAGGAATTCTACTGATGTAGAGTTATTGATATGTCATTTCTGGAATAGCTTGCTTCGCTCTTGAGAGCGATGTGTTGCTCACAATGCTTCGCGTTTGATTACATTCACACAACTGACTACCCCCTGCTCGTTGCTTATTATACTCTCACTATGAACATCTTATCCCAACAGGGGGTATTCACTGCCCGATCGAGCTACCCCCAGGACTCGAACTATAAATTTAGTCTTCGCTCGAGGGAGAGACCCGATACCACACTTCTACCACCTGCCTGCATCTACCAGCGTTAGCGCTTGTTGAAGTCTGATCAACCATCTACTTTGTTGAATACATTCGACTCCTGATACACTCGTTCATCATGCAGTTCCTCACTGCATTCACTCTTTTCCAGCAGGCTCTGCTCCTCCTGGCCGGGCTTTCCTTCGCACTGCCCACCCCCTCAGTTGATCTTGTCGTCAACGATGACAAACCAACCCTTCAGTACAACGGGGACTTCGGTCTGCCTCCTGTCATCGACAAACGCTACGACGTTCTCCCCATCATCAACTACTGGCGCGTCCGCGTTGGCTCCCACCCCCTCCAGTGGTCCGGCAAACTCGAAGGCAACGTCCGCGATACCGTCAACTCTGCCCACGGCTCACTAACCCACAAGTTGAATCCCGGCACCCTCGCGCAAGTCCTGGCGCCTGGAGTGGAATGGTGGTTCGAAAACGTCTGGGTTGGTGGCTGGATGTGCGAGCAGCCTAACATGTCGGGCATGGGCGATGCGTGCCGGACCTGGAGCAAGGGCTGGGTGTATAATGGGCAGACTGCTCATGCCCAGATTGTGACTTCGAATGCATACTCGCATATTGGGTGTGCGTTCGCGGGTGGGATTTGGGGTTGTGATCTCGGTCAGGGTTAGATATGATGGATGGCGTGCGCGTGTGTTGGACTTGGTTGAGTGGACACACAGATGAGCGGTCGGTCTGCATGTACATCGATTTAGACGGCGAGCAATTTTGCTCGGAGGTAAATGGCTGGCTCTGGATTATATTATGGGGGAGATAGACTGACTGTGGGGTCTTTTGGATATGCGTACGAGGATGTTGGCATTTCATCCCTTGCGCTGTCTCTTTCTCCAAGCTATGCTACCGCTGTTGTATTACTGGGCATTGGCGCATGCACGGTTAAGAATATTGCATTTTCTACCTAAGCTGCAGCTTGATCTTTGATGTTAGTCAAATTTGTAAGGGATATTTCTTGAGTGCATGGATACATCGATGCGTGCATTGAGGCAAATCTCCAGGTGATACGCCGCTCCAAGCCATTCAAGAATCTCACCTTGTGAAGATGTTTCTCGTTCCAAATCTTGTCGACCGCAGCTGCCTCAAATCAACGAAGATGTCAGTCGATATGGCTCAAAGAAGACATTGAAATATCGTCAACTTCAAGTGACAAGCTTCAAACCCCGTCCTCTCATTCAGTCGATGCTATGGAACACCACCGCACCGCGGGTAACCAATCTAAAGATAACAAATGCGAAAACTTTTATCCAGATATACTACGACCAATCACTAACACCTTTATAGGCGGGCTGATTGAGCATTGAAGTGCACTATACGATGTTTCATGCTATGATCGAAGCTCAGGTAAATTTTATACATCCTACATAACCTTTTGTGATGTACTGGCACGCGATGAGCTGGTTTTGTAGCTGCAGTCCAACAAGTCATTGGCTACACTTGAATCTTACTCTCTCTCTCACTCATGGACTCCCGCATGGTCGCTTGCATCTCACCGACTCTTCGGCTTTGAAGTCGATCTGTGAGTGACGTCGATTACTGGCGGTGATACCAATTGTGCCCGCGGACACGCCCGCCGCGTGACTCGAATTTGTCCCCGAAACTTCTATAGCCTTCTATAGATCAGTCTGTTTGTCCAAGAAGTTTCTATCATCTTCTATGGACGCTGTTTGCTCACCAGAGCCAGCGAAGTGGGTCCGAGCGTTTTCTGTCCCACCATAACAATTGATATCGCCAGCAACACTCCGCCGCTCACCCACACCCCCGCTCACCTTCCTGACACTCTCAGTCAGCGTGCCGCCTGTCCTGCGCCTTCAGCTCTCCGCTTTGCAGTAAGATAAATCTTTTGCGCATCGGGCTATATATGGCTGACTTGAATCAGGAAAACTATGGATGCGGCAGCTGCATCGGCGACTACCGCAATGTTGTCTGCAGAGGCGACGGCGTACATCGTCCACCATGTCGTCCTCCCACCCAAGCTACCGCAATCAGACGATTCCGATGACCGCAATGAGCTATCTTTGCTGGATCTCACCATCCAAACACTGGGCGATTTCCCTGTCACTGCTGAAAAACAAGACGCTATCAGAGCCGCCGCTCACTCCATTCAAAATCTGCGGGCTATTCGCGGTATTGATGGCAGCATTTCCGAGTCTCAGCTTTACGAGCAGCTTCGAAACCTAGTCAGTGGAAGGGGAAAAGGTTCAATGATTCTGGAGATCAAAGCGCAGAATGCTGGACTGATTGCCAGCCGCTTTCCAAACTATATCCGATTCGAAGTTTTCGAGCTTGCACCCCCCAATTCCACAGTCATGGGTACCAACGGACGACTCGTTCGTCAGTTCCCAGATCGAGCAGTACAGATACCCTTGAGCACTATGCAGAGTCAGGATCTCCAAAAGACACTCAGCGCTACTATTTCGAAGATGTCAACTCAAGTCGCACCTGGTTTTCAGCCACAAGTCTTGAAACAGAGCCACATGCATGATGAGATGCGAGATACAACTGACCCTGGAATGATCACCGACTATTTAGTGAACTTTCTAGCAGCGTACGGCGAGACAACACCTGTATCGGCCATAACCAAGAACACTCGCGAAGAAGTCCTTTGGGACCAGACCTTGCATCCCTGGCGTCGATCCTCTCTTTGGCTCTTGATACGTGTATTTTTGCATCTTCATCTAGCTCGCCAGAAAGATGGATCGAGTGACCCTGGTCCCTTATACAAAGCCTTCCTTCCGTTGTTCCTATCAAAGTTGATAGATTCGCTGGTGGCCAACTGGAAAATGGTCGGAAACGATGCGCTATACACGACTTCGGCAAAGATTCTTCGGCGGCTGCGCAAGATGGAGCCGTGCACTCAGACCGACGATCTTCGAACAGACTGGCAAGCTTCTATCAAAGCCAAGCTGTCGATGTCTCATGGTCAATTGAAGGCTCGCCAGGAAACATCAAATCAGCATCTCAATCTTCAGAAGCTGACGAAATTGCGACCTATACAAGAACTGGATACCACAATACCTGAACTGAACTCATTCATCGACCATCTGATGTCGTTGAACCAGGATCTATCGCCTTCCAATTTCGATCCCACTTCCGTATACCCGCAGTTTTCACCAGGTGAATTACCCACTGTCTGCGTAGGACAGGGAGAGAATGCAGTGTTCCAGCTTGCTGCGATCGAGAAATGGGCCAAAGAACATCTTCAGTCTTGGATATCATCTACACTGCATCGCTCTGACACCTGCAGTGAGCTTCACCGATTGATCAAGGATTATCACGCCTCCGCAAAAATTGCCTATGCAGATATTCCAACAAGCCTGTCCAATATGTACTTGACTCTTCTGGAACTCTGGGTTGCTTGTGACTCATCAGCTTGTGCAATCTACCCACTATTGCGCAATTATTCACCAGAAGTCAAGCTGATCGAGTTTCCATTTCTGTCACTCCCATTTAAACACCAAATGGAGCGTGCTGATACCGTCGAACGGTACGTTCGTTCAAGGGAAGGGAATGTGGATAGGACTAATCCTTCGATATATCGTGACTTTGGCCATGTAAAGTCCTTCGGCGTTCGATTTTTCGACAACTCATCGGAAATGAAGGATTTGCGGGCGAAAATTGAACGCGAAGCACACGAGAAGCAACAACAAAAGCGAGAAGAACTGGTACGACTCAAGAATAAATATAACGATCTGATGGGACAATACAACGAAAAGTCGTGCGACTACGAAGAAGTTATTGTCGACAGATATCACAACTACACGGAACAACGACATAAGCGCTTTTGCCACCGCTGTTCCCTAAAGAACGAAGCTGACGGAATCGACATTCGCATATTTGAATGGCCACTCTCGCCCATCAAGTCATTTGCCAAGGCAACCGTGTTCGAGCTCCAAGCACCACCAGCATTTAGCGACTGGCGTGATGCATCCATCCATGTTATTTCCGATGTACTGGGATCACAATTATCCGATCCGAGACGGCCACAGAATTCCTACACACTCAATAACCATGATACCCTGTACTGGCATATTACTGGAGATTATACGAGCAGGCGCATCGTTCCTTTGTCCTCCGTAAAACCACACTCAGTCACGCATCGCAAAAAGAAGGGTGCTATCACGAATCTTGAAGAGAAGGATGTATGCCTAGATAGTGCACTACAATATGCCTATTACGACAGTCGCAGGGGTGTATGGACCGGCAAGGAAGATCTGGGACAAGTGATTCAAAGCACATGCACTCGCCAAATGCCTTCCCGATCGAAATCCCTTCAGCGTTATCTCACGAAGTCCCCTTCCACTCTTGATGGTGTACCCCCCAACGAGGTGATCGCAAATCCATCTGACTGCCCGAGCCACCTCTCCGTGGAAGAATTCCGGGCTCTCGCCACAACTCCTCTTGGTTTGAATATTTGCTACTCTAATATTCTAGTACAGCTGGCAAGCCCTGCAGTTGACTTCAATAAGCCGGAGACGCAGACTGTTATTCTGCAAACGATTCATGCCCTTGGTCCCCCAACAAGCAGCTTTGAACGCATTACACACCGAATTCTGACAGATCGTGCTTTCTGCATAACTTGTTTGGATCAACTGAACTCAGCTTTGGTACGAGTATCAGAGAACTGGGAGAGTTGGAGGGCTGCCGCCTCTTTCGCTGAGCTTTCAAAACGGATCTTAAGTCTTTCATCTTCTGAAACTGTTCAAACGCAGGCAATCGAATACCTAGCAAAGATACGGGGCGTTTGCATGAAATGGGTCCGCCGCTTACAGGATCGCATCGCGTCATCCACCGTCACATCCGAGAATCAGAGGCGGGATCTTCTCACAATAGTGGCTGAAATTGCACTCCTTGGTACCAGCACATTCGATATTGAGGAAAACTTCTGGGATGTCGTGTTTAGTCGCAGTACAGTGACATCTACGCTTTTCCAATTCTGTATCGTTGTGCAGGAACTACAACCAGCGCTTTCTGGTCATTCAGAATTTGGCTATCATCTGAGAACTACTATTCAAGCTTGGAAATCGCTTATGTATCGCATCTTTCCGGTCATTCGCGACAAAGTACTACGGGATAACTCTAGCTTGAATGATGCTATTAAGTTAAGTTGGGCGGCTTTCCAACCCCACGTCAAATGGAAATCTCAAGGGGACTGGCTCTGCATTTTTTCTGGCGCATTGTCAGTTTACTATAACCTACTCACCGCGGAGCTACTTGTGAATGGGCTACCGCTTTCTAGGCTGCCTTCTGAATACATGTCACACAATATGTATTCGCCTCTCTTCCAGAAATCGACTTTAGAGGTGGTTCCCACAGACGAACCAGGAATGCGCTTTTCCGCTAAATTCCCTTATTATGGCTATACTTTGCATTTTGGGATGCTGGAAAAAGATCTTCTCATTGTGGCTAAAAAGGATGGCAAGAGCCTCAGACTTATTCCTTCTCGTCTCCTGACAGGTTACTTGCCACACGCCTTTAGCAATGAGTATATCCATTGGTACGACCCAGATCAGCACAGTATTGTTTTGAGACCTATTAAAAAGCCTTGGTCAACCGAATCTACCTCCACATGGAATCTGCGAAAAATGGGCGACAAATGGCGTCTTTCCATGGGGAATCTCACCATGATTGATATGCGGGGCCAGACAGCGAGCCAAATCACGCGACTTCTACAACCTATAGAAGATCCATCTTTCATTCACATCTCAGTCAATACCGAGTCTCAGCAGTTGAACGTTGAGCTACCACGATTGCAGTTGGATTTTGACGTTTCCTGTGGAAAATCTGTGATTCATTCTGTGCAATACAGGGGCATGGTCCTAGATGGAGATCAAAATATTGGCACTCTAAATGGTCTTGAGAGCAAACTTGTGCTGAGGAATGAACTCAAGTCTCAAGACCGTCTAGTGCTGATTCCAGAAGGTTGTATTGACTACAACAAACTGCCAAATCGAAATCATCGTGTCGCTGTCACTGTACGCAAGTCTACAGTAAGGAAAACACATGCATATTCGATTGACAGCACATTGCGACAAATCACAGATAATGGGAATCTTCAGAGCAAACTCTTGCTATGCTATATGCATGCTCTTACGTCTCACTGCCTACCAGATTCTTTAACAGGTTATACCGGGGTAGAGTCGGCCTTGAATATCCTTCAATCAGCAGCTGTCAAATCTTTTCCAGCTCTAAATGAAGAAAACACTACAATGTTGGAGCTTATTGGCAAGCTGTCCCCGAGCCGTGCCTTCTATCCGCGCGAATTAAAAGTCATGCAACAAATCGGGTGGGATGATAAACTGCCAGCGCTCTCGCAGCATCCCAGGTTTTTCACATGCGTCCAAACCCTCTTTGATCAGTTCAGGAGGATGGAGATGTTCTTATCAAATCGGAAGGACTCTAAGGAAAAAGCTTCTAGAGTAAATCTGTATCTGCACGAGCGCAACGTTATTCGATCATCCGCATTCTGGGTTGACAGGTATGGCGCAGAATCTTATGACACAGTAACCTTGGACGAAAAGTACGTGTCTAGAAAATCCAACAATGACATAGAGCGAGGTCAAAAAGCCTTTGCAACCACCCGAATGATACTCCGCAACGAAACTCAGCTTCTCAACACTATTCCAAGCCTTCAAAACGATCTGTTGAAGCATTTCGGGCAAGGACATGTGTCTGGTACCGGTCATGAAACAAAACTTAGCTACGACTCTGAATGGCTGGGTAAACCTACCCCCATTCTCCTCAATTTATGGTGTAGCTTGTGTAATCACTTGACCTTGACAGCCGGAAATTATACCAAGCATGATATAGCAAGCTGGCTATCAACCATGGCCTACTCCTCTAGCGTAGACATGGCTGTCGTTCAAGTCTTAGCCATGTTATACAAGCGATCGGATATCCGCCAAATCCAACCACCCGGAGCAAAGGAGTTTAATCTCTCTCGCGGCAGAGATTGGAACGGTGCGGTGATTCGCCAAGTTGTTGATATTGCTATTCGGTCTTTTGAGTCAAGTGCAGAGGCACGCCTTCCGAGACAGAACGGTGAGAGTAAAAACGATCACAAACGGAGGATGAAATCGACTTTCCAGCAAAACTCTTCTGCGGCGGCTGACCAGTTCATCGCCCGCTTAGAAAGCCAGTGGCCATGTCATGAACCTATCATGCCCACCTCCGCGGTGATCGCCAAATATATCAACCCAGTCAGCATCGATGGCATCATCAAAAGCCATTTCACAGCTTGGTCGAACAATCGTGGCTTTCTACAGTATCTTGACAAGCTATCTTCCGCTGTGGCTCGACTGGGATGCATTGGGGTTCCTAAGCTCATCATTCTGAAGCCGCGATCCGTTCCGAAGAGCAGCCAGTTTCAGAGCCGGATAATCCCCTACGTTTCTGAGCAATCTATCTTTCAAAGTACCCCAGCCCAAATCGATAGAGTCTTCACAGAAACTTCCGAACGCATTCTTCGTGGCAAGCCTCCTTATGAACGCGTGCCAGTGAAAGAAGAATCAGAGGGGCAATCAGGGCAGTGCAGAGCTAATCGTCTGCAAGACCTTTGTAAGACGCTCGAAACTATGGCAGAATCCAAGCCGGAAAAGTCATACGTTGAGAATTTGCGCAAGAGTTGCTTATCACTGGAAGAGAAGATGAAATATACCAGCGTAACTCCTTTTCTGGGGGAAGAAGAGCAGAAAGCCCTGCGCCTATATCTAGAAGAATGCTCACGCTATCTCTTCGAGTTCAATGAAATGTTGGCCTATACCGCTGCGACCGCGACCGCAGTGACCGAGCTTGGGTTTCAGATCCAGATCGCTCCCCGGATTGGTCCGAAATTCTGGCTTTCACGTTTATGTGGTAATCGATTCCAATTATTGTCAGATGATTGGAAGACAAGTATTGTTGAGTATGGACTGGCGATCAACGGACTCCAACGAGCTCAGCGACTCTATGATCTTGTTGAAAAGCCCATTGATCTTTTCGAAGAGTTAAGCGACGCTGGGCACACAAACTGGAATCCCTATGAATTTCCTGAGACGTTGTTACTCGAAGCTGAGAGTGGTATCATGGTTAGAGAAGTGCAAGAGACGATCGCGAAGCAGATGCGGGAGCCACCTAACGCCGATAATATTATCTGTCAGCTTAATATGGGTGAGGGGAAGAGCTCTGTTATAGTACCTATCGTCGCAGCATCCCTGACGAACTCTTCCAAGTGAGTTTCCCATGTAAAACTATACGCTGTACGCAACGCTGACAAAATGACAGACTGGTTCGAGTGGTGGTCGCACGACCTCAGAGTCACCAGATGTTTCACATGCTGGTATCTAAATTCGGAGGATTGCTAGACCGCACCATATACCATATGCCATTTTCCCGCAAGACCAAATTGACGATAGCGGAGAGTGAAAAGCTGCGCACTCTCTACGAAGAATGTTTGAAAGAGCGCGGCATCTTACTGATCCAGCCTGAGCACATGCTATCCTTCAAATTGATGGGTATTGATCGCCGCCTTAGTAACGATGGCATTGCGGACTCACTCCTGGAAACTCAACTCTTTTTTGACGGCGTTACACGCGACATCGTGGACGAAAGCGACGAGAACTTCAGTGTCAAGTTTGAGCTGGTCTATACTATCGGCAGCGCTAGAGGCATTGATTTCTCCCCTGCACGCTGGTCAATGGTACAGGAAGTTCTCAGCTGGATTCCGCCGTTCGCGAAACGGATATACGCCGAGCTTCCAGATTCCGTCGAGATCCTTGACGACAACGACGGCAAATTCCCGCGGATTAGAATTCTGAAACCAGATGCGACTGAGCAGGTTCTGGATTTGCTGGCTCATCATGTTGTGGAACATGGTCTTACCGGCCTTCCAATTCGCAATCAATCCCCCAAAGTCCAGGCAGCCGTTTACCAATTCTTGACTCAAGTAAAACCTACGGCAGCCGATGTAGAGACAGTCATAGCTAGCAGATTGTGGACAGACTTCGCTAAATCTGCATTGCTTCTGGTTCGAGGCCTTCTTGCTGAAGGCATTTTGCGCTTCGTTTTGACATCCAAACGTTGGCGTGTGAATTACGGCCTGGACACGATTCGGAAGCCAAGCACCAAACTCGCGGTTCCATACCGCTCTAAGGACTCTCCTTCGCTCCAGTCCGAGTTCTCCCACCCTGAAGTCGTGATCACACTTACACTTCTTTCATACTACTACGGCGGATTGAGCGATAATGAGCTGTTCGATGCATTTGCCCACGTGATACGTTCAGATCAAAGCTCTATCCATTACAATGAATGGGTTCGCACAGCATCACCAAAATTGCCAGATGCCTTCAAGCAGCTGTCAGGTATCAGCATCAAAGACAAAACCATGTGTATCGAAAAGGTTTTCCCGAAGATGCGCTATTCGAAAGCAGCCATTGACTACTACCTCGCGCACTTTATCTTTCCAAAAGAGATGAAAGAGTTCCCACACAACATGTCAGCTTCAGGATGGGACATCGGCGTAAAGAAAACCCATCCAACGACAGGTTTCAGTGGTACAAATGATACGTCGGGTATGCTTCCACTGAGTGTCAGGCAGTTAGACGTTCCTAGTCAGACCCATACCAATGCGCTGGTTCTGGGTTATCTGCTGCAAGACGAAACTTCGGTGGAGATGATCTACCCATCCGTCAACCGATCAAACGCAGAGAACCTCCTGCAGATCGTCGATGGTATGCAGCCTCAAGTCAGGGTAATCCTGGATGTGGGGGCTCTGATACTCGAAATGGACAACCTCCAGGTCGCTAAAGCCTGGCTTACGCTAAATCAGAACAGCGAAGCGGTGATATTCTTTCATGGTGAGGCACTTTCAGTTCTCGACCGAAGTGATCGTATTGAGGCGTTCCAAACATCTCCTTTCGCCAAACAACTCGACAGATGTCTTGTATATCTGGACGAATCGCATACCCGTGGCACTGATTTGAAGCTTCCTCGAGATTACCGAGCGGCCGTCACTCTCGGTGCGGTGGAAATACAGCATCGCTAACGCAGAACAGCGAGAACTGGCGCCCGAGATAGAGCAAGAGACACAAGTTGAGAACCCACCCGAAATGAAACCCAGGGTACACCAGCTGCACCCAGACGTGCTATCACTCGCGCAAACCGGTCAAATGACTACTGACTCTAGAGGATTCCTCCCCGCATTCCAATCATTGGGCTCCACTACGGCAGGAAAATTAGTTGACCTCGACACATTTCCTTTGGGATTGATGGTAACTGTTGACTATAAACGAACAATCGTCGAGCCCGCGGGTGCAGCCAGGGAGTCGTTTGTTAGCGATTCGTACCAACGATCTGCACAGTGGGTCCTATCGGTTCCAGCTCAGTCAAGCAGGCACAGCGTCTCGAAACTCGTGATCATCAGCCCTTTCGAAGCCAACAAGCTTCTCCCGGTCATTCGAAAGTTTTCCAAGGTAACGCTTCATCTGTTCGCACCCCGTCTTAGTCCTCGGTATCCCTCCCTTGATCGTCTGGAACTCTATAATACTGGACGCAACTTCGATGCCAGCTCGGTCAGCGATAGCCTTCGAATGCAGCTGAACCTCTTCGCAGGCAGTCTGTATCTTCGCTCTTATGCCGACTACCACCTCCTGTGCGATCTTCTTGGGCTTCTTAAAACCCAGGCTCTGCATGGTCATGAAGTATCTGCGGACGGATTCATCACACCTCCCACTGGAAAATGGGGGTTCAGAAGCACACCCGTTCCTTTCCTCAGAGCGCTGCTGATGAAGGTTAGACAGAAGGGTGAAGGAGTCGAGAAGACGCACATGGGCAAGATTCTCAACGGGGTTCGACTGGAGGAGAGTGATTTCGAGGGTATGGATGAGTAGATTGGATTCTTGGATTTTTCTACAAACAGCGACGGTTCGAGCGATAAATTAGCAAATGATAATGGTGTCCAAAATTTTGGAGTTTCATTCCTAGCTTGGTCCATTCGGGGAATGGGATATCTTGCAGTAACATGGTGTTTGTGAATGTGTGACTGAGTCTTTCTTTATTTGAAGTTGGAGTTAAGGTGTTCCTACACACAACAATCGTCTATAATAATAAAGATAGATAAAACAGGCAATTACTACAAATTTAAAATAATATGCCTTTACAAAAGCTTATGTAATAAGCTGGGATTAGGGGGCACCTCTTGGCGCTAGTCTGGAACGGGCTAGGGCCGGAAAATCCGTTTTTCCGTGACTGAGTCAGAGGCGACGAGCGTACCATGGCCCTCAACACCACAGATATTTGATCCAACATCCGCCATTCGAAATCCTCGTCCACGCGCGCAACATGTCGGAACAAGTTCAAGTGGCAAATGACGCATACATGCGTACCTGGAACAATTCCGACGACACAAACCTCGTCATGGTCGAAAATCTCCTCCACGCGCAATATATCGGACCAAGTGAAGATCGCAGAAGCCGAATACATACGTACCTGGAGCAACTCCGACTACACCAACCTAGTGATGATCGAATACATACTGCGACAGATATACAAGACTGAGAACCCATGGGAGTATTTTTTTCGGGCGGTAGACGATGAGGTATCTGGAGAGTCGCGGTGGTCAAACGCAACGGCAAAAATAGAAGATACAAACCCGCAATTCTTCACGAAGATAGCATCAGAACCGACCTGGGAATCGGACATACCATCAGATCTGTGGCAAAATGGAAACGGCTTATGTACTTCTTTCGCAATATGGCTAGAAGATTGCAGCAACCGACCATACGGCCTACCCCCATCATGGCATGATCTCGCTTTCAAGGTCCGATGAATCACCACTACGCTTAGGTCTCCACATTGACCCATGTCATACCACACGAGTCCTTGCTCATACCAGATCTGAACGGCGCATGAATCGACATAGGTAGCCCAGAACGTGCGACCAATTTTACCAATCTGAGCAGGCATGTCAGCGTAGCTTACTTATAGTAGTAAGGAATTGTATAGTTGGCGCACAGGTTATATTATCCGAATATTCCGTTCCCATAAGAGCCAGTCCAGATTGTTTTCCTTTAAATTTTATGATCCTCTTGATCCCTTGTTCTGGTCCACCCAAGGCTTGCGCAGGTGAACGCAGCCAGTCAATCTATTCTTTATCCTTTACTGGTGTACCCTCCCCATTGCTATCTTCATACAGCGAGTCCTCCATTAATAGTAGGTTGATATCTGGGCGATTATCCTCGTATTCTTCCTGGATTATATTAGCAACAAACAGTATTGGGTCATAATACTGTAGATACCATACCTGGATCATATCAACAAGATCTTTAACCTCCGGGATTTTGTAGACAGTATGCCGGAAAAGAACGTATTTCTCAAAAGGGATTCCCGTCACGTCGTCTGTGAAATTTGGCTCAAGTCCATGAGCTCTTGCAAATTCTGCCACACCGCCTTCCTGTGCCCAGACCTGGTACGCTGGAACTTTGAACGCGAGCTCCCACCATGGTGGAGGAATGCCGAATGGTCGATTGACCCATTCGGGGAGTGGGATGTTTTGAAGTGACATGCGCTAACTAAATTACCTAATTACAGTGAGGTGGGCGAGGGTTAATAGAAATGGAAAGCCTTGTGGGAACTCTGCTCTTTTTTATTATCGCAGAGGGCGACGAGCGTACCATGGTCCTTCAAGACGCTGAACACCACAAATCCGCACATCTCCACTGGATCGTTGGAACGTCATATACGTCACCACGTCAAATGCGCAGTCAACTATACAATTCCTTACTATTATAAGTATTCTATGCTAACTTACAGCTCTATAATTATTTGTTAGTTTTTTATAATGTGCTAATACTACTTGTAATACGAAAGTACTTGTTTTAAGCGTATTTCTGGTGTCTTTGCATTGAGGGTGGCTGGCGCTCATTATCTGACATTCACGTTCCTAGGAGAGACTGGGTATAAAATTGCCTTCATGGGACATTTTATAAGACAGGGGCTGCAGTGAGGTTTGAGTGTTTTGCGCGGCTACAATAGAACTGACATTAGGCGACTGCGGTTCATGTTCTGGTTGCGTCCATGACTAGTGTCCAAACCATGTTGGGGAATAATCCTCGAAGGATTCGTATTTTGTAATGAGATGCGATGATGATGGGGTACCTCCAGCGAATCGGTGCGCATCGAGGCGGGCGGTACAGCATTGCGCGGCTTGCAAGCGCTTGTCGATTGATCTATTCACGTGTTCCGCGCGAAGCCGGCTGACGCACCCTCAACTGTAGAACAATGACGCGAGACACATCCTACGGTGGGTATTGGAACAGAGTATAAGCTTAGTATATACTATAGCGTATGCGATTTGTATACTGCATTCGTCTCAGTTTAGGCCGTAAGGTATCCGTTCCGATGCCGAGTCCAAGAGTCCGAATTCGTGGGGAATGTTAATGGCCTGAAAATGAGAAGGACGTGCATGGCGAGCGATGAGAATTGCAGAAACTTTGTGAAAGAGCGGAGTACGTGATAAGCGCCATCAGTCACTTTGCAGTGTTATATGTCCTGGCGACGGCAGAAGGCTGAAGGATTCTATTAAAGTCGTATCCCCTATATCTCGCGCGTATCCTCATCACATGACACAGTGCCATGACGTATGCGACGATGGGAGGATCGGAATATTCGTTACATCCAGATTAACGGACGCTGGTTGGTTATGCTCTTTTCCCGCGCGTCAGCCGCATTTCGCATCCCTATATAGACATTATAATCGGTCAGCAGTGAAACAATCTACTGACGCAAACAGTCCGAAGCTTCCTAGATCTAACCAACAGACAGTCTTCATTGTGCTGGGATTGCAGCCTCGCACCTCAAGCTTATATATAAGCGTCAAAATCTTTGTTCCCGTGTGGGAACCCAGCGCGTAGTGGGGTCCTATTGATAGTAATCACTAGGCAACATAAGTCAAATAACTGAAGCTTATTTTCTCACGCCCTATCTTTCTGGTAAACAGTTTGGCCAACCCTGGTGGCTTTGGCCCCCAGATTTTGCTTGGCTAACTCGGAACCCGAGCCCTACGGTCAATGCACGCAAGAGCTAAACCCGATGGGCTTTGAAAACTCCACAACATGGCGCTCGGCCTATACGCTTCATACCGGATTAGTATTGGCCCCCTCGTGTTGTAAGATTTAAGGATCGGACTTTCTACACGATGGAGCGCCTGAGGCTGGCGAGGCTGTGTGTACAGCACTACTGTACATAATTTGCTACCTATTAGAGACCTCAAAAGAGAATCGAATAAGCTGACGCTTGGCAGGGCTAGAATCGTGATGGTATACGCTGGGTTCGGATGTTTCCAAGGGGGCCATGGCGTTGTTGTGGGTCCGTTTTGGCTTCGTGGTCGAGGGCTCCCAAAAGTACTAAACTCCCCAAGGGACCGGACAAGGGCAATCGAAACAACAACATTCGTTCCTAAAGCGCATTTTGCTCGTTACATTCTTTTTTTGCGACTATCAACATTCGTTCTGAAGCCAGTCTTTACCCTTTTTCGAACACGCTGTTCTGTATATTGGTCGTTTTGGTTTCTTAATCATGAAGCTTATTACTCTTGCACCGCTCCTTTTGAGTGGGCTACCGCTGGCTCTTTCCCAAATTCCATTAGGGCAAGAGATGAAATGCTCTCAAGCTGTGTGGACAGACAAAGCCTGGAATGATGCAAAGGAGGTCATGGCCGGACGGGGTGAATGCATGTACTACAAGGGATCGAGGGACCCTGATCTCTCCGGGTGCGGAAAGGGATGCGAAGGCGGCGTAGAAGCCGTCGGCTGCATGGCAAAATACGCCCAAGGTATTGAGGATCCCAAGGGTGATTGCATGTGGGGAGGCAACTGCATATGCCCCAAGGACGTCGAATGGGTTGGAGATCTTATCGTCACCATCGTCACTGCTTTGGGCGAGTTCTTCCAGAACATTATCAACGCAGTTGTTTGCTCCGGTATCTTGGATGCTATCGTCATGACTGTCGATATTGGTCTTTCTCTTATCCCGGGTGGTGCGATCGCTAGCACGGCGATGCGTACTGGTATCCGTATTGCCAAATCCATCTCCGAAGCTGGAAGTGACAAGACGGCCTTTGAAGACTGGTTTGGTGCCCAATGCGACGGCAAGAAGTCTGGTAAGAAGACCATTCCCCATTTACCACGATAAATGTAAACTAACACATCACCTAGGTGTTGACCAGGTCTGGAAAGACTGGACCGGCGTGGGCGATGACGTCCTTCCGTCGTTCCCCGGTGGAGAATGCCTCAAGAGCGGAAAGAAGAAGAAGAACTGCAAGAAAGAGCCTAGCGAGGAAGACGACAAGAAGAAGGAACAGGAGGCCAAAGACAAGTGGGAGAAGGAGCACAACTCCAGCACCAAGAAGACCGAGTCTAAGACTTCTTCTTCCGTCTCATCCACCAAGTCTGTTCCCAAGTCCACCTCTGCTTCCACATCGTCCAAGGCTAGTTCCTCGTCGTCGTCATCCAACAAGCCATCCTCCACCAACGCATCTTCCACGTCAAAGGTATCTTCCTCTAGCAGTGCGTCTTCCTCCAAGGCTGCTTCTTCCACCGGTGCATCTTCATCAAAGGTCTCTTCCTCCACTGTTACCTCCTCCTCGAAGATCTCCAGCGTATCTGGAACTACTTCTGCCAAACCATCCTCCTCGGGCGCCTCTTCCTCGTCCAAGGTATCCTCATCCAATGTTTCCTCCTCATCCAAGGTATCCTCCACCGTGAAGTCCTCCAGCGCTTCCAAGACTGGATCAGCTACATCGTCCGCCGCTTCCTCCGAGCCCTCAGAGGAGCCCGAGAAGCCCGAAGCCCCCGTTTTCGTCGGTGCTATCAAGAACTGCATCAAGTGGCACGTGGTTGCCGCTGGTCAAGATTGCGCTTCCACTGGCTTGTCTACACCCGAGCTCGTTGAGCTCAACACTGGTCTCGACAGCACCTGCGACAACTTGATGGCCGGTATTGCTTACTGCATTGAGGCTGGTGTTGAAGAGGCAACCTCTGGCCTCGGTCTTTAAATGCTTTCATCGTCTGGATTGAAGGGTTTGGGGACTGTTTGTTTTTAATTTTTATGTACCAATACGACATGATTTGGGATTGGTCAATAGGTGCAGCTTCATCTTGGGTTTTATGTGGGTGGTTATAAGACTTCAATTCTTACTCAATACTTTACACGATAGCATGTTAGAATCTTATTGATAAGCAACTTCAACGCATAGTTTATTCTTTCTATACAATGTTTCTCCCAGTCAGTGACGCAAATCAGCAAAAGCGTAACCTCAACATGTGCGGTTTCTTGGGATCTTGACTTCGATGTTCTCTCACATCAACAACTAGTCACTATGCTTTCGTTGTCGTGCGTGGACTTTTGCGAAGGGCAATTCGATATTCCTGCATAGCTTCCACAATACCAAAAGCCTCCAGCCGCACCAATGTCTTGCTGATGTGTGTGGTGCATTCCCGATAGAGGCATGCGCTAACGAAATGATTGCTTGCAATTCTTCCCCTATGCTATTCAATATCCTCATCTGCATCGGGTTCAAACAGATTTTGCGCATAGGGCGCTTCAAGGATGTTGAAGTTCGAAGTTCGAAAGACTTCTCGCACGTGATCGTCAATCACGTGGTCTGATAGCTCAACATCAACATTTCAAATGTTGAAAAACTCGGTCCAGACGCTCATATCGAGTATTTGCCACTTCGCTTCTGCGTGAGTAATCGAAAACGGGTCTTCAATTGGATTTCATCTCTCGTATGCCTCTTGCACTCCACTTTGCAGACCTCGTGACTTTGCGATGATTCATGCGCCCTTATCCGTTACTCCATTTTTCAACCAATCTACCTCCCTTGTGGCGTTAATGATAACGTAGCACAAACAATCGTCACTGATCCATCATCTCCAAGTATGACTCCTCCTTACATCGCAAGGAGACAGGATTGATAGCAAGTCTGGACAACCGAATTCCAATTTTTTCATACTTCTAACCGACAAGTCCGTGCCCTGGCTCGCGTAGGTGCAGTGTGTATACACATGCTCACATATCACGCCGGATACCGTGCCGAAGATGCACGCGGAAGAACCCATTAGCAAGAAATAAAGTTTGCGGATACGACAACGTGGGGGATCCAACGTCGCGTAACAATGATAGCACGCACAGTGACATTGAAACGCAGGCGCAGATCCGCATTCATATGCATTCAGGGCCATTGGTCTGATGTCGGCAGTTTTCGGTAGAGCCCGCAGGATCCGCATATCCTTGTTCTCCGTTGGAAACATTCAACCAATTGCGAGAACGTGTGGCCTTGATAGCGAGGATTATCCGGTGGCGCATCCGGGTGAATTGAAGATCGGTTCGGATTGGTGGACACTTTGTACCAAAGTTTGCAGAATATATGCAGAATCCTAGGGTGAAGGAGAATACCATTGCGCACGCACCTGTTCGCGACCAGCTCAGCGTTCATGATCTGCCTTGCCGTGTTTTGCGGGGTAGCTTAGTCGAATGTCTTTGGATGGAACAACATGAATTGAGAGGCTTTCGATGTCTGATATCTTGAACACATGTATTGGAGACCAGAGTTATGTGCTCCTTATTTTCTTCATAAAGCGAATCACTGACTCCCTGCCGTGCAAGATAGTCTTAGAGATTTAACAATGATCGGTTGTTCCACGGTACTGCCTCATCACTTACTGGGTATCATTATGCCATTATCACGGACCTTACCTCCACCTACTCCGAAGTGAAACATTTTGCTTATTTCCTAATGGCGGAGAATCGCTTTACCGCGACTTTTCTTCTCTCTCCATCTCACACCGCTAATCCTGGACACTATAGGGTGCAGATGGCGAAGTGTTGGGCAAAAATTCAGATTTCCAAGCACGACTTCCAAGGTATTCGTCAGGAAGTGTAAGATAAAGACGTCGACATTGTCTGTCGCCACAGGAGCGAACCGAAGTGAGCCATATGAAGGACTCCGAGCATATTGTTCCTAACCCTTCAAGGACGCTTGAACACTGGAAAACGACCAAAAGCAGACGTGCGCGAACACCCCTGCATGTACTTATCACAAAGATTGTACAGGCTACCTTCCCAAAAACACAAAAGCTCCGCTTCGCCTCTGTACATAGTACACATCCCCCACATTTTGAGCCGGTCTTGTTGCTTGTCTGGGCATCCAACGCCGAGTTCTAGGCTCCCCGCGCGCCACCCAAAGCTAGGCATGCAGACATCAAGTCCCTGCTTCTACATGAAACTTTTGCGTTTAAGTTTATCTGTTTTACCTGTTTTTCGAATCGACCACCATGGCCAATAAGATTTGTCCAAGTCTGCGTCCATTTTGAAAGACGACCTTTTTCGGCGCACGGCTTTCGTTAACCGTGTCGGATTGGGTATAGCGTACAGGTTTCTCAACGATAATGCACGTGGTACATAGCGATGCGCCTGAATCACATAACGAACACTGGTTGACAATGGAACCTGGAGTTATTTGTAGGCTTGCGTCTGCCCTACGGACGTGAACTATAACGAAACAATATCATGGCGTATGGCATCCTGACACCTATATAGCCAATCTGATAATCTCTTCACAAATCTCCTGATGCACTACCGCCATGACCGGAAATCGAGTTCTTCTTCTTGTACTGGTGCTGTTGACCGGGCAACTGGCCAATGCCCTGAGTTCGTCACCCGCGGGGAGTGCGCTCAAAACGTCGCCAATCGAACTCCTGGGGAAAATACCTCCCTGCGCAGTGAGTTGCGCGCCCCGATGACCCATGAGTCGCACTCGTTGATAACTCCTCAGATAACCTGTTTAACTACTCACGCGCCTTCGATTGGTTGTGCTCTTCTTGACTTCGAATGCCAATGCTCGTCGACAAACTCCACAAAGATCCTTCAACCGTGTCTTGAAGCCCAATGCACTTATGAACAAACCTTCCGTGAGTAGCAAGATTTGATGACCAAATCCAGTGCTGACTCCCAACAGAGCTTCTGCATGTTCAAGCAGATTTATGTGACAAGCCACGCGATAGTAAATCGCTCCATGTGGAGATTACAGCGTACTGTTCTGGGATCGTGGCTGTCTGCGCTGTTGTGCTGCGTTTCATATCGCGGTACATCGGTGGAAGCAAACTATGGTGGGACGACTGGCTGCAGCTAGCGTCTGTTGTGAGTCCATACGCCCATCGCAATGAGACAAATAATACTAAACTATTCGAGATTCTTGTCATACCCATGACTGTAGCATTGCTCTTGAGTACGTAGTCCCTTGAGTCCATGCCAAATTTCACTAACGCGGATACCAGATGTTAGATCAGGAGTCGGTCGGCATATCTGGGATCTGAAGTACGAAGACGTGATGAATGTCGGTAAATACAGTAAGAACTACATTGATGACCAAGACTGCAAACGCCGCACTAACAATCCACCAGCGTACATAGCCACCGTTTTCTGGGCGGTTGAGCTTCTTCTTCTAAAGTTTAGTATCCTATGTCTCTACCTTCGACTATTTCCGAATCCATGGCTCAAGCGCGGGGTCATCTGGTTCTCCGTATTCACCGCCCTCTTCACAATCCCACTTATTGGAATGGCAGCGTTTCAATGCGTACCAGTCCACGCCATCTGGGACCTAGAAGCGAAGAAGTCAGCCAAGTGTATCGATTACATTGGTATACTCAAAGCCACTGTAGTATACGAGGTGGTCGCAGAAACGATACTTTTCGCGCTTCCTGTTCCGATTGTCCTCAAGTTGAAACTGAAGCGGACGAAGAAAATCCAACTCATGACCTTCTTCGGGCTAGGCATTATGTAAGGCCTCCATGTATCGACCTTGATCGCAGATGGCTAACATAAGCGCGTGTGTACAGTGTAATCGGCATCTCATGCGCGCGCCTCCCCGGCCTTCCAGGCGTCGTCGACTCCGAAGACCAACCTTACACGACCGTCCACGCAACCATCCTCGGCTTCACCGCGAGCGGAGTCGGACACATTTGCGCCGCAGTCCCCACTATCCGCGCTCTCCTCCGCCTCGTTTGCTGCTCCGCCAACCCAGATGGCTCGCGACCCTCAAACTTCGGTGGCAGCTCAGGCGCCTCAAAAGGGAAGCTAGGAAGCTCACAGCAAAGTTCGCGGTATTCGCGCACGAACGACACCTATCCGCCACCGCACAAGCGCAAGTTCTCGGAACCCGTGATTACACATCAAACGTACGATTCTGCACGCGATCTTACGAGTTCGAGTGGTGCAGATTATCTGCCAGAGGAGTGGGATCGAGGCTCGTTTTCTGGCAAGTCGCGTGGAGATGATCGGGATGATAAAAGTCATTTTGGGCCTGATCCGTATGAGTTACAGGATTTGACACCATTGCCCCCACGCGCCCATCTGGGCTCTGCTGATGGGTCAAGAAGGAATAGGATACCTACGCCTGGTCGGAGTAAATGGGTGTTGCTAGATAACAGTCGTGACACCGCATTGCAAAACAATACGGACACCACTCGGCAATAGGATAGCGCACGCAATTGAATTGTCCACTCTTTAATGCGATTGAGTCTCTGCCAATATAGGTTTGTCAAGGGATGAATGCAAGGTGAATCTGCCATCTGAATCACTGTGTCTTATTTGCAAAGTTTAGAGAAAAGAGTATATATTGTAAAAATACGAGCAACCCAATGGCCACAGCGCAGCGGAGCTACATACGCAGACAGTATAGAAGAGAAAAATGGCGTCTAAAAATCGAAATAATGAAGAAGTGAAAGTCGAGTGTGAAAATGGTAACATATGGCGAAGGAATAGTTTAGCTCTGTTGATCAGAAACCTGTGTTTTCGCACCAATGTAAGGCGTGGCAACAAGCTTCTTGCCCTCGGTAGCGGTGATTTTCCATCGCAGCATGCAGTTGCCCTTAAGATTAGCGGGCACTTGCGCGTCTCCGTAGTTTCTGTATTGTACGATCTGGACAGCACTGTCGTAAGATTGAATAGACCTCTGTGCAGCTGCGAAATGAGCATCGTCTTCAGCCATGATAGTGACTCCGTTGGCAGCCAATCCCAACTCCTCAACTTCGCCGTATGCCACTGCGCCCATCTCTTCCTCGGTACCACAGAAAATGTGGTACGCCGAGGGCATATCTTTGGCGTTCCAGAAGAAGACCGCAGTGCAACCACTCAGATCATCGATGGTAACTGAGTTCTTACCGGCCTTTTTGAGCTGAATGGCATTGTAGTATTGTCTCTCCTTGACGTGGTTGGAATCGGCGGCCTTGGAAAACCCAGCTCTACGGTTAAGGGTACGCTCGCGTCTCTGGATGGGGCAGGCAGACTCGGTCGCAGCAGCGCTGTTAGAAGTCTCGGAAGCGGAGGTTGAGGAAGCCGTTGGGGCAGATGTCGTAGCAGAAGCTGTTGTGGTAGAACCCTTCTTGGAGCCCTTCTTAGAACCCTTCTTAGAACCCTTCTTCGAACCCTTCTTAGATCCCTTCTTCGAACCCTTCTTGGAGCCTTTCTTTGAGCCCTTCTTCGAACCTTTCTTGGACCCAGAAGTCCTAGCCACGAGAAGCTTCTCAGCAGTGCGAGCTTCGATGTCAACAACGGAAACATTGCTGAACTCGCTAGCTGCAATGGCAAACTCGTCGCGGGTACGGAGATCAGGTGCAGCTGCGTCCAGCTCGCTGCCTGGGAACGGAGCAGCGATGACACCGCTCAGAAGGAGGGAGGTGGCGAGAAAGAGACTCTTGAGGTACACCATCTTGAAATACGGCAAATTTCTGATTTTTCGAATGTAACGATTGCAGAGCTAACAAGAGCTCGAAAGTGCTAATTTGTAGGTAAAAGAGCGACAAAAGCGAGTGTGAAGCGAATCTAGAACGAATGTGAGAAGCAAAGAATGGCTTGTGGACGAAACTTTGAGATGGTGATGATGGAATATCGAAAGCGACGTACATTAGATACAATTTATACTTGCACATCACCTTCCACGCCTCTATAATTGGTTATTGCATAATCCATTGACCTGTGTACACCAATCTTCGCATCTAACAATAGTCTCAAGGCTATCGCCCCGTCTGAGATTCTTCGGAGGCCTATCTAGCCTTTTTAGTGATGGAGATGAACGTGCATTTTGCCCTGCTCGTTGTAAGGCTGTCAAATATGCATCGATGTTCGGAAAATTCGTGTTTGTAAACATTCAAGATGATCGCCCGTAAACCAACATAAGCTGACCAACCAGTTGAGTGAGATGCATCACCACGCCCTGTGTAGATGCTAGACCTGAATAGGCGCGAGGGTGATACGCCCGTTTGAACAGTAAGCTCAGCACGTGCGCCCCATTCGAAGACCAACATTTGGAGCAAATGGTTTCGCATGACAGAATCCGATCTCCTTCTTTCCGAAGAGATTGTTATTAATAATACCCAATACAGCGCAAATATAGCATTGTAATTCTCGTATTGGTGGTCATGCTGTGGAATTGAGCCCTCGGGGCCAAGATCCAGCACAGAATAATGCGCGCCAGAACCCGACATGAATATACCAAGCTTGAGTGAACATTACGAGACGCAATAAAAGACCAAAAATCCTGGATAAACTTTTGCCATCCGCACAATCACGTTTACAAACCTAAAAAGGACCGCGCACGACTTGAAAGCTGTGTACTATGACATGTGTACTAGAGCTGACTCACACCAACAGCAATAGAAGTCGTCACCCTGTGCAAGCGCAAAACCAATGGATACTCCGCAAATTCAAATCATTCATCGACTAGACTAGAAAAGAGAAAGTATTGTCTTGATGCGCATATACTCTCTAACGTACGCAGGCGAAAATCTATCTCGCTTGTAGTCGACGCCTTCCTACACTCCGTTCACACCTGCTGAAGACCTTCATCTCAACCTCGCATCACCACCCGCCCTCCATAGTCATCGATAACGCAAACCGGATTAATTCACGCTCGCAACTCAGGTAGGCCTTCGTTTCTTGCCGCTTCAGCTATAGGACCAAATAGTATAGAGGATTGCGCTGTATGTGTCGACTTCTAATGCCTGCGACAGCTTGAACTCCAAGAACGCTTTTGTTAAAAATCCTGTTTGACTGGCGGATCGATGAATTGGATCGTTCAGACCCATTTTTTAGGACGCGCAAGGTTACTTAAAGTGAATCTGTGCCGCGATGATACTCTACGCGAAGGACTTCGGAGCAATGACAATGTCTACGCCAAAGCTAATGCTATGATATAATCCCAGCTCTCAGCTCAGTCATTCTGCAAACCATTAAAAAACCTTTATTAGCCCTATTTTCCAAAATATTATCTGCGAACCGTGATGGAGAGAGGAATATGAAGTTGTCACACAGAGTTTTGCTTGAAAAATAAGCATTACTAATGGTCAACCAATGAATTACTACTCCAAGAGGCTCTTGGAAAGCTGAAGTTGGCGACGAAGAAGATAACATTGGTAGTGGTTACGACGGACATTGAGCTTCGGGATAATCTTGAAGCACCATGTGAAAGTACGTGCTGTGACATGCTAATCCCTATACCTTGACTATAACCATTGAGAGCTCACTGGAGAGGGAAATGAAAGTATGATCTCGAGAAGTGCGGGTAAAAAACATGAATCATTGATCGACGAAAGCGCCAGTGAGTAGTTAGTAGGTTGAACTGCTGTAGTAAGTACTGCGAGGTTTGACACACCATGAGCATCTAAACAGCGATAATCAAGTAGATCTAAGCCATAATATTTGATACAGAAAATTTAATCAAACAATGTTTAGGTCTAATATGAATGTAGGATATTCGAATACAAAAAGTATCAACAAATCTATCAAAGAGGTGCCGTCAAGCAACGAAAGTAAAGAGATAGTCAACAGTCGTGAGTCAGGGAATACGTCGGGGTAAATTGCTCCATCCTGCAGTCTACTCTAGTCTGGCACGTGGGAAAATCTACTCCTCTTCATCTGGGGTGCCTGTAGCAGTAGCCTTAGCGCTGCTCTTGTCCTTGCTCTTGGAGGTAGGTGTAGCCTTTTTGCTGGACTTGTTCTTAGTAGTGGGGGTAGCACCTTCGTCGCCTTCGGTGGGCGTTGCACCAGCATCGTCGCCAGAATCAGTGGGGTCGGTGCCAACATCTTCGCCCGAACCAGTGGTGGACTCGTCGCCGGAATCCGATGGGCCTGTAGAAGTTCCTTCGTCGGGGTTGTTGGGCGAGGTAGACGTTCCGTCATCGGTAGGTGTGGTAGAGGTTCCTTCGTCAGGATTGCCGGAGGTTCCCTCGTCTGGGTTGTTAGGCGTGGTGGTAGACTCATCACCCGAGCCGGTTGGGGTCGGAGTAGCCTCAACACTAGATGATGTCGGGCTGGACGTGACCTTGCTAGTCCTCGACGACTTAGTGGCTGATGATTTCCTCGTTGACGAAGACCTCTTCGTGCTTGAAACCTTCCTAGTCGACGACGCTTTCTTCGTGCTAGACGCTTTCTTGGTTGTCGTGGCTTTCTTTGTGGTTGACGCTTTCTTGGTTTTCGTCGCTTTGGTGGTCTTCGCAGCCTTCGTTGTTTTGGCGGGTTTTCCTCCCTTGCCTCCTTTACCTCCTTTAGGAACCCTGGCCTCTATGTTCCTTGCCACCAGATCAATCGCAGCGTGGGCATTTAAGTTGCGCGATTCTATGGCTGGTTTGTTCACAGAGCGCGTCTCGTCATCGGCGATGCGCAGCTCGCCGTCAACTGGGACAGCCAAAGCAATTCCCCTACCAACGAAAAGGGAGGCTGCAATGAACAAAATCTTTGTAGAAACCATCTTGCAGTTATTTTTGAGGTTGACGTTCGAATGAAAGAATGAAGTGAGTAATCAAAATGAGGGTAGTGAGCGACAGAAGCGAAGCAAAAAACGAGTGACAATGCAAGCCAGATGTTGCGAAAACGATATCGAAGTTTGTCTTCTGGATATTTTAATGGATCGTCGAGTCTTATACTTCTGGGGCTGCAAGGGCTCTCGCGCTGTCAGAAGATCATATTAACAAACTCCGGCTCTACGCCGCAAGTCAATCTTGATGTGGCACCAGAGAGCCAAAATTAAAACACGTTCACCATAGACTTCATGTCCACGAATTGCGGCGTAATGCTGTCAGCAACAAACACACGTACGAGGCACAAATCGCAGTGCACGTTTTTGAATAGTACGATGCCATCCACATTGCGGATAAGAAGAGCAGGTAAACAGAAACGATTCCTTCAACGAAAAGAGAACTAATCATTCACCAGTGCGTGAAGTATGAAGTGCTCCATAGAGAAACCTAGACGTTGAAATTGTCAACTGGTCTGCGCCGCAGCCAATAGTCTGAGATGAAACGAGGTGAACATCAGCGACGTGGTGGGACATCTAGAAATGAACCCAATAATCCGCAAGGAGGCGGCGCTCGTGGTTGTTTCCCCGAGCTCCGACTATGAATCGCGGACCACAGAGATACGCGCTCACGTGAGATCTGCATCACGTGACGCCGCCTCGCCCAAATGGAGACCTGGCAGGAGGCGGCGAGGAGGCGGCGCACCACGTGAAGCAAGTCCGACTGCGTACTATTGAACGGAAAAGAGAATTTTCGACTTCAAAATAAGGCAAAAGCCGTCCAGCAGGAATCAAGATGACGGACTACGCCGCAGCGCCGCAAACTCGCCGGTTGTCCTCCTAGTGGTAAGCGGCGACACCCCTTTCCTTTGCAGAATAGTGTGAATCAATCCTCGAAAATCAGTTTCTAGGAAAAGAACTCATTTACCGACTGGAGCAATACCACGAACTGTTTCCTACCCACATCAATGAGGTGTTCCAGATCTGCGACAAATATAGCAGCACGGCCGCAAGTTTCGACAGTCTGAACCTGAACGTGTATCTGCCTACGTACTCTAACTCCTTACTCCAAAGTATTGCTGATCAATGTTAGATTGCTTCCACACGATCAATGTAAGAGTGGGCTTACTAGGGAACTTTGCAATTTTTCCTTATTCTGCTGTTTGAACCCTCCACCCGCCAATACCGTTTTCCTTTTTTGTCTGTTCAACACGTCGCTCTTGACTCGAATTAGACTATATGCAACATTATCTCTGATAGAAGTACTCTTACCTGCTCGATCGTACCCTCCACGACATAGCGTACGCAGACTACTTGTTTCGTCTGTCCGATACGCTGCGCTCTTGCCATGGCCTGCTGTTCGAGGAAAGGATTCCATTGAGGTTCCAACAAGTAGATGTGGGAGGCAATAGTCAGGTTCAAGCTGGGCCGGTTAGCGGGGGTGAGCTAAGGAACGGAAGATTGGAATACCCTTCTGCCCCTGTGCCCAGTGTCATGAGCAGGATGTTGGGGCCCATGATGGACTTGTAGTCTTTCAGCACTTTTAGTCTCTGCTTCGAGCTAAGGCTTCCGTGGATGATGTCGAATTTCAGCTTGTGTTCCTTGAGAAGATCGCCGACCAGGTCTAGCGTTTTTTTCCACGAAGAGAATACAATACTGAGGTGCTGATCAGCTATGGAGTGAAGTTTAGGGAGTGAATCGGGTTACCATCTTTGCGAGGGAAGCATTTTGATATCTCGAAGAAGTGTCAACAGTTTTGAAGGATACTCAAATGAATCTTGAGGTACGCTGGATGTAACCATTGGTGAGTCGGTGGGAGTGCCGAAGATTGGCGGAGGACTTTCTGCTTCACAAAGCAGACACGATTTTTTCTTGCTCAGACAATGTGACAAACAACCTTGGCATACAAGATGATTACACGGTGAAAGGAACATGCCCGTGTTCTTACCGCCCATCGGATCGATGCAAAATATGGGCAGAGAACACTTGGCACACATATTCTGTTCGAGTTGTTCAAGATATGACAATCGTTCATCAGAATCACGCACTTCCTTACAGGTTCTACGAGGGCCGTTGTTGCAGAACAGTCTCAGCTCGTGGATTGACTGCAGTGTTGTGGAAGCCCGAACCCCACTAACAGACATCTGAACGTGTCTTTTGTAGAGGTCATAGAGCTCGTCGTACTGATGACGTTCCGAATCCAGAAAGGGAACATGCCTTGTATGTATGATAGGCTCAGGCAGATTGAGAATGTCTCGTGTTCGTCGGAGACAGATCGTTCCGAGAAATGTCTGGAGGTTCTGGAATTGACTCCCACGGTCCGGCGACGTCGGCGTAATGATATGCGTCCGGAAGGTTGCTGGACGATCAAGATACGGTATTCGAAGGAATTCCACAAGACTGCCTAGATCTTCTAATCGGTTCTGAATAGGCGTCCCCGTAAGACACCAGCGGTGGTGAGTCTGAAGTTGGTGGACCGTTTTGAACCAGTCCGTTTTATGGTTGCGAATCTTGTGGGCTACGCAAGAGTCAGTCATCGCGGCCATATCTCATCAGATTTAGAATATGTATGCACCTTCGTCTAGCACAACTCTGAACCAATTGATCTTTGATAGGGGAGAGGCTCCTCGCTTGGCATTCTGCGCGGCCGTGGCAAATGTAGTAAAAATTATGTCATTCTGGAAAAGTTGTGGTAACTCTGAGTGGCGATCTGTACCAAGATGCCTATGGAATGTCACCTTGGAGGGATATGTGTGTCTGAGGAAGTCAAAACAGAACTTGATGAATCGGGGAAGTTATATACTCACGCGCGAATCTCCTCAATCCAGTTGTCGATCAGTACTGAAAAAGTCAGTGGTTTAAACAATGCTTTACATATCTGGAAGTCTCAGGAATTCATTACTGGTTGAAGGCACTAATATCAAAGTAGCTCGCGAGGGAACAGGAGAATCTGGTGAATCCAGTAGTCCTTCCTCCCAGGTTGTACCGAAGCGAGCCGCCTCATGGAGTGACCTCGCGATAGCGGCTAGTATTGTCAAAGACTTCCCAAGGCCCATATCATCCGCTATGATACCTCCTCTCGCCTCCAGCTGATCTGGAGATTTTTTCTTCGTCAGAATATGTTGGAAACTGTGTTGTGATCAGTCGAAGAAAACTGATATTGTTGTGAGTACGGTACATACTAGTTCTCTCCACCCTTTCGTTTCTCACGCCAAAGTGTCAATTCCCTTGGAGGACAGCCACTCTCCCGCTGCGCAATGAAGTCAAGCGCTGTCATTTGATGACTGTGCAGAATGTCAGTAATCATCAGCTTTAGCCGCGGAAAGTCGCTTTGAGTCACCCCAATAGTTGGCTTTTAACCAGGCTGGTGTCTGTGCGAATCTCATGCAGGATAGTCCCATGCGAAAGTGAATTGAGAATATGGTCCACATGATCAGAAGCATCCTTGGGTGACAGAGGACCGCTCTGTGCAGGCTGCTTTGGTGCAGAGTCAAACACTTGTGGTTCACCGTCCTCATACATAGACTCCTCAGGTTTCGGCTGGAATCCTTCGACTTTCAAGATCTGCGGGTTGTAATAGATCTGCATGGAAGGGTTATGCTTTGGCATCTGCAAGAAAATTCCATCATTGAGAAGAAGACTTCCTATCTTGTCAGCATGGGTTTTAGAACTATACACATTGATATCAACAATAAAATCGGACTTTCCATTCCAGCTTGCAAAGTGCCTTTGCCATAAGCCTTCCCAATTTGCCTAGTCCAATAAGGCATGGAACTGGGCGCTAAAATTCCCCAATCGCCGAGCGGCGCTGCAGAAACTTTTCTCTAGACGTGCGATCTCACGTTGCTGGTCCCGAAGTGCATAGTAATCGCCTTTCTGGAAAACTTCGAGTCCGACGACAGGTCCAGTCACCGAAAGAACGGGTAGGGTATGGGGGGTCTCGCTAGTCTGTCCGCGCAGCTGCGCGTTGACACCAACAATCTTCGAATGCAAAAGTCAATGCCATTCAAGCAACTTCAATAGTAGGTCTTACCGAACCCAGTAAGAACGTTTGTTCCGCAATTGGTTCCACGATCAAGGGTTCCCCTAAACTCTCATCGATGTATAGCGGTTCATCCTCTGCAAACGGATATGGGCGTTTCAAGGTCTCGTAAGGTGGCGCATAGCCGCTAGTGTCGCAGTCCATGGCAGTGGTTGTGCTGAAAGAAAGTCCAACCTATTTGATCATGATTTTTGAAAAGCCAGGATACGGAAGATCACAGCTGCGCAGGGACACCCGAGAAGTTAAGATTTGTTTTTTCCTTTTCGCGGCTGAGGAACATTGTGGCTGAGCTGATACAGTATCCGACAAGGCTATTGCGAGACAACGAGACAGATTGAACTCAGCCTTGTCAAAATTGTATATAGAGGCCGATCGGTCCATGACGTGTCATGCTAGAATCTTTTCTGGCGTTTTTGGCTTTGATTTCCGGTCAGCACTCATTTATTCCCTCGCCCTCGTGCTATTGAACGTTGCCATGGTTGTTCAGCTTATCGAAAGTCGCTATACGGTAGACCCAGACATCTTGGCCGCGTTCCTCAAAGACAAGTTCGGGTCACAGCCAACAAAGATTATGGTATGATCCATCGAATCCCCATACAAACAAGAGTTAAGCCTTGCAGTGGTCCCAAGATGGAGGCGAGAAATGGGAAGTGGAGATTCCTCGATACCTAGCTCGTGTAAGGTATCCCTGATCGTGCAAAATGTCTGAGTGCGGTTATCCTGACAGTGATAGTGGGAGCTGCTCACACTCGAGGAGCAATTCAAGGAGAATCTTCCCGGCAAATAGGCAAAGCGGATGAAAAGGCCATCGGCTCTCGTATTGACGTCATAGCCGGGGGATCGCACGTTGAGCACGCAGAACCTGGAAGTCATAGCGACACTTCAGATACAGATTTTAGATATATAATAACACTCTCAATCCATTCCAGCTACTCCCTTACAAGATCGTAGGGTACTTGCTACGACACATTCTTGCCTTCGGGACCCCACCAGCCGACACCCAACATTGCAGAAGTTCAGCCTTGGCGGTCCGAGTAGGTGCGGGGCGCTAAAATGATTCCGGTGAAGGACAACGTGGTAACGCCGATACACTACAGTATTATTCACTAATAAAAGAAGGCTGCTCTCCATTGAAAGAGCCGGATCCGGGGCTGATAAAGCACATACCCACCATTCTGCCATAGAATTTGGTTATATCACAAATTATCACGTGATCAGAAGACTGGTTTTCGAGGTAAGTACCAGGGTAGGTAGGTAAACATCTATCGAAATGCACACATTTCCAGCGGACATGTATCATGGATGGGAGATCTACCCCGAAAATCTACTGCTTCCTCCACTCGAGTCAAATGTCTCCAACATCAATCTCAAGTTACGCCGGCGATCCAACGAGCTCTTTGTTGAAAATCAGAAGTCAATATTTTGGAATTTGAGATTAGGTCTACCACGAGAAGGCATGTATCTGACTATCCGGATCTATATGTTTCATTGTTGACAGCCTGTAAGATGGGACTCGAGATGCCGTCGTGGAACAAATTCAAAGCACAGAGTGCTTGACGGAGATTCTATCGCACAGTCAAGAGACTAGGATGTTGTCAGTTTGTCTGACACGATGAAGGGATAAAAAACTAATGGAAATGAAGTTTCATCAACCAAAGATTTTCTTGGAGCCGCCTATACATTAGTGAAGAGCATTTCCGACGCTTGTTTACGTTTCTCAGAGTCCACCCCAACTTCTTAGACACGGTGTTCCTATTTTCTGCCAAGATTGGGCCTGAAGAGGAAGGATATAGTTCGTTTTTCGTCGATAATGACCCTTCGGAGGCAGGTAATAAGCCTGCGGTCGCTGGAGAGCTTTCTGGTCACTGTAAGCGTGCTTCTATGTATCCTGACATCGTAACTGAAATGGAGAACAGACATCGGATACAACATAAAATATGTTGCAAGGCATGGGCGAGCCTTACCCAAAGACCCTTTTTCCATTCGAGAGATAGGCGTGTATCAACACTACTCGTCGCAAACTGGGAAGTGCGAATGGGTATTTTTGCAAGCTCCTGATCAGCTTAAAGCCTGTTTGACGCGGACCTTCAAATGCTGTGAAGCGACTCTGCCTATAAAACAGCATATGCTTCATGCACTAGTTTTGCTTCATGTTTCAGACGGCTGGCGCGAATATCTGGCGCATCTCGAAGAACAATTTTCTGGACTTGTAAGCGATCTAAAGTACAAGTCTTAGACATAGTGCTAACATACGCAATAGGTTGACAAAGGCTTCTATACCAAAGTCAAAGGCACCCAACAGGAGGGAGGCATAAGTCTGGACTTTTCTGACCTCAGAAAATTGCATGTTCTGACCGATAAATTACGGAGACTCTCTCATCTGCTGAGACTGAATATCCGTGTCGGGGGGCAATTAAAGGAAACTTTGTGTCGTCTAGGAACAGCGCCATCAGGAGACTCACGCAGTGGAGTCATCTCAATACAGAACAAGCTAAACAGTTTCCTAGTGGGTCAAAAGATAAGTGCAGATAGGGTAGAGTCTCTGATCTTGCGGTCTAATGGGATAGGCCAGCTGGTATGTTTTCTGCTTGGATATGATCACTCCATCTTCTAACTAACAGGTGCATAGGTCCAAAGTATCAATGACACTCGTGCAGTGGATGCAAGCAATCAGATAAACCATGAAATGAAGAGGCTGACAGAACAAGGTATTGAAGAAAGCAAGTTGATGAAGAAATTGACGGAAAAGTCTGCACGGGATACACGATCTATGATGGTCATTGCATTGATCTCCGCGGTTTTTCTACCTGCCACATTTTTAGCAGTAAGGTTCCTCACCTCATGATTTTAGACAGCCCGAGCTGAAACAAGAGCAGACACTGTTCGGATCCAACTTCTTCGACTTTTCCGAACATGACCACAGCTTAGTAATTGCGTCAAACTTCTGGGTGTATATTCTCATTACCACAGGATTCTCTTGTTTGAGTTTACTTTCCTGGTATGTTTGGAGGCGACGGATAGAGCAGAGCAAGGCATTAGGAGACCAAGAGTCTCTGTAAGGGGTGGCTATGCATGAACCCCGCTCAGAAAAGAGGCGTTGCGATACGAGATCGCATGGGCTGGCGGTATGAAACCCAATCCGTGCTGCAGGCAATATCGGTGGCGGCTTGGCAAAATGATAAAAGTCACTATTTCCATATTAACTCTTTAGACTCCTTCTCGACAGTACGATCTCAAGCACAGCGTTAATTTGGCCTCTCTCTGTGTGATAGCTCCATTCTTGTTCAAGTACACATTCGGGGTATTCAAAGACCTTCGGTCATCAATCAATGGCGTTGGGGCTGCTTCTTGCCTGAAGAATGGTCTCAGCCTTGCGCCACGTTCATGAAATCTGGCCGGTATCTTCACCGGCTTGGACCTGGCTCACGGCGGTTAAACTACTGACGAAGTACATTGATGAGAAAGCTCATCAGTGGATGTATGAAAAACGGTTCGCATACAGTGTTTTTGTAATCTATTCATGACTTTTGAGCATCGCAATTAACAGTGTCAGCACAGGGTATTGCTTCATTGCTCAAGGAGGGGTTCATCACGTGAAATCACGTGTTTCACCGGAATAGCCGTCGAATGTCGATCCATGCACCTGTGCTTACTTGCATCGTAAATTCTCATTTGCATTCCCCACTTCCTGCTCCTCGCTTGGATTGATGATTCCTCCTAAGAATGGTAGAGTCGACACGCATTTCTGACAAATTAAGACGACCAAGATTCATGAACCAACTGTACAACCCATAAAGCACTCTCTTAGTTTCACCAGACATCGAATATTTCCGGAGGCGATGGAGGGTGACCGCGCTTGTCTTGATGCTCTGGACTACCTTGTACAGAGCGAAAAGAAGCCTGTGAGCGAATGGCTACCAGGTGGCAGTGCGTCATTCTACATTCCTGCTCGAAGCATAGGAGCATTATTGAAAGATCAACACCGCGGACTGACTCTGGAAAAAATATTTTTATGTCCATGTAATCGGTGTTCGCAGGACGGCGGATCGGTCGATGAGCGGTTGACACACTACAACCGACTCAGAGAGAAAGAGTTGAGAGATGAATACGCCGCCATCTATGCACTGCTTATCTACATTCGCCGCCAGGGTCTGATTCGGAAATTTCAAAAGCATGGACTGAAACTTCAAGACACCAGGTATCTCACAGAAAGTGATTTGCATGTGTTGTCCAGAGAAAGGATAGCGGATTTCCAATTGCTGCAACGAAAGGTTGTAGACACGCAATACAGTTTTCTTGTACGAACTTTAAAACCTTTTTCTGAAATTACAGCCATATCGCCGAAGGAAGTGCTGCCAATCAAAGAAGACTTAGAGCCCAAGGGGGTGGGGACATTTGCGGAGGTTCGATGTTTTGAATTTCAAGATGATGAATACAGGTCTCGAGAATTCGGAGAGGTGAATTCTGGATCCCCCGTCACGTTGAAAATGTCTAACAGTCCTAGCATATCACTAAGTTTGCTCGTAAAATCTTCAAACAGGGTATGAAGAAATCTGCGGCAAAAGAGTGGAACAACCTTCAAATGCTATCCAAGATGAACAGCCACCCACACATCATGGTAGCCCTAGGTGCATATTGGCATGGCCGGCAATTCTTCATTCTCATGGAGGAAGCGGAGCTTTCCCTTCAAGATTATCTCAATAGCGAAGGAGTAGAATTCGACTCGCAAGAGCTCTGGAAGCAGATGGGGGGAGCAGCTGATGGGCTATCCACTTTGCATGGGCTTTATGCGGATACCAGGATTGCTTACCACCAGGATTTGAAACCTGCAAATATCCTTATTGTGAGGGGGCGATTCAAGATTGCGGACTTTGGCTTGCTCGAGTTCAAGCCTATTTCCACTGATGATGGTACGGGGGCTACTGGCATTCCAAATGCCCACAATACAGGGTTCTATGCTGCTCCCCGGCAAGCTACATATACTCGAGGCTCGGACATCTGGTCTTTGGGATGCATCATGTCCGAGATCGCGACTTGCGACATTCAAGGCCGAGATGAAGTGAGGAAATATCACGAAGCTCGCGTTGAAAACAAGCCGATGACTAGAGATTTCCCTCGGTTCTTCTTTGGTGATCAGGTGAAAGGCGCGGTGCTGGGAAGACACATTCTGTTACAGAGCTGCGTTGAAACTCAGAAACTCGCCGACAGAGGCGTTGAATCTATGGAGTTTCGCCGGAAATTCTACACGGATGATTTTTTCGAGCTGTTGCATGCAATGTTCAACGTGGGAGGTATCAGCAATGAACACCTGACGTTCAATAAAGCCACGGGACCGGATGCCGCCCAAGTTTGCAAGACCATCGAAAGACTACACCATGATGCAGGATCGGAATTCGATATGGATAATGTCATAGATACCCTGACATTGGAGCAACGTCTGCTAGACGACGAGGCTCTTGATCGCGCTCTGACAACACACCTCTCAGAGTTCGAAAGAGTGTTGAACAAAAGAGACCCGGGGAGGCTTTTAGAAACATCCGCGGACGACTTCAAACAGTTTCTTGTCAACCTACAAGAAAAACAGCATGCTGAACGTCGTCAACAAGGACTCAAGCGCCTGTCTATATTTTTGGAACGTATCGAACAGTATGAGGAACTGGTCGAGCGACTGCCCATTGCTGCGAGGATCGGGGGCTCTCTCCGCGTACGTCAAGTTAATCCCTAGTTCACTGTTCCATCAGATAGTAGACGCGGCACCGGCACACGAAACACCGCAAATTGTTTGTGAGCTTTGGACCAGGCAAACGCCACGTCTTTAATCACGTGGCAGGTCTTGGATTACGTTTTACGGTGGTAGACTCATGTGTTCCTGTGCAAGACTAGATGCCCACTTCCATGATTTCAAACGTTGGGTGTACATGCCAAATCTAACAGTATGCGGTGACACACATGGAGATCCAGTGCTAATTATTTGGTGTATTAGGGTCCTCTGAAATTTTTGCTTGCTGTAAGAGTTCTCGCGAGTTTTACAAAATGGTGCTGATCAACTAGACAGAGCACGGACAGTCACCAAGATGCTTTCAGCAACATAGTCGATCTCTACGATCAAATTGGTATGATGCAGCCTACCATATCCATGTACAAGGAGCTTGCGATAGGTGATTCCGATTTAATCCCTGTGATTTCATCGATGTACGCGCATATTCTAGAGGTGAACCGATTACTTTTGGTTTATTTCCAGCAGCGCCGTAAGCAATCCCATCAATCTGCTTCTCGACGGTTTCGTCCTAATCGCGTCTAGTCTGGTCTGAGCTGTTCGCCACATCGTGGAAACGACACAAAGCAAGAATGCAAGGTGTTTTGACGAGTATGAAATCTCTGTACGATTTGATTCGTGGGAAAGCTGAGATCGTCCAATTTAACTCTTTCTTGGCGGGTCATTCACTGGACGGAGAGCAGATGTCTACGTTAGAGGACGAGAATCTATCGAGAGGGCAAGCAGTCCATGCCTGGCTGGAGCCATGTGAAATGGAGAATCAACAATATCATCTGGACAAAATACGGGAGGAAAATCCTGAAACATGTTGTTGGCTGTGGGAAAAAGAGTCATTCACTGAATGGTTTGATCCACAGTACTCCGCGGCAACGTCTTCCACTCTGTTATGGATCAATGGCAAACCTGGGGCAGGTAAGTATAGGCGTAATATTGAAATTCAAAACTCTCACATGCTATTGCAGGTAAAACTGTGATCGCGTCCGCAGTAGTGGATAAGGCCAGAAAGCTAGTTCCTACGCCCACCGTTCTCTACTTCTACTTCAAACATGGCGTCAAAGACCAGGATGACTTTGTATCGATGGCTCGAACACTGCTGATGCAACTCCTCGAACAAAATCCGTTGTATCTCGATTTTCTGTACAGCAAGTGTTGCAATAGTGCGGGAGCGTTGCTGACATCTCGTTCGCGGATTGAAGAACTTCTCGCCTTTCTGTTGCGAAATTGCGATTCGGCATACATCGTACTAGATGGCTTGGACGAATGTTCTTCAAGGAAAGAGAGGGGCGAAATCGTGAAGTGGTTTCGTGCAATCATCGAAAGGCCTGATCCAGATCCGTGTGATCACCTTCATTGCCTCTTCGTAAGCCGCCATGACAGCGCTCGAAAGGACTACCAGGATATACCAAGTATGACTCTAGATACTTTCAACAACCGGAAAGATATTGAGTCTTTTTGTGTTACCCAGTCCAAGAATCTGGAAAATGAATTAGGCATTCCGGCAGAAACGGCCAGGAAGATAGCCTTTTCAGTTTCCCGATCGGCCGAAGGTACGAATTATGTACGCGACGTCAAGAAGTGTCTGACATGAGTTGATATGTAGGTATATTCCTATTCGCTGAGCTAGCGTGGGTGAATTTACGCAGCCAAGCTACCCTGGCGGGGCTAGAAAAAGAGATGAAATCGCTCCCTACTGATCCTGAAAACTTGGATGACATGTAAGTATCGAATCGTCGCAAGAAATATCGAGCGCTGGTTCACTAACTTTGAATAGGTATGCTCGTATCATGAAGACGATTTTGGACAAACCTGTGGCTTCTCGCTTTGAACCTTTGGAGATTTTAAGCTGGTTGGTATGCGCCAAGCGACCCTTGAAAATGCATGAAGTTCAGATGATGAAATCCATCAATGTCAATGAAAGAGCAGTTGAGTTCGAGTATCGCCACTTCAGGGTTCATATCAAACAGCTTTGCGAGTCGTTGGTAGACGTCCGGGAGGATGGAACATTGGAATTAATACATACGACCGCTCGATCGTAAGTAGACCCGCGTTCCGAAAATGATCACAAAATTAGTTGCTGATCATGGTACAGTTATCTAGCAAGAAGTAATCATCTCGACATCGTGGACACAGAGTTGAATTTGGCAGCGCTCTGTATTGACTATTTGAATCTTCCGTATTTCACTGGATCGCCATTAGAAACTGATGTTCTGGCGGGAGCTTATGGTTTCATGGAGTACGCTCTAGTTCACTGGCTTCGGCACTTGGAAGCAGGGATGACATCATACCAAGTTGAGAATCGTGAGCGGCATCTGGATTTGGCAGAATCGTTCGGGATACTTGTTGAGCTGCACTGGAACCATCCACAGAACCTGAGCAGAACAATTCCTAGACGGATATATGATGTACTGGCACAGTTCATTGAACACCCGAAGCATCAGCAAATGCTACAAGCGGCGGCCTGGATGGACAGCGAGCTGAAACATTACGGGGATGCACGTCCTGAGCAGCCCGCCCTTGACTTCTTGAACATATTACCACCTGTCCGTGGATTGATCGAAGATATTGGTGTCAGGAGTCAAAACAACGAAAGTGTTCAGGCCATGAAAATTAAATACGGCGCTCGCTTGTTCAAATGCCCCCGTTTGAGCTGCAATTACTTTACAGAGGGTTTCCATACAGCGAACGAGCGGGATGATCACATCGAACGACACGATCGTCCTGCTCGCTGCGATGATGAACATTGCAGCGGCTCTAAAATTGGCTACGCAACCAGAGCTCAGCTGGAGCGACATAAGAATGAGAGCCACCCCGAAGTGATCGGCCTTCGTCACATATTTCCAACAGAAGAAGAGATAGAACAGAGTCTCCAAGATGAATTCTCGGAGTCTGAACACGAGACCGAGGTTGAGCTGCAATCCGATCATGATGAACACGAAGACCCACAACAAGAGAATTCATCTCCTCCGGCAGCGGTTTCAATGGAGCCAAGTCCCGCAAAGATAAGGATAGGACCTCCAGAAAATCCGAAACGTCAGAAGACAAGACATGAATATCATTGCACTCATTGTGATAGGAAATTTAGTAAAAAGTATAACTGGACGTCTCATCTGACATCGCACGGACTGGGAAATAAGGTGTTTGAATGTTCGGGTTGTGAGAAGACATTTCCTAGGTCAAGTGATCTAAAGAGACACAAGAAGTTGCACGATCCAACCAACGCAGTAATCTGCGGGGGTATACTACCAAGTGGCCGGCGATGGGGATGCGGGGAGACATTTGCTAGAGCTGATACATTGAACAATCACCACAAATCTCAGAAGGGAGGTCAATGTATTGCAGAAAGAGACAGCCTGGACTAGATATGAGTTCTTCTCGACTTTAATTCTCCGTCATTTAAGATTTTGAGCCTCCTGGTACGCATATATGTGGCCACAACAATAACGTCTTCAGTGTCGCATGATTGCATAAGTTTAATAGATCCGGTCTAGAATCCATGTGAGATACATGAATGATCGTGTCTCGCAGCCGTGGGACTCAGTCTCTGCTCGAATAGCATATCCGGAACCACCCGCTCAGTGTCATAATCATTGCAGTTCCACCGATGGTGGATGAGTAATGTTCCGATGCTCTGCTGTTGTGAGACTAATATTTAAGGTTGTCTCGGGGCATTGACATGATGGACCGAGCCGGAGGGGCCAGAAATGGTGGCGCATCAATGCATTCTATTTTGGGGTTCAAGTACCTGCGAGATGCGATAGATCTACCCGTGTCCGTGAATTTGAAAGGGGTCCGTGTTAAAGATTATGTCGCCTGACCAGCCGTGCCGCCAATCAATCCCTTTATAGTGATCCGAGGCAGGAATGTCGAGTGAGTCGAGTCTGACCAGGTGAGACATCAGAACAACCAAACTGCTCGGACATTTATGATTGGAGGAAAACTGCTAAGCCGTGATTTGAGAAGGCCCGGTTGAATTAAAAGGCACGCTACAACACAATCATACACGAAAAGTATCACTCAAGACACCCGGCCTAGTTTACATTCAAGATTCTCGTCATACTATTAGTTATTTATGTCATAAATACTTTAGCAGTGGGCTAGACGCAGTAAACATCTTGCGACTATCAAAAGATCGCGGGGCCTAGCAAAAGTCCTCTGGTAATGGATTGTGCGGTGATTTTTACTTGCGTCGTTTCTCCTAGAGATACGAGTTTCATGTAAAAATGATTCCCCCAACGAGAACCGTTGAGTAGTAGTGGTCGAGTTGTAGCTAGCAATTCTCGCATTCTGGTGAAAATCTACTGGATATGTTTACCAAAAAGTCAAGCCGAGGCCAGAGCACGGATGAGTTACCTAAAATTCAGTCGATATGTAGGCAGTCCTGTGCTTGTACTCTTGTTGTGCGGAATGTATCATTTGCGATGCTCCAAAAGCCGTTAAGTATTGCAAGACGATCATTATTCATTCTTTTTTGTCTCTGAGAAGATCACAAGCTGTAAGTGAGATGGTCCGTCTAAGTACCTCTCTCTTATCACCTTGTCTGTCACAGAACCATGGGTCATTGCATTCAATGCTTTGTCTTGGGTTTGTGCAGCTGGCGTCTGCTCGGATGCGAAGATGCCCTCCGCCTCACTTGACCAGGGCGATGATCTCCGGAGAATCTGAGATCATCCGAACACCAATATCGAGCGATAATGGTAGTGATCGGCGCTTACTAACTCGAAACGGACCCCAAAGCACCAAAGCACATCAAAGCTGCACCAATAGGACATGCTCCTATAACTTGTCTACAGGTTTTGGCACATCAGGGGGTAGCGGCCTCACTTTTTCGCCTCACCTCATAGCTTTACCTGCTGAGCCGTAATTTCTCATACCCAAACGTATCGCCTATCTGAGCTCGTCAATTGAGGTAGTATCTAACCGCACCATGCTTCTGCACTACAGACTACCACATATTATAAGGTACACAAACGCTCATGACTTTGAGGAGTTAAGTTGCGGATGGTATACCGCATTTGTACTTCTACAAGGATATTCCAGCGAAAAAAGAAAGAGCAAACAACACGCCTTCCAAGTTGCGTGACTCACAGCAGTAGTGATCCAGCCCTATGACGGTTACCCGTATCAAGACGTTGATATCACAGTTTGGTGACACAGATCGCCAGCGAATCAAACCCGCTATGGTATGCTGTAGTGAATGAAGCTGACTCATGATAATGTATCTATCGACACTCATGCCCGGTCGTAACTCTGTTTCCTGATCAAAGCGTCACACATAACTTAACTCTCTGAAGTGAGCATATCAAGAAAAGATAGTCTTGCTGGCTCGCAGGTGTTGATTGTTTCTGCTACACCTTGGATCCCTGAACCTCTTATTTGTTGATGCGCTTTGCCATTCGCAGCCTTTCTCGCCTTTCTCGCTCTTACAATGCACTTGATGGAGTACGCAGTACCTCCGCACAGCAGTGTATTCCATCAATAGTATATGGCGATATATTAGAGATGCGTTTACCTGACGCCCCATATGACACATATGGCATCTGTTGTGACAGTCGTGTGGTGGTGTAGCCCTCTTGTCCTAGTCATTATCTACCGCCTCCAGATACTTCTGGTTGATGCATGCCCATGACCTCCTGTTCTTTATGACCAGGCAGCAGTACGGTGCCGGGCCGATAGCCGGTCTTCACATTCTTGTTTCAGTATAATTCATGATGCTGCTTCATTTACACTACTCCGAGGCTACAGTGATCTCACCAATGAAGAGATTCGCAGCCACTTGAAGGCACAATCATCCTAGAAATTAAGATTAAAATCTTGGGGATGAAATTAGCGACGTGAGAATTGCTGAGCCGTTAATCTGCCTGACAGGGCTTCTTCATGTACACCGCCTCGACGCTAAAGTGATTTCACCAATCAAGAGATTGCCAGTACCTCAAATGCAATTATTTCAGGAAATTTAGAAGGGGGCTATGTACAGTCTGCGATAGTTGCTGAGCCGTTAATCTGCCTGGCAGCGGTTCTACCAATGACCATCTCACGCGCTTCATGTACACTGACCCAACGCTAAAGTACTCTCACCAATCATGAGGCTTCGAGCGCCCCGAATGCAAATATTTCAAAATTTTTGGCTCTCATACTTCCCCATTGGGGGATTTGCTGAGCCGTTGGTCTGCCTGGTAGCAGTTCTACCGATGGCAATCTCACGCGCTTCATGTACACTGCCTCGACGCTAAATTGATCTCACCAATGAAGAGGTCCCTAGCAACTCGAATGCAATTATTCCTGAAAATGTGCTCCGCGCCTGGGGGATGGCCTTATCTGACCTGTGCGAGTTGCTGAGCCGTAAATTTGCATGGTCGTGGGTCGTCCCGGCGAGATCCTCCAGCTATCCAAGGTGGTGAAAAGTGACAAGTGATGCGTTCTGGCACATTGGAGAGGCAGATCTTGAATCTTACTGATAGAAAGATGAGTGCACTCTATGGCTTTTGAATCAAAAATTCACGAGAAATTGTTTTAATGTGCGAGCCGGGATGAATACAACGTTCTCACAGCACATGAGGTAAAGCTATGTTTAGATTTATGAATCGACGCATTCACTCCTCAGTTGTGAAAAGCCAGCCTTCTGAGAATTCGTGAAAAAGGTTACCGGCGACATTTTGTGTCGCATCTGTTTGACTGCGCGGTCTTTCCTAGGCTTACTGTGATTGATCAAATGTGCATATGTAGACGTGACCCCACTTGTAGCTGACTGGAATTTGCTTTGTAATGATGCCTCACTTGACTTGCTGATCTTCTAACAGACCAATGATATGCTTGAGTGCGGCTTGATCGCTTTTTTCAAAGCAGAAAATTGACACGAACGTCGGTAGACTGCCACCAGCCAACACGCTGTGCTGAGCCGTTATTTCTCATAGTCTTCCACGTCCCCCCACTTTTACATGACTGCCCCCGAAAATCCTCAAAATGTGATTTCAGGCAACGTGCGCTCCCTTGAAGCCTGCAGGTAAACACCTAGTACTTTTTCCATATATAATTTATATTGTACCGCATCCTATGGATCACGCTTCGCTTCAAGTAAACAGTCCAACAAACTTGATCGTAGGCCTATTCACTGAACTAGCTTCAATCTGGACTCCTACTTGAAGCTTTTCTGGGCTTGACATTATGGTGGTTTCCTGTACTTTGATTGTGTTACTGCCGTTACTAATTCCTCATTCCAAGCTGCTCCTTTGAATCACTACTATAGAATGATATGTGCTTTGAAATGGGCATCAATCAGTTTACGGTGTGTGGTTTCCTCAGCATCGCGCCATAACAAAATGGATGCTAGGCAACCAGGCTGAGACTTGAGTGTGGTTGCAGCCTAGCGCTATGGCATTCCATATCCAATCGGCACTTCTGTATTACTCGTTCCGTTGTCCATTTGAGTATCTCGTCCCCACAAAAGGTCGTCCGCAACTAATCAAAAGTTCCTAGGGATCACGAGTGTCGCTTTGTGTTAGATGGGGGGGCCGGAGGAACACATCAACCTGCATACGCGCTGGGTAAGAACGTGCATGAACACGAGAATCTGACCACCATCTAAACTGCTCGACCTATCAGGCATGCCCCAGCAATTCAACAGCAGTTTTCAATTGAATACAGATAAACGACCTACATCTTACATGCATAGCCATTGGGATGTTGCTGAGCCGTGATTTTAAGCCGCACTTTGTGCAGCTCATTCTTGATCATGTTTTTGGATCCATGGGGCCGTCTAACATACCCCAGAATATAGATTTGCACTCCGCATAAAGACAGGAAACCCACCTCTAGTTAATTTTAGACACCCTAATTGGATGAAAGTGTTAGTAGTCACTTCCTTGTCCGCAAAAATTCAAGATGTAGTAAACTATGAGCGTTGTCAACGATGAATTAAGTTAGTTCATACTAGGTGTTGAGTATCCATGAATTTGTTCCAAGTGACGCAAGATTCTATAACCATGCTCCATCTACTGCGTAAACACCCCCGCTCACAAAGCTGCTCTCAGGTCCCAAAAGGAAGACAATAACGTTCGCTACCTCATCTGCTGTTCCTTGACGCTGGAAAGAAGTGGGCTCGTCGAAGGGCGCGTCTTTTGGCCTGTTGCTCTTATCCCAAAACTTTTGCATCATCGGGGTGTATATCGCACCCGGAGAAACGGCGTTGACGCGAATTTCTTTTCCTCCGTTCTCCTTTGCCGCAGCTTTGGTGAGGCCGATTATACCATGCTTGCTTGCATCGTATGCGCCATAATTCGCCATTCCTTTCCACTCGTTAGCTGAATAAGAAGAAATTGTCTCCTCAATGGATGCGCCTACCAATTGTTCCATGGATTGAAGAAACATTGACGATCGAGCCCCCATGCGATACACTGCGCAGCTCCGCCCGGAGACAGTACATGCAGCCAGTAAGATTGACCGCGATAATCTTATTCCACTCATCGTCATCGAGATCCGCAACCGGCTTTACCCCATGGTCTTTCCCAATATACCCAGCAACGTTCGCAGCCCCATCCAGCCGCCCAAATTTCTCCACGATCGACTTGATCCACTGATCCACTTGCGCTCGCGACATAACGTCCAGCTGTGTCACCAGATACGGCTGATCTTTTGCTGCGAACTCAGCTTCTGCTTCGCGCAAGGCTGTGGGGTCGATGTCGCCGATGCAGACGGTCCCACCGCGTGTTTGGATCAGCCTTGCTGTTGCCAACCCGATTCCGCTCGCTCCACCCGTGATTGCGAAAACCTTTTCTTTCAGAGACATGTTGTATGTGAATTCGAAGAAGAATCTATTGATGATTGTGTCAACGCTGTCACTGACGAAAAGGGGAATGTATGTGATTGGGCCCACAAGAGGGGTAGTGCGTGCTCGGGGCTTTTCGTCCCGAGGCACGTGGTAAGTCGCGCCGCTCGCGTGGCAGGTAGGCCGAGATCACCGAACTAGTCCCCCAATTTTGTAAGAAAAACGTTCAACGTTCTTGGTATTAGAAGCAATGATGTATTAGATCCGTAGGAAGAGAGACTGCCATGATATACGGGCTTGAAGTTATGTAGCTGAAAGGACAACGGTTTCCTTTCGCACAAGAAACATCAACGATGACAATTTATAGATGAGCAGAGGGCCATAGCGACTAAAAAGCCGAGTCGCATAGACACGGAAGTTCTTGACTGATTGAAAGCACCGTTGAAGATGTTTGAAGAATTCAACATACAGATCTCCGGTGTGGTCACGTGATTCGATTCGAGCGCACAGTCAGGTTGAGCCGGCATACATGCACTTGAATGCTGATGAGCTATCGGTGTCTGAAGGTTATGCAACATGTGCTATCCAAGTGTACACATTTTTATTGGGGATATCAGAAATGATGATTGCGATACAAGACTCGCTCTATGGTTTTCACTTCTTCATTGGAGACTATCGCATAAATCTCAAGTGCTACAAGGCGAGTGGTTTTGAGCTTTAGCACTAGATTAATTGTTTTCATTACTACCTCTTTGTCTCAGTCCGATCCATTTAGCTTGGTCTATTATGTGTTCATCGCATATTCCATGCCGCACAAAATCCATTCACCATCTTGTATACAGACCATCCAATAGTATAGAATGCGCCATAAGACGCAGCCTCTTGTGGTTCTATTGTTGTTCTAGATAAATCCTGCATTCGGGAGATGTAGCGACCCATTTGCATCAGGGCGTCCGGGAAGCCTGTATGTCGGAGTGTCGACATGTCGACATGTCGATTGGACGGCCTTCCCGGCTTTTGGCTCACCAATCAATAGTCGTTCCCATGGCTTAGCTAATACAATTGAGCTTACACAGACCAATAATTCGTTGTACTACGCGAAATATTGACAGCTCAGAAAATAGACAACACATCGTGTGGCTGCACTGGATTGCCGAACATGAGCTCACTACATTTGATCGTTGGTTTATATACTGGATTTGCCGTCCTCAAAGGGCCTTTGTTGTCCTTCACTTTGATCCTTTAGCCTTGAATTAGTCCTTCATACCCGATGGCGCTGCAACGGGACGATTCCTTCTGGTCCTTCGAGGAGGAAACCGGTGGACTCCCCCTTGACATGAATCAAGCTACCACTGACCCAAAATATTCCCAGGCGGTGAGCGACCCCGCACCCGACCAGAGGCGTTCAACGTTCCCGCGTTCGCGCATCGTCTTCCAATATGAGATTACCTGCTTACCCTGATAGATGGAGGTCTTTTCCCCTACAGGCTTTGGCATGGACTTACATAGGTTCAACACGGCCGATCATGGCGATGCTTCTACCACCCATAGCATGATTTCAACCACGACAATGTACCCTCGAGCTACGTCAAATCCTTACCCTCAGACCAATCTCAACAAAACCTTCGCTTGTGTGGAAATGCAATACTTTTTGAACCATATGCAGAAACCCAAGTGCAGCGGTGTAGAGGCGCCAGTCATTTCAGAGGTGCGGCGTCATCTGAAAAGAAGCCCTCATAAGATCTCGGAGTTGGAGCGGTGTCATGTTTGCGACGAGGATTTTTTGTCTCGAGCAGAATTTCAGAAGCACGAGCAGCCACATGGTTGGTGTCAGAAAAGAAAGTTGTCGCCTGAGAATCAGTGGAGTCTCTTGTATCAAAAGGTCAACCAGACTGAGGAAACGCCGCCAAGTCCATGTAAGAACAATATTCAAAGGCATCGAATTGCACTAATACGTTGTAAGATAACGGGGAATATATACCCCAGCAGCGTAGTCTGTCTCCCTCTCAGACGAGACTACCACCGTCAATTACAGAGGCTATTTTATCCCAAGAGCGCGACACTCAAAGGCCACCCTCTCTGGGCAGCCTCGCAATAAATACAAGGACCACTGAATTGGCTGATGAGGAACCCCCATCACATAATGCCATAATTCAGCGAGCTCGAGACCTTGTATTCAACTTGACACAGTCGCTTCCCGAGGAGCAGCGTCGTGACACGCGGTATCGTGTGGGAGCAGAATTGATGTCTGTCATGAATACCGCCTCAGAAAACGTTGTTCCATATACCCAGAACCACGTAAGTACTAAATATCCCTCAAATTTATGATGAGTTATTGAGGAATCCACACGGGTAGTAGATGCGATCATATTCACCGAGTCCAGACTCATACTCTGTAGCCGGGTACGGTGATCAACGAATGACATCATTGGCTGGCTCTACTTCTGAATATCCCACAAACCCATGGCTTTCAATACCGTCGGAACCCGCGCCAGCTGCACAGAACTGTGACACATGTGGAACGACTTTTCATGGAGATTACGCAAAAGGAAATTTAGTCCGACATAGGAAAGCCCATCACGCTGAAACGACTTTTGTTTGCGAAGTTGAAGGGTGTGGAAGGCAGTATAGGCGATCAGACGCTCGTAGACAGCACTACTTAAGATCGCACCCTGAGATCGCACCTAGAGGGGCCAGAGTAGACAGGCTGTATATGAAATAGTATTTCACTGTTCCTGGTGCGAGAAGAGTATGTGTATATGCTGTCAAAGCTATCGAAGCAAATTTAGAAACAAAAAGAAAAGGTGATCGGAGCATATAGCCTATAAAGTGACCTGATTGGCTGTGCCCAAAATCATGATCCATGTTGGGGCTATCATGAAGCATGAGACAGGGATTCGTGCTACACAAACTGGCACTGACGGCTTCCCAAAGGTCCACCAAGTTCGAAGAAGAACATGATTCCGTTTAATATAACACATTTATGTGCTCACATTGCACCAGGGAGCGATGTCAGCCCTGTTTGAAAGAATTTTAGTCACTGGTTCGAGCTCATTGAAGTGGCAGGGTAGAACTTACATCCTTCAGTGTCTTCATTGATCGTCGACTTGACTTTGCAGTTGTTGATGGCTGCGGCGTTTTGGCTCAGAAGAGGCTTGCCATTCCCACAGGCCTGGAACATGCAGGATGAGTCCATAGCTTTTTGGAGGGAATCGCCTTTCCAGCCGAAGACGTAATCGCCGTGGGTCGCATACCCGGTTCTATCGCCCATACTCCACTGCATGAATGTCAGATTGATGATCTTCATCTGGCGGAACAACTACGCCAGACGTAAAGACTTACAACAAAGGGTTGCGAGCCATCGGCAGGCCATTGTGATTTATCGTTAAACTTGGTGGTGTCCCATATGGTCTCATAAGCGAGCTGTGGCATGCGGACGGGGTGTGAAGCTGGGCAGGGGCCTGCTTCTACGAAAGTGCCCTTTTTCGTTGTGCTATACATATGAGATTGATGGTCGGGACTGTCGAGGTTCTTTCCATCCCAACATCTGGTTATTTTTAGAAAGCTTTCCGCGGGTTGGAGGGGCTTATTACTAACGCTGGGAAATGATGAATTGCCATAATACCAGCAGGGCATGGCTTTGTTGGGAATTCTTGGGTCTCCGATCCTCTGGTGTTGATGTTCTGGAGGCAGGTGTAAGAGAGTCCATTGACAACATCGGATTTCTCTGTCGTTGTTGGGCTACCAACGGTCATTCGGAAGCCCTTTAGCTGTTAGCTACATTCGTCTTATCAGGTAGGTGGAACACGAACAGGTGGAAATGCCGTGATCTTTGCGTTTCCATTCGAGTTGAAGTCCTTCTGGGTGTAGTAAATCGTCATCCCATCTGTTGACCCCTCTAGCGCAGAGTTTGCTTTGATAGGTACGCGTTTGAATGTGCCATTGCGAGCTTTGAAATAAAGCACAGCAGTCCAGTAGTTGGAAAAGTCTTCCGAAAAGAAGCAAGAAGTGCACGTGGCTCTGTCGGCAATGTCGTTGTTCGCACCAGAGCCCATGGTCGCATTGAAAGAATTTCCTCCGACAATTTGGTGTACATGTGCTGATGGAATACGACCAGGCTCTACAAGAGGGTCGAGTCGCTGGATGCTAATCGATGAGCACCCAAATCGCAGTGCGGCTTGGGAGGATGCCGCGAAAGCGAGCGCGAGCAAGGTTGACTTCATATTTGCGAAGAGAATACCGCTAAAAGTTTTCTGATGGACGCTTCGTGGAAAAGTGATCCAAGTTTATTTACTTGGTTATCGCAGGTTATTATGAGGTTATTTTCAGCTGTCAGTACACACCTGGCGATGAAACAGCACGGAGGATTTTGCCGATGACCAGGGGTGGTGATTCCAATATGCCGCCTGTCGCTTATCCAGGTCGCAGTGAAACATATTAATTATTGCCAACTTTCCCCTCGTACACTCGGCCACACCACTCATGATTGGGTACGACGGGTGCATTCATATTGCATCTGGTCTGATCCATGAGTTCGTCTCACGGCACTGTGAGCGGAACTTTGGTTATATGTGGATCGCCCACTTATTTCGTGGGAAGTCGAACATTGACCGACTGGTAATATAAACAGCGGATGGTAGCGTCGGCACTTTTCTCTAAGACCAGGCAGATTTAGCAGATTTTACATAGACGTGCTACTACTGAATAGACTGCCATAGTCATATGCTGCTACATTTTCATGTACCGAGAACAATGTCGTGGGTATGTGCTTCAATCAAATTCACTGGTCACAACGTAACAGATGCATTACGAGATAAGAACTTTTATTCAAAAAACTATACTTTGAAAGATACTGGCGGGTCAGATAGCAGAGTTGCGCGAGCCAAAGTCATATATTTGGAAGCGGCTTAACTAACTAGCAAAAGACAACAGAAACAAGAACACAATAGAAAAGAATGAAGAAAGAAAAGAATTGTCTAATCTATAAGAATGTGAAGAAACGAAGATAAAGACGAAAGAAAAATAGGTCTGGCCAAAGACGTTGTTGTGAGAGTACTTTCATGACATATCAGTCCAGATGATACTTACGACTCCTCGGGAGCGTGAGAAAATGACTGTTCAAAATCTTCAGAGCGAGTCATGACAGCTGCAACCGCCGTATCATCATCCATATCACGCTTAGCTACGCTTTTAAAGCCGACTTTCCCGTTCGATTCCTTGAACTTCTGGTAGACGTATCCCGCAAGCGCGACCTCGACTAATCCGAATAAGGTCTGCTTGATATCACGGCTTTTGGTACAGATGCTCCGATCTGGAGATGGTTTATGTAGAGCAGCACAGTATTTGCCAAGGGTTCTGTTGATAATGTGCTCATTCAGAATGTATTCAAGAACAGTATCAGGCAGACTTACCCTTCAAAAGTAATCTTAAACCACGAAGGATTGTCTGAAGTACTCCACGGGACGCGCCTGATTCCTGCGCTGATACTGCGACCCTGCGCTATTTTGAGTCAGCATAATATACTGACTGAATTTCGGAGATCACTCACGACCCTGTTCATCTAGGGTGGCACCTATGACATATCTGTCCCAAGGGTCGTGATAGCCTGGGGGAGCATCGGAAATGCTTGCCCAAGGGAATTCTTCGGCACTGATTGTTCGATCACTGATACGACTAACGTCATATCTTTCCATGTTACTGTCCTGGAAAGGATAGTTATTCTGCCCAGAGTCCGTTCGATGGCCCTCGTCCTCGGCCGAGTTCTTGTTTCTCGTACTGACCATCGTTTTTATTAGATTTAGTGAGACCAATTACTACTCTTGAACGGTGGTGGAGAGAACTTACAATGTACGTCTGCCACGAAGTTTACACAACATAATGTAGCAGTCCTCTTCCGCAATGCTCGGCCATGCAGTAATATCGAATGTTGCCTCGTGCGGATCGTTTTCCGTTCCAGTTGCACGTGATACTAACTTGCTAATTGAAAGATCGTTGGCTGGTGCTGCAAGCAGCTGAGAAGGATATAGTAACAAAGCCACCGAGAAATAAGCGAATGAGATACCCATGATGGCTATGGTCTAAAAGAGTAAAGAACGTATGCAGCTGAAGATGGCTGGGAAATTTTTTCACAGGACAAATTGTTATTGAACAAATGGTGAGATCAACGGAAATGGGGTGAAGCATTCCCTCTTATACATCTTCTGCCGCTCACATCTTCACCTGGTAACGTATAGTGGCTTGCTAGGCAGACTTCAGATGAGAAAAGAAATAGAAATGAACCGGATGGCGTTCATGACAAATTGGAGAATCACCGAAAAGCAATCAAGGCTTCTTAGATAATCCCCATGATTCTCCCGCTTGGGATTGAAAAGTTAAACTCTTTATAGACGATGAGTAGGACCGCAAGGCCGTCATATGGCCTCCATGTTGACCCTTTCGAGACATCGTCTCCTGTCACGTACTATTCTAGGTCTCTGTCTGCTGGTGACATGATGCTCTATTTCATGCAAAACAAGTGCCAGAACCCCCTAAGCGAGTTCACAAGTCCATCGCATGATCATCGCATCTCTATTATAAGCTCGTATCCTTTGGGGCCTTCTTTCACATAGTACTTCAACTTCTAACTTATGTTTGACTTGATGCGGATACACAAGCAATATATCTCCGAAGTTTCTGCTTCAAATATTCCAGATTGAGACAGAGGACTGATCAGATGATGGGAAATGAGTCCTTGGACTTCAATTCCGACATGTCCATTCTCTTCCTTTCTTCCAGTCAGCTCTAGCCCGAATTCGGATTCCTATGAGAAACAGTAGTTCATAGTGCTTTGTAAAACTAGACTATCTGTAAGATTCGACGCGCATTGCGTGTTCTGTGCGCCTCCACATTTCCGGGAGAACAAAGCTTATGTTGAGCACGGACGATGACTACTCGTCTAGTTTTCTTCGTGTCTTTCCCTTTCTGGCATAAAGTTTGCATTCCGACACAGGCGCAATAAGTTTCGAGCGTCACCTTAACAATTTTACACACTGACAGGTGATTGTCCTCGACCCATTGATAGTGATGCCCTCTCGCTGAGAATAGCACTGAAAATAGCACATAAGCAAATTGAGAAATCTTTTGAAACACCAACAACGCTGGGCAAAACCATTTCACCTCCTGTCAAGACCAGCAATGCCCCAATTAGGCGATAAAAGAGCATGAGATTATCGTAGGACCCCATATCGTATGAGCTGAGCTTTAGGCCCGCGAGAATCAAACGCACTCTCATTCAGCTCTCGTATCAGTGAAGTTGTGATAAGACTTCTTAGAATAGTCTATCCGTAGGCAAATGATCTTCGTATAGGACGCGACCCTGAAACTGACCATGCACAGGTGCTATGTTTGCATTCCAACCTCCTCGGAATATGACGAGGCAGGACAATCTTCTGACGAGGCCGAAGCTCCAACTTCTCGACTAAGCTCAAAGATTATGGCAATTTCTAATTAGAACACTCAAAATCGAGAATATATAAGAGTCGAGAGATGGCAGTAGAAGGGCACAACAGAACAGCAGCTCACTTCGGTATTCACTTTTCATGAAGGTCCATACTTCCAACCTTTCGTCAATCATTACCCAAACACTCTTTTTGGATCTTTTGAGGGAAATCAGACAACTATAATCTCTACACGCTCACAGTATCTTTAACATTCAATATGAAATTCCAATCCTCCATCCTCGCTTTTGTTGTGGCTATCGGGGTCTCAGCCACCGCACTCCCCGGTCCAGCACCCATGGCTGATGGACTCGTTCCTATTAGCGCCAAAAAGCTTCCTAGCGGCTCTACTGCCCTCATCTACACAGATGACGGGCCCGTGAAGCGAGAGCTAACCCCCATCGCTACCAAAAAGCTCCCCAGCGGTTCCACCGCCATCTCGTACAGCGACAGTGGAGATGTCACGCAACACCCTACCAGCGACGAAGATCTCTCAAAGCGCGGTTGGTGGGACTCTAAACCCAAATACTGCCACGTAAACACAACTCCAGAATGCGATGACGATAACGGCGGACCAAACGAGACCTGCAACGAGCTTTTGAACGAGTTGCAGGGAGATAGATCCCGTAAGCAGCCAGAAGGCGCGAAGCAGTACTGCATTATGTCTGGGACCGGGAAGTTGTGCTGCGTCAAGTGGACCAAGAAGGTGAACGGTCTTACTAACGGCGATATTGCCGACCGTTTCGAGAAGGGTGAGTATCAACAATGTTCGGTGATAATGTGGTATGTGCTAATTCTGAATACTTAGCCACCAAGACTTGCACGCTCAACGGAATCTCTGCAAAGTACAACAGCTTCTGGACTAGGGATACTTGCATGTCTCTCTGCATTAATGATGGAGCTGGCTGCAAGGACGAGTCTGTGTTCAAGTCCTAGATAGCACGACGCAGCCAGTAATCAGTATCTGATGGCCAATACAAAGCTGGGGATCAAACTGTCGCCGGTCTTCTACTTTCACTACCGCCCTTTTATTTTCTTGGACTGCCGGTCACTTTTTTATTCAATTCTTAGACAATCTTTAGAGAGGACGTCGTGGTTTGGGGTGTCATTTTAGAAATCAAGATCAAATTCATAGATTACATATACATTCCATCATGCATGTGAAACCACAATATTTCCACTGTTTGCATCGACTGTTTCGTTTGAAGTTGTGGATGGCTGCATTTTAATCATCTCACTTCTCGACAGGCTTCGTGGTGCTGGGACTTAGCAAAACCACAGGAATGTCTCTGGAAATTATAATTTTGCAGCTGAAACAAAAACCCCATTTTTGGCGCACTCAAATTGCGCTCAATCTCGAGCGTATAATCAGTTGCATCTAGATGTTCGACCCTGTCACTAGCGACCTTCATTTTCAGGAATGAAAGATCAACTCCTCAGCCTTCTGGACACTAAAGACCCCTTCCCCATCCACCGCCTCCTCCTTCCTCTCATACACAAAAGGATCAACCGCGCTCGCAGGTCCATAGTTCAACATACTATGCAAGTCCCACGCCTCCTCGAACTTGATCCTATAATTCCACCACGTATACGGCGTCGGCGGCAACTTCTTCCCATTCTCATCATCAACTCCATAAACAATCTGCTCTCTTCTATATACTTGCGCGAGCAAAGTCTCGTCACGAGCACTCCGCGCGTCTGCAATGAACAGGATATCTTTCTCCATGAACGTTACTTGATCTTGTTCTCGGAGTAGCCATTCTTGACATTCCTGTGGAGTAGCGCCAATGAACTCGCTTTTGATTGGCTCATTGTCGGTTTCTACCTTTTTCTTGAACATGGAAGGGTCTTTTGGGTTCGTTTTGGATTCGACGAGGTACCATGGGTCTGGGACACCTTTTGCGTAGTCTGAGTAGGCCAGAATTTTTCTGATGAACTTTGGGACAGCATATCGTGTAAGTCATGACTGATTATGTTTTTTCGAATTTTTAAGATTGAGACTTACGGGTTTCGCTTCGTCCGCGACACAGAATAACATCAGGTCAGGCATATTGAAAGATGTATTATGGGCAAGCGCGAGCAGGCAGACAATTTGCAATCCACTGCTCGAACGAAAGAATGAGAAGAAAAAAAAGATCGACGCAGGTTTTGAAAGGAGTAATGAGGCTCCTCAATATCTGTAGTCGCGTTGCCAGTAAGATCGGAACCGATAGGGTGGTATTCGGACATACCATGACGTCACAGGCTGCTTACTGCACTCTACGAACCCGATCCCAGATAGTCTGTCTTCATTTACTGCCTATGTAATACCTATTACGGCAAGAGGATTTTTCAAAGTATATGCTATTATGGGGACTGCTGTCCCCGCCGATCAGCAAATATGTACTCGCACGTGCATGTTCTCGGTAAGTCACATGACTTTGTGTCAGCTCGTGACTGCATGGGCATCTGCTAGCATCGTCATCCGACCATTCAATGTGAAGAACAAACGTCTGAAAATGAGCTTATCTGGGAAGTATATGTGCACCGACCGAGCATAGATGTCCTAGCTCCTTGTCCTGCCGTGTATTTTCGCGTATATCATCCGAAGATCCCCACGTAGCAGTGGGACACGCAAATGATAGTGCAACAGAATGCGAAACCTCAATCATACTAATATGATCGACGAATATTTACTATCCGATACTTCAAGACTGTAACCAAGTCCACTCCATAGGTGCTTCATTTCTTCCAACTGATCTACCACCACATCACTCCTTCTTCAAAACGCTATCAAGCACCTTGTGTCTATGCACCCAGCTCCTCGCCTTCTTCCCAAAAATATACATCGGAATAGTCGTAAGCGTGACCGCCATAGTAACCCCACCAATCACAAAGAAGCAATCCCGCACTCCTTGCGTCTCGATCCAAGTATTCGAATAGAACGTCAACCCAAACGCAAACATGTTCTTCAGGAAATTGATAATGGCGAAGGCTTCGGCTGATTGCTCGCGGTGGCAGTCGCTGACGTAGGTGACGACTGCTGTGACCCCGATGATGACTCCGAGGTTGATCAGGCCCATGCAGACGATTACGGGGATCGGCCAGGGGTCTTGCACTGCGAGGGATTGGCCCCATGCGAAGAAGCCGGTTGCTGTGAACGCGATGTAGAATATCATGGCTGGGAGGCGGAACTCGGGTTCTGCGGTGTCAAGTCAGCACTGGGGTAGGTGTGAAGGGTGTAATAGTGAAGAAGCTTACCGAAGACACCGTTGTTACGTTTCGCCATGAAGGTTGCTATACCATCGACGACGTATCCTGCTGCTACAGTGGCGATAAGAGATGCAACAAAAGAGGAAACATTCGTTGCGCCTACTGCAGCGACGGAGAAGTTATATGGTGGCGCGGAGAAGATTTGCGAGAGGGTGATCGAGATTAACACCAGCCAACTAATGCACACCGTAAAGAGAAGGCTGCCAAAGATGACAATTGGAGAGAGGATGGTAACAAAAGGACGGAGCATTGTTCTCCAGAAGGAAACGTGGTCCCAATATCCGTTCCAAGGCATTAGTTCTTTAATAAAGGAATCCTTTGGTTCGGAAGCGGGGTTGCCAGTCACAGTCGGGTGGTCCTCGATATGTATGGCCTTTTCTTTCTCCAATGGTTCCACTTCGACTGTTTTGTCGCTGGTATCGATGTTCACTGCGCCCTGCCTTTTGAACGCAGTTTCGGGCATAAAGAAGATGATCAACAAAAGCATCAGTGCGAATGCTCCGCCCATGCCATGCATAGCTGCGCGATAGCCTCCCGTTTCAATAATAGAGCCAGCGATGGGACCAGCGAGGTTGATACCGCCGAGCACACCCAAGTTGAAGATGGCCATTCGCAAACCACGTTCGTGGACGTGCCAGACATCCGCGACCGATGCGGGGATCAAAGCTTCAAACGGCGCCATGCAGAAACCTTGGATTGTTCTCGCGCCAGCCAACGAAGCAAAGCTGTTGACTTCTGCGGCCCAGAAACACGATACAGCGAGACCTAGAGTGGTTACGAGGTAGACGGGTCTTCTGCCGATCTTAACGGCTAAGGTATTACAGACGAGGCTGCCGACGGAAATAGCGACGATACAAGAACCATTTGCGCCTGTGTCAACTGTCAGTGTGTTACTTTTCTGTATGTATGAATTCGCTTACCCATGCTAAAGGTTTGTAGCGGTACACCGAATTGTTGCGAAAGCGGCACGAACGCTGGAGTCAACAGAGGTCCAACAGCTATGCGGCATCGATTGTTAGCACAGATCAGCCGCGCAATGCAGTTGAGGCAGCCGTACCTCCAACACATCCGCACCCGTATCCAATCACCACAGTAAACATCTCCTTCTTCCATCTCGGCCAATTGTACGGATCATTGGGGGAGTCTGAAGGCTGCGGCACCAGCACAATCTCGCCAGACTTGTCGTGCTTGAGGAGGTTAGGATCGACTGTCCCATCGACTTCGAGATCCACCCTGCTTAGCTCGCTCAAAGGAGCTGTGCCAGGCACATGTTCGAGCTTGTGGTCATCGAGTACTCCAAGAGGCATGGCGGATCTCTGTATCTCCCTGCGCTTCGGTGGGTGTCGGGTTGGGGTCGTGTAGAGATGGCAATAGCCCTGCTCGTGGAGTCCATATGTCTGCGAGCAGGAGGTGGGAAAATATATGTAAATCTACCACTCAACACAGATGTATCAACGCTATTGTCGATCCCCACCTCCATTCCTATTGCGGTAGGGATAGTCTTTAGCTGCTGGTGACCCACTTTGTGATGGCAGGTTGAAACGAATGCGGTAGGATTTATGACACTTTTGCCGGTTATCCTTTCCCCTTGGAGTTACTATCTGGTCTCTATGAGCCCAAATATAGCGATCTTGCTCAAGCATGCACGGCCAAATTTATCTCTACGCAGGGCACTCCAAAGGTTACGCTGTTGTCGCACGTTTCCAACGGACGATCGACAAGCTGCATCTATCCAGACCAACAGACATTCAGTCCTCGAGGTGACAGGAGGCTTACCCCAAACTTCGCCAATATGGGCATGGGTACGCCTCCTTCGCGACGTGCTAAAATGTGGGGAGCCGTGGCGTGTGCGGGGGTAGCGTGCGGAGATGCAAGAGCACTGTGGAGAACAACAACTTGGAGCATACAAGGGGGCGAATCACACACGCGAAATGCATGACGAAATTGTGGGTTAGGGGATCCAGTCTCCCTCACAGCAACACGGAGCTCTCACATGTTGAATTACCGGGGAAGCTGGATGTTGGCTCGTTTATCTCGCGCGACAAAAAGCTTTCGGCCTCGATGAGATTGCGCGTATGCACCTCGTCCGTCCCGAATATCATACTGCAACTCCGATTGATCAGGACGATTCACCATCTGTTCCGAGACTTTGACCATGAAAACTGTATTCACTGGATGTAAGCACTTGGTGTTCCACAAATAACCTCTCTCTACCGACCACCAGAACTTCCCACGTGCGTGCGTCACGTAGAGGCAAAAGACCTCGATACCAACTCTTCATCTCTAAACACACACAACTCCACCCTAAAGCCTGGTCCCCCAGATCTTGACTCGCATGCTTCCCAAAAAACAGCCCATTTCCCAGCCTCACCTTACTAGCCACGTCCGCGGACCAACTCAGCTGCACCACCAAGACCCTAACCGAGCATCAGCACATAGTCGAAGTCGTGGGGCCCCATAATCTGTCACCGCGACCCACCCGCTACGCAGCACTTTACTCAAAGCATTCACTGACAAGACTCGGCATGTCTGTTGCGCCAATCAGAGCCCATGCGTTGAATGGGGTCACTGAGTCTTGGGACAACGGCAATGTCAATTGCGGGTTCCTGTTGATCGGGTAGTTGCTGTTTGTGGGCAGGGTGCGCGTTCCGATTGTGGGAATGATGGCTGGGGTATAGATAACATGCTTACTGTTCGCGTAGTTGCTCGATGTTTTGCTGTTTTGGGGGAAAGTTGGCGATGTGGGGGAAGATTTGGGGGGCGGTAAATAGGCGCATCGCGCTCTTCGAGTTTGAAGGTGTTTCTAGACTGATGGACAGTCGTCATGCAGGTAATGGTTTTTGAGATCACGTATAGTGTGGCGATGTACCCGGCGATCTGGGCTCTGCCTGACATAACACATGTATAGATGTATCACGTTGGATCTGGCCTGTACACACACCTTCGCAATCACCGGGGGTTTAATCTTGCCATATGAACCTGGTTCTCGATTAATTGAAGTCAGGCTACTTTGTAACAAAAGGTCTTAGCAAACGCTCAGCCTCCATGTTCAATTTACCTCAATCCTGTCCGGGACTCGAGTGCTCCGACAAGTCCAGGTTCTGGCCTGAATCATTCTGTGTGGGGCTTCGTATCTCTTTCAAAAGGAATTTCTGTGATCTAAATTCGTGAAGTTGTAATGGTCGAAAGCGTAGGCCTTTTTACTTCCCCAGACTACTTGCTCCTTTCCGGCCAACCCTCTCCGCGAAACGGATGCGCAGGCCAGATTTGAACTAGAGACAGATGGCTAACCTTAAATGGTCGCGTGAGAGAAAATCAAGGTGATCTAGAACTAATTTTCATAGATTTCTGCACCCATGCGTGATTGATCTGTGTCCATCGGTCGGGACTTCAATGCATGTACATCACGCACTTCCGCCATTCCGGGGGAGTTGGCATTACTTAAACCGCGGGGTCTATTCGTTCTCTCTACTGCCACAGTTGGTAGCAATAAAGTCAAGTTCTTTATGTGAGGTCACGATCCAGATTTCAGAGCCAAGTCCCCTGATTCCGAGGAGGATAAATGGTCTTCTGTGAGGAACAGCATTGGATGTTTCACTGGGAGAGATTGACAATTCATGTACAAATTTTGCATGTATTCAGTTGATGAAACACATCATTCTTACTATTGACGCAAGAGCTTTACGAAATCATGATCCACCCTGACAGCACATCTCGCACAAAGCGACAAGCCTTTATGCCTTCAAATCTGGAGAGTCATTCTTGTTCGCCTTGGATAGCAATTGCAGATAGCCGCAACAAATGAGCAACAGTCCCAGAGCTACAGGGCTTCTGTATTCTATCGCATCTCCGGGTGGCAAAAGATCTTGGTATGACGGGCGAGCTATTGCATTCTCCCTCACAGGCCGTCGATATGCTTGCACATCGCGCATTCATCCTAAACAGACACGATACCGCGTTGACCTGGATTATCTTCGCACGGCAGCTCCAAACTGACAAGTGCTTGTCGCGGATCTGGGGCTCAATTACACTAGCGATGGGTTGTCACTGGAGGCATGAAAGTTGTAGTACCAAGGCCCCGGGTCCATTTCGTTGGTAACTTGCTTGCCACGTTGGGGTCTCATCAAACTCAAGTGCCTTATTTCATCGGAATAGTGTAGAATTATGCAAAACGGTGCCTGAAGCCAAGGAAATAATACTGATAGCTGCAGCAAATCACTTATCACCGCATCATTTGTAATGCGACGGCGTTGTCACGACTGCAATTCCATCACTTGCGTCTGCGTAATTCAATACCACATCCATCGTGGAAGCATTTTGGAGAAGATAAGACAACATTTGGTTGCTATCATGAGTCGCTACATTGTGAAATTGACTGTTTGAAGGTGTGAACACGGTGTTCGGTATGTTCTCTACCACTTTTCATTGCCTATTCCCTCTCATTTCTTTGCTTTATGAATTGCATTGAAACAACATGCGCGTGCGCTTTAGTTGATAGAATCTGCAGATCATTGGCCCTACCCATGCCAGTCTCTGCAGTCTCTGCAGTGTCTGCAACGTTCGCGCGTGGAACACGTCACGTGCCAATTCATCGTGACGCCGCGTGTCTGTCCGCATTTAAAGAACGACGCAGTCGGCAAAAAAGAATTCTCAAAAAAGTATCTAACTAAATCCTACGACCGGATAATCTACGCGCATCACATCTATCTATAGTTTCTGCATCGAGCGAGTTGCTTGACCAAGTGATATGCAAGATGTGTGCGCGACGGCCACCGCGAGAAAACCGCCTAGGCACTCTCAATCCCCGCGAAATGGTTTTCGCATTCACATCTCGCCACGAAGCGACAAACGCTCGCATACAAACGTATCGCAACTTGATTATGAATCAAGAGGGGCGTTTCTACGAAGACACAGACCTCAGCACGATAGAGCGCGAAGTGGCAGGGATTGAGCTAGTCGCATTGATCGATCATCTCATCAACATCATCCGTGAATGGAATATCTACTTTAATGATTTTATGGCGCTAGGTGACCCTTTGCTTGTACTAAGGGAAGCGGAGTTTGTGAATACGGCAGAGGAGACGGAGAATGTGACCAGATGGCTGATGGCGGTGCGGTTGGAATATTTGCGCGCGGAGCTGTTCTGGGAAACGCGGAAAAGACATGTCCTGCATGAGATTGAAAGGTATCGAGAGGGAGGTGTTAATTTCCGCTTGCTAATGATGTGAGAATACACATTCTGGCCTGGTATTTCTAGATGAGAGATGAGATTACGTTCATACAGGTTACTCTTTCACAGGTCGATTTAGGCGGCTGAATTGTGAATGGTATGATCATTGTTAGGACCTACCTCGCACTCAGCTATTGCGGTAATGGCTCACGAATTCTACACTAAATAGAATGTGTCTTCTGCTTCAGGCTTTCGCAATGATTGACATATATTCGCATTGAAAGTGCTTATGTTGCATGCAAATGCGACCAAGCACACACCGATAAATTCCTGTTTTATCGCAGTAGTAGCATTCGTAGAAAAGCACAGTACAATCAAAAGATTAGTAAAATTTGTTGCTTTCTACCAACATTTGAACCTACTGGATACGATCAGATAGTCTGCGTGTACGAATTTTGAACGGAACAGATTGAATCAAGAAAATATTGCGCTTTTCCAAACCTGGCACAATTTGTTTCTCGTGAATGCAGTAGGACTTCCCCTGCAGCACATGCGGACCTGCTTCTCATACTGTGTACCACTGCTGCAAGCGTATACGACGAGTGCATTGTAGTGCCTACGACCGTGACGGAGTCGGCGCATGACTAGATTGTTTGGTGCCCGCACTCACTCATTGTTCTGAATGGAAATAAAGATCTATACGATACGAGCCATTCTCGGTGAGATTCGCCGATGACGATCTTGAACTCATTTCGGGGGATCGACAACGCACCCCCCACGTGGTCAGCACGCAATCCAGAGGGCGAATAACGCTCGTGTGCAACATTTGACGCTGGACACCGTCCACGGCGCAAATTCATCCACGATCTATTCAAGGTTTTAGATAGTCAGGAATCATTCCATGACTGTGCTTCCGGCGCATTTACCTTGGGGAGGAGTATTCCGGCAAGTGATAGCTATTCTAGCAAACATAAGACACGGACAAGGATGTATCATGAGTAGATTGGCGTGATATATCGAGATTGCAAAGGCTACGTGACACGTCGAACGACAAGCTCGGGCAGCAGAATCCTCGGATAGATCGAATTCCGAGTGTGCTTCATCATCAATTTTAGGTATGTCAGTGTGCTCTATTGGGATATTGCATAACTAGGCAGGGGGCAAGTGTTTAACACTGCGAATCACAAGGATGATGTTATTAACGAATCCCGCCACGACATTGCGTCAATCGCGAATCTCCTTGACTACGCAATTTCCTCGATTCGTATATACGCATGCCCAGCGCAGGTAAACGGGAGCTAAATCAGAGCAAATGCGGCCCGCATCATGCAAGATCTGCGTGCGATTCGGATACATCTGGTATCGCATATGCAAGTCGTAAGGATAGAAGCAGTCTTTATTTGAAGCTAAATCAAACGTCTTGAACGTGCAATTAGTCTTCAGCCGAACCTCTTATGAAGAGGTCCCGAGCTTGATTATCTTGATCACCAGAGAAAATCGGCGGAAAGGGTCTGCATCCAACCGTTTGTTTCTCAGCCTTAAATTGTTGACCTTTGCTCGGTTGTTCAACTCTCCGGCTTCCAGTTCGGCATACAGTTCCCAATCAACCAAGACTCACCATGGTGGCTTCCTACAGTCGCCGTCTACTGACGCTTTGCACGATCTTGTTCGTTCCTGATGGTGCCATTGACTTCGCGATGGTGCAAACATTCACAGTCTAACTGTAAACTCACCACGCTGTAGACACTGACTGTCAGAAGTCGACGAAAATGGGTTCCATCACCCACACTCCTCGTATCAAGATCCATTAAAAATGTACCCATGGCGGCGCCTCTGATGATCTTGCGCACTGAAGTCATCAGAGCTACCAATCACAATAAGCTCATTACACATGTTGCTCGTATTGCATACAGAGTGGCACAAGATCAGATCGATGGTATACGCGATGTCGCACAGACTATCGTTTGCCGTGTACAATCTCCACATGTTCATATAAATACCACTTCAGTTGCGAGAACAAAGTTTCATTCAGCCATCAGACTTGATCCACAATAGTCTCACCTTCTGGAGAACTGCAATCATGAGGGCCTCTTCAATTCTGTTCTTGTTTGCTGCCGGCGACGCACTTGCAGGTTGCCCAATGGCGTATCTGCGTCGCAGACAAGTGTCCATCCCAAATCTACCACTGAGTCAAAACGAAGGCAATTCCGGTCCCATTGACAGCACTACCTTCAGCGCGTCTGAGCAGTATGTGAATGTGAAGCCTGGAAGTGCGAATGAATACCGCGATCCTGGCACAAACGACAAGAGAGGCCCATGCCCTGGTCTGAACGCTGCGGCGAACCACGGTTTCTTGCCCCGAAACGGCCTGCCGAACATCCAGCAGAGTGAGTACCTTGCTCTTTGATATCTTTAAAGTTACTAACGAGGGCTATAGCTGTCACTGGTCTGGGCGCCGCTTATGGCTTCGGTCCTGAGTTTGCTGCCGCTCTGGCCGTGATTGCTATTGCGTTGACTGGTGATCCGGTGGGTCAAAAATGGTCCATCGGCGGACCGTTCGCTCCCGTTCTGGGTGGGCTGCTGTCCACGCCCGAGGGTATCTCATTCTCGCACAACACCTATGAGTCGGATGCTTCAATTGTTAGGGTGAGTACCCTGGCACTTATGTTGAAGTAAACAAAACTCACTGATATCAGTCCGATGCGTACCTGAACAATGGCGACGCATTTAGCGTCCAACTTCCTCTCGTCGAAGATTTGCTCGCGAAGGCTGTAGACAACGAGTTCACGCTTGACATCCTTCGCACCCACAACAAGGAGCGTCACGATTTCTCAGTCGCGAACAATCCCTACTTCTTCCAGGCGGTAAGTTGTTGTGTATCATAAGCGAATTATGTCCGCGTACTGACTTTGTAGCCTTTCGCCGGTCTCGTACCACCCATCGCCCACCACTTCGTCGTCAATCTCATGTCCAACCACTCCGCCGAGCGACCAAACGGATTCCTCACGACTGAAGTCTTCAAGTCATTTTTCGCCATCTCGGGTCAGCCCGGCAACCTCGTCTGGAACCCCGGTAAGGAACGCATCCCGGAGAACTGGTATCGCCGCCCATCTTCCAACCCCTACGATGCTGCACGAGCTGCCGTAAGTAACCCTTCTCCCCGTATCCAACCGATCGACCTAACCAACACGTTACCATAGGCCGACGTCGCGATCCTCGCAACGCGGTACCCTTCCGTAGTTCGCGTCGGCGGCAACACAGGGACAGTGAACTCCTTCACCGGTGTGAACCTCGGGGATATCACCGGTGGAGTGTACAACGCTCAAACCCTTCTGGAAGGCAACAACGCGCTCTGCTTCGCTTTCCAGGCCGCACAACAAGGTATTCCCTCCGTCTTGAGTGGGCTGCTGAGTAACCTTGGGCCGATTATTGCCTTGGTCGGGCAGTTTGTGAATCCAGTAACCAGTGCGTTGAATTGCCCGGCTCTGAACACTTTCAATCAGAGCGCGTTCAATCAGTATCCCGGTGCTGGGTACCGACCTAGGCCGTGATTGAGTGTATGAGAGTGCGAAAGGTAGGATGTCTCGGCATAAAGTTATTTGTCTGTGGGTAACCTGTTTAAATACGATGGCGAGCGCATAGGTCCATGTTCCCGTTTTCTCGTGATTCAACATCGCGATAAAACACTTTTCGGTAGTCAAGAAGCTTCAATGCAATCAATTAATGCCTCGTACCTGGAAAAAAAGAGTTCCTGTGCCACCTTTACTGATTGCGATAGAAAATATCAAACTCAAGCTCTGCCCGCGATGACGCCCTGATGCGTGCGCGTTATTTGATGCATGGGCCTACTTCCGATACCACCCGTCTTCACATGTTTGCGTTGCATCCATTATCTGAAAAAGATAATTCTCGTCCAATTCTTGTTCAGCCTGCTCGAATAATATACAGTTGGCAAATAGAATCATGCTTCTATTTCTATTCGCTTGAATGGCGGTGTCGCAATCTTCGCAGGTAGAGCGCAATAGTAGTCGCAGCTACTTCACACCTTCTCAGTGTGCACAACTTCATTCTTCCTCTTCCCATCCACCACAGTCTTATTCACAAACCCAGTCAGGTACTGATCCACGTCGCTAAAAAATAACGCGACAAGCAGTGCGACAAAACCAAACGACAGGCTGCTAAGATACACGTTCTTCAAAGATTCAGCCGCCGCACGCTTTTGCGCAGCAGCCAACGTAAACTTGATCGATGCGCTCATCTCGGGGACACTATCCAGCGCGGCTGCTGTAGCCTGTGAAATCGCCCCAAAAAGAGCGTTCAAGCTGCTCTCCGGTAATCCGGCTGATGTGACGGCTGGTACGACTTCGCGGGGTGTGAGCGTAGAGAGCTTGTTGGTGTAGATTGAGACGTAGATGCTCGCTGGAAAATTTGAGGATTAGTGTGTAAGATCAGCTGAAGGAATGGAGCCTCTTACTAGCAATTGTGCCTCCGATAGCACGCGCCGATGCGAAGAATGCTGAGCCGGCACCGATATCTTCAGGCGGGATAACTAATCCCGCAACCACAATACATATCAACTCCACCCAACCGATGAATAATCCAATGCAGACGGTCACCTGGCCATTCTGTAAGCTCGCGAACATATTTGAGACTCTGGCTGAACTTACTGCGATAGCCTGGCCCTGGCTATTCTCATCGCTGAGAGACATGACACCGCAAAACACGCAGAGACCAACAACAGATGCGATCAGCTGTGCTTTCGCGTGGCCACCTTTCTTCAGGAAAGGTCCTGTCAGAACTTCGCCCATGGCTAATGCTGTGCCGGTGGTGCATGACATCCACCCGACCGTCATATTGTCTTTGGTGTAGAGAGCAGTGATGTGAGTTGGCCAGAGAACACTGAGGGCATAGTATGACATTTGGCCTATCGACCCGACAACAACTGCGACCCAGTAGTTCCGGACCTTGAATAACTTCATCGGTAGGAGAGGCTCGGGGAGAGGCATGTAGAGCTCTTGAGACGGGTCAGTCTGGGAGTGATCACTGATAGAGAGCGCAACTCCCTGCTCACCGTATAGCACAAACGCGATAATGCCCAGCACACCGAGAATGAGTGTTGCAATGCATTGCGCACTCTTCCATGGATATTGGTTTCCACCCCACGCTGTTCAGTGTTAGTCTGATGCGGCCACTGCGGCTGTCCCAAACGTACAAAGCGCAAGCAACAAACAAACCAACCCTCCAGAGTACAAGGCAAACCCGCCATAGTCGATCCGCTTGAGCTGTTGCCGCGCCGTCGTCCCCCGTTGGAGCTGCTTAAAATCCGGCGGATGGTAGCAGAACACAAACAGCACAATCGACGCAGCGCACACGATACTATTCAGCCAAAAGATCCACCTATCACACACATACAAGCATTAGAACCAGCCCAAACCCCTCCTATCTATTGTATTAGTAACGGAGGGGAAGAAAAGAATAACTCACCGCCACCCCAACACCGTAAACTCAACCAAACACCTCGCAACGATCGGTCCAAACCCCAAACTCGGCAACACGGCAAAAGTAACCAAACACTGACTAACCCCACGATACTTGTTCGGCACAATCTCCGCAATGAGCAGCGGATACATGACCTGCGCGCACGCGGCGAGCCCGATGAACGCATTCGCGCCGATGACGGTGGGAACGCTCTTCGCGGTGGCGGCGATGATGCCGCCGACGAGCCCGAGGACTTGTCCCGCGATGATGAAGTAGCGGCGGCCGACTAGATCGCTGATGCGGCCCACGAGGAGGAGGCCGACGCCTTTGATGAGGGTGTTGACTAGGGAAATGAGGTAGATGTTTGAGTCGGGACCTATGGAGGTGTTTATTACGCTTAGAATGTTTACCTGGGTTGTTTTTTTTATTCTTGTTAGTGCAAAGGCTCGAAGAAGAAACATATGGGTGGAAGTAGGAGGGGGGATTACGGGTAGTGAGTATCCGATGAAGAGACTGTTTCCCAGTAGGATGATAGCGAGACACGATCCGATGAATCCAAACGATGTCCAATACCCTCGCGGTACTTGCGTATCCTGTTCGTTGGATGCGATGCTATTAAAAGCTTCATTTTTCTCGTCGCATGGAAAACTTGAGTCCGAGATATTTTCGATATGTTCTTTGCTTGTTTTGGGCATTTTAGCAGCCATCTTGACGGTGTGAATCCTTCATCAAAGATACAACCACGGCTTGATATTTAATCTATACACCTAGAACTTTAATTCTGGAAGATCGCCACCTAATCATCATATTCGTGATGCAATATCATTGGCACAAGCTTGGAATTCGAGGGGACGTTTATAGCGGAAAAGGGTTTCCGCCGACGCGACGATCGCTTGGAGCAAGCGTGGCTATCTACTCCCGCCTCCTCCTCCATCTACACAGTTGTAGCTACCGCAGCAAATTGAGTATTCCGATCAGCCTGTGGAATTCTCAAAGCATAGAAAATTCAGAGAGACAAGTACTCAGCACCAAGCAGGTATCAGTGCGTACTGCGAGATTGGTCTCATACCACGACCAACTATATCTCCCTATCATGGCAAGCAAGATCATCATTGCACTCCACTCCATTACCCACAACATCAGACATCCAAGATTCCCTCATCTGAATTTTCGAAAATGTCCAAAGGTGGTTATGAAAGAAGAAATAGAAGCGATCTCAAACATCCGTCACCAACAACACCTATTGGAAACCAGCATCCAACACTCCCCTCCCACGCCCTCGAAACCACACAACACCCCACCTACTTTCAATCAAAGGATCTATGCATTTATATCCAATCCTTCAAAACTTACAAATCTCGCCTCCCTGGGAATACTCCCGCACTATCTCCGGTGGGGTAGAATCGCGGGGTAGTGACATCCACATCGTACACCCCCCTGGTGCGGCGCGGATCATGCCGTGGGGAAGGGGCGGGGGAGAATATCGTTTGCGCTTCATAAACCATGAATCCAATATATATCTTAAGAATTCGGCTGGTTCTTCCAGGTAATCATTGCAGGACAATCAAGAGCGCTTGAGTAAGAACTACGAAGATAAAAATGCCCCCGCTTCTAGAACGGTGAGAATATAATCCATCCAACGACTCATCTCCCATCTCGAAAACCTGTCTAATATTGAATATTTTCTTTGAATCGAGTCGCATAGAACAATGAATCGGAGTTGGGGTCTAGTGCCTGCTATTACAATAAGAAGCTGTAAAAGCTGCAGGGAGCACACATATATACCTAATAATCCCACCACTCTTCGTCGCCCAGATACTAAGATTCCGTTGATTGACTCCATCAAAAAAAAAAAGAAATTGAAATCAATCTGATCTTTAACATTGAGACAGATAAAGAGAAGAGATACTTGGATTGTGGTTAATAAAGAAGACTAAGAATAGGTAACTCCAAAAACTAATATCAACAACTCCATCTTTATCGCCAAGCCAAGTCGTGCTTTTGTGTAATTCATAATCACTTGAGCTAGATCCGCATATGTAGAACATGAATGAACCACGGAACATGTGTTGTCCTGCCTGGAGCTCAAAGGCAGATTTATCGTGTGATTTTTCAATCCCCAAGTGTTTGTGCCGCATGGAAATGCGATGATTAAATTATAAACTTAGTAGGACATTAATCAACATGAATGAAGAGTTATGTAATCATAGCAAACAGAAGAGCTATTCCTCTACTAAACTGACGAATCTTAACTACAACAGGATCTCTTTTTTTCAGAAAGGGAATATTAATCACAGTATGATTGTTTATTTTTATTGTCAAAACCTACCGTCTTGTGTAAGAACACCTAAACTCTGGCTTAAAAATAGATAAATCACAGTATGAATATCAAACCTTATTCCCAGCGCCCGCCAACTTCTTGCGCGCAGAATATATCCAAGTGGCAAGCAAGGACTTTTTAAAATTATGGGAGGAGTATGGCAAGAGAAAGAAGAACGAAGATTAAAGACGAACAAAAACAAAGCATCAACAAAAAAAAATTAAATATTTTCATACCGACAACGGAAAGAGCGAGGGTAAGTAGTGGTAGCAGCAGTTATTCAGGCATATTTATATATAAAAATAAGGGAGAGGAGGGAAGAAAAAGAAAAAAAGTTGGTTGATTTCTATGTCGAGTTTTGCTTCATGGATTCCAAGGTCGCCTGCAGCCCGGGGACGTTGGTCTGCAGCTCATCAATGACCTCCTGCCAGACCTGTTTCTGGAGGCTGCGGGCTTTTTCGCAGCCAATGACGGGCTCGGCTTCGCTGTGAGAGATGGGTTAGTATAAGTGATGACACTTGAGAGGAGGGGTTAAGGATCGGGGATATGCAGAGGAGATGGATGGGAGGATGGAGCTTACCTGCGGTACATCTCTGGCGTCATCCAGTAGTTGAAGAACTCGCCCTAGGGGTATCACGTATGTTAGTATGGGTTGAGGCGGGCGGATAGGGTGAGGGTAGGGGACATAAAGTACGCACGTGTGTTTCTTTTGGTTTCAGCGCGGCCTGGATGCAGATTCTCGAGCCCGAGTCTGCGGTTTTGGCGGTGACGAAGAGAGTGAGCCAGACGCCGATGGCGTGGATCATGGACCGTGTCGCGATGCGGCCGCCAATGTCGGTCTTGACCATACCGGGGCAGACGCTGTTCACGATGACCAGAGGTCTAGTGCAATAAACATTAGCATTCTGAAAAGTAATCGTGGGAAGGAGAAGGGTTGGTGTTCTTACTCTCCGTCCGGCGCTCTCGCCAAATCGCTGATGCCCTCAATCGTGTACATGAGCAGCAACTTGCTGACATTGTAATTGGGCTGCGTCTCGAAGAAGGCCCCGTCCCAGTTGTCCTTGCTCGACAGCTGTCGCAGGATATGGTCCTTTTTCTCCTGGCAGCTGCAGAGCGGGGAAATGTCGTTGTAGAGATGGTCGCGCGAGGAAACAAAGACCATGTGCGCGGGGGATTTGCGCAGACTGGCGGCTTCGCGCATCCAGGCCAGGAGCAAGAGACTGAGGAGAGTGGTGCCGATGGTATTGATTTGGATTGTTCTTTCCCTGGAAATTCACGGCGCGCGCGTTAGATGTGTTGTGCAATGGAATTGAGACGTTGTGATGGAAACACATGGCGGGCGCATGTTTGCGAACAAGATTCTATAAAGAGACCTACCATCCAGCTTCACTCTGCTCCCAGTGCGAATTCACCATGCCTCCGTTCAAAATGGCGACGTCCAGCTTCGCGGGATCCGGCATCAAGGTCTTGAGCTTCCCCATAAAACTGGTGCACGAGGCATAACTTTCCAAATCGAGCTCCAGACACGTAACTTGGCCTTTGTAGGAGGAGCCGGCAGCTTGCTCGATGTGGCGCTTCGCAGCATCGCCGCGAGAGGCCACGCGCGAGGTGATGATGACGCTGGCGCCGAGGGTCGCAAAGTGCACGGCAGCAGCGAGACCAATGCCAGAGGAGGCACCGGCGATGAGGACGGTCTGACCGTCGAACGTGCCGGATGGGGGGAGGGAGGCTGGGACGAAGCGGCCCACGAGCCGTTGGAACATTGCGTTCATGGCGGGCGAATGTTGATTGTTTAATTCCCTTTTCTTTGCTTGTGGAGAGTAACAACGACGACGACGTTGAGATCTCCAGGTGGGGAGAAAAGATAAGCATAGACAAGACGAGCTTACATCTTTATGGCGACGATCTCGGTTACGAGGGGGGCACAGCGTGGTGGGGGGCGGATTCTGTCACGTGGTTCTGCTCACGTGTTTACCTACATATCCATTTACTCCATCCAGCTCTCACAATGACTGTACACGATTATATCCATCTATACAACCTCGATCCAGAAGAAAGTTACCTCTCTCATTCTCCAGGTCTTGATGTGTCTTGGAGAACCATCCCTCTCAAGAACACCCCAAAAACAACATTGAACCACAAGAGCCAATACCCACATCCACCACCAACAACCGTTCCCCATTTCCTATAATAAACACAACGATAAACAGAATCAAAAGACTCGCACCTCCCCAGCCAGCTCCAAGTCCAGAACCCCCAAACCCTCAGCACCTGCATACACCTCTCTCTCCTCTCTTCCCACCGACTCAAACCCACCACAACTCCATGTTTACACATGTCCCTGCATGCATGCATGCATGCATACCCACTTCCCATGCACACTACTACCTTCGGACACCGAACAAAAACCAAAATAACACCAAAAGTCTACTATAATCTATACTATACTATTAGAATACGGGGCCTGGCACGTTTAGCTCCCTTTAGCCAGAAAAAAACCGGGACCGGGTATGGTTATTCTACGCGCCGATTTCCTATTCCACAACCTTATCCCGCGGCGCGTCTGCTAACCCTAAACGTTGACAGATTTGAATAGTGAGATGGGCTAGGCGGGATGGGGGAACTGGATACCGAAGACGTTCGACAAAAAGAAAAGAGTGGAAGGTGGGTGGGTGGGCTTAGCGCCCGCGTTTTTACACAAGTAACAACGTGAGATATATATCCGCGAAGTATATACACAAGTATATATGTACAAACCTGCTCAAAAGGAAACTTTTTTTCTTGCTTATAGTTGTTGGTGCCGTTATATACGCAACGTAGAATGTTCAAGAAAAGATCCCCCCCCCCCCCCCCCCCCCCCAAGCCTGCAAGTTCCTGATTCTTTCAAATATTTCATCTACCTATTTAATACAATTTTTTTTTACCCCGATCGATCCCGTCTAGTCCTTCTTTCATCACTCATCAAAGCTGAAGCCTTATCAAGTTTGCAAGATCCCTGCTCATCATCAATCCACGCGAGTGCTCGTAACGGTTAACCCACATTCGTATATCCCCCCTTCGGAGACCGAAAAATAAAAAAGGTTAAGCGAAGGAAAGGAAAAAAGTATAACTTTAATATACGGGTGCGCGGAGCTTGCGCAGGGGTGGAAAGGGACGGACAGGGGCCGGGGGGGGGGGGGAAAGGGACGAGCATGGGTCAGGGTAAGGGGCAAGGGTAAGGGATTATATGATATGCACGTAAGCACATGGGATGGGATGGACCCTGCACGCTGGGGTGAGTCGGGGGCCTTGCGTGGCGTGTCATGTCATGTCATCGAGTGATTGATGGATGGATGGATGGGGAGATGCTTGAGTGTGGCGAGAGGAGTTGTTTGGGTGAGATGAGTGTGTATGACGAGGTGGAGGAACGTTGTACATGGTAAGCAAGGTAGTGCAGAGCGAGAAAAGGACAAAGATAGAGAGAGGGACGGTGAGACATGAGCATCCTACGGGCCCGTCGGCCGACTTTGCGGCACGTATAGATGTGAGACGACTGATCAGCGGTGCACGCGGCGCACATGCGCGCATACACGAAAGCTTGGGGAAAGGTCAAGAGAAACCTAATTTCAATGACCGGCGGTGAGGAAAATGGAATTTGTTTGTACGACGACTGACGTGATGGTGATGAGGGGATTTGGGGGGAAGTTGGTGATGGATGAATTGAATTGCAGCGGCGTTGTAGTGATTACTACAATGGCAAAGCAGCGAGCTGACGCATCCACCGTTCAAGGTCCTCCATAATGCGCAGCCCAAACGCGGCGTCGACAGCATTATCCGGCCAATCCGCGCCGACGCACATGCCTTTGCCCTTTACACTAACGGGCGAAATCTCAATAGCGGCAGCGGGAATCTCGGCACTGAGGCCAAACTGCGCGCGCTCCATGGACCATCTCCAGCCTTCGTCGTCGGGCGCTGCGTGTTCGGGGGATGCCGCTCCGTCCAGCACGCCGACGTTGGTCACCAGCCACGAGAATTGGCGCGTCCGGCTGGCCATGTCGCTCATCGTCTTCTTCCAGTCCGTCACGTACTGGAACAGGCCCACGACGTCGTTGCGCAGCCCGTCCTGCACCTTTGCGGCTATCTCGCGTCGGTTCTGCGCGCACACCGCCCACAGCTCGTCCTGGAGCTCGGCGGAGAGGTCAATCGACGTGCTGCCGTCACATGCTGGGGGCAGCTTGGAGCGGATGCGCGACACTGCCTCGGTCTCGAATCGATGCAGGAGCTGGGTCACAAAATTTCCGACGGCTTTGGACGAGGACCCCCATGGAGCGTTTGGTGGGGCGTCTGGGAGATTCCGGCGGTGGTCGACGACGGTGGAGCTCTGGAAGCCTGGGGCGCTTTTGGCGTCGAGGCGCAACGAAAACGCCACGAGGGATAACCCCTGCAGCAGACCGGTGATTGTAGTCTTGTTTTTACGGCACACGGCTGTTGTCCATCGCAATTCATGGCAGTCAGCGACAAGATATTGATATTCCCTCGGTCGACGACTTGGTTGGCAGAGCTAAGATGAAAGTGGAGAACTTGCCTAGAAGCGCAGATAGTGAAGCGTTATCGAGGAAGAAAGCCCGGAACTGGGTCTTGTAGGGTGTGTCTCGAATCGGGCACCACGACGCTAGTGTGGCATCGCGACTGAATCGATTGAGGAATTGAGGCCGGAACTCCTCCCAAAGGGATTTGATGAAGAACTTCGGGTCCAGTGGGAGACTCCGCAAGGTCTCGAGCGGGGCTGGGAGCATGGGGGGCTCGTCCGGTAGCGTGAGGATATCGCCATCCAGGCCCACCCGCTCGTATGTACCTTTGTTAGCGCTTGCGGCATTGAGGGCATCGAAGAAGTCTTCGTGCCAGACCTTGGCGCCTGCACCATCGAACTGCGGGTGGTTGAATGCGAGCATGACCTCCAAGGTTGGAGCATCGGCTTGGCGGATGATGGTGAGCTTCCAGCCGGGCAGCGTGGCCCACGTGTCGAGGTCCGGGAACCGTTCGTCAAGTTGAAGGCCAAAGGTGTCTTGGACTGTCTGGTCAAAATCCTTTCCGTCTGTTGCTCCGTCCAGATAAACCCAGTGGATCAGTTGGGCCAGGTCGAGACTCGGCAGCTGAATCCACGACGGAGTCTTGGAGGTGCCGTCAATCATGCCGACCTGCATCATGGGATGCCTCAAGACGGTATCCACGACGGCAGCCTTGATGACCTTCTCAATTTGGGAGCGGGACTCTGCGGCCAGACGTGGCGGCAGCACATAGCGACATGAGAGAACAGTGCTACGATACTGGTCTAGTAGGTACATAGCTAGTTGGTATGTCTCGCTAGATGCAGTGGTTAGATGCCGTACAGCACCGTCTCGAGACGGGTGCGGGTGCTTACTTGATGCCAAACTTGCGCAGCACCACCGCCTGGTCTTTGCCGGACTTGTCCTTGTTCGCCATCTTGCTCGCGGAGATGAATGAGAAATGAGTTGCGCCAGTGGTAAGTAGCACTGATATCGATGGCTTTGTACGTAGAGAGGGTATGCTGCTGGGCCTTTGTAGGCACTCGCCCTGGGAGCTAGCCCGATTAGGCGAACCGTTAATATGCTCCCCCCCCCCATCACCCTGTCTGTACACCCTCCCAACCTCTTGAACTGGTATTACCATCTATACGCTCTCCTGAACCATTTCCTTGGGAATATAAGAATGGACATGATCGATGTAGAAGGCTGGTTCAGCTAACACAAACGCTAAGTGAGGTGACTATTGCTGGACCGCGCGGCCCACGGCGGAGCCTCACGCCAGGAACACAAGCACTTGGTATGCTTGTGGAGATGTAACTTGGTCGTGTATGTCACATGACTAGTCATTTCGGTTGGCCAGGAACACAAGTACTTTATTTACTCGCATGTGTGGATAACTGTACATGTACAAGTCCTGGACCTTAGTCGTGTCACATGACTAGTGTGGTCGGTCGGTCAGGATTCAGGAACAGTAATCATTGATTGTATACCAAGTACACACACGCGGTCCCTCGCGCTCGATTCATTATTGACAATTCCCAATTATTTTCTTTCGTCGCAAGATAAAAGGCGATTGAGCAGGGGTGCCGTTGGGAAGAATCCACTGAACGAACCGCTCACCCCGCCCCGACCTAATATACAATCTTTTTACTTCATCGGGACATTTCTCTCCAGATATTATTTCTCCGACAATATCCAACATGGCAAAGTCGCTCCAGAACGGCGAATACCATGCCACCGTCTCAGGCGGTAAAGAGCCCGAGGGGGGTGAATCGGACCGTCTCAAGAAGCGGATTCAAAAGCACTACAATATGTCCGCTGAGCAGTTTCTCAAAGTCTGGTAATATTCTTTTTTTTTCCCTGTCGCATTCATCGGAAACGATGGAAACAGTCGACATAAAAGCTCACTGAGGTACCAGGGGCGAACACATCCACCACGGCTACTTCAACACCCCAAACGACTCAAACGACCAAGCCCAAATCAACCAAGTCCTGAAGCTCGTCGAATCATCTCGCATCACTGCGGGATCTAGAGTATTAGACGTGGGATGCGGAATCGGGGGAACAGCGCGATATCTTGCGAAAGAGAAGGGATGCAAAGTCACAGCCATCACAAACAGCTACCGACAAGCACAACTGGGGCGCGAATTAACCGCCGCTGAAGCCTCTCCCACCTCCACAGCCCAAACTCCAGCTTCATCCCCGTCATCACCGTCATCATCGCCGCCAAAAACGACCCAGCAAAACGATGCCTTCATACAGCTCTCCAACAACGCAGGGGAAGGTGCCGCAGCAGGCGCAGTCCGTATCCTAGACCTCGACATCGCAAACATGCAATCGCACTTCTCCACCACCGTCCGCGAAACATTCGACTGCGTCTGGCTGTCCGAGGTCATCTTCCACTTGCACGACCGCAAACAAGTCTTCGACGCCGCCTACTCGCTCCTGGATTCCGGAGGGTGCTTGGTGATTGCGGATATCTTCCGCGCGCACCACGACGCCGCCGCGGCTGGGAAACGCGTGCAGAAGGAACTCGCGTCCATCAGGCGCAACCATCTGTGTCCGCAGCTGGGCAGCATCGACGAGTACAGGAAGATGGCCGGGGATGCGGGGTTGAAGGAGCGGCATGAGGCTGTTGATGTTACGGGGAATGTGGCGAGGACTTGGTAAGTTTTTGTTTTCTTCTCCTTTTTTTTTTCTTTTTTTGCTCATTCACGCGCAACGCCTGCAAAGACCCCAAAAAAATGAATACATATTCAGAGATACCCCTTCCCAAAAGAAACAAACAACCTACCCCAAAAAAATAAATTATGCTCGCTGACACAAGAGATAAATAGGGACACCGAACTCCCCCTCCGCTCCGTCCTCTACCTCATGACCCAAGGCCGCGACGCAATCGGCTACATGCGCGGCATGCGCTCCATGAAAAGAGCCTACGCCCACGGCACCGCAGTCTACGCCATCCTGTGTTTCGAAAAACCTTAGAGATTCCCCCCATCATCCCCCCTCTCCTTCTTCTCCAATACTTCCTTTTAATCTACCCCAAAATGGCAAGACCCAAAACACATGGGGATATTCGCATAGATGTCGTGTAGTTTGCAAACAGTGACGTGTGATGATGATGATGATGATGATGAGGAATCAACTCAACTTACTCGTACGGTACGGTGCGGTACGGTGCGGGAAGTTTTTGAGTTTGCTTAGGAGATGGCAATCGGATGGGCTTGCGGGAGCGCCAGCGGGAGCCATAACGGGCAGGTATAGATAGTTAGTTAGTTGGGTTGGGTTGGTGGCTTGAGAAGTTGAACAAGCCCGCTACCAACCACGCTTTTTTTTGCTGCTGATGATGACCATAACCACCCATCGTCTTTGCCCTCGAATTTCGAATCATGTCTCCGTCAATCAACCAATCAACATGTTTTGCTGATTGGACAAAGTTGAAACTCTGCGGGTTTCGAAGAAAAAGAAAAACTGATTTGGATGCTGGGTCTGCCGGCGTTGCCACCATTTGCCGGTTTCTTCTTTTTTTTCTTTCAGCTAGACCGTGCATGTGCCAACGCAAGGACCTCGAAATAGATAGGCGAATGGGGATTTAGGGTTTTGGCTTAGCGGACGCATAACTTCTTGCTTAGCCCATGTAACGTTGTGGAGACGGGCTAGTATGTTTGGAGAAGCTGCGTAGCGGGTTTGCTCGAGAGTTAGTCTACTTGGGGGATGGAGTATTCCACTTTTTCTCATGTGTGGGTATCGTGATTTTGGAGGGGGGGCTGGAGAGCGGGAAGGATGGGAGAGGACTCGAGTGTTCGTTCATGTGAATCTGATTGCGAGGGTCGGGAGTTCATGGCATTGTTCGCTAGTTTGATGGGATCTGTACTTGTAGTGCTGACTTTACGAGAGATGACTTGCATGGGGTTAGGGAAGATGAGGAGAGGAGGATTGATGGATTGGTGATAGGCGACATAGCGATTCAGAGGTACGTCATCGTACTATGAATTGAACAATGATCCATCACAGAACTGCAGTGTTGAGGTCGTTGACGCTGAACTCCTGTTACACTCGCAATATGAGAGTATGGTAGCTAAAAATAATGCTTAAAGACCCCTCATATACAGCGTGTCAGCGTGGCGCACAACTTGCCTACAATAGACTAGCTACAGCTCTCTATACTGCAACATCATCATCTGATCTTCCAATGCAATCAAAAAACAACCACTTGGCCGCAATCAATGCTTTGACGCGCTTAGCAAGACTTCCACCAGCATCTTCTATTCTTAACCCCCATATACCAAGTCCTTATACCCCGATGATACCAACATGCTCCAGCCGCCAAGTCCCCCGTGGCCGTGGAAGTCGGGCTGGTAATGTCTTGGAGTTTGTGAACCAAACCGAACCATAGCAAACCCCTCGGCGAAGACATGCCTAATCGGACAGCGCTGAGCAAGACGATGGGCGTGGGTGTGGCACACCTGTCAATCTGCCTCATGGCCTGCATGGTTCGGAGTCCGAACCACGTTGTAAGCGCGACCACACAGCAGCACCCACCCCATGGAAAAAAGCCCAGAAACGCACATGGTGCCGGTCGTGATTTGCTGGACGATTTCGCTTGATGCTAATATTACTCTGACGCTCCCCAGCGCCGTTCAAGCTGCCACGCTTGGCGGATCCGCAGTGTAGCTCAGGTGTGGTTCAACTCACTCTGGGCTATCGGGGAGGGGGCGCATTGTTCGAATATCCGTGTCTTCCTGGGCGGTCTTCGTCGTACATGGTACATTGTACATATTCGCACCCTGTCGCGCATTTCTTTTGAATTCCTCCGAATGCTTGCTGTCGTCTTCGTACCGGATCTGATCTCTTGAGGGCGATACTCGTATGCGACTTGCTCTTCTCTTTGGCTGATCTATCGCGTCTCGACTAGGTTTACTCCCCCCTCGACGATACACCAGGCAGCAACATGTCCAGCGGCGAGGATGCGTCCCAGCTGGCCGGCATTCTGCTGATTGTCCTCGACATCGTCACAGTGGCTGGTCGCTTTTACTCGCGATTGATCACCAAGATGGGAATCGGATGGGACGACTGGACGATTCTGATTGCCATGGTAATTGGCATCGTGCCCGGTGCTTTAACAATGTGGGGTATGTGCGCCTCTTTCTCCCTCAGTTCCATCACAAACTTGCTTCTTCGCGACACGATGCTAACGGACCGATTGTAGCGAGCACAGTCTCCGCGACGGGGCCCGCTGCTGCCAGTAACCTGCACGGCGAGCACTACGTCTACACCCCCGAGGACATGCTCTACACCAAAATCACCTTCTCCACCACCGTGCTGTACTTCTTCATCACCTCCATCACCAAAATCTCCATTCTGCTCTTGTACCTCAGGATTTTCTCCATCAGCGATGGCATGCGAAAATGCATCTACGTCGGTATCGCTGCAGTCATCGGGTTCTGGATCTCGTCGACCGTCGCCGATTTGCTAAACTGCATCCCGCTGAAATGGACATGGCTCAACGGCGAAGCAGACCCGAGGTACTGCATCAGCTACAACATGTTCTGGCTGGGAACCGGTATCGCCGAGGGCGTGATTGATCTGTATATCCTGGTTCTACCGCTCACCATGGTCACGACGCTGCATCTGGAGAAGAGCAAGAAATTCGGTGTGGCGGGTATCTTCCTTCTTGGTGGCTTGTAAGTGCCCAATCCCATCCCCGCCAGACTTTGAAATGCGCGCAGCTCGGACTAACATTTATTCACAGCGTGCTATTCTCCGGCGTCGCAAAAATCATCCTGAGTTATCTCCCCGACAGCCGCGAGCCCGATTTCGCAAAAGGCTCCCTCTGGACCACGGTGCATCTCTACACTGGAATCCTGTGCGCCAATCTCCCCACCAGCCGCCCTCTGCTCAACAAGGTCGTGCAATTGACGTCGGCTTCGCGGACCAGACTCATGTCCATGTCGCGGAGCAGATGGTACGGTCTCAGCCGTTCCCAGGACAGCTGGGGCGCGAGCGGCGGGTCCACCATGGACAAGAGCAAATCGGGAGTTATGACGAGCCAGAAGCCTGCATCGTCTGGGCGCGATCAATATGAGCTTCCGCTGTTCAGCGTCAACAGTTTTGATGAACGGACGAGAGACCATTGAAGTCTCAGTGGGGGTGCTTGATGAATGTTTTGTACAGTCTTGTTTTTAGTACTACATAACACGCATTCTACGCTTTGATTTTGTATATGAGTAATGAATTCATTTTTTCCTTGCATTGTAACTGAGCTGGGTATACATGTCTGTATGCAATGTATGATTTTGGAAGTCTTTTCAGCTTGATAGTAAACCGAGTACTGGGAACTGGGGACTCGCCCCCATGCAGCAAGGAGTGCGCTAGAATCTCGGATCTGCTAGTCGACCAAGACTACCTACCCATTATTCGTTCTCTCCATGTATCAGCCATCTCCCCACCGTAACGTTAGTTAGCGTTCGCCAACCCGAGCGAGCATTCTACGGTATATAACCCGGGGCCTTGTACACTCGCACCTCTAAACCTTTTTCCGGTTAATCAACCATCTCACCTCCAATTGACACCACCCCAAACCTCCTCGCTCTTCAAAAGGGCCCTCTCACTCAATTACACAATCGTATCTGAAAAAATCCTACCCAATTGACTTGGGAAACCTCAAGTTACCAACCCTCCAAAATGGGCGACCTCCCCACCCCTCCAGAATCCTTCATCGCCCCAACCGGACCCCTAGCAACCTTCATAAAAGGCCACAAGCCACAATCCAGCACCTCAAAATCCCTCCCAACCTTCTACCGCAACCTCGAAGAATCCCTCGACGTCAAACGCGCCTCTGAAAACTTCTACTCCACGCTCCCCCAAGACACGACGTCTGTGGACTTTTGCTCAGGCGATGTAATGTCCATGGGCCGCAGCGCCGCGCACCGCGACGAGTTCCGCGCCGAGCTATCCCGCCACCCCAACTTCGCGCTCGGAACCACGAGTTCGCGGCTGATGGACGGAAACTACGCCTACATCATGGAAGCGGAAGCGGCGATTGCAAAGTTCCACGGCGCGGAGGCGGGACTGTTCCAGGGCAGCGGGTTCGAGGCGAATCTGGCGATTTGGGCGACGATTCCGCGGCACGGCGATGTCATTTTGTGGGATTCGCTCGTGCATGCTAGCACGCACGATGGGATCCGGCAGTCGCTGGCCATGGACCGCGTGGCGTTCCCGCATAGCGATGTTGATGTTTTTCGGGAGACGTTGAGGGATATTCTTGAGACGAGGCCGTTGGTTCGGCAGGGGAAGAGGTGTGTGCTTGTTGCTGTCGAGTCGATTTATAGTATGGATGGGGATATTTGCCCGTTGCAGGAACTGGTGGATGCGGCGAATGAAGTGTTTCAGGGTCCTGAGCTTGAGGGGCTGGTGCAGTTTGTTGTGGATGAGGCGCATAGTGTTGGGTTTATTGGGCCCGAGGGGAAAGGGCTGGTATGTGAGTTGGGGTTGGAGGGGGAGATTGCGGTGGTGATGCATAGCTTTGGGAAGGCCCTTGGAGCTTCGGGAGGTAAGTGCTCTACGAGCTGTCTTTCTTGCTTGCTCTCGTGATCGCTGGATTGGAAGATGCTAACGTCTTTGATGTTTGTAGCCATCATCTTGGGAAACAAAATCATTCGAGACACGGTGATCAATTTTGGGAGAGCAGTCATGTTCTCTACAGCGCCTACTTTCCCCTTCGTTGCAGCCGTCAAGTCGGGCTACAAAGTCCTCGCCACGAAAAACAAGGTATATACCCACCCCCCTCCGACATTCTCCAAATCCATCTAAACAATATGCTCAACTCAAACAGGACCGCGAGCATGTCCACGAAATGTCCACCCTCTTCTTCTCCCTCCTAACATCCCACCCGCTCTGGGCCAAAGCAAAATCAACCGGCATCCTCAACGTCCCGCTCGCCGAGAACTGGGAAAACCGCGTGGTGAACACGCACCTCCTCGCCATCCTCACACGGCCCAAATCCTTCTGGTGGATGTACTATCACCTGTTATCGGCTTCTTACCGCACCTTCCCCGTCACGTATCCCGTGGTGCCACCCGGCCAAAGCCGTTTGCGGGTGATTATCCACGCACATAACACGGAGGAACAGGTCAGAGGATTCGTTGACGCCATCTATGCATGGGTCAAGGAGATGATGGATATCGAGGAGGAAGGGGGTGTGACCAAGGCTGCAAAGGAGGTGTATGATTGGATGAAGGAGGAGTGCGTCGATGGATTTGGGATTGTTAGGGCCAAGCGGAAACGGGATGTCGATGATGTGTAATCGTAGATCTTGATACATGAGTTTTCTTTCTTACTCAGCCTGGTTTTGATATAATCGTCGATGTGTTTTTGATCGTGTAACACAGATTCACTGTTTTCCTGTTCTCTTCCCCCCCTCATTCGATTGTCAAAGGTCTTTCCGTTTTTCCGGTCTTGAGCTCTTGTGTTGAACTTCCTTTTCCCCCCGACATAGTCCTTGATATGTGCAATGAACTATTATCTCCGCATACAGTCAAGTCCCTCCTCCACACTCATTCCAAATACCCCTTCCAGCAACGCTCCAAAATCTCACCACCCATCACCTGCCAAGCCCCAACCCCACTTAAGACATGCCATGCAATGCCATGCCAGAGCATTTCAACTGTGCGATAAACATTCGGGGGGGGCGCAAAAGTTACCCGAGATAAAAGAGGGTGTCATCGTCATGCCTGGTGTGATCAATCCACAAATCGCAGTGCGCTCGTACTCGACCGCCATTCCCGGGGTGGCTGGGCCAGTGCGGCTGACTGCATACTGCAGATCCTCTCTTTCGCCGCGGCGACACAGGGCAGGGATATACCTGGTCGACATGTAAATAAGCGGAGCTGGCTACAAGGATACCCGGAATGTAGCGTGCAGCCAACGCTTAAACGAAAAAGTACATAGTGCTTAATTGCATCTCCGGGACCAAGACTTTATGAGGCGCTTTCTATTCCACTTCGGCCGGACCGAGGTCGGATTGATGGAACTTTTAGGTTTCCATTGTGCGTTTTTGGATAAGGCTGGCGGCTTGCTCCATAACGTTGAGCTAGATTAGTTACCGGCACAAGATCGTGTTGAACTGCGAAGCCCTGATTGACTCGAACCCTCAATTTCCTTTGTTTTTTATCTCTCCCTCCAACTGTTGTAACGGGCTTCCTCTCCCGCCCCCTGCAACGCCACATGTAGCACTAATGCCACCCGTTTAGCCAGATATCTTTTCTCCACGCGAATGACTTATCGCCCGCTGGCAATGTCAGCTAGCGCGCAGAGGGCGAGCAGCATAGCCATGCAAGGGTACTACTACTCGGTACGTACGGTTACCTGGGACGCGCAATAGCAACATCTTGGCCGAAGCTGACAGGCAAGACAATCTCGAGCCATGATCGAATGCTCGAGGAGGGAGGGGTAAAGGTTCAATTGCAGCCTAGCTAACCAAGAAACTCTATCACCACGGGTCGGTCTGGTCTCTGGCCCCCTCCCTTCCCAAGACTTTTGCGCGCGTGGGGCATGGCAAGGTAACGAGAGGCAAGGCAAGGCATGCCATATGTCATGTAATCTTTTTCCATTCTCGTGCTTATAAACGAGAGCTGTGATAGAGCCCATATTTTTTTTCTCTTAGCGGGCCCATGCGTTGCACGCTACATTGCGACAGTCGAAGAGAGCGAGCGAGCGAGCGGGACGAGACGTTTGTTTACCCTTTTGCCCTTCCCTAGTTCCCACCATTTGTGTAGTTGCGTCTCCCCAGGCTTGCCCGTTCGAATCATTGCGCGCATATGAAGTCTGTCTCGATATTGCCCTCCTAGTCTCTCTACTACCCTTTACCGCCATCCCCCCCTCCGCCCCTCCCCAGTGTGACAACCCCCCATCACAAACCAAAATAATGGAGCCAATCGCAATCATTGGACATTCTTTCAGACTTCCCGATGGAGTGGAAGATGTGGAGAGCTTGTGGGATATGGTCGAACACGGCAGGAACGTGATGAAAGAATGGCCCAAGAGTAGGACAAATGTCGATACTTACTATAAGCCCGGCTCGACTGTGAAGAACAAGGTAGGTTGTTAACCGAATACACGCTTTCTTTCTTGCCCTGCTTGACCTTTCCCTCGGGATCTGGGATACTGGCTACTGGGTTCGTTGCTAATGGATTGACCGTGTAGCTCTATTCGAGAGGCAGCTATTTCCTAAACGGGGATCCCGCTGCCTTTGATGCTCCTTTCTTTTCCATCACGGCCCATGGTAAGTTCACCACAAGACAATTGCTATCCTTTTGCTGTGTTTGACCAAAATGTTGACATGGGTGAACAGAGGCCGCTGCTATGGATCCGCAGCAACGATGGCTCCTCGAAGCATCCTACAGAGCCCTCGAAAATGGTAAAACCCCCCATCGAAATGTTTCAATCTTGAACCTAGCACTAACAGCATGCAGCCGGCATTCCCATCGAGAAGGTCGCTGGAACCAATTGCGCCGTCTACGGCTCATCCACCTCAGAAGACTACATTATGATGACTGCCAAAGACCCAGATAATGCCGCCCAAATGAACGCCACTGCCACAAGCCCTAGTATCCAGCCAAACCGCATCAGTTGGTATTTTGACTTGCGAGGTCCCAGTTTACATGTCAATACTGCTTGTTCGTCGAGTATGATTACTGTTGATCTTGCATGCCAGAGTTTGAGGAGTGGACAGAGTTCAATGGTAAGTATTGCAAAATCACGTGAAACATGTTCATCTCAAACGTCATGGTCGGATCGCTAATCACGGGGGTTGGTAGGCGTTGTTGGCATCTGCAAACAGTTTGCTGAGTCCAGAATGGTCTCTGTACATGTCTAACATGAACTTCCTCTCGCCAGACAGCCGGTGTTACAGCTTCGATCACCGCGCCAACGGCTATGCGAGATCAGAAGGTGTGGTAGTTCTCGTGCTGAAGAGGCTCTCGGATGCTATTCGAGATGGTGACATGATTCGTGGTGTCATTCGGGGAACTGGTACGAACCAGGACGGCCACACCCCGACCATGCCTCAACCGAATCAATCTGCGCAAGAAACCCTTATTCGTCAGGTGTACAAGAGCTGTAACTTGGGCTTCGAGAAGACGCGTTATATTGAGGCTCACGGCACTGGCACGCAGATCGGAGACGTCACAGAAGCAACCGCGTTAGGTCGCGTGTTCAAGAGCAGCAGATCGCCGAAAGAACCGCTGTACATTGGCTCTATCAAGGCCAACATTGGTCACTTGGAAGGCGGGAGTGGTCTTGCCGCTATCCTCAAATCCATCATGATCCTTGAAAAAGGTATCATCCCGAAAGCCGCGTCGTTTGAGAAACTGAACCCCAAGATCAAGGCCAAGTTTTATCACCTGGAGGTATCCACTGAATGCATCCCCTGGCCATCTGCAGGCCTGCGGCGAATCTCAGTCGATTCATTCGGATTCGGCGGTGCCAATGCCCACGTCATTCTCGATGATGCTTACCACACCATCGAGGCCCTTTCGGTCAAGGGCTTCCATCACACCTTGGCTGCCCCTGGCCTGATCAACGGCGCGAACGGAACCAATGGAGTCAATGGATCCAACGGCGTCAACGGCCACTCAGCCAACGGAGAAACGAAGTCGAGCCAAGCGTACCAATTAATGACGTGGTCCGCTCGAGACGAAGCCGCTCTGAAACGAATCTTGGGCCAATACGACGACTTCATCAAGACTTCCAGCTCCGCACATGGCAATGCCAACTTCTTAGGCGATATGGCGTTTACCCTTGCGACGCGTCGTTCTCTCATGGCTTGGAGAGCGTTCTCAATCGTGAACGGTCTAGAGAAGATCGATCTTCCCGCTGCAAAATGCGAGCGTGCGGCTCGTGATGTGGGACTTGGTTTCGTCTTCACTGGCCAAGGTGCGCAGTACGCCAATATGGGATTGGGATTGCTTCACTACCCCGTCTTCAAGGATACGCTGGTGGAGGTGGATGCCGTGTTCAAGAGTTTGGGAGCCGAATGGTCGCTGTTCGACGCTCTCAAAGACGGCACTTCCATTGACAGACCCGAGTTCAGTCAGCCTCTGTGCACTGCGATCCAGATTGCTTTGGTCAGATTGTTGGAGACTTTCAACATATTCCCCGATGTTATTGTCGGACACTCTTCTGGCGAGATCGCTGCGGCATACACTGTTGGTGCCTTTTCGCTTCGCTGCGCCTGCGCCGCTGCCTACCACCGAGGTCGTCTTGCTGGCCAGATAGCAAAGGTATCCAAGATGCAACCTGGAGCCATGATGTCTGTGAATCTTTCAGAAGCGGACGCCGAGGCCTATTTGAAGAAAGCGACGCTTCCTGGACCCGTCTCTGTTGCGTGCATCAACAGTCCGAACAACGTTACGCTATCAGGCGACGAGAATGCCATTGATCAGTTGCAAGTAGATCTTGAGAAAGATTCCATATTTGCGAGGAAGATCAAGACGGGCGTCGCGTATCACTCGCCTGCCATGTATCATGCCGCCGACGACTACCTAGCCAGTCTAGATCATCTCGAGTCACGAGAGCTACCCAGCGGCTACAACCCTATCATGATCTCCTCCGTCACCAGTCAGAAGGTTGCGAATAGCAACTTGTTGGACCCACAGTACTGGGTTAACAACATGGTGTCGCCTGTACGATTCGCCGACGCAGTGCAGTACATTGTCCAATCGGCGCCAAAGGTAGATGGCCTCAAACCCATCACCAACTTTATTGAAATTGGTCCCCACGCCGCACTGCAGCGACCTGTACGTGACACCTTGACGCACGCGGGAAACACCACGGCGCGATACGGTTCCGCTTTGCTGAGGCAAGACGCCCCAGCTAAGAGCATCCTTCAGGTGGTTGGACAGCTGTACGCCTCGGGCTATCGTGTTTCAATCACTGCAGCCAACCAACAGGATGGCCCCGATGCAAATGTCAAGCCTGTAGTGGACACGCCAGACTACCCCTTTGATACAACACTCACATACTGGCACGAGCCCAGACTCAGTCATGACTGGCGTCTTCGTGAAGAGCCTACACAGAGTCTGTTGGGCTTCCGGGCAAACGACTGGAATCCGCTGAAACCGCGATGGCGGAGAATGCTGAATACCGAGGATGTCCCTTGGGTCGCGGATCATGTCATTGGCAACAGCATCATTTTCCCTGGTGTTGGTTCTATAGTCATGGCCATTGAAGCTGTGAGGCAGACAGCCGGCGCAGACAAGGCTATCCGAGGCTACCACCTGAAGGAGACTATCTTCACGAGTCCCATTGTCGTCACCCCTGGACAAACGACAGAGGTCATGACACATCTCCACCCACTGCAGCAGTCGTGGGAGAAAACCTCGACGCGATTCGAGGTGGAAATTTTCTCCTATGCGGAGAACTACTGGAGAGCTTGCAACAGACACATCATTCACGTCGAGTTTGAACAAGAAGTCAAGACTGAAGTCGATGGGGGACAAGAGGTCCAGCGCCTCACCTCTTCCTTGGCCCGCAACTACGAAGAGACAAAGACCAAGGCCAACGTGAAAATCGCCACCTCTGATTTCTACGGCGGACTGGAAAATATCGCTTTCCAGTACGGACCTACTTTCTCTTTGACGGACGAGATTCACTGGGATGGCGAACATCTCGCCATTGCCGAAGTTCACGTTGGAGATCCAGTGAACTCGTATGCCGATGGTGTTGTTCACCCCGGTGTGCTCGACTCATGCTTGCAGCTCTGCCTGATCCCACCGTCTCAGAAGATTGCGAAGAACATCCCCACATGTGTGCCGCACAAGATCACGGGCGCTTACATTGCGGCGAACGGGTGGAAGGATGCGCCTGAAGACTTGGTCGATGTCTTGACGGAGGCAAAGATCAAAAGCACCGGCGCTGGCGTCGATTGCGAAGTAGCCATTATGTCTAAAACGGGCGGTCTTCTCGCCTACTTCAAACGACTGGAAATGCTGCCCATCATGTCGCGCGAAATCGATCTCGACGATGGCGCAAAGAAGTTGTTGCACCACGTTGAGTGGAAGCCATATCTCTCGTTAAGCAGCCTACACCAGTCGCCGGGAGATGCCATGATGACATCAGTTGACGAGGAAGATGCAGTTGCGAACGACAGGATCGAGCTCGAGCAGATCCTCAGAGCTGTAGCACAGCGCAGCATAGGCAGTGTCAAGCCCGACGCTCTGGACCGCGCGCCAGCTCATATCAAGAAATACATCTCTTGGGTAGAGCGCCAACTTCAAGCGAAGCCAAGCGGGAAGGTCCCATCGGGACGCGATCTCACTACCAAGTTACAGAAACTTGGTGCCAAACACCCATCGTGGAAAGTATTCACAGAGGCCGCGCAGAGCTTCCCCTCCCTCCTTCAGGGAGAATCGAAGAAGAAGCTCAAGCTGTCTCTGGCGTCTGACATCTACCAAGACTACCTGGATGAGTCTGTGACTGCAGTCTGCAACCAGGAGCTAGAGTCGTATCTTGAATTGTTGGCTCATCAAAAGCCCACCCAGAAGGTCCTCGAGATTGGCGCTGGTCGAGGCGCTCTCACGAGCTACGCGCTGTCGGTCTTCCAGAAAATTGAAACTCGCACTGGGGGAATAGCGTACTCCCAGTACACGTTTTCCGACACACAAACAGCGGCGCTCGATGAGGCCAAAGAGAAATTCGCCGAGCATCATAACCGCATGGACTTCACCGCTCTCGACATCAACAAAGACCTCACTGCGCAAGGCGTGCAGGCTGCTAGCTACGATGTCATCTTCGCAGCAGGTGCTTTGCGGAGTGCGACAGATATCAGCGCCGCGCTCAAGAACGTCGGAAAAGTGCTGGTGCCAGGTGGCCAACTCGTGCTCCACGAGATGACGGTCCCCAACCGCTTCGAGATCGGGTTTGGTTTCGGCGCCACTGCGGACTGGTGGAGTGGAAAGGACGATAGCGACAGTGATCGCATCATGAATCCTTCCCAATGGAACGACGCTTTGAAGAACAACGGTTTCTCAGGAACCGAGCTTGTCATAAAAGACTCTCATAACGATGCTTTGCATTGCTCGAGCCTCATGGTATCGAGAGAAGCGGCGGCGGCTCAGACAAGCGCAGATACTAGCGTTGTGATTGTGGTCAATGACAACGACGCCTTCCAGAAGTCGCTTGCGGAGAGCTTGGTGAACAACACTACCTGGAGTTCCCGCGTGCTTACTCTCACTGAGGTTTCGGCTGAAAAGCTTGAGACGGACAATTACGTGGTTTGTCTTGCGGACGTTTACCGGCCATTCCTCTACCCCATGACACAGCAAACGCTCGACACAGTCCGAAACTGGGCGAACCAATGCAAAAATTTGTTCTGGGTCACTGCGTACGATCCGAACAGCACGGCGCTCGAATCTTCGTCTCCCTACGCGGGCGTCAAGGACGGTTTCCTCCGCGTCCTACGAGCCGAGTTCGCGCTCAACCGCATCGTGTCTCTCACGCTCGGTGAAAACACTCGCGACGTCACAGCCGCTGCCAAATACATCTTCGACGTCTTCCAATCGGCCTTCATTCGCGATCCCACTGCCGATGTAGAGTACAAGGTCCAGGACGGCGAGGTGCTGACCGCTCGTTTGGTCGAAGACACTGTCACCAACCAAGCCCTCACATCCTCTGTAGTCCCACAAGCCATCACCGAGCCATGGCTACCAGGCCCCCCGCTCAGGCTGGGCATTCGAACCCGTGGACAGCTCGAGACGCTGCAATTCCAAGAAGATCTCGCGTACTATGAGGATCTCGGCCCGCAAGACGTCGAGATCGAAGCTAAAGTATGGGGTCTTGGTTTCCGCGACGTCTTCATGGCGCTCGGTCGCTTGGAAGAGGATGACTTCGGCATCGACTGCGCGGGTATAGTCACGCGCGTCGGTTCCGAAGTGACGACAATCGCAGTCGGCGACCGTGTCTGCGCACAGGAATTCGACTGCATGAAGACGTATGTCCGATCGCGCGAATGGTCCACGCAGAAGATTCCCGACTCTACTACATTTGAAGACGCATGTGCTATCATCATGCCTGGTATGACGGCGATCCAGTCGCTGATCGAGGTCGCGCGTCTGCAGAAGGGCGAGAAGGTGCTGATTCATTCCGCATCTGGTGGTACTGGGCAATTCGCTCTTCAAATTGCGCAGATGATTGGCGCAGAGGTGTTCGCGACTGTTGGGTACGACAGCAAGAAGCAGCTCCTCATGGACGAATTCGGTATTCCTGAGGATCATATCTTCTACAGCAGAGACACTAGCTTTGCCCAGGGCATCATGAGAGTCACAGATGGATATGGTGTGGATGTCGTTCTCAACTCCTTGGTCGGCGAGTCTCTGCGCGCGTCCTGGGACTGCATCGCCCCGTATGGAAGGATGATTGAGATTGGTAAAGCCGAGATCAATGCCAATGCCGGACTTCCTATGGCTATGTTCGCCAAAAACACCATGTTCGCTGGTGTCGATCTCTACTACATCAAAAACGACGTGAAGAGAAAGCATATCACAACCATGCTTCTCCAGAAGTCGATGGATCTAGTCAGCAACGGAAGTGTCCGCGTACCAGGACCCCTTCACATCTATGGCTTGGATTCCATGGAAGACGCATTCCGTTACCTAGCGAGCGGCAAAAACACAGGCCGTATCCTGATCAAAGTCGATCCGTCAACGCCTGTCAAGAAGCCACAGATCAACCGCAGAACATGGACCTTTGACGCGAACGCTACCTACCTTGTTGCAGGAGGTCTCGGTGGTATCGGCCGCTCGATGCTTAAATGGATGGTCCAACGGGGAGCCAAACACCTCCTCGTCCCATCCCGATCCGGTCCCGCCTCCTCCGCAGCCTCCGACGTCGTGCGCGAGCTCTCCGAGCAAGGCGTCACCGTCTCGACTCCAAAATGCGACGTTTCCTCCAAAGAAGCAACCGCGCACATGCTCCAAGAAGCCAGCAAGACACTCCCTCCCATCCAAGGCTGCATAGTCGCCACCATGGCTCTCAACGTAAGTCGAACAAACCCCGCCACTCCTACCATCTCACTCTAAAGTACCTACTAACCGACCTTCCCCAGGACTGCCTCTTCCAAAACATGACCCTCCCCCAATGGCAGCAAACCTCTCTCTCGAAAATCGAATCCTCCTACAACCTCCACACCCTCCTCCCGCAACTCTCCTTCTTCATCATGCTCTCGTCCGTCTCAGGCGTCGTCGGAAACCCCGGCCAAAGCAACTACGCCTCAGGCTGCACATTCCAAGACGCGCTCGCGCAGCAGCGCAACGCGAGCGGCCAAAAGGCAATCTCCATCGACCTCGGCGTGATGAAGAGCATCGGCGTCGTCGCCGAGACCGAGAAACTGCAACAACGCTTCTCGAACGCGAAAGCGTTTATGCAGATCGAAGAAGATGAGTTCTTCGGGTTGTTGGAGGTGTGCTGCGATCCTGAGTTCCGGCCGCGCGGAAGCGCGTGTCAGATGGTGATGGGGCTGGAGACGCCGGCGAGTTTGATGGCAAAGGGCGTCGAGGCGCCTGAGGTGCTGCAGCGGCCGCTTTTCGCGAGGTTCAGTCAGCGCGCGGATGTGGCTGGTGGTGGGGACGGTGCGGATGGGGATGATGCTGCGAGGTTGTTTAGGCTGGCTGAGTCGCTGCCTGAGAGGGCTAAGGTGGTTGTTGAGGCGCTTTCGAAGAGGTTGGCCAGGACGTTGAGTATTAAGTTTGAAGATGTGGACACGCATCAGGCGCTCCATGCTTATGGTGTGGATTCGCTGATTGCAGTTGAGTTGAGGACGTGGCTTGGGAAGGAGTTTGCGGCTGATGTCAGTGTGTTTGATATTGTGAGTGGAAAGACTATTGAGGCGGTTGGAGAGTTGGTGGCGAAGACCACTGGGGTGGATAAGTAGATGGACATGTCTGGTGTGTTAGCTGAATTGGTTGTCGTTTTGGTCATGTGTGGATTATATGGGACACAATTTTTTTGCATTAGGAAGTGTATGGATCATGCTAAATCGAGCTATATTTTGTCACGATATCCTCGCGCTTGAGTGATGGAGCTGCACCTGATGTGATGATATCGCGATCAACAAGGCCTGACACAAATGAAGCACGACGACGTCGGGATCTGCTAAAGAAAACCACTCGTTACATGATATTTTAGTCGCGCATAACAGGATTCGATCACGCGGCATGTAAAAACATGAGGAAGATGATTCGGTTTCTCATTCACTACTTTTCGGCCCTCTTCCAGCACGCTTCTACCATTTTTTATTCACAATTTTACAAACGCAAAGACTCAATGTGAGTGCGGACATACTCGAAGCTAGCAGCCCTCTCATCATCACCAATCACGCGCGTATAATTAGATCCAAGCTCCAACAACTTCTCCTTCTCCTGCCATTTGGGCCAGTAACTCAAGTACCCACTGGAATTACTCTGCTTGTACTGGTTGGGATCCAAACAATCCACAAACGCAATATACGCATCCTGAATAGACTTGCTCATGTCATCAGTCAGATAGTACAAGTGAGGCAAGTCAGTGGCGTGGAAGGTTCCGAGGATCGGGGTTCCGCGTTCATAGGTCGAGAGGTAGGACCACGCTGGCACATCTTCGGGGTATGATTGCAGGAGCAGGCGGGACATGAAGATGAATTCCCAGTCACCGAGAATGGCGGCGAGACGCTTGTATTCGGGGTAGGTCTCGTTGGATGGGCCGATGCCGGCTGGGCTGTCGGGGTTGGGAGGGTAAGTGGCGACCAGGCCTTCGACGATCTCGCGGGAGGCGCTGCGGAAGAAGATGTCGTTGAGGTAGGTGACTAGTTCGGCTTCGGTGGTGATGTTGGCTTGGAATAGAGAGAATACAGTTGCCTAGAGACACTGATCAGCATGTTGTTCTCGCGACGAGTTATCCAGCTCTTCGCAGGTCGTGATAGCATGAACTTACCTCATTCTCCTGGTTACCGATGATCATCGGTACTGCAGCATACTTTCCTTCCAAGGCGAGAGTTTCAGGACTGGCAGTGAGGATGCGACCGTCCTGTCTAGGAGCAAAACTGAATGCGAGGGAATCATAGCTCAGATACGCAGGAACACTGTTCGATGCAGCCTGGAAAGTCTCGTAATCGACTTCCCTCAAGCAATCGAGTTTTGCAGAATCCTCTGCAGACGCGCATCCAGCTGCTTCAACCACGGCATCGAAGATCCCTTGGGCCTTGACGCCGTCCACGGGTTCGGTGGGAGTCAAACTACCACTGCTCAAGATCGCGCCTCGGAACAAAGGACGTCCCTTGTAAGTGTTGTCGCCGTCGTATAGCGCGAGCTGGTCGAAAACACTCATGGCGCCGGCGCTTTGGCCCCAAATCGTAACCGCATCAGGATCGCCTCCGAATGCTGCGATGTTGTCTGCCACCCACTCCAGACCCATGCGCTGGTCGAGCAGACCAAGATTGGCCGCGCCATCCTGCAACACCTGGTTTCCTCCGAGGAATCCAAAGGCCCCGAGGCGATAATTCACGCTCACGAGAATCATGGGTTTACCCTGCGAGACCGACTCAGGAATCAGCACTGACCCATCGTACATCTGCGGGCTCCCCGTCTCAAACCCTCCACCGTAAATCCAGAAGAGAACAGGCAATTTCGCGTCTGTCGCATTCTGCAGGCCCGCAGGCCGCATGACCGAAATCGTAAGACAGTCTTCCTGTTCATCGCCGGTCGTCGACCCAAAAAACAGCGTATCCTGGACACCAGGTATCGCAAGCACACCGAGCAGGAGCGGCGTAGGGTCAATTGCCGTCATCTGAGGGCATGCGGGGCCGACACCGGTGGCCTGAACCTCGCCGGACTCAAAGCTCTCGAGTCGAACTGGGGGCTTCAGTCTCAGAGAGCCGACTGGGGGTTGCGCAAATGGAATTCCACGGAAGTACTCCACGCCATCTTCGCCCACAGCGCCGACGACATTACCAGCAGCGAGCTTGACAGATGCTGTTGTTGGTGTGGCCGTGTCGTTATTGGGGGCGGGAACAGGGGTGGCGACAGCTGGGTGAACCAGCGAAGCTCCGAGAGCGAGGACCTGCAGTGCGCCGTACCTCATGGTTGATTATCCAAATCCAAGGGAGTGGGATATGGTAAGAAGGTGGAGGGGAATGACGGCTGGTTGGGTGAGAACAAAACCACTGTGCAGAAAAGACAACAAAAGTCTACGATACTTTACTATTATCTCTTTTGCTGGAGATGAGCCCGCATCCTTGTCAGGAGGGAAATGACGTTAGTCGATGCATGCTCGGCGATTATTGCAAGGGCACAAGGGGGTGCTGTGCTGGGATGTTATGCCAGGACGCGGGTGAGATTCGCCAAGGTTGGCGTCGAATTATTCGTTTTTCTAGGCGCGCTGGGAATGCTGGAAACGGATTTCGCCGAGGGATGAGCATATTCAGGGTTTCTGGATGTAATTCTGGATATGGTTTAGCTGTTAAGGTGGCTTTGCGGCGCTCTCGCTTCACTCGTGGGTTTTCTGGTGGGTTTTCTATGTGGGTCTTCGCTGGCCGAGCCAATTCTTGGTCACTGAGTCGTCGTCACGACTCTCTGGCCCCCAATTCGACTTTCCATCGTTTGGTGCCGCCGGTCCGACTTTGCATCAATCTAGCTACACATGTACACTGCTTTCAATAGCATGTGGTTATACTGTCAACTGTCACGTGGTTCACGATTTTCGTCTGTTTACCTATGTAGGTACGTACCGAACGAACTGGAGCGATCAAAGATCTTTGAAATTGGCACAGATGACCATGCTTTTACTGGAATTGATGGGGCAAAGTTTATGAAATAGGCAGGATATTTAGAAAGAAAGATACAGGGACAGACAGAAACAACATGAATAGAGGTGCAGATGAAACAAAATAAACCGAAAGGAATCTCCAGGCCGCTCCCATTCCTACTAAAATGTAATCTTCGTAGAATTAATCGCACTCGTCGGGCGAATACAGATATTGTTGATTTTCTTCTGCTAGCCCTCTTATCATGCCTTGCAGCTCGAATATCCTCTTTTGAGACATGAGGGAATTCCGTTCTGCAGCGTCTGCCAGAGATTTAACATCGTCGAACTTCACAATCTCGCCAGTTTCCATCTGATTAACTTTTTCTTCGAACTGCGCGATCCATTTCCGCAGCTTATCGCTCGGTCCAGCTGTTTCTCCAGACGGGTTTTCGGCCGCCCTCATAGCCTCATATTTTATTCGCTGGGAAAACTTCTTCATTTCGGTGTGGAAGTCCTCCAACGTCGTCCTCATTGCGTGAAGCTTGTTGATTGCGTCCCGTTGCTTCGGAGTCTGTCTATTCTTCAGCTCGTATGCGTAGTAAGCTGGCAGTGATCGATCTCTGGTGGGGGAGGGCGGATGCAGGATTTCCATTCGCAGCGGGGAGACTGAATCCTCTACCGGGGAAGGAGTTCTTGTTTCCTCTCGGAAGCGCCTACCATATGTCTTAATGGCTTGCGGTGGGTTGGTTTTCTCTGGTGCTTCGCCACGAATCCTTCCGGAGCGTCTACTTTTCATCTCTGTCTCTTGGAATTCATCGCCTCCGATGACATTGACATCTGGCAACGCCCTCCTCATCTCCGACATATCCCTGAGATTTTTGCCAACATCCGGAGGATAGATCTTTTCTTCCTGCTCATCATACGCACGGTTTCTTTGCCCAGCTATTGTCCGCTGTCGCGCATATATTATCGACGTATGTGACCTGTGAGATCTATGTTTGCTGGTAGAGTCTAGATGACGCTCCGATTTCTTTGGTCTGGATCTTCGTACTGCGACGGCTTTCTGGGTAGTTCGCGACTTTACTTTGCGGTATTTTGGTTCGGACTCTTGTGTAGGTTCCTCACCTGGGCTGGATACCTTTTTTGTTTTGGATGACGAAGATGTCCGATTGCCAGCTACGTAAACTTCGGGAATTTTACTGTTTTTGGTCCGCCCACCAGTAAAGACGTCGATAGTTGAGGATTTCATGTCAGAATTCGGCCAGGCTGAAGGTCTTCGGGTGGAGATGGACGCGCGCGGGTGTGTCTATAATCCGCCTCGGTTTCTTAGGACTGACCTCTAACAAAAAATCGTTGTGTTCTGACCTGGTGGATGAGGAAGCTACCTCTTACTTATACTCCCATCTATTGTGTGACTGGGAAGGCTACCAGCCCTTTGACTCTGTTCTGTAGTCAATAATCTCCTAATTTCAATTATGAATTATTGTTCTAATGCATATCTTCACTCAGAGTGCTGTTGCCGCGTTATAATGTGATCACAGCATTTAACGTGACAAAAGTGAATCAGTAAATCATTCATCGCCCCTTATTGAAGCACCGAAATCAATTTCGCATTGCTTGCAGAGCTATTGTAGTTCTACTGTATCGGATATAGATCGTGACCCCATTGCATCATTTAATGTGTATTCAAACGATTTACGAACGTATCAGACTTCTCTAGAGTGTTGATTGAAACTATCGACGACGCTTTGCTTTAAACTCATTTTATTAAGTGCACCCACTCCAACAGATGTTCAGTAATGTGGCACACATGTGGATTGTTTGAATATTAACGGTTTTAGGGTTACATGTATTGAACATTGCAAGATACAGAAAGACTAAAAGTACACAAACAAACACTGTAAAGCAGAGCAGAACATCCAGAAATGGAAACACAATAAAAAATGAACAACAAAGAAATCTAGTACAGCCCCGACATCTGCCACATTGAAGATGCACACCCGTCACTCAGATGTACCAGATTCTCCGATGCAAAACATGCCCCCGACCGATTGCTCGAACAAATCTTTCAGCTTACGCATTATGAGCATCTGTATTGAAGTTTCAAAGTCAGCGTAACTCAAACACACAGATTCCTGTATGGTCAGAGGGGTAAACTGTACGTACATTGTGCTCAGTGACAGAATTTGTCCATTCTGCGAAGGTACTGAATTCCTCGCGATCAATGTCCTTGTGGCTCCATTCCTCGTATTCGTTTTGAAACTTGCCAATGTGTTGGCGGACGTTTTCTGGCGAGGCGGTCGGGTGTTTAGTTAAGAGATTGCTCGCCATGTCACAGATCTTCCCGACAAGCTGGCTCCACTCTACTTGAAGTACCTGCGTTTTCTCAATTTCACGATCATCTTCACGATCATCTCCACGATCACTGTACTCCTCGTCCCTGAAATCGCTTTCATCTCCGGAAACCTGCTCCCCGTTCTCATCGCCAGATTCAAAGTCATTCTTTGCCTGCTCCAGTTCTGCGTCGTATTCGTTCTCAGAATCGCCAATATTTGACGCTGAGTCGTGCGGATAAATCTCCATGGACGCTTCTGGCTCTTCTTTCGGACCATTTCCGTCTATATCATCTCCGTTTTCCGGTACGGCATCGTGTGAGTTTTTCATGATGGCTGCCGAAGATTCCTGATCTTCTGCTAACGTGGAGCCCTGCAATGAATCCATGCTGTCTTCCGGTTGTTCCTCGCAATCTAAGCTCTCGTTTCCGGAATTGTCTTCAACTTGAGTGATATCTTGTGATGGGTCCATCAATTCCTCCTCGTGTTCTTCTATTGGGACATCCTGGTCTTCTCCAGGATCATCAATGTCCCTTTCTGACCTTTCATCCACCACATCAACATCTCTTGCGGATCTTCTTGCCTTTCTATATAATTCTGGGTCATCTCTATCATGGGTATCGGATCGGTGACGTGAACGGCTTTCCACTTCATATGGCGCAGCCACCGGATGTCTTGAGCTATGACCTTGTCTCCCATCTGATCGAACAGTATCAATTCTGTCGAGTATGTACGGCCTGTCTGGCATATCATCTTCATGTTGCAATAATTTGCTGTGTCTGGATGGGACCCCTCTGATATCTTGGTCTGAACGCTTTGCGCTGTTCGCAATTTCTGATGGGCCGGTCCTTGTCGTCCTTTCCCGCCTGGTGTCATCGATGCAAAGTTAGCGATAATCTCATAGCACGAGGATGGTTGATATAAAAGTAAAAAGAAATAGAATTGTAACGTGCGTTCTCCGTTGGAGGTGTGTGAATTTGCGCTTAAATTATACATACCCCCTATGCGGCGAAGATCCCCGACCCGAGGCCGCTCTTGACTCGTCATTTCTTACATGGCGTCTTCTATGGTCTTCATCCATCAGTTCCATCTGGGAATGACGATGGTGAGTTGAACTCGAGGGGATTTCACTGCTGCGGTGGCGAGATCTTGTTCCATCCACTCGGGCGTCGCGGTCATGCGTGCGATGCGTGCGATGCTTGGGGTAGATATCTTGGTCCTCATTCGAGTTGTCAGTGACACCCTCAGTATGTCGATGCCGACGGGTGCTCGAGGAATGTTCGCTTCTATGGCGACGAGGCTTGTCTTCGTCTCTTCGGCTATCGCGCTTGTGCTTGTAGTGTGTTGGTGAGTCAGGCTACTTTCTGTTGGTGGCGGATCTTGCATTCGAACTTACGGACGAGGATTTTCCAGCAACGGTAGGGTGTCTATTGGAGCGGTGATGACTCTCATACTCTTCTTCCTGTTCATAATCCGACTCAGCGTACTGTGGTAACGTACGCCGATGGCTTCTCCGAGTCCGATGGGACTTTGTGGATTTTTCCGCTGCTTTGCGCGGTGGTAGACCGAGGGATTTGTAGGAAAGCTTCCATAACATTGTCCTACAATTTGTGAGATCCCTCTCTATCTGCAAAATCTGCGACCTATCGTACAGTCGGACGAGCGAAGTGAACCGTCAAGTTCTATTGGATGATCGAGCGAAACCGAGTAAGAAGTTCGTGGATGCAGGCAATACAGGCAGCTTCAAGTAATGATTGAAGCGGAATAATGGCGATAATGGAGATAATAGAGATATGGTAATGTATAAGGGAAGAGGGAAAAACCAGATAAAGCGACGTTCGTGGTGCTACTTATGTCTTCTCAATCGTGTGACTAGAATACCGCGCTTAGTGACTATCCTGGAACACAAGACTGTCTGACTCTGCGATGGCTCATCGTGTAATCTGTAGTGACCCTGACTGCTCGTTTTATTCGATAGTCCAATCACATTGCACACTAAATAATGAGTGATTCATCTATTTCTTGTCGGACTTAAGAGTCAAAACTATTGCGTGGCAATGAAATCTTGACATCATATAGTCATTCGGTGTCTGCCTTTTCGACACATTATTCATCGAATGTGCCGGCAGAAATACGTTGATTAAAACATAAATGAGGGTTATATACAGATTCCGAAAGAATTAAATTGCCAGCATACGATCCTATACCGCGAGATATGGGAATCAAATAAGCTTAAAATACGCACACGAATTTTGGAGGCGCGTTGGCTTCTACGAAAGAACCCATGTATATTCGTTGGACTATCAAATATAAGAGAAATGAAAACATAACAGAGGTATCTAATCTACAGAGCATGATCGTTTTTTCCTCCTTGAAATAACACACATACTGGCCCCTTTGATTCCGGCCAAAGAAGTACCAACTACCCCTCCACAACAATTTGTCACCCATGTACTACGTCCTTGATATTGGGTCTGCCTACATAGCTTTGCGTGCAAATAACGCGGCTGACCTGCTGCGATGGGTTAGCTTCACAAGATTGATTTCCTCGTCAGAACGGCATTACCTTATTTGTAGCCGTTTATATGAGATCGAAATTCTGTTCTGTGAGTTTGATTTGATTTCACAACGACTCCTGAGGGCTTTCCTTCTTATCTTTGGGCCTCTTCGTCGATGAATTCCCGCCATATTCAATCAATTTCGGTCGCGGAGCTCTGTTGCCATCAAGATCGAATGTAGGTCGTCTGCGCCCGGACCTCTTGGGTCTGTTATTCTCCTTACTCCGTTTAGACGCAGGCAACGATTGACGAGTGCGTGGCTGTTCCTCGTCTGAATACATTTCGTCCTCTGAATTCCTTTTTTGCTCTAAATTTCTCTCGTGCTCGAGATTCTGTTCATCCTCTGAATGCCATTCGTCCTCTGAACACCTTTGCTCCTCCGCATACTCTTCCTCTTCATGATACCCTTCCCTTGCTGGATATCTGTGATCATTGTATTCTAGAAGGGTTTGGATTCTGCGAGCTTCTGGCCGATGATATTGGCCATGATTCATCTCCGATGACGGGTTCCTGCTTGATTGATAGGATGTTTCTCCGTGGGGCTGAAGTATGCGATCAGGGGACGACGAGAGCGAGGCTGCAAAAATCGGTCCTCTGGCACTGTAATTCACATTATCCCGTGAATAGGATTCTCTCCCCTTTGGGCCTGAATAGTCGGGTGAAAAAGGATTTGTCGAGTGCTGTGGTGTTTGGAGATTAGGGAAAGCGTTGTTCGATTGGATTGCCAGTGACGAGGACCTTCGCGGATTGTTCCCCTTCTGTCTTGGTCGATGGTCTGAATCTTGATGTGGAGATGTTCCACCATTGAGTTCGTACATATCTAGGTAATCCTCGTGAATTCGGAACGTGTGGAATATTTTGGTTGGCTAATATCGACCAGTATGGTCGGGGGGAAGTGTGTGTCAAAAATGATTTGTGTGGCGAGGGACTGTATAAGAGAAAAACGACCAAAGACAGACAGACTAAATAATTAGGCGTTTTTGGGGCTCTTTTGTGAAGAAGATAATATTGTAGATTTCTATGGGCGCTTCTACTTTTATACGGCTGCTCGGCTGCTGGTATGACTGATGTATGTGATTCATTCTTCTGACTGTGAAATTGTGCCAGCACGTTACACCGAACGGGATTTTGGAACTATGAGTGAGTAATAAAACTTGGTTCATAGATCTCTTGCGGACTGGTCATTCATTGCGTGCGGGCAATTTGCTGGGGTCGGTCGTGGATTGGGTGAGCATAATCCAGCGAACCTGTCTATCGAATTTGTCTATAATCGACATTGTGCAAGAAGTACCCATCCATCTACTGGAGAAATGCATCTTTGTGGCAACAGGAGATGCAATTTTATCTGAGCTCTTTGTGTAATCCTTGCACGTTTTGCGCTAACCATTAATGTCTGATGAGCAGCCATCAAGCCTAGACCCCGATCGTGCAAGTCATCAATCGAGAAAGTTACACGATCAATCATTTGTACAACCTTTACCGTTTCCTCGGTTCGTGATATCGTAGTGAGCCATGAGTTGTTCAATATCCTGAGTATTGACTGTTTCTTAGCTGTGTCACCCAACACCCATGCACGTCCGTTGTGCCCTCAGACCCAATCTGCACTCAGCTATTCAGAATGATACCTCGTCAGTTTTGTAAACCACGGAACTTGTCTCCTGCCTAGAGCTTAACAGCAGATCTATCGTGTGATTTTTAATACCCAGTTTTTGTGCCGCATGGAAATGCGATGAATCATCATTACGCTTAGTACGTCCGTTGTAGAATGGTCAGTTGTTTCACTTTTCTCGTTTAATGGAATCGGACAAAGCCGTAGGCTATTCTGGTTCATTGTCCATAATCATTCACGTTGTGATCTGGGAGTGTGGAGTTCTTTGTTTGCATGACACGACCACGGTTTAATTCACAGCAGCCCTTCCCCTTATCCACACAATATCCCTCGTCTGCGCATTTCAATCACTGCATGTGCAGTAATACTTCGAGCCCGCACTTCCTTCAAAGTTCCAACGCAACCTGCACAAACGGCCAGCACGATAAAACAGCATGCATTCCGAACTCCAAGAAATCGCCAACCAAACACTGATTCGAATTGAAAAAGAACAACAGCTGAAAGCTAAGAAAGGCCATGCTAACAAGCTTCATGACGAACTGTCAGCTCACCTGAACGCCGTCAATAACCGTCTCAACAAACCGTATTGGGAGATTACTGTATGTCTAAGAAAATGGAAAATCGCGAACGCAGTGGGAAGTCACAAAAAGGCATCTTCTTATGCTGTCAAAGGTGTACCGTTGATCAACTCATTCTTGAAGGAGTTGGTGGAGGAGATGGAGCATTCTCGCACTATGCGTGGAGAGAATTGGGAGGAAACTCATGAGTATGCGTCCTGCAGTAAACGGCTGTGCGGAGTAAATATGCTGGATAAGTTGTTTGTGAAGATGGAACAGGTTCTGCGCGACGTCCCTGAGGCGTTTAAACAACAGGGAAACGAGTCGTGAGTGGCGCGAATACATGGGTTAAATCCAGGCTTTCTAGGTCGCTTTCCATGCGGAGCGTGTTTGAACCTATAAATCACAAGATTGCAATTTTACTTTAGTTACCATGAAAATGCATACCTTTAAACCTTGTCTGATCCCTGATGTATGTCTATATAGCTACATTAGATTGTTTTATAGATGTCTCTAGCTTTTTTACCCTTTGCAAGATTATATAATTGTACTATTTTAATAATGCTTCTGGCTGTACTGAAGCAGTGAGATGTGTTACTAAGTTTATAGAACTAACTTTGCAGTATTCCTGTCTATGTCATATTGCATCTTTGCCTCAGCCTGTAGATCCTTTTGTCTTAAAGAAGAGTAATCTAAATCTATTAATTAGTGTAGAAGGACTTTATAGGCAAGTTTATATAATAAGATAAGACATACATAAACAAAACTAGAAAATAAAGAAAGACAGCAAAGAAACAAGAGAAAAACTAAATAAAAATACAACATAGGTTAAATAGAGAACAGAGGAGAGAAAGTATATAAAAGAAAAGAAAAGAAAAATACTTAAAAGAAAAGCTAGCAATGTAATAAAAAATTTAACAAAAAAGAGAAACAGAATAAAAGAAATAAACTATTAGCAAATTTAAGACCCAAAATAACAGTTAAGATATAAAGGAGACAGGTGTCCAACGCAAAAACAAATAAGACGCGCGCTTTTGCTCACGCCGCCCCCAACATCATACGTCCTAAGCCAAAAGTCAAACACTAGAGTTTTGACTTAAAGCAAGAGAGATCCGTCAAGCCGTGCAAGATTCCCGGTTTTGTTCCTTAGGTAAGCCAGAGTAACAAATTGCTTTAGATATATCGAACAGTGAGAGCTTCTCAAAGTCCGTCTTTCTACGCACTCGACTTCATTAGTGTTTCCTGCGAATAAAAACCTTCTGATGCTTAGGATTAGAATGCGGTGAGGTGGGACCATAGGTTCGAACTCCTTCTGGGCCATAATCAGTACGGCCAGAGAGATCCCAATCACTCTATTCTGCGTCGTCCGAGCCGTACAGTGAATCACGCTCGTGTTCGTCTCTGGTGCGTTTTGAACGGTCATCCGCTTTTCTTTCCGATTCTGAATTAGAATGCCTGGAATATGATGGATTATAGGACGCATCCGATGATGGTCTAGAGGACCCATTTGATGAATGTTCTGAGGATGATGATCTTGAGGATGCCTTCGAGGATGATGATTTTGATGATTTTTTGCGGCCAGGGTCGTCTTTTTTCTTAGGCCCACCGAATGCCTCCTGGACCATTACTTGGGTTAAATTGCCACGCTTTGGGGCTTAGCTGCCCAGGGGCCGTATACCATGATTGTTTTGGATCAGGTGTTTGACAGTTTCCACGGGCAATTTTTCGTGCAAGATATAATAAGATATAGATTGTATGCGGTTAGCCTCGGCGAACAGGGTGGATATCCAATGAAACAAAGACAAGCGACTGGCGGGGACGTATTCGAAGAAACTCTCGTAAAAAAGATCAATATGCTAGGTCAAGAAATGAATGTGTTCCTTATTGGGATAAACAGCAACGGACGTTGTAAGCTCAGTGAATGGATGAAGAGAAATGTCTAACGATAACACAGACCCGGCTTTTATACCTCGTCTCTTGGAAGTGTGACACTGCCTGAAAAAGCCATTTGAGTGAATCATACATTCGGGCTCACTCATAAAGTCAGCGAGGTAGTCAAACGTAGAAGTCAAATGTCGCTGACACTTGGTCGATTGACGTCAGGTTTCTCATCTTGCATGACTCCTGTATTTGTGACGCAAGGAAATGGCCCTTGCTAATAATCTGTGTCGAGAACAAAGTCAGAATAAAAGCACTTCTTCTCAGTCGCATTGTCAATTCATCAATCTTGCAACATTAACCCGCAGCCTTGTATGGATGAATGTAGATGTGCATATATGTGCCGCATGAAAATGCGATGAATCACCACTACTCTTAGTACCGGCGGTTCAATGAGCGGTCCCCGAATCACCTTCTCCGAGATTTTCAACGTGTTGGCCGTATGGGGAGTGAAACGTAGACTGCGAACTGGTCTTGCCTTGGCATCTTCATGGGAAACCGTCTAACCTAACTTGGCTAGATCCTATACTATCCAACCAATCATTACTCTCGATATATATTTGTAGATGGTGCGCTTCCCGCGTTGATTTTGTGAATCTTGAAATATACGAATACATGAGTACTAAATAGTGGTGCTTTGTGCTGTATTTCATGTGGGCTAAAATAGTTGAATTCGGGTGTCATTCAGTTGCGATTCCAGAGAAAAAAAAATCGGGAAGCACTACCTAGATACGTGAGGTGCATAACAACTACACAGCTACTATGTATCGAGTATTGAGCTACGAACTTCAAATACAAAAACGCAAACAGGAGGAACAATTTTATGACTCTGAAAAATTGAATGATACATCTAAGCAGAGACACCTTTTCAATCTCAATAACGGGCAGGGCTGTATGTATGATAAGTCCAACCTTTACTGTGCCTCAATACGCTGTTGACATACGAAAAATTCTATTGGGTGCTTCTTTATACTATCTTACAAACATCTGATGAAAGGGAAGTAACAGTAAGGAATAGATACAACAGAAATGAATGTAATCAACGGAAGCGAGAGTAGAGAACGAAGAACTGAAAAACAGGATGAAAGATATTACAGAGAGTTATCCATACAATACCCCGAAAGCCCCACAAAGCAAGACAATTTGATCAGAGAAACAGCTTGAGGAATAAAAACAAACAAAGGAAACCTATGATCCGTGCTGGCTTAGGACTGGTAAACAGATTCGAGTAGGCGTGAGTCGAGACTTTGGAGGGGCAGTAGCTCTCCCGTGACTCATTCTGCGGTCGTAGAATCATTTCGGACAGATTTCGTGGCACAGGATCCAAAACGAATTTTATCTCGAATAGGGCTCATTGCTCGAGGAAGGCACATTGCTCGCAAATGACTAAGTGGCAGCGGTTGCACTCCGACTTTGGGTGTGTATTTCAGTTGCGGTCCTGGCGTCTCTGATTCCCAATATATATTGTACGGTACCCTCAAGACCAGCAACCCATTCTCTGGGCAATGGTGCGTCCTTGCCGGCCCATTTAGCATACGTTTTTAAGTATTCGCTCCCCTTCAAGTTATGTTGACGGTCTTCGTCTATATTTCCAATGTTGTCCTCATACATCTTCTTCAAATCACAGTCAATGTAGCAAACTATTAGGTGATCGGTCCTGTCCTTCTTCAGTTGTTCAAAGCTGGTGCCAAAAGTTTTCATCGTGAGCACCAACTCCCGGGCTCGAACCAATACTTCCTGACTTTCTGCCCCTTTCTCGAGAAATTCTTCACACCATACTATGTATCCTTTCCGTGCAATCTCCAGCAAAGACCTGACTTCCTGGATAGCTATCTCAAGCTCCTTCTCCATGTCATCTTGATTTTCGTGCTTCTTCTTGCGCTTTAGGTGCTTCTTAACGAAGGACTGCATGTCGAGGACTCTTGCTGATCGCTATTTTGGACTGCTGCTTTATCTGCAGTATGAAGAGGTGGGGAGCAGGATGTCCGACCACGCGGTGGATGTGGCAACAAAAAAGCAATATTGAGATGACTGAATATTGATTGACAGTAGCTGGCTGGTGTGGAGATGAGGAAGTATGCAGCGTGCGCGGTACAGTGTTGCTCGAGGTTCTGTCGGGATTGCCGTGATTTGCAGTAGTGCTGGTTTATTGTTCGATTGTGGAGAAGAAGAATCTGTAAGTCAATGAAATGTGGTTGTCGTAGAAAGACCGAGAACCAAACAACAGAACAGTTCGATCTTTTATATCTGTGACTTTCGCAACAATGATGACTATATCATTCGAGTCACCGAGTGAGTCTCGCATTGGCTCTATACTTGACTCAACCGTACAGTCAGAGATCTTGACCAACAACTGGTTGACTAGACTCAATGAACCAGCTGTGCGAAAATAGGAGTCAGTCAAGACAGAACGCCGGATTTTTATGGGTATGACCATGACCGACTGAGTGTTTCCACCGTAAGAGGGGCGCAGTACAATCACACGGGTTGTGAGCAGGCGCAACACCCTAGCGCTATATCTGATAGCGACGGGGTCACGTCGACCTCACAAACATGTCACACTTCCAAATGAAGAGTCAGCCCTATCCGTGAGAACCATTGAGTAGTATCTGAATAAATTACTAATCAGTCGATGAAGATACTCAGTTAAGCAACATGGTGAATACGCCGCTAGAACGAGGAGGAACGGCTTATCCGACAATTACTCCAGCTCCACAGGTGACTCAGGAACTATAATTACCGTCTGTGAATCAATCTCATGAATTCTCAGCTGATCTTTGGGTGTCTCAGTTCTCCAATTACCTTTCCAAAACCTCCTGAATCCAGCTGCACATCCAGATACCTCGGCGATTACAGCGGCATCGCCATCCGCCTCGTTTATCTCCGCAGCAGAGTCTGCCTCGGCCTTGAAACCAAAATCCTCAACCGATAACACGATTCTTTGATCGTTGTTGGATTCCCTTGGTTTTACCCTTTTGTTTCGTCTGCGCCGTAGTGCCACGACGATGATCGCGCAGAGGAAGATGACTGTTAAGGTAGTGGCTACGCCAATACCAGTCTTTGCGGCTACACTCATTGGTGGCTGGGGAGATTTTATAGACGATGGTTGAGGTTTCGGTGGCCGTGTACTAGTCATTGTTTCAGTAACAGTAGGTTGTAGGCTGCTCCCGGATGCGCTGGGCAGCGGTGACGGCGGACCCGCCGTGGTGACAGTGGGGGTAGACTGTATGCTACTTGCCGTCGCGTTAGGCAGCGGTGGGATTGAATTAGAGAAGGGAACGCCCATGCGTTTTCCTAGGACCGAGGCGTACTCTGTTGGGAAGAGACTAAGGTCCTTTGATTGCCACATAACTGTGAGCTTGGCCGCGAAAGCTGTCCCGCGTGGAAGTACAGTCTCCCTTGTCACTGTTTTGGCGTCTGAAATCATCGTGGAAGAAACAACAAATGAAGAATTTACACTGCGCGATGAGTTGAAGGATGTATCGTTCGATTTGATATAGCCAGATATTTGATATCCAAAAATGGCCGTCCATGGCGTCGTGAATATAGTTGAACACACACCGCTCGAGTATGCATTCCACCCCCTGGGTTTTATTAATTAAATGTTATATTTGTTTGGGTACGGATTCCTTGTTTGAATACATACCTCGGGCAACAGTGTCCCTCCCAAATCTGTGATAGCGTTTGCGTATTAACGGTCATGACGTTGAATTCCATTCCACTAGGGCACAACCCAGGACTATAAGTGGTTGCTTGTGTTCCAAAAGGATTACAAATTCGGAAGAATTCGTTTCTTATGCTTGGAAGACCGAGGTTGTCATTGACGTTGCTATAGACCATTGACGCGCCTGTATAATAGAGCCAGCGAGTTGAGCACTCCGGTTTTGGGGTGAAGACTGTCGTGAGCGCGGGTGCACCCCAACCCAAGTCGCTGAGAGCAGTTCCCATCCAGGTCTTGGTAACAATCGGCACAACGCCTAAGCTGTTGCTTGGGTCCGAGCTGAAGGGTGTGGCAGACCTCACTTTACTCATCCCGCTTTCTCAGGACGGAAGCCCAGCGTGGAAGGTATCAGGTTAATGATATTATTACAAATAAAGGTCAGAAATAAGTGGGCAGAGTCGCGAAGAGACAGAATGCTCATTTCATCAAGAGCCCCCATGATCTTATTGAGGGCAACGACGTATATCTCACACGCAAGGCTCTATGCGAAGTGGAACACATGCAGCGACGACAAAACTCATACTTGGAACAACTAGAGTCCAATCCAATGGATCTTTCGCCCCCAACTCCTGCCAAGGACCATGGGGTCCAGAATTCTCACTCAAGAGTCAAGGCTGCGACTAGCTATACGCAACCCGCTTTCCATCCATAAGCGGCCCGCAGCCGCCAGAATGAAGCTCGCTCAGTTGTTATCGCGCCCAGGTTGCTCATCTATCGAATCGGGACACCTTGCCGTAGAGTCCCAATACACGATCAATATCACGTGACATGGGCTCAGCCTCGCGTCCTTGGGCCCGTCGCCCTGTTTTTCGTACTCTGATTGCTTTGCGCCTAATAATGGAAGTACAAGATTACTGCGATTGTCTGTTACTCGATGATGCCGGAGTATTGTGATCAATAAATCTAGTAAAAACGACATTGTGACATGCCACCCGCTGCCCGGCTCGATGAGCTGTTCCTGTTCTCCCCCCTGCTGTACCAAAAAATACGAAAAATATGGCAAAATCAATAGTTTCATATTCGTGAAACGGATTGTACACGTTATCGAGGTCTGAGTCGCGTCTACTACATTTTCGTGTTTCAATATTGAGTTGCGCTTGAAATCTCACCATAACATTCGCGCGCTCAAATTCATAGGGCCAGAGACAGAGGCAACAGACGCCTCGAAATCGCAATGCCGTTGCCTGAGACATGGTTTGATATTACGCGTCACCGTGGTTGACTTTGCCTTCTTATTAGCCGATCATCTTTCACCGGGGTGTGGCAAGTAGAATTGTCGACCCCAAATGCAATCAGCGGTTTGAGAAACCACACAATATATTGGTGCGACACATCTGCATGTGCAGCTCGATGCGAGCTTGATGAATGAATAATAAATGAAGTCCATCAATGCGACGTGGATCAGATCAACTATTGAAAGCATTGAAAATAATAAAATTGCTACCTGTTTCCAAGCAGTTTTATCATTTTTAACGGGAGATCTCAGAATATTAGAGGTACATCTCCATGAACCCCAAAATGTTAATATAACGGTGTATTTTCTCCAAAGTTTCTGAAAGTAACTTCACAGGGGCCACTGAGCCCTGCCCTTCTTGTAATTCTTCTTCCATTTCTTCACGGCTCTTTTCTTAAGCTCAATCTTGATTTGTACCTTCTTGATCTCACACCATGTCCCACAATTTACATACCGGTGAACTTTGGTCATCTCCCAAACTCGCATTCCGCCCCAATCTTTATTCGACTCTTTTTCAAACTCGGCAAGGGAATTTCGGCCTTGGGCGAGTAAACTAGCCGCCCTGTGTGCCTCCCCGAGTTGAACTGCTTTGGCCCAAGTTTCATAGCCTTCGCATGCATCGTCATACAAAGGCTCCAAGCGGGTTTCCACTGCTTCGGCCTCCGCTTGAATTGTCGTGTGCAGTCCGAAGGCATTTTCTTTTGTGACTTTTCGGGCCTTTGGCTTGGATCGTCGGGGTAGTTGATCCTCGGTTAGATTCCGAGACTGATCTGATACAATCCCGTTAAAGTGATTCGGTACTGATGCGTCTTGGAAGGGATACATTGCAATCTTGGCGTGCAACAGGGAAGCGGTTGAGTTTAAGACTCAGATGTGATTGATTGAAGCATTTCTAGAAGTGTGTCTAAGGTTTATATGTACCTCTTGCGACGTGGTGTTCAGGGAATGACAAGCGCTTGGGTTCTATCTTTCACGTTGCGCCCGTGATTTATTTTCTCCTTCCACTTCTTTTGTTTTGAGTGAGGAGCGTTCTATGTGACTTGATCTTCAACTGCTTCGTTCCATTTTTTCACGTCACATGGTGTCAGTGAAGGAACACGCCAGGGCATACCGATGATCCTGAAAATTACGATATTATGTTTATAAGGCTTGATCAAATTCATGTGCGATCATAATGATTCACTCACGATTGCATCATTAGAAAACACGTGTCCAGATCATTTTCCAGAGCAGATGACGAGACAAGCTGTTTGTTCACGTGGATGTGTATAGTTCATTCATTATTCATGAATCATCCCACTCCGCTCTACCTAATCCTCGCACAAGTTTCGTCCATTTACTAGGCCTATATCGAAGAAAAATTCGAATCCCTGGTAAAACCTCAAATTCTATGGTTTCCAACCATTCAGCAGCTATCCACCGTGAATGCAACAATTTGGCTGTTGGCCGGCTCGCAGCTGTCTTTTTCTCTTTGTCAGTCCACCTCTTAACGGGATTCCACTTTGTACTTACTCGCAACACTATCGGAGTTAATGATGGAGATGAAGCTATTGCAAGATTCATCAAGATAGAGGCTGACAACGCAGCTTCCGGAAGGTGGAGAAGCAAACATGTAGCCGTAAGCTGGGTCGTCACCGACAATCGTGGTGCATCCTGCCTCGTCAGGAAGATCAATGCTACGTAGCGAGAGGCCGCACTCCCGGTTGCTGAAAAGCTCGAGAGGCCATGCGGAGACTTGAGTTATGATTGAGCCAACTATGACAACGGTAGAAACTGAGAATTTCATAATTGATATGAGCTCTTTTGGATGGGATTGCTGATCGGAAGATAGATAGTTGATCTGTTGGGGGAATGAGATACACAGTCCAGCTGGCAGCAGGCCGATATAAATACTTCATCGGTGCTTCCAATTTGGTCCGATCGTCGATTGAGATTTGATTGAAAGCGTGCGAAAGGCGTGCGATGCACACGAAGCCCTTGGGCGACTGAAAAAAACATGGCTGTATCGGCAAGGAATCAATCCTGAGTCATTAGTAAGACGATCCATCGGTAGTGGATGGACGTGTTGAGATATCGGCGTTTGATAGGTCTGGGTTGTGTATCCGGTGTACGCTGCATCATTCACTCCTTCTAGGAAATCACATTCAAGGTGGAGACTTGCCTAGCGCCATGGTTCTTCTCCCAGTCCAACCTTCTCAGTCGATAGTGTCACAATATTTAACGTTATTCACCACGCCTGCATCAGACGCGATGTGATGCCACTATAAGCGACCAATCTTTCGCTCCTGTTTAGTCAATCTCGACAATATTCCATGTAAAAAGTAAATAGAGGCATATCTTCAGATTCACCTATGTGGCTGCTGGTGGTTCACATTTTTTCATCTCCATTCAAGAACATAATAGTAGTGTCACAGGAGGAAATAGCTTGGAGAATTCCCCAATAGGTTAGAAACAATAAGATGTGCTTGCCTGTTGTACGACTATGGAATGCCGTTCAACTCCGATAAACAAGTGTGACGTCTATAAGCGGGGCTGCAGGAACATGTTGGACCGGGGCAGGAATCCTACCCCAGTTTTTCGCTAGATCCTACGAAGCCAGGATCATTTTCTGGGTGGGAATTGAGTGATTGCAGTTACTAATGCAATGGGAAAGTGAAACTGCACAGATCAACTGTAGAGTGGTTAGTCTGACTTATGATCAGAATATAGATCGCCAAAGTCGCGACCCGCAGCAGATTACTCGAAAAGTCTATCTCCACCGGAAAGAAGATGTGGACCGGTGTCTAGTATGAGTGATTCCACTGATCGCATCTGTCAAAAAATTTGTGCAACGTGATCTGGTAGTTTGGAAACCAGATTTTGCGTTGATGCGAGGGTGGACAACGCTGTATTGTGAGCGATGTAACAGGCAGGCAGCGCGCAGTATGCCAAGAATGGTAAGCAGCTCGTCGATCATACTAAACGAGGCTGGGAATTAGGTTATACTATGAAAAAACGTTCTGGTTACTACCATCGTCTAGTGAATATGCCTACGCCGGGAGGCTTGATTCACCTCACCCGAACGGTAGCTGAAACATAACCTGAGTTACCCGCTATTCACGCCCTTCAAATTTGAGGTCGTAATCCTCGTTGTTCTGAGCCCATCCCTACAAATCTACCGATAGAATCTTGCACTGGAAACTATATTAATCATCGCATTCCCGATCCAGCGCATAATTTGTGAACTATCGTGTTGCGTGTGATGGAGCAACAACAAGCATAGATTATATTACCGCAGATTTTGATCGAGAAATTCGTGGGAGAGAACTAGACTCCAGTTGGGTACTGATGTATGCCTTGATAAGAGAACGCGCGACCTACTTGAAAAGAGATGGAGATGTTCTAATGGAGGGCGTGCCAATATTTCAATTGATAACCTATACCTTCCCCATCACAGCACGCTTTCTCTATCTCATTCTCGAGTAGAATCAGTTCAATGAAAAAAAAAAAAAAAACATAGAATCAAATGATAAAACTAAAATTTAGAATATGAGAGGCCGAAACAATAGAGTAGAATAAGGGTATCATAAGTACAGGAGGAGCAATGAAGGAAACAAACACAGAGGCTAAGAAAAAAGAGAAGAATAAACAGAAAAACAGAGTCTGAGAAGAACAAAGAAGGGAAATAAAGAGAAGGAAGCCGAAAGAAGCCATGTGAACAACAATTTAAAGGTCAATCCCCTCATGAGACCAAGTAGACATGTATTTCCATCCGCATTCACAAATCACGATCCAGGAGCAGGAGTAGGAGTAGGAATAGGAGCAGGATCAGGGAGACTTGACTTGAAGTCTTTGACCTCTTCGCTCACTTCAGCTTTCTGCCTGATCTCAGTAGCCTTTATCGCAAAGCAGCCTGGTTTTGGCGGGCATTCGCAAGCTTTGAAAGCTTTGCAACCGCGAAATTCTTGGTAGCGTTTTGATTCCCACCTAGACCATTTACCGTGCCTCTCCTGCAGCAGATTTACCTTTGACATCCCGATTGCTGCTTGCGTAGCCTTCCCGTTGGTTCCACTTCCCTTCCAAATACAATGAGCTTCGACGACTTCGTTGTGGAGTTTGCGAAGATCATCTATCGTTACGTCCATTTCTTCGTGTAGCTTTTTGTACATCTCTACCGCGTTTTCTTTTGTGACTTGTCGAGGCTTAGCTCCGGCTTCCGGGATCATCTTGGACGATTTTTTTGGTACGTTTTCGATTGACGCTTGATAGAGAAGCTGGAAAAGGGCAGATGGAGGAGGAGCAGGTATGAACTAAAAAGACGATTTAAGGTCCCGCAGATAGTGAAAATCTCCAGGACGAGCTCGGAAAGCTATGGCACCTAGGTTAGCGTGAAACAATAGAAAAGCATGTGAGGTGAGTACATTTCCGAATTCTTCAGATTTCCAAAGCAGATTCACGTTTGCGTAATATGGAATCGGTGAAGAGACGAGTGGTTGATAAGGAGAGATGAGAATTCTTAGGTATATGCTTTTGTCGTCGATGTTCTGGATAGAGTACAGTCGTCGCTGTCTATATTGGTAGTAGGCAAAGAAGCTTTCTAACTTCTGCAGATACTCCTTATATATTCTTTCTGTATGTAAGTATGAGTCTTCATACAACGAAGTAGTTGTCACGCCCATGAGAAAGTAGAGTCACGGTTTGTCCAGTCAATGATTCTTGACATTCGGGTGTAACACCACGGAGTCATAATGGGTGCTGAATGACGGGAAATACAGTGCTAGGTGAAAGAATCACGAAAATGCCAGAAGTATTGGCTCAGCACATCTGTTTGGGACAGCACAGGCCGGTGATGAGAATCTCGTAGTGTCATTAAGCACATGGTTTGGCAGGTGCTAAGGCGGTTCGACCGTTTGAGGGTTAAAAGCTAGGAAACGTTTGTAGCCTATTACTCAACTCCCCGCTCTCAAAATTCTTTGAACTGACGCGTGCTTGAACATGTATCACCGAATGTGATCAATGAACCATTATTACGTCAACAATATGGCAACCGATCGCAGGCCTATCCTTTATTATCGTACCGCAGTTTATGGATGCCATACAATCACACGTATTAACTCTTTAGGTAATTTAGAGGCTATGATAGGGTCAAGAAATTTGAGGGAGATGTTATACGAGGGTTAGTTAGGTGAATCGCTAGCTGCAATCGTACGAAGAGCGAGGATATCACTGATCTTTTTATTGGACAGTCGAGGTTATTTAAAGCCTCCTCGTTGATTACGAAGTACAGATGACAGTGAAATAATTTCAGACATAGGAGAATTACAAATGAAACATCTAATACTAGAAAAGAGCGTCCAAGACCTCCATAGTGCCATACTCCGTAATATACCGGGTTGAAAGAAGGTGATCAAAGAGGTTACAATCCCGCGAAACAGTGACAAGGAAAATGGAGTACAGTCGCTGATGACATCTCCTACTAGGTAAACTCCCCAGTCTCGAACCACTTCTTGCCAGAGCCATTTTTCAGCTCCTGTGTAAATACATTCTCGGACTCATACACTCGAATTGCCCAGCCTTCAATTTTGTTTTGTTTCGCAGCTCCCTTGTTCAGTCTGCACGATGTGGGACACTGTTCCAGATCATGACATTTGCCAATCTGTAACTCGCGACACATGAGCCATTCTTTGAATCTTCCATGCGCTTCTTTGAACTGCGCCGATCTCAATAACCCTTGATAGCTTGTCAAAACTGCTTCGCTCGTGTATCCACTGATGGTTGCATCGAAATTCGCATCAAATGAATCTTGGACTCCATCGAAAAGAAAACTCAAAGTCTTGACATGAGCTTCAAATTCGGCATTGATGCGTTTGTGAATGATTTTGAAGTTGCTGGGAAGAATTTGGGGAAACTGTTTGATGTACCAGTCGTGCTGCATGATATCGATGGGCATCAAAGGAGCTTGGCTTATCCTGGCTTCACTCGTCTCTGCTATTTCTGACGTGGTTTCGGTTTCAGCGGTGCCATAGCTGGTCTGATCTTTTTTGAACTTGGATTCATTTGCGATATCTGGGGTATTCGCAGTTCCAGGTGTCTTCACCTGGATTGACACTTCAGAGGCTCTCTGTTTGTTCTGGGGGTTTGTGATCTTGGATTCAGTAGTGCCATCTGGGGATCGTGGGTTCTTATTCCTTCCAGAGGTTCTGGGTTCAGCTGATGTGGTTTTAGAAGGATGATTGAATTGGTGAGGCATCTCGTAGTTTTGTGAGTTGGGAGGTTCTCTGAGAAATGTGATTGGTTGCTGCATTTACATAAGCCGGGGCAGGATCTTACCGAGGGATATTTATTGGAGAACAAGATGCTGTACAAAGAAGGTGCCCAACCCGAGGACTTGAAATATGAGAGTCGTTGGCGCACACAAAAAAACACAATGGGGAAGTTTGTAAGGTTTTGGTGCTTAGAAGAACAGGTATGTCGAAGTATGTGAATGATTGAAGTTTGGTATGGAGTAAGCGTTCAACCAAGCTGTGGGATGTGATTTTATATCTCAATTGTATATTATGACTGTAAAGGCCGCAAAGAAGTTTCATCGGTCAATGATGAAACATGTGCTGAGTTCTCAGTGTAGAGTCAACGGGCGCAGAGTCATTGTCAATAGGCTTTGCGGTTGACTCAGGTATGCTGCAGTGTGATCATAGAAAGCTATGTCCACTTGTGTGACAATTCAACACAAGTTCTCAGTTCACTCTGAAATTGCGCTGGTGCGCGCAGGCCAAACCTGTCTTGATTTATCGCGCTTAACCACAAACCAACAAAGCATTAGCGTCAGGCCAATAAAGTGCGCGGTCGGTCTATAGATACACCGTCTTTCAATGATAAATATACCACGTGGTGTGGGTATTCCAGATACCGAAAGCCCAATGTAGCATGTTTGAGCGGATTGATTCGACGTTGGACCCGTGGTCTCGACTCAGTTGTGCATTGGTAAATTACTCATGCATAAGCTAATTTGCTACGGCACGCAGTGATGCTACAGCATGGTCACACAAACAATCGACAAGTCATCTCACAGTGAGACAAAGAAGTTAAGGTAGTATCAAAGAACACGGCTTACGTGGGGCTTCCGCCACTTTCCCTTGAAAACCCCCGTGAGCTTCGCGCGCTCCTCCCTGGGTTACACTTCACAAAACCTCCCCATTCCATAAAATGGGTTTCGATGCTGGCAACTTGTCAAGATCTCAGATCTTTGAAAAAGCTAGGGGCGTCTATTGTCGGTACCCTACGAACTAAAGAGCTTCGACTCAGTGTTAATTCAACTTGCATGTCGCCTTCGTGCTACGCACTTCTTGGATCATTATATCGACTACGTATCCCACTCGGCAGTGTCCTAGATCACAGCTAGCTTACGATCGTAAATCGAGATGCAGGAATCATGCATGAATTAGAACCAGATCCACAATAAACACAGTAACATGGGAATAAATGACATAATACAGTTGTGGTCAAGAAGGATAATGATGGTGAAGCCCCATATCTACGATCATCGAGTAATAGACACCTCAGAATATGGCAACTCGAATAAGTGAAACCATTTTGTGCTGAGGCAATTCAAAACGAACAGAAATTTCTAGGCGTGGCATCAATGACGAATAAATTGAACGAAACAGGCCAATATAAAGTCTGCTCGTTAGGTGGAGGATGGGTTTGTAGGCCCCCGTCGGCTCTTCCGCTTCTTCCACCACCAGTAGATCCCAGCCGTCCATCCATATCGTCTTCTAAGCTTGGCGTCTACTTTCCTTAAATCGGCTTCAACCTTCTCATTCCCGTACACCTCATATCCGACCCTTGGAGAGAAACCTCGTTCTCTTAGAATGTCCTTGGTAAGCGCCATCAATTCTGCAAGTAACAGAAGTCTCGTGCCCTCGTCTTCTCCAATCGCGTAGCCGGAAATTGCCTCCGCTTCGGGAACGGGACGTACACCGTGTTCTCCGTAGAACTGTCGCAAACCTTTAAGGATGGCGATTTCGCGGTTGTGATTGAGTGATGTAGTGGTCTTTCGTAAGAAATGGTGATATCTAGAAGGATCGCCGTAATCTGTCATAAGGAAATGGATATCCTCCCAATAGGCCTCTTTGACGTTCTTACTGAGAGCCTTAAGAAGATCAACGAGAAAATTTAGGTCGTTCAACGTATCCCTTCTCAACAGCGGCTCGTGGGTTTCTCCGATCTTGCTGTCCTCCAGAATACTGTACAGGTGCTCAAGATAGCACTTGTCAGCTTCTTGCTCGGCGTACGATAGCGATACCATAGCGTCGCGATGGTGATAAAGATAAGCGTAGAAGATCGATATATGTTCTGCGGAGTTGGCACGGACGACGATTCAATAGCTAGTTCGTGATATTGGAGGTAGTCGGGCGTTTCGTTTGGTGATAGTGAGAATCAGAGTAGTAAAGGAAAAACATTTAGAGTTGTGTGTATGAAGAAAGCGGAGTCCTGGAAGCTGCTAAATTCTACCTACTTATACACAGTGACATTTAAGCACTCAACGTATCTTCGCTTGTAAGTATAAATCATGGAAATTAAAGTAGTGTGATTTGTACCACATTGCATGCATGCAACATAGCTCTGATACTACCCCGCTGGCCAACCAGAACAACAAGCATTGTTTTTTTTTATCTAAAAGCTCAAAACTATTGGTGGGCCCATGACTTGGATTCTCATATGTATCGGGTCGCGTAAATGCGCAGGATTAGATTGGCTTGAAAGTGGTGGATTATTCTGCCACTGCTGAGTGCTGTATTTGGAAAACGTCGATCCCCTTCGAAAGGCGGCCAATAATGTACGAGCATACTCGACTCATGACATCTTACTTTTTCCTATCATTTTTTCAATAGTTCACCTCACCGGCAGTATCTCCCAATCACTTTCTTATTTAATTCATAGAGTTCTTTATAGTATAAAAACAGAACTGCATGCTGCTATATATGGTGCAAAATTCATTGAAATTTTCTATGGACTAAAGCAACGCACAAAGAAAGAGGTTCCCCTGTACAGACCAGCTGGAAAGGTAAATGAGAAATGGCGCAATAGTATTCGCAGATGAAAAATTCAGAGACAGGAATCCAGTTTGCGATCAAATGAATGTAATTATGAACGACCACATTCAGATTGGGAGTCGGGCAGTTGAAGAACGAACACGAGAGTTCAATTTGGAACTCTATTTTCCGCAACGATATCTGCATCACCCCATACAAGGATCTTCAATTTCTCCCAATCTTCACCACTTACTTCCTCCAGCACGAAATGAATCGTTCGAACACAGCATTGGAGCAAAGCCATCGCTCTGAATCCGGCCTTATTGTTGCGATCTGTTGCTATTGCCGCTTTCGTAAGCATATGAAGGTCGGGAGCACCGCGATCTTTGTAGAATCCGAGCAGCAGATTCAGGAAAAACAGTGAGCGCCAATAGGGGTTGTTCGTAGCTTGTTCTACTGTCGCAGGACGTCCTTCGTCTGGCAGTTTCCAGAATGCCTTGATCGAGACTTTCAGTTGCCGGATGTCATCGAGGATCTGTTGAAGACTGGTTATCTGGTCGGCCTCGAGGAAATTGTATTTCACTCCCGAGCGAGAGTATTGCGCTGCAGCGAGAGTGTTGAACAAAGCCTGGAGAAACTGAAAGTGTTTGATCAATTCTTGTCCTTCTTTGACAGCCTCATCATTGATAGGCTTAGGGATTCGTCCGGGGTCCATCGCGGTCCAGGATCGAGATCAATGCGTCCTCGCAGTACTCCTCGCGGATTTGTGGTGTTATTAAGTAAGAACTGGTAACAAAAACGAGAGAGATTTTTGGAGAGAACTTAGTCGAGGTTGTGTTTACAATAAGGAGATGATTGTGGAAATGGTAGTGGCAGGTAAGAATGTCACATCTGCCTCTTTAAGTACATGCGGATTTTGTTGTGATTCACCATCTAGATTGACTGTTTATTCTGATGAATCAGCTAGTTGAAATGACTACGTAGGAAGACTGTACGACCTTTGTCATTGCCTCGTTAGAGGAATGGCTCTTGACAATAATGCCAGGTCTCTTACTCCCGAGTCTCGTCACCCTCGTCACGTTATGACATTACCTCTTTTACCCAGCAGCCTGAACCGACAGTCTCCATTGGCGCATTTGATTTGGACAAGTGCGTTTCAGTTCCTCTTCTTTCACAGCATAATCAATGTCAACAACTATTTCCTGATATATCCTCTTGTGTTTTTCATGCTACCCAGTACAAATAGTAAGATTCGTCACCGTGATACGCAGATTCCTTAAGCTCAGCCGAGCTCTCATTTGTATCTCTTAGTAGAAGATTCCGTTAGCTGTCATTGGACAAGGAGACTCCGAGGTAGAGAAGGCTATCCCAGCTAATTGCAAGATACGCTATGTGGATGACTCAACGGAAGATAAGTTCGTTCGTGTATGCGACGGCTGGGAAGAGTCATTAGAGCGCCGGGATTGTATATGAGTCGAGAAAAACGTGGAGGGGACATGCAACGGTCCGTGGCCGCGCGTGATATCCTACGGCAGGACATAGAGTCACGAAGTTTGTTTATGGGGGGATAAGGAGGTTTTGCTGGTATGGCAAGCAATCCATGACTTCGACTTGGAACGGCAAGTTAGCTTGTGATCGGCGGCCGGTACATGCCTCGTGCCCTCCTTAAACATGGTGGGTGAAATAGTGTATATAAGTGGGATTGATTGACGCTATAGATGGGCTGACAAGTCGCAAAACATTAGTTAGCCTGAAGACCCATTAAAGAAGTGAGGACGTAGCAGCAGAGGGAGGAGCCGAGAACGTTAAGTGCCTGGCTGGGGTACAAGGACGCAGAAGGGCAATACGAATGCGCAGCAGCGAAGAGGAATCATGTTTGGAAGACGTCAAGGAAGAGAGAAATACACACGATGGTAAGGATCACTCTGATGAGCACGAATATTGAATTTGAGGCTGGGTATAAATATACATAATACACTCTATCAGCGAGTGTAGGTCATATCCTACACCGCAGACAAGCGTTCTGCCTCCAATGAATGTGTACGCCCAATGCGACACCAATAACTCCAAATCTGCAAGGAGCAAGGGGAGGGTGATTCAACGCATTAGAGTAGAATGACCAACGCGGGGCATCAGCAAAAAGGCCTCCCCTCTCGTGTTTTCGACGTTACAGACAGCGTCTGGCTGCCCATGGAGGCCCGAGCCGTTGCCATAGCTTGGTCCTAAAAAGCGATGTTTGACGAAAGCGCAACCATTCGACATGGTCGTCGAGTGTCAAAATCTTGATGGAATGCATGCGTCCCTATCATATGGTGATCAGCTCAGACAAGACCCTGTGCTGCCAAAAGCTTGTAGATAGATTCCGGCATGACGTTGCCCTCAGAATCTTCGACCTGCACAACACCATCTTCTACCTTTGCTTCCTTCTTCTTATCGCGCTGGATTTTATTCCACAACGCCTGCGCCTCTTCGATGCTCGTGATTTCCCGGAAGAGTGAAGTGTTCGTGATACCCAGACACTTCAGACCGTAGATGTGGCGAGGTTCGTTGAAGTGTTTGTCAAAGGCACGGCGACCCATGTACACGTAGTTCCCGCAGATACCGCATGGGAATTCGACACCCAATCCGTGAAGTTTGTAAAGCCAAAATGGAATGGGCTTGCCGTCCCATGCAAGCGGGAGTTTGAGCGGGTTATAAATCTTATCTTCACCGTCTTCTTCTTCCTCGTCGTTCGCACCGGCCGCGGTCTCGGGTGTTTCTGAGTAAAGTTGCTCCAACTCTTGTTGGCGTTCGCGGTCCGTCATTCCCTGTTTGCGCTCCACGTTAACCTTGGTGTCACTGCGCTGGGTCTGCATGGCAGCTGCAAGTTTTCGGATCCTGAACTCCTGCTCAGCAACGGCTCGCTCCTTGAAGCGTTTCATACTGCCACCGGACTCCTGATTAGAACTGGAAGATGTAGGAGCCGCGCTTTGTTCCACCGCCTTCTTGTGTTTCTTCCCCGCGAGATGCGCTTCGTACACGGTTTCCTTGCTGAAGCCGCGTTTGCAAGCGGAGCACCAGATACCCTCACTCGGTGGAGCTTCGCCTTCCACCGGCGCAGTTTGTGCCGCATTCTTCTCCCATCCAGGGAGTTCATCCTTGGACCACAGATCGTCGAATTCGGCGTCGAAGGTGGTAAACAGTTTATCGAGATTCTCGAGCGGCTTGGTGCGACGCATGAAGCTCTCCAGGTATTCGCTGAGCGCTTTCAAGTAACTGAAGAAAGCCTCCGACATCTTTTGGCCGCGCGGAATGTTATTCTCTGGTGGCGCAAAGCTGTCGAACACGTCGAGGTACTGCAGATACGTCAGGCGACGGCCATGCTGATGAATGGGAAGGTTCAAGTACTGCTTGTGCAGCATGGTCAGATCAAAGAAGCGACCAAAACCCTCCTCACCAGTGAACAAGGCGTCAATGGCCGCCAAAGAGCGAGCCTGATCCTCGGGCGTGCGCCTCTTGTATGCCTTTTCTAGATTCTCTACGGGTTCGTTGGGATAGCGGCGGTGGAAGTCTTTGATAGACGCGACCTCCTTCAGGAAGTTCTCCATCGGATCGCCCTGGGTCAAATTGCGCACTTCATCCTCCTTGACGCCATTGGGATCTTGGTAGATCTTGAGAAGCCGACTGGACTGAGCTTCGATCTGCTCCAGGAAGCGCGCGATGTCGTGATCTCGTGCAAGTCGATCGCGGATCTAGTAACACCATGTAAGCAACCAAAGTCACATCCGGAAGTGACTCACACGTTTGTTGAAGGTCCGTATACTTACGTGTGGAGGATCTTCGAGGAGCCGGTCGGCGATGGCATCCTCGAGGCGCTCAAGATCCTCGTGGATCTGGCGCTGGTCTTCGAGTAGCATTATCGCGACAACCTATCAAAGAATGAGTCAAGGGATTATGGGCAGACGAGAGGTTGAATGCGAACCTTTGCGGCGTGGAGGCGTTGAGAGAGCTGGAGGTGCGGCGGATCGACATCTGGAACATTTGACGTCTAGGATCACGTGCATCGGCGCTAGGGCTGGATGTTTCTCCGCTCCGACGCCAAGCTATCAGCCTGGGGAGAGCTCCACCAAAACTTTCTGGCGATCATCTCAACTTCACCTCACCACCGTCACCTGTCGCAAACCGACCTCGCTCCCACCACCAACGAACTCCACCTTTCAATCACTTACCCGGAAATCGATTCATCATGGCGGACGGTATCGATCGTAATGCCGACGACAAGATGGAGTTTGCTACCTCCAAAGAGGTCACAGTGGCTCCCACCTTCGAAGCAATGCATTTGAAGGAGAACCTCTTGCGCGGCATCTACGCGTACGGCTACGAATCACCTTCTGCCGTTCAGTCACGCGCGATTGTTCAAGTTTGCAAGGGACGCGACACCATCGCTCAGGCGCAGTCCGGAACAGGAAAGACGGCAACCTTCTCGATTTCTATTCTCCAGGTCATCGATACGGCTGTGCGCGAGACACAGGCCCTCGTTTTGTCCCCCACGCGCGAACTCGCGACTCAAATTCAGTCCGTCATCATGGGTCTGGGCGACTACATGAATGTGCAATGCCACGCATGTATCGGAGGCACAAACGTCGGCGAGGACATCCGCAAGCTCGACTACGGTCAGCATGTTGTGTCCGGCACGCCCGGTCGTGTAGCTGATATGATTCGTCGTCGAAACTTACGCACGCGCAATATCAAGATGCTGGTTCTGGATGAGGCAGATGAGCTGCTCAACCGCGGTTTCCGTGAACAGATCTACGACGTGTACCGCTACTTGCCTCCCGCGACTCAAGTCGTTGTTGTCTCCGCCACGCTACCATACGACGTTTTGGAAATGACGACTAAATTTATGACTGACCCAGTGCGCATTCTCGTCAAGCGTGACGAACTGACATTGGAGGGCCTCAAACAGTACTTCATCGCCATCGAAAAAGAGGAGTGGAAGTTCGACACCCTATGCGACTTGTATGACACGCTCACCATTACACAAGCTGTCATTTTCTGCAACACGCGCCGCAAGGTTGACTGGCTTACGGACAAGATGCGCGAGGCCAACTTCACCGTGTCTTCTATGCACGGAGATATGCCGCAACGCGAGCGAGACAGCATTATGCAGGACTTCCGCCAGGCCAACTCTCGCGTGCTTATTTCCACAGACGTGTGGGCGCGTGGAATCGACGTCCAACAGGTATCGCTGGTCATCAACTACGATCTCCCGTCCAACCGTGAGAACTACATCCACAGGATCGGTCGCAGCGGTCGGTTTGGACGCAAGGGCGTTGCTATCAACTTCGTCACCCAGGAGGACGTCCGCATCTTGCGCGATATCGAGTGTATGTTTGCCCACTTCCCTACCGCGAACGATCTTTGCTGACCATCTCCAGTGTACTACTCTACCCAGATCGATGAGATGCCCATGAACGTAGCAGATTTGCTTGCGTAAAGGGTCTGATTGGATTGTGTCTTGAACATGTATGCGTAACTTGATGATATCATGGCGTTTGTCCGTCATTCTCCCTGCGAAGGAACGAGGCTTCGAGAATAATTTAGTGCGGAGGAAAAGGGCTCTTCAGCCATTCAGTGAGTGCTGATATAATTTCTGAGCCATCGAGGCAGTGGCTGATCCGCGAGGCTGCAACAGTACCAAATTGAATATACTGGCGTGGTTTTCCAATACCACGACCACGAGCATTCGACCGCCATCCCTCTTGTTCTCTCACGGAAATATTGCTTCACGTGTGACCTAATGTTCATTCCAGGATTCTGCTATATGGCAGTATACACCGGGCGGGTTGCCTCGTCTCTTGCTCAGTGTACAGGTTCATGATTATTGACGCAGACAAGCTGAGGAAATTAATTATATCTGTCGTGACACCCCATGGTGTCTGACTATGCGCATTTGCGTCTGGGCTATACTTGCTTGCGTCTCTCACTATTTTCTAATCCGGACTATCTGATAGGCAAGTTGTGGATGGCATACAAAGCCTTGGCGACTATTGAAATCGAATAGCTAAATTGGTGAACATCAACGCCGTTGGTATCCCGTCTCTAAAAATCCGTTGAAGCTAGATGCTTGTCGTGCCTCACTCAAATTGTGCCTCTTTACCTCATCCTGTAGTATCATGTTCTGGAGCTTGTGTTTTCATTCCCTATTCGTGTCAAAGGTTTCTAGTTCACCACTTATCCGTAAACCTAGATTAAAGGTCACGGGGCTCTCAACTACAATACATAGGTAATATATCCTGACATTCTATCTACAGTGACGTGCCGCAGAATGGATAGCCAGATTGAAGATGCCTCTGTATCTTAGTTTATACTCCCGCTTCTTGATATCTAGGCAAACCCCGGGAAAGGCGCTCAAACAGAGGCCGCATGCAATTGAGACTGCGGCATCTCTGGGGGGTCTAATGCCGCATGTAATAATCAAGTACCAAAATCTTGCAACGCCTTATCTCATGCCCGATCGCTATGCCATCAAATTTGCGGGAAGTTCCACTTTTATGTGCTGGACCATGTGATATTTCAGCTGTGTATCGACCCGATTCTTGATTCTTCCGGTTAGCATTTGTTACATTCCGACATCCATCGATTAGTAAGTAACAATCCAAGAGATGTGGAGTTTCAGGACGCCCCCTCTGGTCCATCTTTCGAAGAATCACTCGTAGATGGCTCCGTGGGGACAGACTTGTTGTATGAGGGCTCGTTCCTGCTGGATTCGGCCGTGGAAGGGTCTGCAGTGGTCGATTCTCGTCCGTAGACGTGTTTGGTTCCAAGATAATGGCCAAACTTGTTGTGGAGAGCTGCAGTGAAGTGTGGTAATTTGTCTGTCGAATTTTCATGTTCAATCTCCCTGAATTAAATTAGCATAGTGCACCGTATTGGGGTGTACCCTTATTATGAAAGTGTGGGGTAAGTCCTTACAGTAGAAAGATATTGGTAGTATCTGCAGGGAGGCTTTCCGTTTTAACAGCTTCGAAGAAGCTCTCCAAGACAGAACCAGCAGGGGTCAGAGGGCGATACCATGTGTCTGTTTTAGTCACAACGCTGACCCCAATCTTCTTGCCTTCCTTTTCCATCATCCGAATCAGTTCGGACGTGAGGATCTTCCGTGCCATGTCTGGGATGAAGCGAGCTGGGTAGTGGTTGATCAAGTGGTAGTGTAGGGTGACCGTTGTCAACCTCATTTGTCTTTAGCCATTACTTATATTCACTGGAAATTGCAAACGCTTCTGTTAGTGCATTTTTGTGAAAGCTGTGGTGCGAACGCGGCTCAGATTTCTATCATTGTTCGCCAATTGGCAAACAAAGCAAAGTATTCACACTTGCTCGAGGGCCTAGTGAATGGATGCTCTTACTTCTAATGTCTTTGTGGGATAAAATCTTCGTAGTTAATTTTATAGTCACTGGTAGCAACTGTTCTCTAAAACTCATTGTTCGAGTGCCTTGGTGCATATTTTCTATCGCCATGATAAGACTGCCCAAATATGTATATTTGATCTTCTTTTCCAGCAGGAGTAATCGACAGTCTCGGAATGTGTAACTAGGCGTGATCGGAATAACCTTGGCCCGGCACGCCGCACCTCCGTTTGGCTTACCAGCAATTACCTGTGACTAGGCAGCCGCGCACCTCATTTCCAAAAACTCAAATACCTATCGCAACCTACCAAAACACGGTGCGCAAGCCGCTACACTCGCAACCCGATTACAGTGATAATCACGATGATTGCGATTTCAAGGTCCCCATGGCGGGTTACACAGCATATATATGTCTCCAAGTTCTTCCGCCCACAACCCGTTCGGTATACATCGGCATTGGTAGGTAGGAGTGGTCGGTTGTACGGTGGCGGTGAGCCGACCAACTCGACCAACGATGAACTTGCCAAACTACGGTAGCATACCCATCCCCTTAACGGCATGTAACCAGAAACGCGAGCAAGACAACTGACATCGGATATCTACAGCCCGGACATCACGGTATCCGTTATCAAAACCCTTGACAGCCGGAAGAGATTCGACAAATACCTGTCCATCGCAGAGGAAATTGGCAAGTCGGATCGTCTCAGACTTCCCATCGACTTTTGTGACGAGGAATCCACTATCGTGCTTCCTTGGTATCAGGATACGCTATTTGGGTTCGTCGAGAGCCGCAAGGGTAAACCACACAACAATTTCAAAGGAATCCTGAGGCAGGTCATGGAAGCGGTTCAAGAGCTCCATAGCAAGGGATGGGCTCATCTTGGTAAGAAGCGGAAGATCTACTCGCTGGACGATCATATAATGAATTTCGATTATACTGATCAGCGAGTCAATGCAGATATCAAACCACAAAACATCTTTGTTGACCCTGTTATCAGCGATGATGGCCAAAAGACGGTCACCAATGTCGCTCTTGGCGACTTTCACAATGCTGCTAAGATAGGAAATGGAAGCGCCAATTACTACCCCGGTCCCCTTGGGCAGCCTGTCTGGCGAAGTATTGAGATGCATACTGGGCAATTCGTGTGCAGAGCATCCGACATCTATGCTCTAGGCCTATTGGTATGTCTACATTACTTAGTTTGAAACCACCTGTCGGCATCATGCTAACAAACGGGTTATGTAGTTGATATACACTTACGGCGGTCGAAGCAGGATATTTCTTGACGGCATGACTCTACCACAGGTGGAAATCATATGTCACCATCTAATATACTTCGGCCCCGCGATCCCCAAAGATTTACTCGCGCATGTCGAGAATGAGACCTGGCGTAAGCTACTCGAAATAATGTCCGGGGTGGCGGTGAAACAGCTCGAAGCTCGGCCAGAATGCAGCTTCAGCTGTTGGGGGAACGAATTCGGACCAACGTTGAAGGGGTTGATCTCCGAGATGACCAACCTCAATCCTTTGGCTAGGCCTACAATTGAGCAAGTGCTGGCGCATAAATGGTGGGACGTGAAAGACGGGGTATAACATCACTGTTCAGGATGTCTTGAGTGCTTGTATCCGATATGTAAATTACCATCCAACAGTATGAGACGCGGGAATAACTGAGGGTGGAGTTATGATGCACTGCATGGATAAGGAACAGGAACAGTTCACGGACGGAATTCCAATTCTTTCATTGCTATCATGTATCCCTTTCAATATCACGTATACTTGATTGCCAAGAGATCCTCATATTCGCCCCTTCTATACAATCTCTGGTCTTCCGTCAATAAGCCGCCAATGACAACCAATCAGCAAATCATATCCCAAATGAACAGAATTGGAATGACGGATATGTATAGAAGGCACACTTCGCATCTATATAAGGGCGGAGAGTTGTGGCTCCTCAACGTCACTAGGATGGTAGAAGTGTAGTAAGAGTAATAACTAATTAGAAACATCATTTTCCAAAAGATTGAAATTTAAAATAATAAATATATATAGCAGGTATACTTTACATCTATATAAAGGCAGAGATTAATAGCTCCTTAACGTTCCAAGGAAGGTAGAAGTGTAGTAAGAGTGATAACTGATCAGAAAATTATTTCTTAAAATAATCAAATTAAGAATGACAGATATATATAGCAGGTACACGTTGCATCTATATAAGGGTAGAAATTTGTAACTCTTTAATGTCCTTAAGAAGGTAAAAGTGTAGTAAGAGTGACAACTAATTAGAAAATTATTTCGTAAATACATGAACTTAGAACAACAGATAAGTGAAGCAGGAACACATTGTATCTACATAAGGGCGGAGAGTTGTAGCTCCTCAACATCCCCGGGAAGGTGGAAGTGTACTAAGAGATTCAATCCCAGGCGCAACTGCACAATCCATTCAAGCTGGGGCATCTTTGTCATCTGACGATGATGCAGCCTTTTCATCTTCCACTTTTGATGATTCTCCTTTTGACTTCTCATCTTCTGATGATTTTGACTTAGGGTAGAAGTGCCCGGTTTCGATATGTGAGCCAGAACGATCGATGAATTTCACATTATAGTGATCTTCGCTATCATTAGGGCTGGAGTGCAAAGTATTCCTATAGGCTTAGCCGGTGGTTTAAATAGAACTGGTAATGTGGCGTGACTTACATCATGATGGCATTGGCAGTTGCATCAGGAATCTTCTCCTTCGGGGCGCTCCTCAAGCACTCAACGCATTCTTCCGTTTGATCTTTGGTAAAAGGCGTTCGTTTGTAGGTGCTGGTCTCAGTCACCTGACTGACGGCGAATGCACGACCGTTGTTGACGACATGCTTGATAAATTCGGTGTTCAAGATTTTGGGGCCCATGTTGATGGAAGGTGACAACTTGTGGTTGAGTGATAATGTGTTTATGAATGCCACATGAAGTATTGATATAATTGTCAGAGTGTTTGAAAACTAGTGAATGCATCGAAGCGGTAGTGGTAAATGTGAATGACAACAAATGTGAATGGACAGCAGCAAACATCAAAGACGACAAACGCAGAGGGTGACACATGTAAAACACATAAGGAGCGAAATTCTACGATAGTCCGATGATAGGCACATTGAGATGAGAGTTTCGAGGGAGATCCTGGTAGTGGGAAGTGAATTTCACGTCCTCTCCAAGGGAACATAGCGTATGAGCTGGCAGATATAGGTTAGCCCATCGACCCATCCTCGTGTCTGGTTTCTACTCGAGGTTCCGATTATTTCATTATATAGAGCGATGAAACGGGAAATTTCACATGATCAAGGTCGATGACCTATCATTGGCCACTGCATTGGGAGTGAACGGATGATCGGAACAATATATCCCCGACGATTGGTCTAGCTTACGTAGTACCAACATCTTCAACCGAGACTCATCCATCGACACCGGACACAACTTCGCATCCAGGCTTGATAAGTACACAACACAGAACGTCAATCTCGATATCCCGGCTCTCTGAGAAGTGCGCAGGATGTCACCGGCTTTAAGTTTTCGCCGTCATGGCGCTATCGGCACATACGTATCTACGATCAGACGAGGGCTGCGCAGTCTAGATCCGAGAAGTTTATCTACTGTAGCTGGAATTACCGGTCGGCAGTATGTCCCAGGTCACATCTTGCAATCTGGATCAGAACTGCTGCCTTTCACAACTGTCCAAGCAAGGTACATTTCTATCCTTTGTCATCTTTCAAATATCGAAGAATTGCTAATTTACACAGTTGTGAGGGCAATTCCTACATTCTCAAATATATGCCCAACCGGAGATGGTTTGATCATCTCCAGTCCGTCGCAGCAAACTTTGGTCACAGCTCTCGTCTATTAATGCCGGTCGATTCCAATGAACAAGAGTCCGCTGTGATCCTCCCAAAATTTTCGAACTCTTTATCCAGGATCATAGAGAACAATCTGGAATTCCCTGACGGCGTGCGTAGTAAAGTTCTTGTCTCTGTTGCAGAGGCGATTAAAGAAATGCATGACCAAGACTGGCTTCACCTGGGTACGTACCTAAATTAACATATTACATTCGACTATTTTGTTATCTGCCGCATTTTCGGGTAACTGTTTCGCTGATGACGGCCAAAGATATTTGCCCAGACAACGTTCTGATCAACTATTCAAGTGATGGGAACGGCGAAAAGACTGTCAAAAACGTTGCTCTAGGAGCTTTCGAGTGCGCTCACAAGCTAGACGATGGCCTTGCTATGTGTGTACAATATCCCATCGGAGATGTTACTTGGCGAAGCCTCGAAACTCAAACTGGCACATTCATCTCCAAAGCGTCGGATATATATTCCTTTGGACTTCTAGTAAGCGCATCCACCCCTTATTCCCTACCATTCTCAATTGAATTATTCTAATCTCGCATGGGCAGTGTCTCTATACTCTGGGTGCCAAGGACCTCTTGGTCTATGACGATGTTGAAGAGCTCCAAAAGAAGAAATTCACCTTGCAGCAAGAAATTCTCGCTCGCCATCTCGCCCTGTTCGGACCAACCCTTCCTGAGGCACTTATGTCAAGAATCAAAAAAGAGATATGGCACAAGGAGCTCAACGCTGCCGCGACAGCTGCCTCTAAGACGCTTGAAATGAACCCTAAGTGGAGCTTTCGCTACTGGGGTGGCTCATTGGGACCAGAGGCATATGATCTGTTCTCCAGAATGACAAATCTGAATCCATGGGCAAGACCTACCATCGAACAAGTGTTGAAGCATTCGGTTTGGGATGAAGATTGATCAAGTGCTTGGAAATGAATCAATACGATTGAACGAATCCACCTTAGTTCCAAAACGCGAAGGATCCGCACGGCCGCCACCTAGGTTTCCCCAGCTACTACTGATGACATGACTCGGGGCGCCGGCACCGCAAGAATCATGTTGCTTTGGAAAGTTATGGTTGTGGTCATTGTTTCGTATGCGGAGGCCAGAAATCCGTGTGCGCAACCTTGTACACAGTTTCAGACGATTGTACCACCATACAGCACATCTATGTAGCAGATCACTCCACTCTATACAGTAGCAAATGACAGCTCCACTCTATTCAATGACCTGCATTTTTGTCCCTCGATAATTCAATGATTCCTTCCCACCGGAATCTGTGGTTTCGCAGAGATGACCGTGTTACACCACAAAATGCGGGGTCTGCATCACCACTTGTGCTCAACCCCAATATCTGGACGCTGGTAATCCCCCCATACTTCTGACTCGCATCGCTCCGGCAATTATGGTCAGCCCTTTTACATGCCAATGTGACAAGTTAGCAGTTCTGTCAGAGGAGTTGAGAACCAGGTCTGCGGGTCGATCGGCTGGCTTGCTACATCCGCAGTCAGTACCCTATACTACTGTCCACGACAATTATTGGTCACGCCTCACGCGGTTACTGTGTCATCCAACTCCATTACACATTCAATACTATTAGCATGAGCATGAGACACAGTCTCGCATTCGAACGTCATAATTAGGGAACAGACTGGCACAAATTTCTGTATCACCCACGCTCTTATCTGAGGGCATCGGCGGCATGAGCTTTTCAAGTCGTACCATCTACGCACGCACACACACGCGCGCGCGCGCATACACAATCGTGTGCAAACTTCAGTAAATTCATTGCAATTCACTATTGCACTGAATACGTTGATAAGCTGACTGGGCCCCGGAGCTTAGGATTGGCCTCTGCCTGCGTGATAGTGAGCCATGAACGTGCAACTATATCACTGACAACTGTGGCTATGACCACATACATTGCATTATGACTCTTTGGATCAGGCATACTGATCTTCCAATACGTATACTTCTATTTAACCCGTTTCTCCCCGTAACCCGTATCACGGGTGAAGGATGACTACATAGGGGCGGGTGCTTGATGAAAAGTCACTACCGGGACAGATCACAGCCTATCATTCCAGTATGATGGTGGGCAGATCTTTGACCGAACGTTCTGGACACGTTCTCTTCTGAGTCGTCATTGAAATCGCGTCATGTACAACGTGAGAAACGTGGACCTTTCGTAGGCTATGATACTTGTGTAGCGAGAATTGAATCATCATCATCGCTGCCTTCTGCTAAGCTACAGTCTTCTGGTGCACGGTTTACAGGACATACACTTCAGCTCTTTACTTGACTCATATGACCATTATGACTGATCGTTACACCAAGAAGCCCGATTATAGGTATAAATAACCGCACAGAGATCGCGGACGTTTCTCCATTGTGCCCACACATCACTACAGCTGCTTTCTTCAACCTGCACAAATAAATTCCTTTACTCCTCATCGCCTATCATTCTGGTTCACAAACAACCCTTTTACATTACGTCAATCGCAACGGGAACATAGCGAAAATGTTTGAGAGAAAGCCTGAATCCTCGAAAGCCAAGTCATCCGGTGTTCCACAACCGCGTGAGCTCCCTTCGTCAATCCTTGAGTACATCGATCGAATCAAAAAGGGTACAACATCCAAAAGGGCATCCAACTACCGCAAAATAGCAGAAGACAAGCACTATTCTCCTAAAAATAAGCACGATGCTTCCAAAAACGAGCACGATTCTTCTGAAGACAACTCCGACTCTTCCGAAAGCCAGTCCTACACTCCTGAAGACAGTCTTGCACTTGAATACGAGCATGCGGACATGTCGACTCTAGAATATCTCGCTGAACTAAGAAAATTTCTCATGGAAAAGGCCATCCCCCCCATCGACGAAACTGTCGTTGCGAGCCTCACCATCGCCCACAGATCCAGTCCAGTGACATATGATCCCAGAGAGAAGGCCATCTTAGAGAAGTATTTGGCCAATCGCTTGCCAGGATATTTCGACGCCATTCAGCGCTTTTGGGAGGAGTATGGGCTGTTCACTCACATCGATTTGAAAGATATCGTCTTCAGCTTGGAGAACAGTCCGGATGAATATATGCAGCACTTTCCGTACATGCTACTGAATGGATGGGCAATTGTCCTTCTCAACGCCAAGTATAAAAGCCGAGGATTATTCACCCGCTAGTTCCTAGTCTTGCGCTGGTGCAATGTCGGTGTATTGAGCAAAGTTTGGGCTGAACAATTTGAGCACATTCTCTATCATATTTCCCATGAATTGCAAAGATATATGGATATACTGCATGTATCTGCTTCGGCTGTGATACGGCCGTCAAGCAGATGGGCGTATCTTGGGATGTATGTCGTTTTGATGTATCTAGGCAACTGCGGTATGAAAGGTACTTTGCATATCATCAGAGCTTGCTTGTTAGAAATCTAGAGAAATTCCAAGACGAGTAATAGAATAATTTGGCTACTGTGAAATCCTATTTTTCCAAGCATAATACGCTACTACTCATATTCTCCTGCAGTACTGCAGATGTGCAGTAACAAGATAAATGCCGTTTTGTATGCAAACTCCTAATGTTTAGATACTTCCAAATCTACATATAGTATGTCCATCACGCTGTGAGTTCAACATGACGATCATCTTGCGCAACTCTATGCGAGAGTAGCCTCGACACCCAACTCGCTATCTTTGCCCAACTTTGTATTCATTTTTTTTAGACCCTTGTGACCTAGTCATCCTAGTAGGCAATCTCAGTTGAATCACAGTGTGGTCTGATGCATGTGACATTGTTGCTCATCAGCAGTGTTTCCGACTCGCAGTGCCATGCCAGGTGTGACACAGTGATACCACTCTTTGACTCACGTCATACTTTGAGGAATCGAACCGGTCGTACATACAGTCTACCTTCATCACTGCGCTGTCCCACATTTTTCAGGTCAAGAGTCATATCTGAGCAGCGACTCCTATGAATCACTTACCTTGTGTATCATTTCGGCAAATACCAATATGACAAAACCGCATTATCGCGCACACAGTCAGAATCGTGACTATTCTGAAGCTCCAGCATGGGCCACTTGAATGGGTATATATTCTGCTGTCTTGTTTCCCACTCTGTCTTCTTCTTCCTAGTCTTTCTCAACAATCTCTGCATCACAATCTAGCTGTCTGTATAGAAGACTTGTGCAATTCATCTTCATCATTCGATTTTACGCAAATCTGCACGTCGAGAACAGACCAAATCCCCTTCCCAAGTGCCAATAATTGTTGAACGAACCGCTATCTCGCCCAAATCGAAGTCAAAATGGCGGAGTGGATTGGTCGAGGGATAATGAGGACGGCATCGAAATATCTAAAGGCCAAACAAAAGACGGAGGCCCAGCCGCCCGAGTCCGTAGGCGCAGGTGAACGACGCGAGGAAACTCCAGATCAACGCAAGCTGCAAAGAAGCTATGATCAATCAGTTTGGATGGGAGAAGTCAAAAAAGATGAGAAGACTTCAGGTCCACGCAAGTTGCAAAAGAAAGCTGGGTCTGAGGTCGGAAGCAAAAGCAAATTGTCCTCAACACAGAAACCGAAAAGTGACCCAGATGAGATTGTATTTGTATCGAGAAGTGGCGAAACTCAACCTAGAATGATGACAAGAGCCGAAGCAGAAAAAGAAGACAAGTTCTCAGTCCGAAACACGCTGAAAAGAATGTCATCATTTCAGCAAGTACCGTCTCGCCCAAAACAGAATCTGGGTGATGCAGCCCAACAGGCCCCTCACAAAAGAGTAGGCATTCAGCTAAGCCCCCAGGATTTGCCTTCACCCAGTCCCCAGGATTTGCCGCCACTCAATCCCTTCACAACCTCCGCTGAGAAATTCGCAGAGTATCCTGAGGCAACAGGCTCTGTAAACAGTTGGCTTGCAGAACTATCTCATACACTCCATGCGCAATACGGAAGCAAAATGTTCGAGAGAATGATGAAAGAGTTTATCGACCACTTAACCATCGGCACACGGAAACCTCCTCCATGGAGATTCAAGGATTGGATCATCATAAATCGTTTCTATGTCAATATGCGCAAATTCTGGGAAGAAAAAGGTGTGAAGAGAGACTTGGATGAATTGTTTATAGCAATCGGGAGGATGAGAGATGAGGCTCAGGAGGAAGATGAGGCTCAGAAGAAAGATGAGGATCAGGTGGAAGACGATGAACCAGAACATAACAAGTTCGATCTTTACTTGATATATGCTCTACTACACGCGGATACTGCCGAGGCAATAGACAGCAAGGCAGTAAACAGCGAGGCGGCAGACAGCAAGGCAGTAAACAGTGAGGCGGCAGACAGCGAGGCAGTAAACAGCGAAGCGGCAGACAGCGAGGCAGCAGACCGCCCAGACATCAGCTTTATCTGTCAACCAATGTCTGAGGAGGCACTTCTCGAAATAGTGAAGGAATGGCTCCCTTGACATAAGACCCTACGGTGCCACAGTATCATGGGGATCATGGCATGATCGATGGTTATTCTGGGTTACTGGATGATTGTAATGGTAGGTTTTCTGTTTCTTGTACTTTTCTGTCTCATCATGCACCTTCCTTTGACTGCTTTCTCTTTTATCTGTTGTGGAGTAATTTTTAATGGATGAGGTCTTCAGGATCGCGGTCTAATGGCAAGCGATCTCGTTGGCATATGCTTCGGTACACTTTTGTGATCCAAGCATGGGACTATTCGTATTCCTGTAGCTTAGAGTCATCTGTTGTTTTATTTTCTTGTGTTCTACATCATTCTCGGCGGTTGGACTTGTTTTCTTATGTTCTTCCATTATCTATTTTCCATTTGCCCGGTTTTGTCTTAATACTCCGGATCCCTTTCCTTTCTTTCCTTTAATTTTGTACAAAAACCCTCCGATAGCTCAATTAAATTGACGATTGCAACCTTGTATGCAAATCAGAGCCTAAGAATATACATATTCACTTGCGAGGAAAACGAATTTGAGTGCACCAATAAGCCTAGGCGAAGAGAAGATTCACTGGTAGTAGTGCGCACCCGATTCTCCTTAGTATGACCAAAGTTGTAGAAACCAGAATCCCAGCGACTACAGTACGTCCTACGCTTTCTAAGGATTAATGGCCTTCGAAATATACTTTAATTGACTGTGCGAAGCTGATTGTATACCTCAAGATCTTGACTCACTACGTTGTTGCGTTTCATAAATCCATCATAGTGGTCAGGCTGGATAGGTGACTCATACAATCACATAGAAAGTGTAACAACACAGCGCGCCCCAGTACCACAACATGCGCAAATCACTCATACAATCTGAGTTATGACTGTACTGAGGCTTGTTCACGGACCACATGATCTAGTTTATATGCTCACACTTTGTTTTCCACGCCTCGTGCTCTTTATACCTCTGTTATCGAAAAGTTTAAAACACATTCTAGTTCTCCACCTCACGGTTACCAACAATCCTCAAGTGCTTGGTCCGGCAACTTCTGTGAGAATCAGTCTCATATCTTGCTGGAAAAACAATCATCGCACATCTTCTCAACCATAGAATCGAGATGTCATACCCTCACCAAGACCCACATGTCCCAGAGGAGGACCGAGCTACCCAGGAATCATCCCCCCAGAATACTACAGCCACACAGCCAGTGCGGGTCAAGGAACTTAGCGAATACCCCGTCTTCCCGGGTTCGGTATCTGAGTGGATCGATCTCCTTTACACGGAATTTCACGCGCACGACGACAGCCAGAACGTGGAAGAATGGCTACTCAAAAACTACCACAACGGCCAGCTTCCGAACAGAGAACAGCCATTCGCCACAAAAAAAGACATCAAAATGATCAACAGCCTTTACTTGAAGCTCGGAGAATTCTGGAATGCGAAGGGGGTGTACAAAGATTATGCAAAGCTTGAGGAGCATCGGGAACGTATGAGAGTTGAGGAGGCAAAAGGCGGCAGTGATTCTGCAGAATGGACTAACCGCTGTCTGTATACAAATTTGCAGATGGACATTTTGTCTTCAATTCAGAACAACAAATATAAGTTCATGTGCAGACAGCTGACTGAAGGGGAGATCATGAGAGCATCTCAGATGTCCCTGTTGACCAAAAATCGCAGGGACTACGAAACCTAGTACCGGATACTCGGATCGATCAATTTATCACATGCTTGGAGAAAGCTAGGATGTGGCGCAATGTGTGTTTGCATTTTTGCCCTCCATTTTTTTCAAAAGTAGGGCCAAAAAAAAGGGAAACATGTCGAATGTTATTGATTTCTTTTGTCTTATACCTCCCCTCCATGTCAGAATCTCTTCTGTATTTTCAGCCTTTCTCTTGGATGTCATTTCCCTAGAAGTTTCCGTAGTTTTAGAATGCCAAGTTGCTCTCCACACTGACCGGGACACGGGCGATAAAGAGGTATAATTTACTCAACTCTTGAACTAACACTACCGCTACTACCTTATATCTTACAGCCTGTGAATTCGAAATTGACAATGCTAATAACGCCATACCCTCCAGAGAAAAAACGATACTTGCGAGTGACTCTCACCGTCCTATCCTCCCCATCTTCAATGTATACTTCTTCCCCTTCTTTTTCTTACCTTCATCTTCCACGGGCTTTCCTTCCGTCTTGCCACGACCAATTTCTTTACCTCCCGCTTCAACCAATCCGCCGGTAGCGCTGGTGATTGCGGTCACGCCGGCCAATTCCGCTTTTCCGTTCGCACCCGCACCCACATCAACAGAGGAATCAGCCGTGCTGTTGGGAGCAGGCATCCATTGAACACTGATACTTGTGTCCTTTGAGAGTTTCTCATTTTCGAACCATAACTCGAACCGGAGGTCTGCCGGGCCGACGAGCACACGGATTTCGTACGAGATCTGTAGGTAGGGTTTCCCCGACGACCAGAAATGTTTCTTGCGCTGTTCGAATCGCGATGTGGCAAGAGTAGAGAGGTCGGAAGAGATTGCACAAAGAACGTGGGTATCTGCTCACGTGATCAGCATTGGGGCTTGGGAGTCGGACAAACACGGAAAATTGGAGATGCGTACCCTTATTCATTACAATCGGGAGCTTTTCGGCGTCTAGTGAACTCTCTATGACGTCGGTTGCGAAGGCTCGATTGGGATCTCCAGGAGCTAATTTCTTATTGAAGTGATGACTGATAGGTTCGTCAACGATGACCGGATGGCCCTTCTTGACGAACCACGCTATGGCATCCACGAGATACCACTTGCGATCGTGTGGATCTTGATATTGTTCTTTACCAATGTGTTCCGGATTATATTTGTCGAAGCGGACTTTGCAAACTGTGCCGTAGCTTGACCGACAACACCGGGTGCTGAGAACGGACTGGGAGGTGAGGATTTTGCGGACCCGATCACCCACGATGCCTTTACAAACAGCGAGTTGCGGATCAGGGGAGATCCGAAGTGACACATTCTGTGCGTTAGGGAGAGATGAGGATGAGTATGTTTCCCGGAGACGTTGTTGAACGTAAGCGCTATTGCCGAGGCCGCCGCTTAGCACCAGATGGCGTACCTGCTCTCCCGGGTATCTGATATCGAGCTTGAGGAACTGCGTGTCGATGAGTTTGATCAGCTTCTTGATCTGATCGTCGAAGACTCGTTGGAGGTCCTCTCGCCTAAACGTCATTTCTCCCCCTCGAATACCAATGTCGGGGTCCTTGTGGTTGTACGAATATGGCAAACGTGGGACAGCGACAGAGAAGATGGGGGTATCGTCCGGAGCGCCGTACTCGCACTTGACAGCTTGAAAGTCTCTGGACTTTGTCATCTCATAGCCAGCGTTCGTGAAGTCAATGCCGAGAGGCTCTGTTTCATTGGCACGTTCCAGGCGCTCCGATATGGCGTTTTCGAACTCCCAATCTATGGTCGCGGAGCCAATCGCATCACCGAAAACAACATCTAGCTGTTGTAATTGCATATCTTGCTCGTTGGAGAATGGGGATATTCGCAGAACAGAAAGATCGGTCGTGCCACCTCCTGCATCGCAGACGAGTAGGATATCGTTGGGCTTGAAGATGCCAGGCGCTTCAGTAGATATGTGAACAGCCGCTGCTTCAGCTTCGGTGAGTCCGATGGAGACTGTATGGGATGGTATAGATCCAAAGCCAGCTGCAAGGACCAGTTGGCGGAATCTTTCTACCACGGGAATAGTAGGCCATGTCGTAGGTACAGAGAAGATAAATTCGACGCGCGCTTGATCCCAAGTCGTGCCACTCAACTCAAGACCCAATTTGTAGGACAAATAATCATACATCTTCCTTAGATAATCCTCATACCATTTTTCTACCTCCTTCATGCTATGAGGTGCATTCTCCGGGTCTCTGTGCTGTTCTTTGGCCAAATGAATGGGATCCAGATTTGTCTTGAACCACTCTTTGTATTCTTTGTCGATCGCGTTATTTTCTGTGGCAGCTTCCGAGGCGAAGCCCCAAGAGGAGGGTTTCGGGTCATCGTTTGGATAGACAACCACCGTGGGAACCTTGTTCTCGTTGGCTTGCATGCGACCGGGCCATTTTTGTACCCATCGGACTGTCGAACTACCTATAGAAAAATTTGTGTATGCGACTCCCGTGCCTAGAAAATCGATCAGTCACGTGCAGAATGTGATAACGGGTTCTACCCGTCGGATAACCGGTTAACCCGAGGGGACTGGATAGTGAGAGCACTCAAGGAGTGAGTGACAATCACACGTGACATGTAACATGTGACGGACATGCTAAGCCTCTTCGAGACAGGCTTGGCTGAAAAATCGCGGGAGGCCTGAATGATCACAGAACATCAACAAACCACTTACAAGTCATCCCCAGGTCAACGCCAATGACCATATGAGGTCGTTCACCGTCCATGTTCGCGTTTTACTTGTTCCCGCCGTAGTGTTTTGCAGCTGGAACGTCCTTCCCAATGGATATATTGGCTCTTATCCGCTGGAGATGAAGGTCGAGCTGAGAGGCGCAGCGACGTGAAACGAAAACAATCCGGCATTGTACGCTCTTTTGGCCCCCTCCTTGTCACGTCGATCCAGCCTGGCGGTAAACCAATGGGGTCGCGCATGGATATTAATAGGAGTACACGGCGGAAGGCCTGGTTGCCTAACGGATACGTGCGCCAATCCCTCGCGGCAGAACCATTACCTATAGGAGTACTGGATGTGATTGTCGTGAGACAAAGTTCAGCAGGATTCGATTGATCACAGGAACGGGTGCGTTGAATCAATCAAAACCAGCGTGTGTTCCACTATATCATTCTACGACTCGACGTGTGGATGAAAGTGATTTTCTACGCCTTGTGTTCTTGTTGGGGGTATGACTGCATTTGCGCTGTGCCGCAATCGTTCGTTGACGCCTGATCTCCCTTCGGAAGTCTAAAACAAGGCTGATCTGCTGCGAAAACTCTCTTTTGTGCATTCCTCTTACAGCTAATTACCTTCCTCCGCCCCCCATCCTCCGCAAATTGGCCCGACTTGTTCTGATTATCGTTCGGACGTCCTGCCGCACTGTTACGAACCCTTCTGATCTGTTTTGGTCGAAATCAGTATCGTGACTCTTGTCACCACCAACGGCCTATCTGCCGGATCCTATCTCGTTACTCGACATCGTTTCTAGGCCCTGGGTTTCTTCGTTGACTTACCTCCAAAATGTCGAGTCCTATTGCAACACCCGGAACAGATCCCACTGCTTCACCGACGCTAAAGACCCTGGGAACCACGATAGTTCCAGCAAGATCGTCGACACCAGAAGGCACAGTGGTTTTTTTCCAAATACCAGATGTCACCACTAGAGTTTCATACAATGCCATTCCTGCCCCAACTGCGCCCACAATACCTGCCTCTGGTGAGCTCAGTGATGCTACACCACTCAAAGAAATATACGGTTTTTTCAATTGGAATTCCAGCAACAAGACGGCGCCGCTTCTATGGCTTCCAGCGCCAAACGACTGGCGAGCGGCAAAAGTTGTATCATCCATGGAGCTTCCGTGGCAGACCAGCGCAGAGACTTCGGACACAAAGACTGCAGCGCCCACCTCTACCCAAAATTCGACTCCAACATCGCAGTCGACTAAGGTGAGCACACCTGTCTCTACCTCGGTGGCAGCTTCACCGCATTTCAAACCCGTAGTTGCCAAACCTGGTCTCTCGAATGGAGCTATCGTTGGCATAGCGATTGGAAGTTTCATCGGAGGGGCTCTTATTGCAGCGCTGTTATTCTGGATCATGGCGAAGAAAAAGAAACCGTCCAAAACGTCCGACTCGGAAGCGAGTACAGTACACGTACCTCTGGTTGCGCGCGAAAAGATGGTCGACGCCAAAACCATCTCTATCTCGAGTTCAAGCCCTATTCTGTACCATACAAATGAAAGCGTTGGGGCTCAACCTCTCGAAGACAAGGCAATATCCGGAGAAATCTCCAAAATCAGCAATCTCATCAAGAACCACGTGCAGAGCTATTACCACACCAAGACCGTGAGTGCGGGGATGATCGATTATGACGACCTTTCTGCCCTTGGACCTGGATTGCCGGTGTCTGTTGGAACGTTGGGTACTTTGCTTGGGAGCGCGGCTACAAGAGAGATCGCGCTGCGATTTTGTATTGCATGGGTAGTTACATCGCGCATTCAGCTTCATGAATCGTCGCACAGATCATTCCTACCCTTGGAAATCTCAGAATGTTTACAATCCATGTCTCCGCAAAACTGGGACTCAAAAGGTATGTTCGAGAGCCTGGGCGCAATGCTTGCGACTTCCCACTGACCGCCACCCTTCAAACAGTCCATGCCTCACTGCTCGCCAAATGGCGCGTCATCACGTCCGAACTACTCCAGTCCGCCTACGTCCGCAATGCATTTTCTCTCGACGACAGTCGCATCCACAACATCCAGGGCGCGGTGGGCGTGCTCGATAACGTGCTGCGTCCGTACATCGACACGCGCATGGATAACGGACAGCGGAGCCGCAACCTCGAGGAGATCCTGAAACGCGCCGCGCAGTTCGCATTCACGCTGTTTTCGCAGCGCAGCGAATGGGATTTCGACTGGCAAATCGAAGAGCAGAACGCATCATCTGAAGGCATTTGCGTGTTTCCCGCGCTGGTGCAGGTCTTGGATGAACACGGCGAGGTTCTGAAGCCCGCGAGGCCGTTTAGCGAGGCTGTTGTGAGACGGCTGGACGAGTGATTGGAAACAGGGCTAGTGTGAAGTTTCTCTTAATGAATAAACGAGTAGTTACTATTTTTTGGTCCGACATTTTTCTGGGTCTCGAAGGTCTTGGTATTGTTCTCCGTGTGTTGGGTGGGGTGGTTCGATCTTAGCAGTGGCATTATCGCCATGCTTCAACTAACTCAACGGAGCGAAAAAAGTGGAGACCAACAAACCCGTGCGATAAGAATTCTTGAAATTGACAAGCGTAGGATCTCATAGAACATAGCAATGTAGGGCCAGTATGAATGACTCGAGAGCTTATGATGTATTGAGGTTCTGGTGTTTGTTGTCTTCTTGGTGCGCCTGACTTGCACACGCACCACACTCTGTCTAATTGCTCTCCATCGATCACCATGATGCAATGTACTCACATTGGCGAACGTGTCAGTGATCAAGTGCAGGAAATTGGTTACTGAATATGGCAGAACATGCTCCAGATGTGAGCTATTCCAGCACGATTATGCCTTGCTTACAAGACACTCATGCTTTAAATACACGTGTCGTGACTGGACCCAGCCGTAAGGTGTACGACTCTACGCTGGCTCTACATAGACAATGTGGCAATGCCAACAGTAAGCGTTCCCGCCCCCATCTCTACGGGGTTTTAGCCAACGCGTTCAAAGACAGAGTCCTCTGATTGGTGAAACATGTCCGATGCCCTCGCGTAGCACACACGTTGTGCGGCGTCCTCTTCAGGGGTGATCATCGCTCCATCGCCCCCCGTAACCGTATTAACCTTTCCCCACTCCGCGTGGTACCTGGGTATCATCCACCTCAAACTCACAGCCACGAGCCAAACAGTACAAGTCTTGCTGTTTCAAACACCCACAAACATCCAAAGCATAAACAGCGGCGAGCCAAGCGTCACGATTCAGGCTCCGATCGAACGGCAGGCCGTCTAAAAGTTATCGACTGTGACCCGGCATTCATCTGCGAACGCACGCACTCCCTTCCTCCCGTGTTTCGTCTTCTATTTTTATGGTTGTGATCGCCGGCCGACAATAGCGACCTCGTCTTTTCTTGACTTCTTTTCCACTTCACACGTCAATTCCACAACGACATCGAAATGATGCCAGGCGCGAACCTGTATCTCCCCAACAGCCTCCACAAATCACCAACACCGTCTGCGCAACACGCTAAAACGTCAGACCCGGGTACTAAATACTTCGATCGGAGACCGAAAAGCAAGAGCACTGACTCCGAACGTCCTTCAATAGCGCTCTCCAGAGTCTCTTCAGAGAATGTCGTCCATGTCTTCTCATCCTTACCCATAGTATTCGACTTCGCCAACTTCGCCTTAAGTCAAGACAAGAAACTCTCGGGAGACTGCCAAACATTCGTCAACTTGCTCCAGCGCGTGCGCCAAGACGTCAACGAAGTATCGCGACTGTACGGAACACGCGCAATAACAGACTACCTCCAATCTTGGCCGGACAAAAAAGTCTGGATTGACAACATCCTGCTGGACATCCAGCGCGCGCTCAACGACATCGGTGCGCAGATCCAGGCCGTGCGGGTATCCGGAGATGACGGAGGCGCTGCCAGCCTAAAACGAAAATTCGACTGGGTGCTGTCCCACCATAAGAAGCTCTTAGGCAAGCAACAGTACCTTACTACCTGTCACCAGAGCCTCATGGCGGCCGTACAAGTCATGAATGCTGCTGAGATGAGCTACACCGGGGTCGATCGATATGGTAGCGAGACGTTGAGAGGCCCACATGTAAGGCAGAAGCTACGATTGACCTTGAAGAACAATTCGCTGCCAAGCATTACGGTATCGGAAGTCGAGGGGAGTCGTGTGGAAGGTATGTCAAGCGCCAGGTGTGAACGTATCACGATAAGCTAATCGTGATGCAGTGCCTGCGGAGAACCTACCCATCGAACTACCGGGCAGCACACCGGATGATATGCCGGCTCCTGATGATATGGATCTTTATGCGCCGCCACCTGGGAAAGATCTGTTTGCAGTGCCCCCCGCAAGACAGAGATCGCTTTCTACGAGCGCAGTACCCACGCCGCCTGAAGTTATCGAGCAACCTATTGTTTCTGTCCCTACTAAAGAGAAGCCCGCTCAAGTGTATATCGCGTATAACCCGAGATATTCATTATTGCCACCCAGGTCGCAAACCGTCGACGTTCTTAAGGCACCGGATGCGGGGGAAGAAAAAGATGAAGCTCCGCCTGTGGAACTTCCCGCGATAAGCCCAGAGATTGTGGCTTCACCTACCGAAGAGTCAAATATTACTTCTCAAGTCGCTACTTTACACGAAAAACCCGAGATTGTGCCACCCATGATCAGTCCACTTGTAGCCAGCCCTCCGCCAGTGGAACCGCCAAAGAAGACCTCAATATTCAATATGATGTCTTCTCCCAAGCAAGCAGGGTTAGAGATAACACCATGGCCTGCTCGCTCCTCGTCGAAAGCGCCTCCGAAAGCACCTCCGCAACGCAAGACCTTTGACAGGATAAAACCATTGCCTTTGTACACGCGATCACGATCTTCGGACGCCGTCGGTAGACCAAGGGCACTGACTGAGCAATTACAAAGCCTCGAAGACAGAGCACGTGCATCATTTGATTCCAAGCCGAAACCCATGCCTGTCGTGGAAGAGAAGCCTGCGAATGTTTATAACACTGCGGCTTCTGTCCGTGTTTCGACAGTGTCTCCATTAAACGGTCCAAAACTAAAAGAGGTCAGCGTGAGAAAGCCGCCGCTCAAAAGTAACTCTCTGCCTATGGAGCTTCCGGACCTATACAGTACTGGATCGCTGATGGACGAACTCTCTCACTGGGTTCTTCCGCCCGGAGCACGCACGAGCGTCCACAGTCTAGAAACGAGCGAGTCTTTAGACATGTCGACACCCGCCACTTCGGTCGGCGGCTCTCCGGTCATCAATGAACCTAGCGATACTAAAGATACTGAAGCTACTGTAACACTATCACCGACAGCTGTCGCCCCCTCTGAGGCTCTGAAATCACCTTCCGGGTACAGTTTATTCCCATCGACACCAACAACGCCAGGCTTACCTTCAAGACCTCCGCCGCCACTTCCGAAGGATCTTCTTCCGCGTATTGAAAAACCAAAGACTATAGTCACCAACAAACACAGCGCTCCGCAGAATGCGAGCAGGCCACTTTCACCGGAGGGACCCGCACCTACACTACCCCCTCGACCCAGGGTAGAAATAACAGAACCTGAGGACAACAAAACCGTCGCCAACCCACCAGCTCCAGAAGAAACTCCTCCAGCGTTACCCCCTCGTCCCTCTCGAAGCCACTCACCAGTAGCACCCGACCCACCAACAGCACCGCCATCCGGGCCCGTCCCGTCCCTCCCTCTCAGAATCCCCACCCCCCAAGCCTCCTCGTCCTCCCTTTCCAACGACGCCGAATCATCGCCCCTCAAACGCGGCCCCCAATCCCGACAAGGCTCGCGAGCCCCCTCAAAGACGCGCCAACCAACCGAAGACACCCCATCATCCACCTCGCCGTCCACAACAACCACGCCACACCACCACCCGCAACTCTCTACCGAAAAAGCCCTCCCCATCCCACCCGAACTCCGCACCCTCACCGAACAGCTAAAAAGCTCCTCCAAACCCGCCTCGCCGATCCCAAACGCTTCAGCGTCATCAACGCCCACGGACCCCCTCCGCTCCCGCTCAAAAGTAGACGTGACTATGGAAGCGCATCCTGGGACCCTCGTTGTCCAGGTCCCCTCGTTCCCTGTTGAAGCCGATGATATTGTCCCCAGTGCGCTTTCACCGCCCACGTCGGTGCAGATGGAGTTGCCGCCGATCGAGACCTCGTCGCATGTGCATGCGGAGACCGGGTGCGTGAGGCGCGGGACGAAGTGTGAGTCGAGGGTTACGGCGCAGACGAAGAGGAGGCAGGCGCATGCGAGACGGATGCAGGCTGCTGCTGCTGAGGATTAAGGGGGTGTTGGGTTGAGTGTGCGAGGCTGCGAGAGAAAGGGATTGGATTGGATGGGGGATGAGGTGAGATGGTTGAGATGTTGGCGTGCGGCGTGGGTAGGTTGGAGATGAGGGGTTTTGTGGAGGGGAGTGACGGGATGCTGTTTGTTTGTATTATTATTATTGTTCTATGGTGATACGGGAATACGAATCGATATGATCAATTTTAAGGTATTTATGCGTCGTGGTGTGGTTGTGCGATGGTCCTTTGCGGACTCGCTCGTCTTGAATGTATTGTTTTTTTTTTCGATCGGCATACGAGGACAACCACATCTGGAGAAGTACATCGTATTGCGCAGTGCGTATCTCAGATCCACTGGTCGATATGATATTTCAGCCTGCTGTCCCTATCCATATATATCTACATCGTCGTATAGGCACCACAATCGCCCCCCACTATCTCTCCCAGAAACCCAAGCCTCCAGTGCCATCATCTATCTACACGAGTCTCCAATACTCGCGCGCATGTCACCGTACCAGGGTGCAACATGTGGCAATGTACGGAGTCCGACGACACCCTCTAAAAGCAAAAGCCTCCGACCTCACCAACACCCAAGCGAGGCCTCTAGAAGCTGATTGGCGGGAACCTCTACACAATAATCTAAACGGGGGCTAACTAAGCAGGCTGAAACATCCAACACAACCCTTTTTCCGTCAGCACGATACTGCAAACCATCAAGTGGGAGAAATGATTCCATATTGCGATTGTATTCTCCTAGGCTGACGCCATTTCCTGTCAGGTTGTGGAGAATAGATCGATAGAGTACTTACAGGGTGGCTCTTCACCCGCCAATCATCACGAGTTTGAGGCCTCGGAGAATTAGTACACTCAGCGTCGAAATAGTTTGTTATTGAGTCGTTCGACGCTTGTAATTAGCATCGACATCAATACCCATGGACTTGGACTTCTCCAGCGCGGCATCACCCGTCCGAGTCAGAGCACTGGACGCGAAGCAAAAAGCAGTCATGCCATACGGCTCAGTAAGCACTCTCGAACATCGCCCTTATACCTCACACGACGAAGCCCCGATACCCGTTCATGCTTGCGCTGAAGTCGGCAATGGGAATGTTATCAATACGGTCAGTGCGCGAATATGGTATCGCAAATCTCCACATACCACGCGACATTTGCGTGTGCGACATGGAGCTGAAAGGCGCCGCCCAGTGACCACTATATCGACCGCAATCCGAGCGAGGCTAGCGAAGTAGCTTGGTTAGGGGGCCGGGAGGATTCCCTACATAGAACAACGTCACCCGGCGTTATCTTTCATGGCCTTTTTCTCTCTTGCTTTTCGCCTGTCGAGTCGCGGCCTCACTCTTTTGTCGGATAAAGCCCACGTAGGCTAGCTACCTGGCGTAGTGCGGTGACTTTTGTATACTGTTTGCTGGCCATGGCTATGTTTCGTGGACGACCCACTACATTCCTTTCGTTTCTTCAATCTTGCTTTCTTATATTTATTATTATTGCTGTTATCGTGCCGGAGGTCGCGGGGTCCGATATCACGACATACGTGGATGGGAACTGCCAAACTAGCTTCAATAACCTGGACGTTGTGAATGGGTACCCCGACGGCGTCTGTACGAAACTCCCACTCTCACCGAATGGTACCCCCCAGAGTTTCCAGGTCGTGAAATTGGATCCGGAATGCGCCGGTACGCACCACTCTCACCCGCAAAAGCACCAACCGCATAGACTAACTCTATATCAAAGTCACCATCTACGGCGCAAACGAAAGCCCCCTAACATGTTCCTCCTCGCTCAAAATCGTCGCAGAACTAGGAGCATGCTACAACGCAACATGGCAGTACTACTCAGTCGACGGCTGCACGTCTCCAAAATCAACATCCATAACACCTCCCATCATCTCGCAAACATTCACGGTACCACCTTCATCACCAACAACTACGTCAACGTCATCTACCACTCCTTCCCCACCCGCTGCAGCGCCTACAAATGATGCGGCACCAAGTACCCCGTCCCGCGCAATCATCGGCGGGATAACCGGCGGTGTAGCTAGCATCGCCGTTGCCTCCGCACTGATATTCCTCCTCATCCTCCGCCGGCGACGGAATCGTCGGAACGGTACTCCGGATCGGAATAAACCTCTTCCCAAGGCGCCGACGTTCGAGCTCCCGAATGATGGAGCGTTGGTGGAGGCTGCGCATTGCGAAGTACAGGTCCCGAGGAAAGTAGCGGTTTGGGGGGCTGGAGGCGAGCAGATTGCTGCGGTGGAGATTGGACGAAATAGTGCGTTTGAGCTGAGGATGGAGCGGGAGAGGATGGGGATGGGGAGAGAGTGGAAGGGGATGGATGAAAAGGGTGGGGAGGGGAGGGAGGTTAAGGGGTGGAATATGATATAGTTTCACGGTTTCCCTATGGAATGAGATATCTTTTTTCGATGATTCAAGTTTGTGTATTTGATGGTTTGATGGGTGGACTGATGGAGACAATTGCCGTGTGGAGATGACGGTCACATGACTTTCTGATCGATCGTAATGTGGATCCCGAGGTCAGTACTGAACGCTAATGAAGTCCGTTCCACTAGAAAACCCACTCTATACAGAGTTATTGAGTATCCAGAGAGACATATGTAGTACATAAGCTGCAATCGAGGGCGGGGAAAATTGCCATTCTTCTGACGTAGAAGGATTCATGGTGGCGGGTATTTAGCGGCCGATATTACCAAAAGCGGAACGCGATGACCACCAACTTAACTTCACACCCTACTTAAAGTCAACTCCCCTTTGCCTACCGACTCATCTCAAGAAAGATTCTAACACTTTTTCAAACATGCAATCACATCTCAATGGGTCTTCGGGGAATGGTGAAGCACCACCACTGGGTACTCGACTTTTCTCCACCTCCAACGACTCACCGCCATCTCTCGACGCCTTCAAGAAACTCACAGCACGATCAACCCCCATCCACTACCCTCTCGCCTCCTCAATCGAACAAAGTATCCCTATCTACACACTGCCCGACTTCTCCTCCCTAACAATTGCGCAACAAACCGCTCTTCAAGAGGAATGGTATCACATCCTCCTCTCAGGCCCAGGCGTCTTCATAACCAAGAACCTTTTCCCCGATACCCCCCTCCTCCACCACATCAACACCATCTTCAACAAAATCATCGCGTCCGAAAAAGAAACCCAAACCTCTCGCGGTGACCACTTTGCCAGCAAAGGCGCAAACGACCGCATCTGGAACTCTTTCCAGAAACACTGCACCACAGACCCTCCCTCGTTCCTAAAATACTACTCAAACCCTTACCTCCCACTCATCGCATCCTCCTGGCTAGGCCCCGCACACCGTCTAACCGCGCAAGTCAATCTCGTCAAACCGGGCGCAGACCCCCAGATCCCGCATCGAGACTACCATCTCGGCTTCCAATCTGCAGCGGCGTGTGGACAGTTCCCGAGGGCACTGCAGGTAGCGAGTCAGTTCCTCACGCTGCAGGGCGCGGTCGCGCATTCGGATATGCCGCTTGAGAGCGGACCGACGCGGCTTCTGCCGTTCAGTCAGATGTCCGAGGAAGGGTATATGGCGTACCGTCTCCCTGAATTCAAAGCCTTCTTTGAAGAGAATTATGTAGCGTTGCCTTTGGACATCGGCGATGGCATGTTCTTTAACCCCGCGCTGTTCCACGCTGCTGGACGCAACGAATCTGAATCCATTATGCGGTGCGCACATCTTCTGCAGATATCGTCGGCGTTTGGGAAGCCGATGGAGACGATCGATACGCTTGTGGTTGTCGAGAAGGCATGGGGAGGGATGCGGGAGATGTTTGAGAAGGAAGGGTTGAGTGCGGGTGTTAAGGCGTTGGTGGGGAATGTGGCGGAGGGGTATCCGTTTCCTACGGATTTGGATAGAAGGGTGCCTGATGCGGAGGGTGCGGCGCCGGCGAGTGAACAGGATTTGCTGGTGAGGGGGCTGAATGAGGGTTGGAGTAAAGAGAGGGTTTTGGGTGAGATGAAGAGGATGAGGGAGGATTCGGGGGCTTGAGCGCTTATACATAGTTGATTACGGCAGATTACGTTTTGGGCACAACACTACTGTTCAGTTTCACGATATGCTGTGCGACCGTACGCCGTACACCGATGTTTTGCGCAGGGTGTAATGTCGGCAGACGTGAATAACCGATTCTGACATGGATAACACATGCGACAGACTTGCGTGACGGACTCGTGCGTCTTTCCACGTGTTCTGTGTCCCAGGATAATATGCATAACGATTTCCACAGTACTACATGCGGGTTGATACATGATTCTATTGCAGGACACCATGCTTGTCCTGGGACAGAACCTTAATAGCTAGCCAGTGTACTAAAATCCTTATTAATTCAGACCACGCGTAGCAATTGACTTCATTAAGCTAAGTAGCGCCATATTCTCCATATCCATTTACACACAGTCTATCCCGTCAACCTTATGAAACGTCAATGAATAATAGGCGCATGAACCAGCACATGCATCACAATATAGCCATTCACGTATGCTGCTATTCACAAGGCACAGTATTGAATCATCGCATTTTTATACGGCTATTCATGAAATCCTCTTTGCATCTGACTTGAGCTCCTTATAAAACCCCCTTCCCCACTCATCAATCACACCTCCATAACCACCCAAGTCTACCCAAAAAAAACCCCCGGAAAATCATGTCTTCACCCGCACCCCCAGACCCCGACCCAACCCCACTCCTGACCCACGCCGCGACTTTATTAACACACGCAACAACCTTAAACCAAACAAGCGCCTCCCTCGCTGCCCTCTCAACCGCACTCGAAGCCCTACACACAGCGCACCAAGAACAAATCGCCTCCCTCAACGAAAAGCTCTCAGCCGCTGAAACCGCTCTCTCCGCCGCAAAAGCGGAAACCAAGGCCGCGAAAGCAGAACTCCAGGCTTTAAAGGATCGCGGACGAGGGATCGATGTTAACGTGAACGTTGGTGTGAATGGTGGTGGGCGCGGAGTGAAAACTAGACATCCAGGATGCGAGGCTTGTCAAGGGACGGGGAGGGAGAAGATTGAAGGGGGAGAAGGGGAGAGGAGTGTTGTTAAGCATGGGGTTGGAGAGGGAAGTGGTGGGTGGGGGGATGGATGGGGTGATGTTGACGCAAGGGGGCAGAGTGGCGATGCTAATGCCAAGGTGCATGTGCGGTGGGGTGGGATTTGAGAAGTGGGGACGGCGGGTGTCACAATGTGGTTGTTCTGTGGGTTAGGGGTTAGTTGCGAGAGATGACGTGTTGGAGGTGTTGTGGTACATGTGCTGAGTCTTGCTAGATGTTGTGTGCTGTGATTTGTGGAACTTGGTGGTACTTCGGAAGTTCAGCGGGGGACAAGTCTTCGTGAATCTGATTCAGGGGTGTTGTTTGTCACACAGCGCGGCCTTTCGCCCTGCACTTCTGACACCTTTCAGTAATCTTCCTCGTCATCTACTCCTGGCTGACGCATGGTGAGTGGTACGAAGTAACAGACTCTAACTAACGGTCATAGAGATCTAGTTATCTAGATATACTGTTAGAGGCATGAAGTCGGAAGTTTGTTCATAAATCACAGAAGAACGATTCCGGGAGAATGGGTGAGCCGATCCAAGTGTGAGATATTTGTCTTTACATTGACCCTCACCGCTCAGTACGTCCATCGCAGGGTCATAATTCTTCAGTGACTAGAACGAAGCACGGTTGTATACTTAGAATGACTCATAATACCCCGTGAAATTATTTTCCCGCAGTTAGTGCGCGTGCATGTAACTGTTCTTTGGACTATTTATTTGGAGACGCCTGTAAGGGTTTTGAGTTCACAAACCTTCGTCACACTCGTCAAGATCTCCACTCCACTTTCTACTGTACCAAAGAATCACAAACTGCATCACACAAAGCTGGTGATACACTAATTTGGTTCTCTCATAAGTCACGGTAACCAAGATAGTTTGCTAGCGATCGCGACTATAGAGCTAATGCTAACGAAGACACGCAGAAGAACGCAATACGACGGAGTAACCTATCCTAGTTTTCTAAAAATAGCAATCTATTGTCTATCAACAGCTGATTGCAATTCCTCAGAGAGTCTAGAAGTCAACACCCTACTTACAAGGCTTGAGCAATGTCAAACTATGCGGCCGCGATAAAATTGATCAACGAAGCCATCCTCAAGCTTAATCAAGTACTCGAAGAGAAAGGTCCGAGCCATAAGAATGAAAAAGCCTTGGTGGAGTACCTCCGTGATTGGTGCAGTCCAGCAGAATCTGAAATCAAAAAGATCGAAGAAAACACGGAAAAGCGATCCGGGACTGGGTCGTGTGATCCAAATCACCAGAAACCGTCAAATGAATACGAGGAGGCTGTGAGCACGTATAAGGCGAAACGCGGAGAGTTCATCAGCAACCTCAAAACTCTGGAATATGACGACGAACTTGGCGCATTCGTTGAATTGGGCGCATTTGACGTAGTGACGTATACGACGTTCCAACGATCCAGTGGAGATGTGCATTCGTTGAATTAACGCACGATGACGGAGCACATCATCAACAAAATCAAGCGGGTTAGATCCAGCCTCAATCAGCAGGTTTCTGATCAAGGGAAGGAGAGAACATTGGAGTGTTGATGGAGATTTGAGTTGGTCTGAAACGACGACTCGATGAATACCGGGCTATAAACTTTTCCCATAATTTTCGTGTCTTCTTTTTACCTTCGTCTATTCTCTTCTCTCTTTTTCTTTTCTCAAAGTCCTCAAACTAATCACTCGGCTTCAGGTTTGGGTTTGTTTCTGTAGGATAGGTGTTCTTAGTGTACATGTACCTGGTCTATTCCTGTATCTTCAGTAATCTTTGTGTAGATGGATCAATTTTAGAGTTGAAAACTCAGGTACTTCTACACATAGTGCTGCATGTATCCAATCTTAATCTCTGATCACTGGATTTCTAAGTTGGAAAAAGCTCCAGCGGTATCGGAAGGAATAGACTCTAAAAGTGGTGTGGAGCCCAATATGATAGTCTTCGCAGTCATAGATGAGACGCCATGAGGGATTTTATCAACAAGCTTTGTTCGTGTTGTCTATATGCACCTTGTCGTTGTAGACTAGCCGCAGCTTCCAATATCAAGTACACATGAAGAAACATCACTTTGTCCTATATTGCACGTCATCAAGCTTTGAACTAGCATATGTGATTTATGTACAGTGCAATTTCCCCATCTAACTACTAATCAAGTTCCGCATCGAATCTGAAATTAACGACTTTTTGGTAAGGTTTAAACAGTAGATGAGATTTCGGTTGGTCCGTCAGATTATTGGGAGTCACAGCTACATTGACACTGCAACTGTGTTTTCTCGAGGTCTTGCTTACACCCGCCACGTTTCAGTGAGTCGTACATAAAAAGTGCTGGTAGTACTGAATTTCCGCTTGATGATGTGTTGTGCTTATGTTTTTGGCAGGAGCGAACCCAAGATTGTGATTGTGAAACGGTGATATGTCGAAGAGCTACTGGAGTCTGGCAAGAGCCATGGTAATTAGTATAGTACATGGCTGATCCCGGGAGAAACAAAAAGTATAAGAAGGGTCAAAATACCCGTCAAATCCTCCGGGTCCACCAATCTTCGATCACCAAACTCCCAAGACCAATAGCCAACGGTACGAAAATTCACACCTTTCTTGATTGAACTCTCAGCTTATAGAGGTATCTAGAATCGAAATAACTTCTTCTCAAGTCCCCCCTGCTTCCCGCCAATCTCATTCCTTCGAAGAAGATATCCACTTTATCAATCATGTCTTCCATCGACCCAAGCACGATCTTGAAGCTGAAAGCCGAAGACCATCTCTCGTACGCCACTACGAAGCTGAAAGGTTTCAGAATTACCGAGGTTGGAAAGGATGATTCTGATAAAAGAGCCAAGGAGCAGTTGACGGAAATCTTGCACAATACAGTTGAAGCGATGAGAGCGGCTGGTCTAGAGAGAAAGGCTGAGACAGAGGACCAGGGTACTGACACTGGGACGGTGGTTCAGGACAAGCCAACTCAATTCGCAATTGCCATATCTGACGCAACCGAAACACTATCGATAACCTATTCCATTGAGAAGAACTCCTGGGTATCGAAGGAATAGGGAAATCTTCGTCTCGCTGTGTCATGAGAGCTTCTTTCTCCTGAGCTGCATGCTCCTTCCCAACATCCTGTCTTTCATTTCATTCCTGAATTTCCTTGTGTTCTTTCATCTTCTCTTTGCGCGTAGGAACCTCTTTCACCTACGGCGTCACTTTCATTATCAAAATTTCGAAGCGTCAGATAAAAAAATTGGAAAAAGACAAAAGCACAAAAACTGATTTGGATTGGAATTTGGATACCGAAAATTCACTTCCTGTCACTCTCTTATATACTTCAATGTCATCACATTTGCAATCTTGCGACACATGACCAAAAATTATAAGGAACTATGACGTAGAAGTACATGTTAAATTGATTTCATGGGCATATGCGGGCTTTGAGTGACAGAGTCAAAATCCATGACTGGTCGTAGTGATGATGATTGGGGCCAAACCCGCGCTAACCTTTTTCAGTGTAAACGATCAGTGTTGCTTGCAGCCCCCGACTCAATATTGTGATTGTACGACTGTGATATGTCCCGAAATTATTGATAACCTAGTAGGAGTCATGCTATTCGGCATGTCGCATTGCGCTTTAAGAAGGGAAAAATGTATACGACGGCTTCTATTCTACGCCACATTCTTGACTACCCAAAACTATCTACATCCCCCACGTATCCCACCAAGATTCGATCGCTCACTAGAAGCCTGAATACTATCCGTAAGACAACTCAGGCCTTCCTCACATGAAATTTTAGTTGATGAAAGTGTGTAGATTTCGTACAAAACGAGTCACTCTGTGTTCAATCAATCCCATACGCTGCACAACAGTCACCTTCAAGGGTCTGATCATGTCTTCTAGCGAGCCACAGAAGACAGTCTGGGAGGAAGCTCTGGAGCCTTTGGGAATCGCCATCAAGAAGCTCGGGGAGTTCGAGAAGGAAAGGTCGTATTCAGAAAGTGAGCTAGTCTCAAAATTTACCACGGTCTTGGGAACTGCAGCCGACGCGATCAACAAAGCCAAGAATACGGACAACGTCCCAACAGGAGATGGAGAATCCGAGAACAAGCAACAAGGAAAGGCGGAATTCGACAGGAAATTCATGGAGTACGAGCACGCTTTAGATGCGGCAACTTACATGATACCGAAAACCTACAACTGGAAAACAAAATCCTGGTATGAGAAGTGTGGAGCCTAGAAGGCGCCCGATCATCCGTTCAAACCATGGCGACTACTCCCCGGGTCTTTGGTTCTTCTCATTCCTTTTGTCACTTTTCTCTCTACTTGACTGCATCATTCCATGTTCTTTCAAGATCACTCCTTTCTGCGGCATCTCCTTGTGTAATCCAACTTCAACAGCCATCCTCTAAGATCCGGGTCTGCTGGTTGAAATTATAGATAAAGAAAAGGAAAAAAAAAGGAAACCCGCAAAAGTTTGTGAAAAAACTTGGGCGATTGAATTGTGTTTCTAAAACTTCACTTCTTGTCACTCTCTTAGATACATGAATGTAATTACATTTGCCCTCCAACGAAGTCTATCTTTAGTAGCCTGCGAGAGTTATAATATCATTATATGCAGGTTATGAGTAGCACCGTAGGAGCTCAGACCTGAATGCAGTGAGGGTGCTTGGGGCTAAACGCATGCTAGCTTAATTCGGCATAGACTGTCAATTCTAAAATTGACATACGCGGCGAAGCGTCACAGCATGCGGCTGAGGATCTGCGGCTCTGCGCGGCAAATATGCAGGTACTTGCGTACTACATTCGACGTGCTCCAAATTCGCACCAAATCGGTGGCGTGGAATGACTTGTTTTGACCATCTTCTCTTGTACCACCGCGTGCTCATGCGTCAGTGAAAACAGCAGTGGTACAATCATCAATGTCACCGGTGATTACATGTTTTTGTATCGCGTCAATACCATTCCACTGGAAGACAGCAATTACAAGTGCGCACGTACGTATAGGGTTCACAATAAGTCCTTGTCCAATAGATTGGAACTAACTTCGATGACTCCCGCTTCTCGAATATCGGTAAATTTCCTTGACTGTATGCAACGGCCGAAACTATGACTGGTAAGTGGCCATATAGATGCACACATTCCGAGGGAAAAAACACTTGCCAAATAAACCCTTCATCCCCCTAATTTCGCGATTTACTCGACAGTTGAAGACAACTTTTTCACCTCCAGATTGAGCCAACACTCTACTCAATTGACCTGCCACCCCAAACAGTCCATCGAAATTCCCACACTTCTCGCGCTGTCGCTGGAAGTTCCCAAGAATCACATTAGCTCAACCACGTATCATAGTTTTCAACATCAATGAGCGCCAACGTAGTGGATAACCCAGATCTCGACAAGACCATCAGAGAGCTCAGAACGCTCCTCCTCGAACTAAGCAAGGGAGACTGTCCATATTCTATCGAAGAACGCATCACGAGGCTGCAAGGCCCACTTAGACGTGGGTTTGAACAGATGAACAAACGGGAAATGAATCCTGCACACTTGACTAGAGAGTTGGATTACAAGGTTATCGAAGCCAAGCGTATCATACCAGGTTGGAAATGGAATTTCGACAAACTTTCTTTCGAGCGTCCCAGTCGAAACGGTAGCACATGAGAGGCTTAATATTTTCATCTTGCTTTCGCTTGATACAAACTTCCATTTGTTCATCTATCTTTTGTCTTCAGCATTCCCATGTATCTTCTTTTTCTTGGGTGTCTCAACTCGATTTCCGCTCTTTACCTCTCATTTGTAAAAATAGTTGCGTCATATCCTTTGTTTCTATTGTAAACTTGGAGTTTCAGAGGATGGGGAAGCGTTATTACGGCGAAGAGCGCAAGATAAAAAATGTAAATCTGATTCATGTCTCTCGTTTACACCCCAGCAAGTTGGAGACTTCTATGCCAATCTCATATAATACTCTAACCAGTGTTTCTCACTATTCAATATTCGAGCTTTTCAATCGCCTGCTAATAATGAAGGAGGTTAATCTTGATTGTGCTCATCCTCATCTATTGCAATAGTCTTACCCGTACGAGTCTATACACTGTGTTGAGACAACCACTCTTCTTTCACTTTGTCAGATTCAAAACAGAGTTGGTTTTAGATAGCATACACTAGAAAAAAGGTACTTTCTACAACTTAATGATCAGTTGGCTTGGTTGTTCATGTAAAGCTAGATTTCTTAGACTTAGACAAGTAGTAAATTATTAATTTCATAACCTCGAATGTGAAAACCAGTTTGAATTCAACACACTGTGAATTGCTTGGAGCTCAAAGCAGATTTATCGTGTTTTCAATACCCAGTGTTTGTGCCGCATGGAAATGCGATGAATCACTATTGCTTTTAGAATCATAGATATAGCATGACTCCTTTGCAAGAAATCAGGTGTAGTGTAGCTGAGGTGTATCTATGTGTTGTTCGGCGACGAAGTAGTTTGTGTCACGATGTTGTGGAGGAGGCAATACACTAGGAATATGAAACGTCTATCAAAGCTCCACAAATACTGGCTGAACCCCAAATTCAGTCCCGATCGCGAAGTTCCTGTTACAATCCGTCAGCTGTATACTGTATCTGGTTGGACTGAGGCTCTAAATTCCATGACCAATAAAGCACTGTCCTAAGTTTGGCTCACAGATCGTTAAGTCCGTCAAGGCATCGGAATTGCGAACATTTCAAGTGCCTATATTCTCCCGTGTCAGAGTTTCAGATTTATTTGTACTCCCCAGAATATCCCTCAGCTGCCCGGGCTGAGAAGTGAGGAAGCGTACACAGACCTCACAGGAAGTATTTAAAAAGGCGTTGTTTCTCTGACCGAAACCCTCCTTCGCTTCCATCAACAGCATAGATATCAAGATTATCACTACTCCATATCATTACAAGATTCATATCATTGATACCACTTCTCCATTTCACAGCAGCCCCCGTTGCATTCACTCCAATAGCTCCCGCTATCGATCTCAGCGCTATAGCCTTTGCCAGCTTCAAAACGAAAGACGGACCAAGATCATGCCGCCAAAGGACAAGGAAAACCCACTTACATGGGAGACCAACCCCCAGTACAGAGCAGTACTCGACAACTTCGCGCTGCAGGCGATTAGGTCTCATCATCCCGACTGGCATAAATGGATAATGGAAGACATCGCACGGCAAACGGCGCAACGGAGGGCTGCAGCCGCTGCAGCCGCTGCTTCATCACAGAATCCGGATCCGGCCGCCGAAACTTCTGTCGATCCGAAGCTGAACAATCCCATGGAGACTGAGAATCTCCTTCACATAGTTGAGAAACTTGAATCCCAAATGGAAGATCTTACGGAGATTTCGCATACGCCTGGCAGTTTCATTGACGAAGACCTAAAGACCGTTGAAAAACTTGGCGAGATGATGTATTACGGCCTCCGTAAAGCGGATATTGACCGTGAACATCCCCACTTTGGCGATCCGAGCAATAACCTGAAAGAAATCGTAGATCGGTTCGACAAATGTTATGTGGATATCCGTCGCCTGTTTCCCGGTCGGTCGGTAAAGTTTGATGGTCCCACCAACTCTCCTGTTTTCAGGTTTGGGTAACTCCAGTCTCGATCGTTCTCTCGGTGCAGAACTTCTTGAGCTTCATTCCAAGCCTTACCAACATTTAGAGTTGGCTATTAAGACAAAGTTGGGGCTAGGATTTGTAGCACTGAGAGCTCTGATGGCAACGGTAGCAGCAGAGGTTGATCTTTCAACACACTGTGACAATGGCCTTGAAGTCGGAATCTGTCTTCTCACCCTTGCTTTCGGCCCTTCGATCTACGGATCTTAGGGACTTCCTCCATTTCCCTATTGTTTTTTTCTGCCTTCACACTCTCCTTTTGTGTAATTTACTCTTTTTCTTCTTTCCTTGTTTCTTTCAATCCGGCCTGGTGCAGGAGTTTACCCCATAGACTTGTTTTTTGTTTGGCTCTTGTTCTTAATACCTCAGTCTTCATTTGCTTAAAAGGAAAGCCCCTTAAAAAACCGGAATATGCCCAATATTAAGACCAGAAAAAAACTGTTATTTCATTAGAAAATTCTCTTCTTGTCACTCCTCAGAATAGTCTAGATTACGGACAATGTTATATTTACATTTGGTTGCAATGCAACATTTTGTTCCTGCTAGCTATTAATACTAACCCAGAGCAGGAGATGTTGGAAACTGTTACCTTTTGGTTCCCCGATCTCATTGATCGCAATTGCCGTCATGGTAAAAGAGACCCTGTACTTGGTATACAGCGTATTGTCCTTTTGAAAGACGGTCGAGTGTGCGAGGATCATATTTGAGCATTATTCCTGACTTATATTGCCAAATTTCACCTCTCGCGAAGTACGTAGCATAGTAAATTAGAAATATGAAAGGTTTATTCTAGCGGGAACGCAAAGATAGCGAGGTCTATAGGTTTTGTTATTGATTGCGATAACGTAGATGAAACCCTACAAGGAAAATACCATCCAGCTTCGTAAGCTACTTGGATCTTGGTATCACGTCTCACCGTACCATATGACGTGATTCCTGCACCTAATGTGATTGTGCTGTGAATACGGTGTGAACGGCACACTGATGCCCTGTACTCAAATCCGCCCGCTTCTGCGTTTCAGAATAGTAAGCTCAATATATGGTACGACTTGAAATCCTACGTCGATGGTACAGCGCCACCTACACGGACCTCTATGTAGACATATAAAAGGGCGTGATTTTCTGGATCATAAGTTCTAATCACCACCTTCGAAACCAAAAACATCCATATCTATCATTGTGTTGAACATCAATCCAACATTTTTACTCAGCATATCCAGCCTCATTCACAGTCGTCAAACGTCTTCTGATCAATCCAATATCAAAAACGGTTTGACGAGCGCTCAGACTACAGTCTACTCCAGGTCAATTCCAAGTCAAGAAGCGACTATAGAGAATGGCGAGCCAAAATGATGACTGTTCTCTCATCCACGAGAGGTCTTGGCGAGAATTGCTGAAGAAAAATTCGGCCGAAATCGATTACATGGTGGAAACCCGGCTGAGGATGAACCAAATGATGAGATTGGCGCATATGACTAATAGTAGAGACCCCAAAGTTTGGGACATGGCGGTGAATATCAACAATCATTCAGATCTTCAAAACTTCCTGGAAGCAAAGGACAAGAGGGATGCTGCTTTACAGGATCAACAGCGAGGAGTGCCACCTTCGTTCTTGGATTGGAATGCAGGGCCCAATTTGGACCCATCGAAGATGGTGCAGCGAGGTCACCGCAAGTCGAGCCTCCGATACATCCTCACGCAGCTCAGTATGATCCAGCCAGATTACGAAGCCGTATCGAGATCTGGTGATGGACCCAGTGTTGGGTGCGATGCTACGGTTGAGAACATGGGGTGGTTCATGATATGGGGCATGAAAATCATAGACGCTGCGGAAGCTGAAGCCGCCGCCGACCCATCCCAAGCAGAGGATATGACGGCTGAGAAAGATCAGTTCACCAGAACCGTGGATGCCATCAAAGAAAAGTTTCCCAATCGAGAACTGGACTCCACTGGGAAGCACGGCGTTCCAGCTTTCAGACGCAAGAGTTTCTGAATTCGGTCTTTTGATTAGACTCTTGCGTGGTAATCAAGGCTGGCACTTTTTTCCACCCAACCTATGTATCTCCGATCCACCGATCTCGCTCCCGTGAGGTCACTCACTGTCTTGGATTCCTTCATGCCACACGGGCTGTACTGTGGAATCTGTATACTTCCATGTTCTTTCTTTTCCGGATTAATGTTCTTCCCCATCTGTCTCATTATTTGTCTCTTTTCCTTGTTTCTACTTAAACCTGCCTAGTACGGGAATATACCCCATAGATTGACTCTTACTGTGGTCTATTTTCCCTTCATTCCTTTTGTGTTATCCTACAAAGAAAAAAAAAGAAAAAAAAAAGCTATAACACCCAACAAGAAGTCTCATTCATTCGAAAATTCACTTCTCTCCACTCCTTAGAATAGTTTTATTAGAGATTAATGGATACTTTTACACCTCTTGGCATAATGCTAGATCATACACTGTCTTTGCCCGGTTTATTTTTTCGCATTCTGTATGCGAAAAAAAGTATCGAGGATAAGAGTGCACTTCGCACTTCTTAGGCGGCAACCAGAGAGAGATAGCTCACGGTGTTGACAGGAGGTTGCATGCATGCACGCAGCCGTGAGCCCGCTCCTATAAAGAACATCTGCGGCATAGTTGGAATATATAAAGTTTCGCGAGCCGTTTAGCGTGGAACATTGTGCAACTCTAGTGACTCTCATCATCTAAGAAAGAAGACCCGGAATCTGAACTTGGAAGCAGTTCAGAAGGGGCTCCGCGTGCTATGAGGAAAGATCTGGCCGCTCGCGTAAGATAGAAGTATGTTGGACAGAGCCTAGACTGCCTAACACAAGACTTTCTCACTATGTCGTCCGGTCACAATGGTATCACTAAGTGGTACCAAGTACTGACACAAAATCTAGTGCGCTTGACCAACGGGATCAAAGTGACTGGTAGTGTAGATTGGCAAATCACTGCCCCGCTTCGAAGTTTAAGACTAGTACCAAGCTATTGAGAGTGTTCTGTCACCATCAAATCCTTTACCCAAGCAGTAATCAGTACGG